TGATTTCCAAACTATTTCCATATCCAGGCTTAAGATATTTTCACCATTTTTTCATCAGGTTTCCCGTGGAAAAATAAATCTGTGCAGGCTGTGCGACGAGACCTGCCATTATAAGCGAGGGTGCTGCGCAGTCGAGGCGAACGCCGTCCAAGCTCGAATATGCCAAGTATGGCAGCGCGGGCCGACACACACGTGGGTACGAGACGCTGTCCGGTCTTGTCGGAGATGGCAAGCCGCGTGTGTACAATCAAGTCAATTACAGTCTGAGTTCTTAAGCTACCAACACGCGTCCTCGGCACACTAAACATTTACAGGTATTGCCCTATTACGATGCGACCACAAACAAAGGAAATGGAGAAAAGGAAGAAACACGATCTGAACAAATACGTACGTACGGTTGATATCAACAGTGGGCCACAGACATAGAATCACAACGTAGGGTCGGGAATCGAGCAAAGGTGCCACCACCGGCATTCATGGGCTGATGTGCACTTCCGAAGGCGAACGCGTCTGCATGCGTGGCTGAGGCACATTAAACGCACTGTCCGCCTTGTCCGGCATGAACTCCCCGGGCCGACCCTCGCCATTCCGAGATTCAGGCATCGACGGCAGCGGCGAACTCCAGAACCGCGGAGTGATCAGCCCACTACCGCCGGCTCCGTACACGAAGCCATTGCTCAGTCCCTCCAACGTATTCGACGAGCCTACAGATAGCGGTATTTATGAATGACAGGCTCGCAGTAGCTCCGGTGACCACCACTCACCCGGCACAAGGACGCTGTCCCAGAAGTCCGCGCTAAGGATGCTGTCCATGGACAACATGCTCATATCAATCTGGTTCGGATTCGGTGCCATCGTAGGTGGGAATGTCGACATGTCCGCGACAGGGCCCATCTCACCGTTTGCGAAGAAATCAGCAAACGGGTCGTTAGGAGCCGAGGGGGTGGGTACGGGGTTGGTGCTGTGTGTAACGCTAGTCTCGGAAGGGGCGCCTTCATTGGTCATCGACGCTGCGTCGTCGTCAGGCTCAGTCTGCCCATTCACCCCGTTCGTAGTTGCAGCTGCGATGGCGGCGGAAGCACTGGCGATGTTGGGGTCGATCCTGGCCGAAATCAAAGCGCGGAGGAAGCAGCTGTACAATGCGGGGGTATGCAATGGGCCCACAGCGACACCCTCAAAAACGTTCGCAACATCTTTGACAAGCGCGATCGTCTTCTGCTCGTGATCGAGGAACGCCTTGAACTCCGGCCGCAGGTACTATCGCAAGCCCTCATCAGATCAATGACTCAGGTCCCAACGCCGACCATCCTCACCTTCAACAAGCTCAGCACGGCATATGAGCCCTGCACAAACAGCGAGTCCGGTGCATACTTCAAATAATCCAGCGGTCCGAACTCGTCTCGCAGCGCAGTCGTGCACGCGACCGCAGACGAATAACAGCGCGCGAAGAAGTGCCCGATGTCCATCGGAGACCGCTGCAGCGCGTTTTGCAGCCCGAACGAGTTGATCGTGAGCATTGCATAGTGGTAGTAGAATCTGCAGCTCAATTCGGAGTACTTCCGCGCAAACTCGGTCTTCTCGGCTACACAAGGGGTTCATTTAGCGGATAAAGCGGAACGAATTTAGTTACATGACATACCGTTGGCAATCTTCCTGATTTGTAGCCACTCATGTTGCCATGCCAGGAGCTGCGTCTCCATGGTCTTGATGACCAGAAGATAGTCGCAGTCCTCTTGAAGGCCGGAAGAGGTGCTTGCGCCAGAATAGAGGAGGTCAAGACTGCGGGTAAGAATGCGTTGCAAATCCTGTACCGAATTCCAGTGAAAATGCATGAGCCGTAAAACAAATATACTCACCGCATAACACGCAGTGTGAGCATCAGATGGCATAGCGACCTGCGACTGACACCATTGGGGAGCATTACGGATGATGAAACTATTGAAAGGACATTTGAACATTCACAAGGGCAGAGATCGATCAAGGCCACGTACTCTTCTTTGATTGTATAGGGTTTCCCCATCTGCGCGCTGAAACTGCGATCTAGAATGAAGCACAGGATCCACGTCCGTTCCCGATTGTGGATCTCCCTCTCTCGGGCCAACCCCTCGTCCGAGTCCGGATTCGGAACCTCTGTCCTTCGATGAACGTTCAAATCGAGCGCCATACTGCCGGGCGCCAAGCCATAATAAAACCACCAGACCAGGGGCAATAATAGAATGCCATAAGCGATCGAACGGATATTTAGGTCGAGACGACGTACCGAATCCCCATCCCAAGAAGCATCCACGTCCTATCCTGCTCATACCGCTCCACGGGACCACAGCCCCACAGCGTGTTCAGCAGGTATGCCTGGACGACTTCGACGGACTTGTATCCCTTCGCAGGAACATTGAACGCAAGCTTCTTCGCCAGCTCCGTCAGCCTGGGATACAGCTCCGCACGGGCGTCATAGAATCGTGACGCAATCGCACAAACTGTTGCGATCAGAGTCAACGAAAGTATACGGTGGAAGAACAAGAGATCGCTTACTGGTAGTGAGCAAGAATGGAGAGCGCGAGCAGACCAATGCGGGGGTGTGGAAGTCGGGATCGAGGAGGCCGCAATGAATCTGAACATAGCGGTGAGTTTTGTGCCACCGTTGTTTCAAGTAAACGATTGGACTTACGTTCATGTGGTCGAAATATCTGCATTGATGATTGAACCGTTGAATGAATTATTCCATGGCAGTGGATGCATCGTACTCACATCTTGAACAGTGCAATCACTTCTTCTGTACTCACGAAATTCAACATCTCCGGCTGGATCTGTCGCTCAATATACAATCGTCTAAGGGGTAATATGCTCATGGGTCCTGGACAAGGCTCAGCGGACAGTCGTAGGACGACGCTGAATCAAGACTCACCAGGCTTGAAATACAAATCGCTCGCAACGCCCATCCTCGACGGTTCGGACGTACGCGTCAGCAGTGCCGTCGAGGCCAAGTCCGATTTGACTCCAGCCTGTGCACGACGATTCGCCAAACTTGCTTCTGCGAGCAGGCCAAGCGGATTTAATGAGTCGTCTGGTAATGAGGGCAGCTTGGGCGAGGATGGCGGATGGTCTGAGTGGCGGCGATGATGCTGTTTCGGCGATCCTGGCGGGGTAGCAAGAAGAGGATGTGTCTCTCCGGACGGTGGAGGTTGGCCGGGCGGCGAGGGTGATCGCGAGGGCCCTTCGGATGGTGGAGCACCGAGCGAGCGGAAGATAGTGTCTAGTGTACGCTCCATCTTCCGCAGGGAGCGTGTAAGGATTTCATGCTTTCTAAATCGACATTGAGTCTTTGAATGCAAAGCCATACGAGAAACATCTTACTTTGTTGAGCGCTTTCCCCGATTTGACTCCTCAAATATACATTCATGATGCCCAGCCTGACACCTCTTACATGGCGGCCCGTTCTCGGCCCCTACACACTTCATTTTGAGTCGTCGACAGACCGTGCAGGCTCTATGGACATAATCAGAACCATCCATGCGGACAGAGCGATGATCGCACCTGGAGCCACGTGTAGGCTTCGCCTTGGGAGCTTCATCACCTTTCTCAGCAGCCGGACTCTGTCCCTCCTCTCCGTCGTCGTCTTTACGAGACTTCTTTCGTCCATCACCAGTTTGCTGTCGAGGAGAGGCGGGCCGCTTGCCGTTAGTGTTCACGCTGGAAGGGCCCGAGACAGCAGCATGGTCATTAGGGGGCGTCGTCATTGCCTCAGATGCCTGAGAAGAGGGTGAAGACAGATTTGCGGGTAATGGTATATGGGTGCCAGGTAGATGCTGCTGGGATTGCTGGTATGAGTAATACTGGGAGGGGTACATCGACAGGGCAGGGTCAATTGGGATGGAGGACGATGACGAGGGGGAGGGTACAGCTTGGTTCATTTGCTGCTCGCGTGCACGACGGCTTATGGAGGTAGAAGGGTAAGGGCTTTGCTGCTGTTGCCCCGGAGGCACATAGTACCCCGGATAGTTTGAGGGCGCAGACATGGCGGAGAGGCTAGCACGTGAGGATGAGCAATGCTAAACAGTGCTTGGCACGCTTTGAATGCAAAGCAATTAAATTCGCGCGTGATCAGTGTACTGTAAAGGAGGGAGGAGGGGCGGGTTGGATACGTACCGGAACGAGCACTTTGTTCCAGGGGATAAGGGATGAAGAAAGTTGGGGTAAGACCGGCGACGGAGGTGGGGGTTCGCAGCTGAGATCTGACCGCCTAGTTTGGATATGCCACAGTGCAATTGCTGGGAGATCGGGAGGAAAATGATTTTCGGCCGACCGAGAGACGGTCAACCACGACTCGCCAAGTGCGGGGATGAGAGTAACAACGACGATGTCACTGGAGAGAGACAGGCGAGGAGAAGAGGGAACGAGCAGGTAATGGTGGATGATGGAGGGAGGAGAAAGGCATGAGCAGGGACGAGCGATGGAGTGAAGCCCATGTCTAACTCCGAGTGTGGCCTTCTTGCAGTGCGCCCACAGGCGCCTATGGGCGCCTCATGACCAGCGTTCCCACGTGGTTTCCCGTAAGTGGCTAATCCAGAGCAGTCGCTCCCAAATCGCTGCGCTCAATTACTAATTCTCCCTTTCGCACGAATCGCAGTCTCGTAATTTACAAAGGAACAGACACCGCCGGTGGTACTTCTCGAACTGAAGACAGCCCTATTCAGCACCACGACCTTGCGGGTCGTTCCGTGAGGCGGTGTGCCATGACGGCGACTGCGGTCCGAACTCTCGCTTGCGGCGTAGCATTGGTCATGGATTGACGCTGCGCTTGCAGTGACACTGCTGCATTCGAATCGGAGTCGTCAACACGGCGTGAAACACTACATGCGTTAGTTGTCTTCACCTGTCACATCACTCGATTGCCAATTCACCTTTATACTCAGGCATAGCCGTCGAGCTGCCTATGCGAGGAGAGATCCTGATGGATTTGCCAGAAATGTCAGCCAGTCCAATCGCGGCGTTTGGTACGTATACAGCGACAGGTCGACTTCGTAGAATGATAGGCTCTGACATTTAGCCTAACATCTCGTGGGAGGTTTATCACTGATCGTATGCTGTGGACTGGATTGACCCATTGCGCGAACGCTGCTCCGCGTGTTGGCAGATTATCGAGGATTATCATCGTGTCGCAGAGTAGCATGTCCCTTCTGACAGGTCCCATGGCCATTACTCTCAGTGTGCCTGTTCCTGCTCGAAGACATCATCAGCATACACCGAAACTCTTGTGAGCAAAACACACACCACGTCATTCGCTGCATATGTTGCAAATTCTGTATTCTTGTTGACGAAGATTGTATTTGTATCATCGATGAAGACAGTGCCCATGCCACCAATGTGTTCGATTTCGAGTCCTGCGTATGATAGTATACATTTCCCGTGGACACCATCTGAGTAGCTCACGCGTACGTTCAAGCTGCATTACAGATAACCAAGGTCACGATGCAGCACCGGAATCAAACTTCGACTCCAAACACCGTGCATACTTCGACGAAGCGATTGAAATAAGGCGTTGAATGCCAGTGAAGACAATGAGAGTGTGCTGATATAGCTCAGAGTTACTTAGTAGGTTTTTTGCTCGACTGAATGGGCCTGCAGCGCGACCGAAACGTTGTGGCCAACGCACTGCTACAAGTGATTAGCGCCTGCGGAGAGACCGAGAAATTGAGAGTCCGCCGAGCGCGCTTTTGCCAGGTCCTGACGCGGTTCCAGTTAACGTCCCTCGCAAGCTTCCTCCTAGCCACCAGCTCAGGCCTGGTGCCCCCTCCCTCCACTTATCCACCATGTCGTCCCACCACCGGCCGTACATCCAGCTTGCGCCCTCAATCAACACCACCACGTACGTGATACATTCATTCTTGCCCTTTGCGTCGTCTGACTCTCTCTCGCAGCGTGGTGACAACAACCACCACGACCACAACATACGCGCCCATCCCGCTGCCACCACTCCCTGCCCCATCGTCCCCCAAAGACTCTAAGGTATATCCATTGTTGAATGCGCACCTTCCGCGGTCGCTTCGCCAATTTCAGCTCGAGTTCCCAGGCGGATCAAGAGCAACGTTCCGCGATGGCGAAACAGGCGAGGAGGAGATGCAAGAGGAGGAGGAGCCCGCAAGCGGTCTAGGTTGGCGGATGCTGAGACGCGATGAGGACGTCGAGGGGCAGCAAGAGGTCGGCCTGGCGGAGGCGATTGAACGGTATGGGCGTAAGAGGTCGTTGGTGAACGAAAACATGATGGAAGGCATCGAGTCCATCCCCGGGTTCATCCCCAGCACACCACCGCGCAAGAGGTCGAAGCCGGCTGCTATATCCACTATTCCACCAATCAATGCAGCAGCGCCGCCCTCCCCGCTTCCCTCTCCTCATGGCTCACCACGACCCGAGAGCATCTGGCCATCAGCCCCGCCGAGTGGGCACTCGTCCCCTCAACCACAAGAGGCGCCCATCCAGCCTGATGTCTCGCTTGCTGCTCTGCTCTCCCTCCCCGCACTGTTGCAGCACTACTCTAGCCTCCCTCCTCAGCTGCAATCCCACGTCTTGCTCACATTCTTGCGTCACTCACCATTGTCCGTGCTGCGAACCCTTCACTCTATCTTGACGCCCACACTTGCGCGAGACTTTCTCACTCTCCTCCCTCCAGAACTTGTCTCGCATGTCTTGAGCTTCCTTTCATTCTCGGACCTTGCCCGGGCCTCGCGTGTGTCCAAAGCCTGGCGTGCCATCATCGATTCGGATCCTGTACTTTGGCGCGATCTTCTCAAGGGAACGAAGATCTGGTTTGGACGAGGTTCCGAGATCGCGTTTGCCGACGCCATCTTCGCCCGACGGCGGCATCAGAGGTTGCCTCCACCCGGCGCGCTGCCTTTGCCCCATCCTTACAAGATCTTGTTCAAGTCACGACACCTCACGCGTACGCGCTGGGTGCATAATCAGAACCCAAAGCGCCTTACTTTCACTGCCCATGGTCGTTCGGTTGTGACATGCCTTATCTTCTCGCACGGGCGGATTATTTCTGCGTCCGATGACCACTCGATACGCGTCTTTTCTCCAGTCACCGGCGAGCTACTCCGACAATTGACAGGGCACGAAGGCGGCGTGTGGGCACTAGCAGCGACGAAGAACACCCTGGTCAGCGGGTCCACAGACCGCACAGTCCGGATCTGGAACCTCGCGTCTGGTCGCTGCACACATGTGTTTGGAGGCCATACGAGCACCGTCCGATGTCTCGCGATCGTCAAACCGGAATTGGTAGACGTTGAGCACGAGGGTGGTGTTATAACTCAGGAGAGATGGCCAAAACGGCCGCTGATCGTCACCGGCAGTAGGGACCATTCGCTTCGGGTGTGGGCATTACCCCGATCTGCCGATAACGAGTACAGGTATTTCGGCGCGGACGAACACGATGTGGACCCATCAGAGGTAAGGCTGCATTCACTATCAGATGCTGTCAGGCGTGCTGACCAGGGAAGGTGTGGAAAAAGGAGGACGCCGAGGACAATCCGTATCACAAGCTGCACCTCCAAGGTCATGATCACGCAGTTCGTGCCCTTGCAGCACGCGGCCGGACACTTGTGTCAGGAAGCTATGATTGCACGGTAAGGATATGGGACATCATCACTGGGCAATGCAAGTATGTCCTCTATGGACACACACAAAAAGGTGCGACATGGTGCACATCTATCGTCATCAGTATATCTGACTTTACCACTGCAGTGTACAGCGTGGTGCTCGACCTGAACCGGAAGATTGCATGCTCGGGGTCCATGGATAGTACTGTCCGGGTGTGGAATCTGCGCACTGGGCAATGTCAACACGTACTGACTGGACACACGTCCCTCGTCGGTCTCCTTGGTCTCTCACCGTCATACCTAGTCTCTGCTGCAGCCGATTCAACGCTCCGAGTATGGGACCCAGACACCGGCGAGCATCATCACACGCTTGCGGCACACAACGGCGCGATCACGTGTTTCCAGCACGATGAGTTCAAAGTGCTCAGTGGCAGCGATGGCACGCTCAAGATGTGGGACATTCGCGACGGGTCGCAGGTGCGGGACCTGCTCACGGGCATTGTGGGCGTGTGGCAGGTCGTGTTCGAGGGCCGGTGGTGCGTCGCGGCGAGCAACCGTATGGACGCGACCGTCCTGGACGTGTGGGACTTTGCGGAAGAGGAGGGCGACGAAGAGTGGATCGGCGAGCCGCCGGGTGGGATATACGACGAGGACACGGAATACGAAGAGGACGATGATGCGATCGAACAGGCGGAGGTGGACGCAATGGACCAGGACCTGGACGCCACCATGGGCTCGGACATGGACGATGCGGAGCTGGACGACCACGGGCTGGAGGACTCAGAGGACGACCGACTCGTGACCTGGCTTCATACACCAACGGATATGGATGAGCATATGATGCCGGAAGCGGGGAGCTCGAGATATGGGATTGGCCGTAGTCGGAGCCACTCGTTAGATTCAGGGCCGTCGGCTTTATTCCATAACGATGGTGTGGGGCCATCATCTCTCATGCGGTTCCCTCCATCGAACGATGAGACACCAACACGGCCGCGCGTACGCGATATGGGCTCTCACCTGCGGTGACGATTGGCACCTCCTTTCCATTCCTGCCGCACGTAGTGGCTGGGCGTCAAGCAGCAGTCTGACTGCATACATTCACTTTCTGGCCACAGTACATGTCCTTACGTGTTGTCCTCCGTATGTTATGTCCACCGGATTGTTCGCATATGCGGTAACCCCCCTCTCTCCCTCGTCCGTTTCTATTCCATACAAACTTAATATTTAGGTATTGGGACCATTAGCATGTTCGTTGTAGACATCGCAGTTATCAAAGTGTATGTAAGGACATAATGCATCGGCATGATACCGCCAATGAACTTCATACTGCCGACAGGCGGATTGGTTGCGGATGCGAACACTACACTTGCCAAATTCGGTATGTCTCGGTCGTGTCATTCAAGGTGGCCACCGGTGTGCAGGAGAGGCCCTCGTTGAGTCGCAATATCCGGCACTAGCCTTCATAAACATCCGCAAGATAGCAAGCCATACTCAGAGAACCCAAGCGTACTGATGGGGTTCCTCACATAATTTGGGTACTGGAAGCCCAGTGACCATGCGAATTACAGGGCCCCATGTAGACAGCGGTGTTTACTGACCGAGGCTTCATTCATTTCGTGTCTAAATCAATATGACCATCATATTGGGGAGTCACGCCTTCAGCTATCTAGAGCAATACTTGATATTGATCCGGGCTCAATCACGCCAAAATGCAAGCCGCATTCGCGTAAATGATCTCGCCACTTTTCATGACCGGCACAGCAAAGTACAAGGAGCCAACCGTTGGAATATTGTCATCAAAGTGAAAAGCACAGGCTGATATGCGATCTCTGGGGAAGCCTCATACGACACGGGCCTTGTGGATTTTCACATCTTCGCGTGGCCTGCAACGTAAACGAGGCATGAGCAACAACCTCTCGAGGATATTACTTTCGGTGTCTACTCACCTATCTTGAGCATCAGTGGCAACCGCACCCAGTCTCTGCAACACCCTCATCCCTGAGCTAACGCGTCCAAAGATGGTATGCTTGTTGTCCAGGTACGGCGTTGGTGCAAGCGTCAGGAAGAACTGAGAGCCTAGTGAACAGTTCAGGGTCCAGCGCACGCAGGATTATGCGACGCAAACTGGTTCAGCGGAAGTACTCACCGTTTGTGTTGGGACCCGAATTGGCCATTGCAAGAATCCCCGCTCCTGTGAATCGCAGCTCGGGATGGATCTCATCTTCGCTGGTTTAGCACGTAAATTTTTACATGTGTGCGCGAAGAATAGCAATCGCACAATTTTTGCCCGTATATGCTGGTTCCACCTCGTCCCGTACCCGTAGGGTCTCCTCCTTGCACCATGAAGTCCTACGGGCATACCAGCACACGTCAGCACCAGTTCTAGTGTAAACTCTGTTGGCTCACGGCAATTATACGGTGGAATACCAGACCATTGTAGTATCCCCGCTTTGCCAATTCAGCGAAGTTCTTGCACGTCTAAGCACTCAAGGTTGGCGACATGAGCCGAGATGCGCGCTAGATTGTAGGTTCAAGAGCTTACTTTAGGAGCGTGGTTCCAGTAGAGCTCCAATTGAATGTCGCCCATGCTCGTCTCGAGTACAACGGATTCCATGATGGTAACTTGTTCTCGGTGGGTGGGTAGGACAGGTGCAGGCGGGTGGTGGCGGTCACGGTGCAAGAGAACGATCACGATGGGCGTCTGCTTCGAACAGATGATGTGGCCACAATGATCGAGATCCCGTGAGATCGGCTCTTTCGCGACCGCCATCTTGAAATTCGGAGACTCTCGGCAAATCGAGTATCATGCGGGCGGTCGTGCAGCGCGTAAGATCTGCGTCAGTGACAGGTAGTTGCATCTTTTTCGATTAATGAATTGCATGCTGATCGTCGTAGTTGATAGTGAGGTTATCTCGTCAATCTCTCGAGGCTTAATGGTCCTCGTAGGGATTGGGAAAGGTCAATTCCGTTCAGTATCAGCTATTTACTTCAGCTGACCATCTACACAGAACAGACGACACTCCTGTCGATGTCGAAAACGTAGCAAAGAAAATGTGAGAGCGGACTTGTCCCTTCGGTCTCGGAGATCTGAACTATCGTCCAAGTCTCAACCTGCGAATTTTCGACGATGGATCTGGAGCGATGTGGAAGAAGAGTGTGAAGGACATTGATGGCGAAGTGCTTTGTGTCTCCCAGTTCACACTGCTCGCGAACACCACGAAGGGAAACAAGCCAGACTTCCACCGTGCAATGGTATGAGCCTGAATTTCTTGCTAAACTTCAAAGTATATCATGACGCTGACTTTCCTACTCCGCGCATGCAGACCGCCGAGTCTAGCCGACAAATGTACACCTCTTTTCTAGAGAGGATTTCAAGCATGTACAAACCCGAGAAGATCAAAGGTACGCTATTATTTGACCGACGCCTACGCCTACTCACTCCGAACGAAGATGGACGGTTTGGCGCGATGATGAGCGTGAGTCTCGTCAACGAGGTGAGCTTCCGTCTGGCACACTTGCCATTGTGCCGGTCCCGCAACTGACGAATTTTGCATCTTTCCTCACTCAATCCAGGGCCCCGTCACCCTCACGCTGGACTCGCGAAAATTTGAGTATGTGGACCAACCTCCCAGCGGGTCCGGAAGTGGCGCAAGAACTTTTCTCACTCCCAAGGCAGCTCCAAGCGGCGAAAGAGTGCCGGAGAATGCAACGAGAGCAGAAAGCTACAGCCACCTTTCTGAAGAATCAGAATCGATAGAGTCGACAGAATCAGAATCGTCAGAATTCACGGAATCGAGCATACCTGAGTAGTGGATATAAGTAGATAACTACACGAGCCAGCTGTAAAGAATAATGTACATATATTCACTACAAGCGATTGCACAATGCACTCGCCAACACCCACGATCCCGGCCGCACACTCCGCTCCGCTCCCTGCCAGGCATGACCGTGGGCACGCAACCTGTCCACTTCCTCCGCGAGACGTTCCTGTAGTGCGGGCGCGGTCGTCACCATGACAAACGAGAGCTCCGTGTCGATATTGGCAGAGCGTGAGTTTAGGTTGGTCGAGCCGAAGATAGTGAGGACCGGATTTGATAGCGGCGTCGGGCGGAGCCAAATGCCTGCAAGCGTCGGTGGCATCAGATGAACAGTGAAAGAGGACGGTGGAGGTTTCTGAACGAACCTTTGGCGTGATACGTCCATCCTTTTCTTTCCCATTCGCTTAGCTGCACACCACTGCCAGAGGCTTGCTCTCCTTCATCGTATGTCCACTCACGGTTCGCAGCCCGGACCGCCTTCATGAAGCGCCGCTCAAGCACAGTGTAACCTTCCGGTATCCGTCCCGAGACACCCTTAGAACCGTAGAAGCCGTTGGCCTGTTAGATATGCGATGAGCGGCCTGATAGACACGTCGATGCATGTGAAAGACCGAGCTGTACCTTCGGGCCAGCGGCCACAATCCGACATGCCACAGGCGAACGGACGATGAGGTCTTGATAGGGCTTGTACAAACCGAAGTATCCGCTTGTAAGGTCCATCAGAGGGCCAGAGTACGTTGCTGAGGGTGGGAAATCACCCTTGGACAATTGATTGAATAGCAAGCCGAGACAACGCTCCTCCTCTCGGATATCAAACTGCCCGGCTTGGATAATCGGCATCACCAGCACGTCGGGCTTGTCGGCCTCTTTCTCATCGGAATCATTGAGAACTGTCTCGATACTTTTGGAAGCATCCGTTATATGGCCATTTTGGAGAGTCGTGAGCAATTTCTGTGCTTTCGGCTCAAAGTGGTGCGGGTGCGTTTGTTCATCTGGCCAATGCAGAACATACTGATCCTTGTCCGATGATGACGGTAGAAGGGAATACGAGAAGGTTGAAGTCTGCTGCAGGAAGGAAAAGCAGTACTGAGCCAACGCCGGCTGCCCAGTGAAGCTGATGTAGCGGTCCTGGCGATTTGTGAAGTAGGAGGTATTCAGATTCGCGCTGCGTGCCGCATCAGGCTGAGGGACAGCGCCACGGCTACCAAGAGACGTACTTCCTTACCCGGAGATTAGTACGTCGTCATCCGCGCCGTAGATTTTCGCGTGCCAGGTCCCACCCCACCCCTCGTTGAAGCGGGGTGGCATGATCTTGGCCATCAGACCCTTGAGCTTGGGACTTCGGAAAAGCCAGACATGTACGCGGTCAGGAAAGTCTTGGAGCAATGGAAGCAGCAGATTAGCGGTCGACAAAGGCTCTGGGCGCGTGCAACGGTTGTAGTCGAGATGCATGTAGACTTGCAGTGCAGGGTTTGCGACTAGGGAGGCGCGCAGAGTATTGACCTATAGCACACGGTGACAAGATGATCGACCGAGGGATTTTTGAGATCAACACACCAACTCAAGGTCCTCAGATCCGATGTACAGTGAGGATATGAACAGCCGTCGCTTAGCCCGGCGGATCATGCTCTACACGACCAAGGTAAAAGACTCCACTGTATGCAGGGCTGTCGGTCCACAAACCAGTAAGCATTGGTAGAACTCCTTGGGCTGGCTCATGATCTGAACAGCGGAAGAGTGCACAGGAAAGCATGGCTGCCATTTAGCGAGCGCATATACGAACTGGCGAACGGAGGAGTCGATAGGAGAGGTCGATATATGGCGGGCTCTCTGGGCGAGGACCTTTCCCGAATGTGTGCCGCTGCACCAGTGCAGGGCAGTCTGAAAGCAGCACACTCCGACGGACATGTTGCTGCAGCAGACGCGAGACAGACGCGCGAGGGTTGCCGAGGTCACGCCTCCACGCGATTAGTCACTCCCAGGTCACAAAGTGACACACCCGCACAGTACGGAGTGCGCCACACGTTACACTAACCGTTACGTCTTACGACCACGACCTGTAGGGACGGCAGTGTCTGTGCCTCCTTACCTCTGCTCACTTCGCTATTCTGCGACGACGTCCTGCTAGGCTGACATCTTCGGAGACGCAACCATGTCCTCGCCTCCTGGGCCCTCGACTTCTCGCCCACTTACTGCCTCGCGCTCTATGCAGGGTTCGCAGTCCATTTTTCCTGGCGCAGGTAGCTCGCGACCGTTCCTTCACGTGCTGAATCCGATGGGCAAGAACTACAAGGGCTACGTGCAGGCCAATCAATCAGTACTGGAAGAAGAGGAGGAAGAAAATGATGACGGCGACCTCGAGGCAGGCCACGCGAGTCGCAGCAATACGCCACACAGCTCGCATAAATCAAGGTCTCATGGCAAGCGGCGTGGTGCATGGGGTGGAGAAGCATCCGAACTACATGTGCTGAGGCCAAATATCCGGCAAGCAGACCCTCAGCAGGATGAGTTCTCGTCCGATGAGGAGGTCCCGCAGAATTTGATGATCGAGGCTGTCTCTCCCGGTGGTCGCAAGTCGGCAGTTCCTGCGCTGAGCTCTAAAGGCAAAGAGAAGGACACGCGTAGGAGACCGCTGTATTCGACGTCACAGAGGCAGACACCCCCAATTCTCCCGACTACTGTGAAGGGGACGTCTGTATCCACCCCTCCTCGGCCATCAGAGATTGACGTGGAAGAGGCGAAGGGCTCGGAGCCGTTACAAGGATCCCATCCCAAAGTGATGCGGGGCTTGGATGCCCATGAACGAGCGCTGTGGAATTGGGTGAACGTCTATAACTTGGACGCATTCCTCCAAGAAGCATATTACTACTACGAGGGAAAGGGGATATACAGCATTGCGTTGTCTCGAGGATTGAATCTGCTGTCTGTACAGTTCATTAATGGTATTTTCACCTCATGCTCACAGTTATGCGTAGCACAGTCGGGTTCGTGATTGGATTCTCGACGTTCCTACTGGGTTGTGTCGACTACTCTCTCATACGATCCAACAAAGCTACCCGATTAAGTGACATAATTGTCGACCGCTGCGTGTCCAGGTGTGTTGCTTGCATTGCGAGGCACTGTTCAGCTGATGTTCACACTATTCTTGCTAGATTTTCCGGCTTTACATTCCTATTCTTCGTGCTCTTTACAGCCTTCTTCGTCTGGCAGATCGTCACGTTCGCTTTGAGTACTCTGCGTCTGGTGGACATGTACCGGTTCTACACATATCTCCTGCATATCCCGGACGTGCGTACATCCTCTTATGAATCTCGTGAAATTCACCTTGTATGACACACCATAGGCAGACATTCAAACAATCTCTTGGCCAGAGGTTGTGCGGCGCATCGGCGCGATACGCGAGGACAACCCCTTGACCGCGCTGTCATCCACTGGTGTAGGCCAGAGTGTCAACGCGAAGCTTGATGCTCATGATATCGCGAACCGGATAATGCGTCAAGAGAATTATCTCATTGCATTGTTCAACAAGGAGCTATTGGATCTGCGTGTCCCGCTTCCGCCACTATTCAAACGGTTGTTTGGTACACAGGAAGAGGGGAAGGGGCGTGTGCTTACTCGCGCTCTAGAGTGGAATTTGCGCTTCTGCTTGATGGAGTACCTCTTTGACTCTAGTGGAAAGGTCAGGAAGGTATTCCTGAAGTCAAGGAACCGAGCGGCATTGATTGATGGGTAATATCCAGTGTGTTCATTGTATGTTTATTTTGGCTGACTTGTTACCCGTACAGATTGCGGAGGAGGTTCATCTTCATGGGCATACTGAACGCTATCTTTGCGCCATTCATTGTCTTATATCTGATCATGTATTCGTTCTTCCGATATTTTGAGGTAAGAGAAGTTGCCCGAGCATTTTGCGAACTGCGCATAAATGCCGCTTCCTGCAGGAGTATCACAAGAACCCTTCAAGCATAGGCGGTCGGCGATACACTCCCTTTGCGCAATGGAAGTTCCGCGAGTTCAACGAGCTACCGCACCTGTTCAAACGAAGACTGAACGAATCGTATCCAGCTGCCAGCATGTATATAGGGCAGTTCCCGAATGAGAAGTTGACCCTCATCATGCGGTAAGACGTATGCCGTCGATACATATTATGTCTTTGACATATCTGTCCGCAGCTTTGCAGCGTTCATCGCGGGCTCTTTTGCCGCTGTACTTATCCTAGCCTCTGTGGTCGACCCCGAACTGTTCCTCTACTTTGAGATCACGCCCAACCGCACTGTAGTGTTCTACGTCACCGTCTTCGGCGCTATTCTAGCGGTCGCGCGAGGAATGATCCCTGAGGAGAACAGGGTATTTGATCCCGAGTTGCTCATGATTGAGGTGATACAGGATACCCACTACATGCCGGACGAGTGGAAGGGTCAGCTGCATTCAAAGAAGGCACGTCATAATCCTTGTCGCTTGGACTTCATTGTTTTGACATACTTATTGCAGGTGCACGAGGAGTTCGGCGAGCTGTTCGCGATGAAGGTTATGATCTTTGCGCAAGAGTTGCTCTCGGTCATTCTGACTCCGTTTGTGCTCTGGTATTCACTTCCGCCCTGCGCACCTGCAATCATCGACTTCTTCCGCGAATTCAGCGTACATGTCGACGGACTTGGATACGTGTGCAGCTTTGCTGTCTTCGACTTCCAAAGGCATGGGAACGTCAAGGTGCGTATTCGCAACTGTATTTGGTTGCGCGGTGCTGAAGTCCTTTTTTCTCCTATTAGTTCGGTGCGCCTACGAAGGCTCAGGACGAGCGGCTCATGTCGAAGCAAGGGAAGATGGAAAAGAGCTTCCTTAATTTCAAGGTACGCATACTTGCTTCGTACCTCATTGATGCATTCTCATGCTCTCTGGCATGCTCAGGCCGCCAATCCAGACTGGATACCCGCAGATCCTACAGGGTCCCTCTATCTGAACCGCATCGCAGACTTCAGCGCTGCGCACCCCGTCGGACTCGGACGACGCCGTCTCCTGCGTCGCCCATCCGACTCCGGCAGCGCACGCCCCGTGTACGGACAGGAGAGTATGCTAGATACCACCTCGCCACAGGATGCCATCGACAGAGACCGCACGCTCAGGCAGAGCCAAACGTCGGCGCAGGGCATGAGAAGACGGGGAAGCGTCCTGATGCAAAGCACGCGGGGGCCATTTAGTGGGCCTACAGGAGTATCGACGATGTTCCAATCCGCCATGGGCGCAGAGCTCGCGCAGACAGCCATACTGGAGGATTCGCAGAGTAGCGTGATGCCGGCGCCTCCTGCAGCGGCCGCGCCGTCAGCGAGTATGATCCCGGAGGAAGAGCTTGCGCACGATGGTGGTGTGGGGAGTATGCTAGGCGAGTCCTATGTCGATGGGCGCCGGCCGACGGCGAGCCAGGCGCCAGCGGAGGAGGACGAGGAGCCGGTGGATGGTGGGGTGCTCGGGTTGCTGGCACAGATCTATGGGACGGGCGCGAACGTGAAAGGTAGAGGGAGAGGGCCGCCGAGAGCGATATGAGTTCTGAGGGCACTAGCGGAGTATCTATGTACTGTGTCGACGGCAGGTGGCGTTGTTGTAGTAATGATGTATCACGTTCCATGATGACCTGTTATCTTGCATGGCCCGCACTCAACATGTAGTGTATCATGCCCACCGTGTCAATGTATCTATCCTGTGCATCAGAAACCCATCCCACATTATCATATGCGCTACCAGATACAAGTTGTACATGTGCAGAAAATACAGCAACCCTGTGACGATGAGATAGTTCATAGATGGAGAGAAAACGGGTCAGAGACATTCTTGAAGTCCTGGATAATGAGTGCACATAGCATGATCTTGGACTTCCTACACAGACAATGTATCAGGGTCGACGAATTTGCAGAATGTAAGAATTGCTTACCTCGGGCGATGAAAATATAGCATTGCACATCGTTGCGCCGGGGACGTCTGACACTTCCGTATATTGACAGACATAGCGGATATCGGTTGCCGCCTCATCGCCAGTGGATTGCTCAGATAAATGCGATGGAACATGGACGTTCTCCTGAGCAACCTTCAACTCTTCAATCTCCTTCGACTTCTCGCTCTCCTCGGATTGCTCAGACAAATGCGAGGGAGCACGGACGTTCTCCTGAGCAACCTTCAACTCTTCAATCTCCTTCTTCAACTTCTCATTCTCCTCTCTGAGCATCGGCTCCAACGCAGCGCGCCTACGCACATCATCGTTCGTCCGCTCGTCCTTGTCCATCAGCACCTTGCACAGCGCCTTCAACTTCTCCACCTCCTGTTGCAGTCTGGCGTTGTGGTCTTTGAACATCCCCTTCACCATAGGTAAGCCATCCTTAAGCTGGCCGGCGGTGAGGTCGAGCTGCCGCTGCAGCTCGTCTCGTTCCTTGCTGACATCAGACGCATGCACTGAGGCTTTACCGTAGAGATTCCGGAATAGTTCGCGATCCTTCTCCGCATCGGCCTTGCCCTTCTGCAGCTCCTCAAGTAGAACTTGCTGCTCCTGCAGCCTGCCTTCTAGGACGGATAGGTCATCCTCCATGCCGGCTTGGCCCCGCTCGAGAGTCTCGATCAGTGTCTGCTGCTCTTGCAACTTGATCTCCGCGACTTCCAAGTCTATGATCGCCTGCTGCTGGAGTTTCTCATATTTCGTCTCTAGTGTCTTGCATGTGTTGTTGAGATCGAGCTTCTCAGACTGCAACGTCTCCATCTTGAACTTCAGCTGCTCACATTCCGTCTCTAGTGTCTTGCATGCGTTGCTGAGATCAAGCTTCTCAGTCTGCAGTATGTGCGTCTCCATCTTCCGCTGCATGACTTCTATTTGGAGCAGGCCAATCTGTGTTGCCCTCTGCTCCACGGTGAGTAATAACTCCTTCAGCTGGCCTTTCAAAACTGCTATTTCCAGTGATTGACAGTCTGCATCCGCGCGTTGTGTGGAAGTAGTCTGCTGCGACTGATCTGAGGTCGTCACCGATTTCAAAAGGACCGTGCTCTTCTTTGCAGATAGCTACGTAACTATCAGCTTGTGATAATTTATCATCGACAAACACATTATATACTAACCTGCAACTTGGCCGGTCTTGCTTCCTGGAGGGGCCCAGCTTCCCACTTGGACGACGACGGGAGTTCAGGACCTAACGAGAGCTCAGCGGGTTCCGAGGTCGGTGACCGTCTCTGGCCTTGTCCGCCAGTGAGGTCCAAGTACGCGCCCGCCATTTCCTGCGCAAAGGTATCCACGGACGTACGGTGAGACTCCAGACTGTTTGGCACCAGAACATCTGCGGTGCTGTGTGGGACGTGGTCAGGAGCTAGCTGGAACAACCAATCGTTCTCTTCGACCTCGTGTGGGCCAATGTCGCCCCCAAGACCCTCGTGAACAGAATGACTGGCAGGAAGGTCATCAGACTCATCATCCCGGTCATCTCTCGCAAGAGCATTACGGCGAGCTTTGGCTGCATTCTGATCTGCAAGCCGCTGACCATGCACACGTAGAATCTCGTCATCCCGTCTTGACGCAACCTGCCGTCCTTTACCTTTGTCCCTGGCTCTTTCCTTCCCCTTGCGAATGACAAAGGCTACTGCGGCCTGAGTGCCCTTCTCCGGGGAGCTGAACTGCTCGATCGAGCTGAGTGGCTCCTCAGGCTCGGGCTCCTCGACTTGCAGGTATGGGCGAAAGACAGAAGGAGATGGTTGAGGAACCGGCCGTAGTACTTTCGCGGGCTTTCGACCAATGACCTCCTCCTCTCCCGGTTTCTCGATCACAGGTGAGATATGTCGAGCGGAAAGGGGTCGATCGGATGAAGGGCGGCGAGGGGATTGTGTTTCAGGAACGAATTGGTTCTTGCTATAGTCATCCCGCGCATTGTCTGCGTCGAGCACATCGAAATCATTCTGCCAGTGGTTGAGGTTGAGATCTCCACTTAGACACCCATTGTTGGGTTCACTCGCCTGATTTTCAACATGTACATTCATCGCTTCCTCCCATTCCAGACTATCAGCGACAGGAACTAAATCTGCACTGTGCATCGCTGCTGAGCTCGAGGCCTTAGCCTTCCGCCTGACACCTCGAGGTGGACCAATCTTAGTGACGGGAGATGCATCGACACCAGATTCCATGGCAGAACTCGAGGACTTCTTTTTTGTGCGAACACCCCGAGGAGGGCCGGTTTTGAAGATTGGTACTGCAGGAGGCGATCCTTCAGAATGTTCACTGCTCCCAGAATCCTCTCGCTTCCTCTTCTTCCCCGGTATCGCTGTGCTAGCAAACGTCCTCTTGTTGGTGGAAACTGGAGGTGGGGGGACTACTATCTCGACCTGCACCCTGCGTTTCTTCCTCGGTGGTTTAATTTCAGCAAGATCCGAGACATTCCCATCCTGCACCGTGTTAAGAGTCTTACTGCGAGGTCTAAGTCCGCCTGTGGTAACCTCATGATCCACAAGTCGTGACCTTGAAGAGCTCGCCCACGCGTTCGGTAGCGTCTGGCGACGGCTTGTGGACGCTCTCGCCAACGCGTCAGACTGTCTTGTCGTCCTTGACGAGGACACGGATGAACGAGCCTTGCCTGAGACAACATTCGCTCAACTGAGACCCGCAGTGACTCAGACGTAAATCTCGTAGACTCACTCTTCCTCTTCTCCGCCCGCTTCTTCTTCCTAGCTTGCTTAACCTTCCACTCATATATCAAATTATCCGTGCAGTCGTGCTTTCCCACCCAGCTTGGGGCCCACGGCTTGCCCGTCTGAGGGTCGACGCCGTCCCATCTGACCTTGTACTGATTGCCGCGCTCAGCGAGGATCTCTATCGCGTCATAGAGCTGCTCGTCGTCATTCTCTTGAGGGATGAACTGGGTCTCATACTGTGGAATTTCGAGAGATGTGGCACTAGCAGAATCTGAGTCCATGGCGAACACGGTTGTTCGGAGACAAGGGGATGCTTCGTGTTTGTGGCCAAGTGGTAAGAGCCACATTGATCGGCGCGATCGAACGGGTGCTTGGTTCCAGCGCTAAAGCAGAGACTGCTCGCATGTATTATTCCAATGATCCCAATGATCAACGTTAACGTTCAACGTTCAACGTTCAACATCGATATGTTAATTATGATACAGCTCAGAAGAGTCCACCAAGCACAAAAACATTCATGAGACATAGATACACCTCGCAGCGAAATGCTATAGATTAAGAGTACCATTGCTATCGCAGAATCAACTTTGATCCCGAGCCCGTCCTGCTCAGTCCCTCCGTGCCGAACAGGTTCAACGCCCTCGAATTCGGTGCCGATCCATGTCGCGTGAGGGCGCGATTGCCATAGCGTCCCATGCGTAGATGCGCGTGTCGCAACTCCTCGTCGATCCGCCACATGCCCTTGACAAACGCCTCGCGATCGAGCGTTCCCGTGCCTGACGGGTCGCAGTCCGCCCTGTGCATAATGTTAAGCCTCAAAATGTGTTTGACTATGAGCACATACCATATCGTCCGAAGTCTCTCTTTCTGTAATCTCGATAGCGACCATATTCGCCTCACAGTCTCCCCTGCAAGCCACTCGTCTGAACCCACCTCTGATACGCCATGATCCTTCTCTGCAGTCGACAAATCCGGATTCGTGAGCAGATCGACCGAGAGCCCGCGCCAGCCAGCAGCCTTGCGGGTGTGCGCAACGCCCGGAGGGGGGGACTTGGTATTCTCTCTCGACACTGCTCGCTGCGCCAATATGTTTCGATCAAACAGCGCTTCGTAGCGTAGGCGGGCCGCGGGAGGGACGGGTGTGGGTCTGGAGAGCTGCGCAGGGACGGGTACAGGAGTGGACTTGGGCGTCGTGGTTGGTGTCGGCTTGATAGTGACATAGGAACTATTGATGGATGGGGTATGTGAAGTTGCAGAGGAGGCGGTGAGCATGGAGATGGACGATTGTTCTGATACGGCGGTGGACGTAGAGGATGTGCGCGAGGGCGGCGCACGGGAACGGATGGGAGGATGGACGGGAGGCGGAGGCGGTGAGGGCTTTGGTGTGCCTGTTGGACGAGAGAGGCTCGTCTCCGATGGGGGAGGTTTTCTCTTGAGTCGTTGTGGAAGCTTGGGCGGCTCGGAGGACGGGCGAGAGAGAGACATGTAGGTCTCCCAGTCGTGTGCGGGAGAAGGGCGGGCTGGGCTAATGCTCGACGTCGCGGAGAGGTTCTCAAAAGACTCGGTGAGACTGGTTGATGATGATGGGGAAGCACCGAGGTGCTGCGCGCTTGGTGGGTCGTTCGCGCCGTCTGAGAGGGAGACTGAATGGAAGGAGGATATTGAGGAGCCAGAGACATGCCCTTGTCCTTGGCCACCACAACGTGCTGAAGGGCTACGTGCGTTGTCGACGCTGAGCTGATCCCGCGGGGGTAACTTGGGTGGTGATGGAGCCGTAGGGCTGCGGGCCATAGAGGACGAGGCCGATTCAGAGGTCGTCACCGACTTGAGCGAAGCATATGATGGCTTGCGGGGAGGGAGGGGCGGTATTGGGCGCATGCTCGCAGTAGGCGGTGATGCCTCTAGGTTAATTAGCGGGCCGGGGGAACGCGCTGCGTCTGAGACGTGGCGTGGGGGTGGGCGGGAAGCGATGGCGATGGGCATCCCGGCCTTGCCATTCATGTTTACGTAGGCCTCGCGCGCAGGTGGGTACGGACCATCGTCGACGACCCAGTCTTTGAGGTCAATCAAGGAGGTCTTACGCCCGAGATTGGGCGGCGAGGGCGAGGGTGACGGACGGACGGCGTTGGGCTTGGGTGAAGGAGCGATGGGCGTGAAGCCGGTGACGGCGGGGGAGAGCGGGTCGTCGAGGAGGCTGGTGGAGGAGCGAAGAGCATAGTTGTTGGCGACTGTCTTTTGCTTGTCGTCGCTGGTGCCGGCGGTGGAGAGGGCCTCGAAGGCGTTGATCTTGGCCTGCAGCGCAGACGGCGGGGCCATCATCGACTTCGTCCAGATTAAAACACGCGTGTGGCGCGTCTGTGGACGCAAGCGCCCGCAACGATTGGCGCTTTTCATCGGGCGGCATAGTGGACCGGAGTTATGAGCGCGCGTCAGCGTCCGGCATCCTCGTCCTCCCCTCATCCTTTTCTCTCATTTTGCTCGACGTCGCCATGGCTCTCGTCAACGAGGAAGACACGCACATGCATCTGCGCTCGGCGACGGAAGGCTTTGACTACCTGTTTTCGAACGACCTCGCAAAGGCACGCGAGACGTTCGCCGAGGCTGACTCGCCGTTCCACCAGCTTGGCCTCGGTGTCTGCGCCTTCCTCGAAGCTGCACTTGGCATGGAGGTAAGCAGTGCATATAAGCAGCCTGTCCTCGCTCGTGAATACCGTTTGCTGCAGACAGCCCTGCTGGCAGAAGCAACACGCTGTCTCTCCGCCTCGGAAGCGGGCTCTAAGCGACAGCTCAAGGCGTTCAAGTCCGCGAAACCCAGCGCATTTTTCCCGCCCGGCACAGAATGGGAGCTGCTGCACTCCGATGCGGTCATCTTGCTGGGCCTCAACCACGCCCTCAGGTCAGTACTGTGAAAGTGTTTACGTGACATTGACCACGCCAACTTTTGGTTGTACACAGTGAATCATACATGGGATACCTCCAGTGCTTGTATGCGTTGAACAGGTTCAGACCAATTTCTCTCTCTTCTCTCATCTTTCCTGATGTGTCCATAGCGCTCATTCCAAGTTCTCAAAGTATGTCCATATGACCCCACTCGACAACGTTCCAGCTCCTCACCTCCGCCGACAGACTCTATAAGACCGTCTATCCTACCGGGCTCGACGACTTTGCCACTCCTGTCCCCTCTATGCCGTCGTCCCGCGCGCCCAGTGTGCGCTCCGCTGCGTCCTCCTCCCTTTCCGTCGTGACCAGTCACTTGACGACCGCTGCGCGCACAGCCCCGCCGACTCCTAAGCGGTCAGGATTTTTTAGCCGACTTACCGGTGGAGCCGTGGGTCATGCACCGTCTGCTCCACCAAGCTTGCCGTCGAGCCCGACGTCTTCCATGGGTAATGGGGGGCTGGCACCGAGAGTAGAGGAGGGATCAATGGACGAGCTCATCCTGTCAGGCACTGCGTTTGGTGCGTGGCTTATGCTGCGAGACTCTTACTTGTGTGTTAACATGGGACGTGGGACGTGTAGGATATGGGTGAGTATCCGCGAACGGTGCAGTGTGTACTTCTTCACAGCATGTCTTGCATATAGGTTATTCAACCTTGTATTCTCGTTGCTGCCCGCGAAGATCAGGTTAGTCGGTGTCCTGCAACTTAGAAGTGTGCGCTGACCAGTTCCAGGGGCGTAGTCGGTTTCCTCGGCTTCAATCATGATCGACGACTGGCCCTCCGTGCACTCGCCGTGTCAGCTACACATACGGATGTGCACGGTATTTTTGCAGGGTACGTCCCTTTGAAGCTATGTCGTACCGTGGATTGACGGCGTCCCTGCAGGTTGGCACTTATGACCTACCATGGGGTCGTGCTGCTCTTGTCCGGCTACCAAGCAGACGAGCAGCACATTCTACGGCAGTATCGTGCGATCGTCGACAAGTCAGTACCATCTTCCATCAGTAGTGCCATAACGTTCTGACAAGAAAACGTTACATCAGGATCTCCACACGGTATCCGGCTGGCTCACTGTGGATATTGAACCGCGTATGTCCCTGTCCTTCGTCTTCTTATAACTTCTGCGTACTGAATGATCAGTCTTCAATATAGGCGAAGATTCTGCGCATGTCGTATGACACGGAGGGTGCGATCAAGGTGCTGCAAGAAGGGCTCAAGCCCGAGCGGCCACACACGTTTGCACAAGCGGATGGGCTCGTGAGTACGCTTATTTTAGCTCCGGAAGGCCGGAGTGCCATGCACTTCGAGCCCATCCTCCTTGAATGCGTCCAAATTAGTCGTGTTGACAATAGTGCCTGCTGTAGCTCATCTTCGAGCTCGCATGGACGCTCCTGTCGCAGCGGCGCTACCAAGAAGCTGCAGACACGTTCATCGAGATGACGAGGATTAATAGCTGGAGCCATGGGACGTACTACTTCATCGCGGCGGGTAGGTGTTAATTTTGTTTAGAACATACGGCCTGCTCATAGGTGATTTGCCCCTTCAAGGCTGCTATGTCTCTCTGAAGAACTATATCAAAGCGACGGAGCTCTTAGAGGAGATACCGGCGCTGTTGGACAAGAAGAAGATTGGAGGGAAGGACTTGCCGACGGAGGTGTTCATCAAGAAGAAGCGTGAGCTCTACAGTCTTTATTAGAGCTTAAAGTGGATTGTTGGTTCTGACGATCATCATGTTCTGGAGTGGCGTTCTACAAGGAGAAACAAAAGCGACTAACTGGTTCGGAAGCGAACTATGTGCAGTGTATCAAGATCAGCCCTGCTGAAGGTGGGTAACAGCAATATCAATATCGCGTCATGCTAACAATCCGTTGCTATTTAGAGCTAGCCATTTGTCAGTGGATCCTGCATTTTTCGCAGTCCTAGTGTTGACACTGTATTGTTAGTCTGGAACACGCACGCACGCATCACACGGGAAGTCGCGCTCGAGCACATAGCTGAGCTGAGCGTCCTCACGCCGCACCCCACCATCGAGAGTCCGCTTATCACGCCTCCATCGCCGGCATCAGCGGCACCCTCTGCCCTCCCGACAGCGCCTGCCCCCGACCTCGACACGGCAGACGAGCTGGCAGTGCGTTCGCTTCTCCTTGGCATCGTTCATAGGACGGCCGGCCAGTTTGTCTCCGCACGAGCGTTCCTTTCGGACGCGCACGCTCGACACGTGTCGATCAAGGTAAGTACATGGGTAGGCGGCGTCGCGCTGTTCGAGCTGGCGGTGCTCGATTTGCGAGAGGCGCAGGCGCGTCTCGAAGGTGTGCCTGGGATAGACGGGGTGTCGCAAGATAGCAGCGAGACGGTCTCGGAGAGCGAGAAGCGGGGGGCATGGAAGAAGGCCTTGCGCGAGGCAGAGAGCAAACTAGACAAGGCACTCGCGCTCGCGACGCAGCAGGTGGATTTGTCTTCGAGGCTAGATAGTCGTATCGCGATGTTGCGCGACGAGATTGTGATGAAGCGGGAGATGCTTGCAGGGACTGCGTAACTAGAGGGACAGCGAGGACATGGACGTTTATTTCACTGGACGCGTTTTGGCGGACGGCATTTAGGTACAACGTAATACACAATGATTTGTATAGAGCAATATCTATTGACATGCGTTGCGGCATACATAGACGCCGATCAGGATCAAGGATCACTATTAGTCGACTGTTATTGATTGCGTTTACTCCACGCGTACGCAGCACCTGCTGCATGCCCAGCGTGCTCATACTCAAATGACGCCGCAACTGCGCCCTCCGTCTTATATCTCACATTGACTCTAGCAACCAAGTAATGCTTGGTACGTCCGGACGACGTATTTGAAAGTTTGAATGGCGCTCACCATCGACCATCCGCACAGTCGTAGGCCTCACCGGCGGGATCGCCACTGGCAAGTCGACCGTCTCGACCCTCCTGCGCGCACAGAACATCCCAATCATCGATGCCGACGTCCTCGCGCGCCAGGTGGTCGCCCCAGGCACCCCCGCGCTCAAGCAGATCGTCGAGCACTTTGGGCCGGACGTCCTCCGTCCGGACGGCTCGCTCGACCGTCCAAAGCTCGGCGCGATCGTGTTCGCGGACGAGCAGCAGCGCGAGAAGTTGAATGCGATCGTGCACCCTGCGGTGCAGCGTGCGATGTTCTGGGGCGTGATGAAGTGCTGGTTGAGGGGGGAGAAGGTGTGTGTGCTCGATGTGCCGCTCTTGATTGAGGGCGGGCTGTGGAGGTTCGTCGGGACGGTTGTCGTTGTTTATTGGTGCGTGTCAATCAAATACGTTCTGTATCATTATTGAAAGCCATCTGTGCAGCTCGCCCGAGATTCAGCTGCACCGGTTGATGGCACGCGACCACTCTACGCGCGAGAGAGCCTCATCGAGGTTCAACTCACAGCTCCCCATCGCAGACAAGGTCGACTACGCCGACGTCGTCATAGACAATTCCGGCGATTTGCGTGACCTCGAGGAGCAGGTCGACTTGCTCATCAAGAAACTGTACAGACAGGCGGGCTACTGGTATCTGTTCAGCTGGCTCATACCACCCATTGGCTTGTGCTCCGCGGCATGGACTCTGTTGTGGAAGTCGATTGCGCGGTCAAGACGGAGTACATTGAGGAGGAGACATGCAGTGGCGGAGTAACGTTATGACATTCGTCGCTTGTACTATATCCAGATCGTCTCGTTTTCTTGTCATATTGCCATTTATCCGGTGTATGAAGTGCATGAACACTTGAGGATCTACCATAATGATAGCGGGTGTTTGGAGTCATATGCAGTTTCTCAGATATATTCCTGGCATTCAACTGAAATCCTGACTAGGCATCGCGATGCTCACTACTTCAAAGACGACAGTGGAAGGGGAAGGGTGGTTTCATGGTTCCACCCAAGCATTACAAGGAGGAGGGAGGTTGCTACGACTACGACACGGCAAAACTGCATCCGCTCTGGTGAATGGATCATAACGACATCAACGTACAGACTCCAAGAACGTCCGTCGAAAACGGCACTCAGCGCCCCACAGCACCTGCCGTTTGCCCTCGTCGTCCCCTTCCACCGCCTCTCCTTCCATATCCGCCCCAACCACCTACATATGCACCCGGACCCATGAGGCCCACACCTCCAGGCTCGCCAAAAGTTGCAACGTTCCTCTCCCGCTCTTCTTCCCTTCGGTTCCTTCCTCCTCCCCGCCTTCCGCCTCCGCCTCTACCACCACGCGCGTCGCCCGATACGATGTTGCTTCCCGACGAAAGCGAGTCGAAGAATGACTTCGTCGGATCGTATGCCGTGTCCTTTTCTTCCTTTTCCTCTTTGTCTTCCTCACTGCCTTCTTCACCGTCAGTTTTAGGCGTACCCCGGGGTGAAAGCGCCGCCTTGTCGAAGCGTGCGTTCGAGCTCTGAAAGTCAAAGTCCGTCGTAGGTACCCGCAGGTCGCTCGCCTTGGGCTCCTGCCCACGACCGCGCCGACCGCCCGAGCGCGGGACGGTGTTATTGTTTGTAGAAGCGTGAGACACGCGCAAATCACCCAAGGCACGCTCTACTGTCTCCAATGAGGCAGTAGCAGAATGTACTGAAGCATTCCGCCCATTATGGCTGGCAGTTGCAGACCTAACGGGAGTTGACGCTTGTTGTATCGGTTGCGTGGCAGGTGAAGCCCCGCGTTGCTGTGCTGTAGGAGACTGGCCGGGTTGCTGTCGTGGAGGATACGGCTGCTGGCGGGAAGCTTGGGCAGGCGGAGCAGGCTGTTGTTGTGGAGGAACCTGTGAAGCAGGCGGTTGAGGTTGAAATGGTTGCTGATACTGTGGATATGCAGGGGTATTCATCATAGGCGCCGATGCCTGTGCGAGAAGTTAGCAATGTTTCACGTCGTAGGTTGATCGAAAGATACGAAAGGTCAGAAGGAAGGCAACGGGGTATCCACATGATTTTTATGCGCTCTCGGGCTTACGAGCATATGCTCGTTTACATCCGTCAATGGTTTCATCACCAAGCTAGCGAAAAGAATCGGTGAAGGTGAACTCACCCCAAGAACAGCTGGATCATCGTGAACATTTCGTCGCGGCGGTGGCGGTGCAGGCTCGTCGACCGCCAGATCTTTGACCTCTGATGCACGGAAGATGATATAGGTGTAGGGTTCTTGCACAGGCGGGATGAACTGATCTGGAGGTCTACGAAAGATGACACGTCAGCTGCCTGCAATGGACGATGTCGAATCGGAGAGATGAAAGGAGCCAGAAGACAATCAATGGAAAATCCACATAATTTCATGCGCTTCCGGGCGAGCGAGCAGTGCTCTTTTACATTCGCGGTGCTTCTTTTCGCAGGTATGGTAGCATGGAAGAGATGCTCACCGTCGAGACTCTGTCCCCATGGAGTACACTAAAAATGTACCTCTCAATCACCGTCGCCGCAGCAGCCGCGATGTGAGCTCACCACTGGACAGTTGGATGGTGGACGCTGCGGGGTCGATGCCCGCGAGGATCCCTCTGTATCGTACATCTGAGTGAGAAATGAGAGAAATGGGCTTTCTGTGCCGTCCAGAGTCAGTGTCTGCGTCGCACTTCGCGAGCGTGGTGAGCGAACCCGATGAAACTGGCGGCCATGCCTGGGAGAGAAGGGAGCGGGTGGATGTTCAAATTCAAAATTGCAGTCGCGTCGATGCGTGGTGAGAGTCCTGCAAAGCGCGGGTCTTGCCGGATGCCACGCGGCAGCATCAGCACGTGCAGGGCAAGGCGAGTAGGTGTGGCGGAGAATTAGTTGGGCGCATCACGGTCGCCCTGCCGCTCGAATGTCGCCCGAACGCTAGGACAGTCCGGGACACGCTCTGCTCAGCGTTACCTCCTCCCTCTCGTTTGCATATCTGCCAGCCAATGTCCCAGGCAAGACTGTAAGTTGAAGTTTTCTGAGATCAACGAGCCGCTCACTGGTAACTACCGCTCCAGAACCCTACGGCCACCGCCGAACATTGAATTCGTGCAGGGTATGTTTCTGATCTGCAGAAGTCACGACGTGTTTGCTGATGTTCCGATTGCACACCAGGCTTCCCGGGGATCCCACCTGGCGCACCTGACCGTCCGCAGGCAGCTGTCAAGGGGGTGAGTATGTTATCTTCGTTAGGAATGCTCTTGGGATTTCGAGCGGAGTTCATACGGGGAGGAGTGCAAGAGATCTCGGGTGATGTGGTCCTCGACATGTCGTAAAGTATGCAAGCGCAGAGAGCTGACCATGGATTTATGTCCGATGCTCGAGCATTCGCTCTGCATGTCCAGTTGAATGCTCCATATCGATGGATCATACAGTGCACGGCGCGAGCCCTTCCGTAGAAAGTCATGAAGGGAGATCAACAGAAGCAGCAACATGGGGATTGTTGTCACGTAAACTGGACGCACCCAATGACGGACTATGAGAACTATGGAGTCATGTCCGAATCTCGTCGCCAATCGCCTACTTCTTTTACTTCGGATCGCTCAGACGCTAATCCGAACGCGAATTGTAGGCAATCGAGGTGCGCGTTGCAGCTGAAGGGGTCAAGGCCAAGTGGGTCCGAATAGAGCTCAGGAAGATTGAGACTCTTCCAGGCGGTGGCGTCGCTAACACCTTCTTCGATTTTGTTGGCCAAAGCCCTATCAACGTATGGCAAGCAAGAGAAGAGTATGGGGTCCTGCATGCTGTGAGTGGCGCTGATTTGTTTGTCGACTGCCACTTTGAACACAGACCTTGCGTTACAGCAAGATTTTCCCTTCTACATTCGTATCCCGGAGTCAATTCCTCCCAGTATTTCCTTGGAGAAAGGCGGTACGTAGAGTTACCTACACCTCACGGCGTACACGCTTACAACTCTGTAGCAGGTATCAAGTATGAGCTCATTGCCAGCGTCTGCATCAAAGGGAAAAAGTAAGCAAATTCCTCGGTGCCTTCGCCGCCGTTCTGACTTCACTTTCCAGGGGACTTCTTCGCCGGGACAAGCCTACCATCACCGCCACTTCCACCCCGGTCATGATTGACAAGCACGAGTTGCACTCGACATGGCCGGTGTACCAGCAGCCCGAGACGCGTAGCCACACAGAAGGTGGAGTGACGCTCACAGTCGACCGCTCGCGCACCTGCTATGGCCCAGGCGACCGCGTCGAGGTCTCGGCAGCAGTGAAGACGGAGGCGCTGCACACGGGCATTCTGCGCGGCTATGAGTTTACTTTGCGTGAGACTACCGTCTTCCGTGGGAGTACGCACTCGAAGAAGGGTGCGCCTATTGTGAAGAACGTCCACATTGGCGAGCAGAAAGTACCGGTGAACGTTACGCTCTACGGCGGGACGCAGCACAAAGCGTCACTCGTTGTCACGATACCCCCTAATCATGCGTCTGCCACGCTGACTGCGGCACGACATATTGATATCACATATACCCTATCTGTGAAGGCGCTCATGGGCACCGGCAAGCATGTTACGCTTGAATTACCTGTTATTGTCTCAAATTGGCCGAGGTTCGTCTGGATCATTAAAAGAATGTAGGATGATTCTGATATTTGGTGATGCTGTTAGGGCTGTGTCTCTAGAGGCTATGAGGTATGAATTCAATTTGATACTGCGCTTCACTGTTGATGATTATTGTGCTGCAGGCGCATCGGCATGGCTCCCAATGTCTGTCTACCGGGCCAGGGAGGGACAGGGCACACCCATCCTCCTCCGGCATCCAGCTCGGCAGGTTCCACAACGGAATCAAAGCCTATCTCGTCCCCCATTCCCAAGGTCGCCTCGATGACGTTTGCGCGACCGTCCACCGCGTCAACGCATCCTTACGCTACCGCCGACTCAGACACCACGATCAGTCGTCCGTCTGCGGGTCAATTCAATACTGTCCCCGTTGAGAAGGCGAACGGCAGCTCGGCTGCGAGCAAGCCGGACGAGTTTGGCGTTACCCGCGCAGCAGAGCAGCCCAAGGGTGGTGGTTCCGACCGAACGTCGAGTGTCGCCTCTACCGAGCGCTCTAGCCAGTACGCCGCACAGACCATTGGAGGCGTTCCAGGTCATTCAGGCGGGAATGGACGCATTGCACCGTATGCGAGTGAGACGACGGCGTTCGCTCGTCAGCGGGCTTCGACAGGACGGTCACAGGCACGGCTGACCATTGCGAACCTGAACGACAATGAGGTCGAGGAGCACGCAAAGGCGCAGAGAGCCCACTCGGCGACGGTGCAAAACACATCCCGCTCGAAGTGGATGACGGCAGAGGATGAGAAGAAGCGCCTGTACGAGACGGCTGTCGCTAAAGTCGAACGTGTCCAGGGTGCTGTCGCCCGCGCCCGCAGTCCCGATGATGTACGTCCTATCCTCTCCGCTGTCTATCAAGGCTGATCCATTTGCATACAGCATGCTCAAGTCATTGCTCCCTCGGACGCTCGGACAGTGACTCCAGCTGCAGATACGAAGCCATCGACAAAGGCCAATGGATGGTCAACTGCGGAGGAAGAGAAAGCTAGGTTGTTCTACGAAGCTCAAGCTGCCGTCGCCAGAACGCAAGGACCGGATGGTTCAATGGCTGGCTCACCACCTCCTTCGTTGCATGGCAGAAGCCAATCACTCACGACTTCACCACCAGCAATTCGGCCATCTCATAGTACCATAGCCCAGGCTGCAAGTGGGCAATCAAGTCAATTACAGACTCCAAGGCCCACGAAGCGGCCGTCCACATCACAATTACCATCTGCCGAGGAAGAGAAGGCTGTCCTTAGGCGATACTACGAGGCGAAGGCTGCCGTCGAGCGCACGCATGCAATTAACCATGGTGCTGCTCCTGCAACTTCTCCGCCTACGTCCGTTGTACCCAATGATACATACCATGCCCAAACTACCACAAGTCCTGGACATGCTTTGACGCCGAACGGTGTTATTCCCCCCTTCGTTGTTGCCTCGCCCCAGCCGATATACCCGTCCGAGAAAGAACAGCTGCGTGCCATATTCGAAGCACGCGATGCCGCAGCGATGGCAGGCAGCCCGCCGCCGCCGATCATGCCGAGTGTCAGTGCACTGGGGCCTCCATCGTTCGTTTCCCCGAGCATCAATGCAACCGAAGCAAGCTCACCGCCATTTGCATCTACCTCCACTCTATTGTCCGGCGTGGCAGCTGAGAAAGAGGTGCTTCGCAGACGGTTTGAGGCACAAGATGCTGCTGCTCTTATTGCTGCTGGCCCTCCGGCACCGCCACCACGCATACACCGCACTCCTTCTTCTCCTGTCTCCCGTCCTATCCCCGTGCCACCACGGTCTCCCTTCCTTACCCCTGGTAGTCCAGGTGGCATGAGACCGCTCACTGCTGCAGAAGAGAAAGCAAGGCTGAATGCGCAATACGAGGCCGAAGAACACGCGGCGCAATCCCAGCTTAACGGCAACACTATGTCTCCTCCGGCGCCTATGACTCTACGGTCGATGAACAGCTTCCGTCCAGAGGAGTCCGAATTTCCACGAGAGTCAGAGGTTCCGTCGGCGCCACCCCCTCTCGCACCGCGTCCTCCAAAAGAGTACATTTTGGAGACACAGGAGGAAGACAAGCGTACTTACGCACGACTAGAAGCCATTGACAAGGAGATATCTACGTTCTCCGTTCCCCGCAAGACAGAACTTATTCTGTCGTCCTTCAGTGCAGATTTAGTTGATTCGGAAGGAAATCCTCTACCTACACCAGGCCCGCCCCCACCAATTGCTCCGTCTACCATCATCACTTCCTCTGCACCTCCATGAAAGATAGAGTAACAGGAAGTGCATAATGCGCCCGTGTATCAGCATTATTTTCTGCCCTGCTCAGTAGTCATAGGATACACTTGGGCGTTGACACTACTAGTACAGGTCTAATTACATACGGATATATTTATCGCTTGCGCTTGGTCTTCCGGCTGTCCGCAGAAGAATCGTGTGGAGTAGCAGGGGTTAAGGACTGGCCGGCGTCATCTGCCTTCCGCTTTTGCGGTAGAGAACGGGCGTCGGAGTTGTTTGTTTGCATGGAAGCAGTGTCAAAGACCTCGTCGGGGAAAGCAGTGAGCTGGTCCGTCGACGCATTTGCAACGGGAGTCCCGTCGATGCGTGTGGAGGGATCGAAGTGGTCAATTACGTCAGGATAACCCAGCTCTGCATTGGTGCTGTTCAGAAACGAATCCAGAAATAGGTCTGAAGAGGGATCTTCATAATGCCCGTCGAGGGTGGACGCAAGTGATGCATCGGGATGCAACACGCCCGGTTGGATTCCGTTCGGCACGGGGGTTGTGTAAGCTCCACTTGGCTGCCCATGACCATTGACTACTCCGTTCGCCGATGATCCCATGCGATTGTCATGCGACTGCGCCGTGAGAGCCTGCGGATCCATTCCCAAATCATGAATGAGACTTTGCAAGTTGTTTTGCAGCAAATCCATGTCCGCCTCGATCTCCATCGCGTCACGATACGTCCTCTGCAGGCGCGAAGCGTTGTCGAACGGCGGTTCCAGCGAAGATGCATCATCTCCGCCCGACATGGATGTGTTTAGCATGGGCAAAGAAGATTGTGGCACAGGTGCGGAGACAGGCAGCTCAGGGCGCAAGCGGTTGTAGTCGGCATAGGTCGGATTGTAGTGTGACAACTGGGTCATGCCATCCTGATGGACGACGTGCCCGGGGTCGGCCTGAGGCGCCATGGGAAAGCTTGGCTGTGCAGCAAGCGCCTGTATGAGACACTGCATTTGTGCAGGGTTGCTCAGCACTTGTTGGACGGCTGCCTGCCACACATTCTCCGAGTGGCTCGAGGCACTCGCGTTTGCGGCGATCGAGCTCAAAGCGGACGGCGAGAGAGTAGTCTCGCCCGGAGACACGGTAGCGGCAGGAGCAGTGCGCGGAGGCGCTTCTGTCGCCGAACCGTGGTTAGAGTTGTTGCCTGTGCTTGTCCTTGATAATACCGCAGTGGGCCGCGTTGGACGCGCCGTATGGCTTGATGTGGCCGAGTTGGTAGCTGAGCTGACGGGCATCGGCGAAAGCGCCTCTGAGGGCGCAGAGGAAGGTGCAGAGGAAGGCGTCGACGACAGTGGGGGTGTTTCGACAGGAGCAATTTGGCCTGCGAGACGGTGGGGTTCGTACATTGTGCGTTGCAAAATGTCAAGTGGTAACTCACCAGCAAGGGGGATATCAGTACCCTCTCGCGGGTGCACTGTGTGAGCGACATTCCCGTCATCCTCGTCATCAGCGTCAACAATTTCCACGGTCTTTCCCTTGGACGACCTGCCGTCACTGATCATAAGCCTCTGTCGAGCGCGCGGGCCAACGCCTGGAGAGCGACCATCGTCGTTTTTGCCTAACGGTTCGGTGGTGTGTCCAAATACGCCAGCCAAGAATTTGAGAATACGATTGATAATGTCCTCCTGCTTATCATGTCTCTGACGAGTCAATGTCGCTTCCTCCCATAAGAGATCGTTCGACTTCTTCAGCGCAGCAAGATCGGCGGAGATAGCTTGCTGGTGACGCTTGATAGCGGCGATACCGTTGAGGATGGATTTGATATCCAGGCCCCGCGCGGCAGAGCCGCTGAGGGAGGTAGACGCGTTGCCGCCATCGAGATCAGCATCATCGGTATTGTTGTTGGAAGGCTGTTTCCGCTGTATCAAGCAAAGAAGGTCGGGCTGGCCGCGCTGGAAATGGGGGTGTTCGAAGTTCCACGACTCGGTATCGGTACCGCTCTTCAACACACCCTGCTGGAGATGCGGGACTTTGTGGAATCCGTACATATTAAGCTGGCGTACGAATGACGTAAACCTTTCATGTTTGAACCATCGCCCCAGGACCTCACGGGCAAGTCGTTCGTGGTTGAGAACTGGACACTAGCAGAGCATTATGGCAACTATAACAGAAATTGACCTCGCTCGCACGCACCATAGAACGAATCCCCGTTCTCTGACCAGCGGATCAGCTCCTCATTTTTGGGATCACTAACGATCCTGTGTGGCGTTGATGAGACCTCGCTCTATACCCGGGGAGGGATCACCCACTCGTAGAGTTTCTGAGGGAAAGGTGGGACAACCTGACGGGCCGCCTTGCTGAGATGGGATGGCTCCCCTTTCACAGGGCGTAATGTGACTTGCTGGTTGGGCAACATGGCAGAAGAAGACAAAGGAGGACGCAATACAAATACAGGAAGAACTCAAGTGTAAGCTGGGTGAGCGCGAGAAAGCCTGACTTCAGCCACCGTGTCGCGAATCGCTACCGACCAAACAGAGCTCAACCTAAATGTGGCAGGCTCGGAAAACATTCAGCCACAGAAATATAACCTCAGACTCTGCACTGCCTGCTCGACCACTCGGACCACACTGCGGCTCCCCCTTCCCACACCTTCATCCAGAAGATCAACCTTGACGTGGTTAGCGACTAGAAGTCGATGAGAGAGCCAACCTTCTGGCGCATCGTCGCCTCCCATTGACCACCCAGTACGACTCGAGACACAGCAGCGTCCTCGCAGCATGAGCTTCACCACCTACACAGCTGTGGTTTCGTCCACCTGCTCAGGCTCGTGTAGCCCGAAGATCTGGTACAGCAGGTGCACCTGCCCGAACGGGCGCTCACTTCCTAGTAATGTTGCCGCCGCCTCGTATCTGTTCTCCGGCCTCCGAACCTCCTCGCATAGACGTCGGTACGCTCCCGCCAGCCGCTGCAGTGCTGCCTGGTGCACGCGCGCCGCGAGACTCTGCACCGTCAGCTGAGCCAGCCGCGGAGATTCCACGACTCCCGGTCCGGAAAGCCAGTCTGAGAAGCGACGCAGCGCAGCTTGGACTCGTGCAGGTTGAGCGGCAGGTATGTGTGATAGAGGCTCCTGTGATATGCGCGACATCATGAATGCACTGCCCTTGCTATGTCGGTGAGAAACCTACGCTCGGCTGACGACTATCGATTGCGACGAGCACTTCTTCCAGTCCGGCGTTCCGGAGAATGTTCTTGTACTATTAGTATTGACAAAGCATTAGTTGGAAACGTGTCATGACGCAAGTAGACCACACACGTGTTCCTCCGTCAGTTGCAATACTTTCGCTTCCACCAAACCTTGTATGACACCTTGCTTTTGGAATGTGAACGCGAATGGCTCGATGACGCTCTGCAGGTATGTGAGGGTGTTGAGGACGAACACCGTCTTGTCCCATTCAGGTTGAAGCTTCTGCTTCTTTTCGGCGGATGTGAGGCAAGTCTCGATCGCCGGATCAACCATCTTGTCGAGGATGTCGCGGAAGCCTGCATGCAATTGTTCCTCCGTCTCGTCACCAAGTAACGACGAGTCGTATACTAGCATGACTTCACGCAGCACCTGTGCGTGGTCAAGAATGACTAGCGGTGGGGAGACGCTTCGGTCATCGAGATCCTAAGAATTCTCTGCTTAGCGATCTTCGCGAAATCGATCAATAGGAGTGTGACATACAGGCGGTACGCGCAGCAGCGAACGACCTTGCGCGTTGATAGAACCGATGAACACCTGATACGCCATGTCCGTCATCCTGTGTCACTGCGGAATCAGTACATGTCGCATTATGCAATCCCCATCAGCTCACGCACTGTTTCAATGCCTTGAAAAGCACTGCATCTCCACCAACCGTGCGCTGCATCGTCAACGTGTAGAATTGCAGCAGATTCGCGATCTTGTATGACGTGATGCTGCTCTCCTGTGACCGCACTGTCTGCTGCACCCTGTTCTAGAAGCATCAAATCAGCCTGCGTGAAACCTACGTTGCCCGAAAAGCTGCACCGACCTGCAAAGGCGTGCAGAGTTTTGCCACAGCGGCATCCATCAGCTCACCCATCCATTCTTCTTCTTCACTCTGGGAGAACGTCCGCACGCTTCCGACCATGCGGCCGTCCCCTTTCACACCAAAGAGCCCCTCCAAGAACTCTCGCTCCGCGGCAATCGCCTGATGTACCCAAGCTAGCATATCCCCCATATATCGCAGCGGGTCGTGCGCGTGCAGTTCAATCGGTCGAGGCAATCCGCCGGGACCTCCGCGCGTGAGTGCCTCGGTGAACACAGTCAGCAACGTCGCTTGACGTGTTTGAGACAGATAAGTAAGCGCCTCGCTAGGCACAAAGAAGTGAATACACGTTCGGAAGGTTTGGCGAATAAATAGGCCACATACGTCAGTAGCTCGGGGCGATGTCGTAGCCTCCGCACGGCTTCGCACATAGAAGGGCTGACTTCCAGCTGAGCGTCCCGACCCATCTGCCGGAACTCAAAGCAGCACCAGCGGAAGATCTTCTGGTGTGCTTGCTCCAGGTATCCAGATGTTGCAGACAGTATGTCCAGTCTATTGTCCAGGAGGTTGGTCAAAGTATGAAGGCAAGCCTGTAGTAAGAAATACCTACCCGGCTTTCGTCGGACCATCCTCGCCAGTCATCAAGACGCGACAGTCGTCTCTGATCCTCTGCGTCTTATCCATGGCAGCGAAAAACCGTTGATCGACAGGTACGTCCCGCGAGGTGATGGCTTCTTTTTCGTCCTCGCTGAGGGTGAACTTCGACAGAAACAAGGAGACTATGGACTGTCGGGTAGTTATCACTTGCCTGGTTGAAGTATGTAAATTCACTGTCGTCGTAGACAGTGGGCCCCGCTCACCTCTCATCTCGCAGACTGCCTGCTCGATCTAAAAGAGACTTGCATGCTTCGTTCGTTTCTTCCAGCTGCACCTGCGCCTCATCACACCTCATGCGCATGGCAGCAAGATGGCCGTGCAAAGTATCGAGTTGCTGTATGGTCGGTGAAAGTGCATGAGCGTACAAGTCAGGATCCAGCGGAAAAGCCTGCCATATGTTCATTGGGGGGAGTTCCCAGAGACAGCGAATGTAAGGCCGGTGAATGCACGCTATTATCGTACCAGACAACCAACATTCCAGAAACTGCGTAGAATGCAGTCGGCCTGAGAACGCTTCCCCATCAACCAAGGCGAACCTAGCAGACGGCTCCGCCCGGCAACGAGGCGTACTCGGCAGACACGCCATGCAGAGAGGAAGGGCAAATTGACACAGAAGGGCTCGGATCTGTGACGCGAAGTACGCGCACAGGGGCTCATGGCCTGGCCCAGAGAGCGGAAACGGATAATTACCTTGTCAACCTCTCCAAATGCCAGCAGGAACTTACGACTGGACTCAGCAAGCTTGTTCTCCACGTCCCGGCGGAGGTTCCTCCGCGCGCGGGCAGCAATGTCCCCAGAAACGTCGTCAGCAGCAACCACACCGCTGGCAGCGAGCTTCCCTGATATTCGAGATGCGTCGGTCTCATCCAGGCCGTCTTGATCTATGCTCTTGTCATCTCGAACCACGCTCTTGCCTTTCGCATGTACGGACGCGCTGGGCGGTGGCGCATACAGCTCCGAGAGCACGTGCAGGGCCTCCTTGGTGGCCTCATCATCAAAATTTGCACCGAGAACCTTGTATAGACGTAGAGAAATTGGGTTATGAGGTTGCGAGGGAGAGGCGAGAGACGGTCTGGAGGGAGAGGGGGAGAGAGAGACAGCACTCATGGTGACTGCCGAATAAGCGCCCATCCCAACGCGTCTTGCCCGGTCGCGATCGGTGATTCGGACGCGTCGGTTTGCATGCGTTCGCCCCCCTTTCCCTTTGCAACTCTCCGCACTGGCGTCGTCCTGTCGGCAGCCTTGACTACTTGAAGTTAAAGAGCATCATCCCGTACGACTACAGAACGCAGCCATCATCATGTCTCGAGCTGCCGCCAGGCTTTCCTTTCTCCCCGCCCGCTGCCTGCGCAACCGATCTGCGGTGAGAGGCTCCTCGAGGGCATATACAACCACGGCAGAGCTGCCTCGACCGCCTCCCAAGGATTCCCCGGAGGCGGAGGTCTTCGCGGCGCCATCCAAGCCCCGTCCCTACAAGCGGCCACAGAGAGACTTACCTCCTCTCCAGGTATGCTGCTTTCACATCGGAACTCCGCGTAGACTTGGCTGATTCCCCGAATCCCATAAAGAGGCGGTGGCCCATCATCCTCGCGTTCAGCACCGTCGGCGTCGCCTCCTGGGGCGCGTTCCTCGCATGGAGCCATAACCAGGAGAGGCTTCATAGCTCAATCGTCCGGCAGATACTGGAGAACCTGCGTGACAGTCCTGAGCTGAACGCGGTGCTGGGCGACGCGATCCGCCCCGAGCCCATCTGGTGGCTGAACGGCGACCCCTGGATCAACGGTTCGGTGAGTCCCCTGTGAGCGTACCGGGATGCATGAGCCGTGGTGATAGCGGCTCCGACAGGTCCATATGATGCAGGGCAACATTGATGTGAGCTTCAGGATCAAGGGCCACAAGGGTATGTGTGCTTTAATCCCTATATGACGAAGTTACTCACCCTTATGCAGGCTCAGGAACACTATATTTCACAAGCATACGTAAAGCCAAAGGCGAACCATTCACCATCAGTGCGTAGTGCCCACTTGTCCTTATGCTTCCGGGTCTCAACTCCGTGCAGTTCGTTATAAGGTCATAGCCGACGATGGCACTGAGGTTGACATTCCGTCACAATCACACTAAGCTTACAGGTACCATACTTCCGATAGAAGTTTAATGACTGATGGACATAGAATACCACCCCAATGTAGACCTTCCGCCATGACATTCGGAGGCCTCAGCGAGTAGCGACAGTCAGATCGGACTTTTAACAAGCAGTCTGCTTCATACGCGTCATGTCGCCCACGAAAAATCATCCACGGCTTCGCGTCGCGGACGGTGAAGTAATGTCACGCTACACTAGCACAGGCCATCTAATACTGTACTGTACGGCCATCCGTCAAAACACTATAAGAATCGAATCACGCTCAAACTCTTACGCATCAACGGGAGCTCAGAACCGGTGCCCCTGCAGTGACGTCAGTTTCGTATCCCTCAGAGCGAGGACTCGAAACGACCCACCTCCTCACGCTCCCGACCACGCAGGAAAGGCGGCTCATGGCCCTCGGCATAGACAGAAGCCCAGAGGTCCGAATCGGGAGGGAAGGGCGCCTTCTTGGCTTCCTCAACAGCAGCATCAACCTCTGCTTTCGCGTCCTTGTCGAGTTTCTATGGCACAATGCGTTAGTGAGATGCGTGAGTATATAAGTAGAGCGCGGCGTGCCTTCAGACCCTCCTCAGTCGCCAGACCCCAGTCCGCCAGATAGCTCTGCAGGCCACGGATAGGGTCGTTTGTACTGCGTACGCGCTGGATTTCCTCACGCGTACGATAACTCGTTCCAGGGTCGGACATCCTGAACATTAACGATCCATCATTTGGGTTGTGAGAGATAGTGAGGGCGCGACGTACGAGTGACCGCCGTAGCGATACGTGACGAATTCAAGTATTATAGGGCCCTTTCCATCCAGAACCCACTGCTTGGTGTGCTCCACAGCCTTCACGACCGCGAGGACGTCCATACCATTCGCCTAGATACAGGGTTTAGTACTGGTCTAGAGTGCTGCAAGGAATACGTTACCTGAATGCCTGGGATCTGGTCACCACGAGTATAATACTGAGTGTTGGACGAGCTCCGCTCCGCCGAGGTACCCATCCCGTACTTGTTGTTCTCGCAGACGAACACGCATGGCAGGTTCCATAGCTTGGCCTATCATCACATATTTGTATGGCATAGTGAGCTTTAGGTTGGATTGTGAGTAACGACAAACGCACCATGTTGAAAGCCTCGAACACCTGTCCCTGGTTACTCGCGCCATCGCCATACATCGTGTACGTCGCGATTGGCTTTTCCAGGTACTTCGCTGCGAATGCGAGGCCAGCACCAAGCGGGACTTGCGCGCCAACGATACCGTGCCCGCCCTGGAAGGACTCCGTAAAGACGTGCATGGAGCCACCCTTGCCCTTCGAGATACCGGTTTTGCGGCCGAGAAGCTCGCTGATGAGCGCAAAGACGCTCCCACCGCGCAAGACGGCGAACGGATGTGTGCGATAGGCCGAGATGATGTTGTCCTGGGGCGTCAGCACGTGCGTCATGCCGACCGAGACAGCTTCCTGATTGCAGGTAGCCGCCAGACACGCGTCAGAATGCGCGCGACGGGGGAGCTATGCGGGCTGCGCACCTGTCCGATTGCGAGATGACAGAAACCGCGGATGAGCTTCTGCTTGTAGAGGGCGTCCGCGGCTTGCTCCATACGGCGCATGGTGCTCATGAGCTTGTACATTTTGAGGAGGCCATCCTTGGTCACCTCGAGATCACGCGTCGGGGGGTCGGTCTTGAACCCATGGAAGGACTCCTCGTGAAGCGTGACCATGAAGGGCTCGGAGTGCGACGCCTCCTCCTTCAACTGCGTCGTGTCCGCTGCCGTCTGGAGCGCGCGGACTAGAGGCTATGTAACGCGGACAGTGAGTCTGGGAAGAGTAAGAGACGACGTCCGGCATCCCTTACAGTTTTGCGAGTGCGAGGAAGGCTAGCGCGTAACCGGGCGAGGGAGGCCATGGTGGATAGAGAAAAGATGAGCAAGCGCGTCGCTGGCGATGGGGATGGGCATTCATGAGGGACGCGGGCCGGCTCGTCACGCCACTTGCTGGTCAGTCCACACATGCTTCATCATGCATTGGAATTCACACATCGCTGAGAACGATGAGCAAGCATTCTTTGGACCTCAGTCGTTCTGTTCTAATCTAGGGACAGCTAATATACAAGATCATGGTTTCCTGCTATTCACACTCATCTGCGTCATTTTAGTGAATAACAAATTATGCCTTCTGATCGCGCGCAAGAATGTCCTCGACCCGCTTGACCTTGCCTTCGTTGCCTGTGCCCGGCTCGATCTCCTTGTCGACTCGCGTGCCAATGCGAATGTCAGTCGCAATGCGCGGCGCGCCCTTCGCATGCACCGCGGCGTGACAATCATGAATGGCTTGCATAACGGCGGACCACGGGCCCTCTGGAACTCGCGTTAGCTCTGCATGAGACTCATCGACCCAGTGGACTTACCTATGTTGGTTCCGTAACCACTGAACAGTGATCAGTTAGATGGACTGTCGTGCCCTGCATGTTAAACGAAGCACGACTTACTGCATCTAAGAATTTCGCAGTACTTCTGAGGTAGTTTCTGCCAGCAGCTATGTAAGATACACACCTTGTGCTTTAATCCGGTCTTGTCAAGCACGCGAGCGCACTCCGCAACATACTCTGCGACCTATATAATGATGTTGTAATCAGCGGCACTGCAAATCTTAGATATTCACGTACGGATGGTTCTGCGGTGCCCATTGGCACCAGGCAGAAATCTATCATGTCACACCATCAGCTTCTGTGGTTCGCTATATTCGCCGTTGTGCACCTGCAACAGCATAGAGATCGTCTGTCTTCTGAGCCATTGGCGTAAGAGAATGATATGCGGAAGAGCTTTGGCTAGCCCGGAGCGTCGATCGAGGCACGCGGGGTAATTTGGCACACCGCGGCACACGCTTTTGGACATGCATCCTCCTCGACCTCTCCAGGCCACCGCTTGCGTCCTTTTCTCTTTACCAACTGTCGACTGATTGCACCGTCTCAATTGCGTTACCTCTCTCTTGAACTTGGACAGGCTGTCAGCCAGTAGGCTGTCTCCTAGTACCCGCAGCTCCCGGGTGGGCTCCTAGTGGTCACCCTTGTATTATGAACATTAAAGCGCAGGCTATTTGCATTCTACCACCATGACAATCGAAGCGATGAGTCTCTCTGCCTTGAAAAAGGCCAAGAACACAATCATAGGCAACCCCACCGCTAAACACGCCATGGCCAACGATGAGGCGTTGATCGGAACGTAAGCATGCAGCGCAGCGTCTATGGCTTGTACGCATTGACCGGCGACCAGCCTCGTCGACTTCATCAACAACCCGCCCCTGATATTAGAGGACCCTTCGTCGTCGCAGGACGATATCCGCATCGAGGCCGCACATGTTATTGCCTCGCTGTCCTATGGTGCGTACCTCCTTTACATGCGCCCTCCTTACGTCCGGCCTGAACGCACTGCGGCCCAGGCTCCGAGGATGCGCTCAAGACTCTTATGAGATACAATGCCCACCAAGCCTTCGTCTACGCAATAGCCAGCTTCCGACCACCTGACTCGCCCAAGCTTCGTGCGGCCTTTGCACGCGCTCTGCGTGCGCTGGCGGCGTCCATTGCCGATGCAGTCGGACCGTCACAATGGGGCTTGCATACCGCTTCTTCAGAAGTGCGCAACGAAGCCAAGGTTGCGCTGGACTACCTCTTCCAGGTAATATGCTCTATCCTGGTGCACACGACTTTGTTCAATGACATGTTCACCCCATTTGCTCCCCAGCCCGAAGTATTGGACATCTTTTTGCCTCTACTCGCGGATCCCTCTGCGCAAACTGTGATATCGATAGCACAACTCCTCGCAAATGCAATTCGGGTGCCAATCCATCGTGTGGCAGTATCAGATTGGTTGCCGGTGGCAGATCGCCTGAAGGAGGTGAAAGGCAAGAGAGGGTGGGAGAAGCCTGGTTTATCGAGCTCTCCCAGGAGAAGAAACGGCTGGGTCATGCGAAGTTTGATTGCTCTGCTGCAGAAGAAAGATATCAAGGTAGGCAATCTCAAAATATCGACCGAAGGCATGACTATATGCGCATCCCGCAGTCGCAAGAAGCTGCCCTCTCTGCGCTCGCTTGTCTGGCAAAGGACAATCCTCCAGTGGCATCGGAGTTGACCAAGGCCATTCTAGACGGAGAAGGTATTGACATGAGCACGGAACAGTCACACTGACTGACATCTCCATTCATCACAGCGCCGCTCTCACAAGTGCTCGCTTATTGCACATCACGTTGCACTGACCTTCAGCTCGCCGCATGTCTATGGCAAGTTATCCGTAGACTACGGCACATATCACCATACTCATCATTTTCCTAGCGCAATGCAGATAATCCGCTCCGGGTTCCCCCACCGTGGCCCATGGACAGACGACTCTCCCGCGCTGACGGTGATGTATGTCGTCAACCGTTCCATGGCGTCGGAGTCTGATTCGGCGCAGACGCGCACGAGGGCATGCTTCATCTTAGGCAGGTCCTTACCGCCACGTATCAGCATCGTTATACTTATTTCAATATATTTACAGCCAGCCTTGTCAGCGACAATAAGGAGCTGTGCGACCTGGCCTTCCAGCGCGGCTCTCTTGACAAACTAGCCGCGCTGATCAAGCATATCACACCCACCGAGAAGAATCCGGAGTTGGAGGAGGATGAGCCGGAGAGCGTCTCTTGTCTCAGAGAGGCACGTCCCTTGCGCAATGTCAGTTGCATGATTGCTCAAGCTGCATCTGCAGGCTGCCCTCACGGCAGTAGCGATGCTCTCACTCTTCAATGATGACATCCGTTGCGCTGTGGCAGGCCAGCTCGGGCTGATCCCTGCCATACAAATCTCGCTCTCTCATCCGCACATCGGTATACGCTACGCCGCATGCCAGTGTGTACGCGCCATCAGCCGCTCTGTTGCTGTATTGCGCACAAACATGATCGACAGCGGGCTCGGCATGGCCGCGTACCAGGTGTTCCAGAAGCAAGTCGAGGACAGGCGAATCACTTTCGCCGCATCTTCGGTTGTGTGTAATCTCGTCAATGAGTGCTCACCATTACGGACGGTAGGTGTTTGAATTCAGCCTATCGGCGTCATGGGCTGAAGACTCGATGTCCCAGATGCTGCTCGAGGAGGGATTACTGGACCGGCTGAAGCAACTATTAAACTCTGAGGAGCAGGCGCTGAGAGTGAATGCCCTCTGGGCTATGAAGAATTTACTGTATCATAGCTCGTTGCAAGTGAAGCGGGATGTCATGCGTGCCATTCGTTGGGAGAATCTTCCAAAGTGCGTTATAGAATATTTAGGCTCACAGCGCTAATGAAGCTCACACGGCGTGTTTAGGCTGTTGTCCGATCCAGATCCCGCCATACAGGAGCAGGCGTTCCACATCGTGCGTCACATTGCAGATGGGCAAGAGGATGTTGAGATGGTCTTTGATGAGTTGGGAAGCGATGTGTTGCTGAGCTTCTTGGCAATCGCGATGGAATCTGACAATGAAGACGTGCTGCATCAGGTCAGAGATTGTCTACTAAAAGCCCAATTCATAAGTCAGCTAACGTCTCCTTTGATTGTGACCTGCAGGCCGTCTGCGTACTCGCGAACCTAGCAAACAGCTCGCCTCATCAGAACAGCATACTGTCACACTCACGCATCCTAGCGGCGCTGAAGCAATGTCTCGTTGATGCCAAGGTAGAAGTCCGTCGCCCGGCAGTGGCATGTGTCCTGGAGCTGGCGAAGATCAATCCGCGGAGTCACAAGCAATTACACGACGCGGGCATCGACTCGACGCTCAGGCACCTGTGCGAGTACAGCGGGGCTGTCAGCGGTAGCCCTACCAGGCGATATATGCATGCGGTGGATTTGCAGATGTCGATGGAAGACGAGGTTAGGGAGAAGGCTCGCGAAGCGCTGCACTGGCTAGAGCACAACGTGGAGATGAGTGTCTGACTGGTCGTATATAGCATTTGCACGAGCATGGCTCATCTGTCTAATGCACTGTCACATATCTTGGCTAATGTTGTACAATTATACCTCTGGGCTCTCTGATCTTGCGCCTTGCTCGATCTGCTCTTGCGATAGCCAGTACTCAACCAACGCCTTGCCCAATTCCCTTCCCAATACGAGCGCCAATGGTACAGGCACTGCGTTTCCAATCTGGCGATATTGCTGCCGAAGGAGCCGACCCAGAAATCAGTCAGGTTACTCTGAAGATCGAAAGGTTTCTTACATCTGCCACCTTGTCTGGAATTCTCTCGTTGACGGAGAGGAACTGATATGAATCTGGGAAGCCCTGTGCGCGCGCGCACTCTCGTACAGACACGATTCGCTTTTGCTATAAATGCGAGACCATGAATACCAGAGAAGCGAACACAGCTCATGGTTCCTTACCGTAGGATGTAGAAGCCGACCTCCCTTGGAACTAGGAGATACGGTCGTCATGGCGGTGAGAAAGTAGCCACGTCCGTTGACCCGGCCATAGATGCCTATGCAGTCGCACATGTTGATGTTCAGCAGCGCAGCTCTGATTCAAAAGACATACCCCGATAGTGACGTAGAGGCAGCCCATCAGAACCATAACATCTTTTCAACCGCAACTTTTCGGGCAAAGCTTAGTCGCATAGTAAGTGGCTATCAGCGTCGCGAGGAACGAAAAGGCTAACCAGCCGAACATACCGAGGTGATCCGGGTACTGCTTGTCTGGATGCTCCCTTGTTGGCCACATCGGTACGTTGCATACACTGCGGATTACACCACGACAAACAGCATGAGATAAGTATGACTGCATAGTGTAGGCATTGAACTCACCGCTCCACAGTTGATGGTGGGAAACGGCGTGTGTAGTGATGGTCGACCTTTGAAGCTCCATTCCGACGAATCCATGTTTGATATCGGCTGAGAGGCGGACACGCATAGCGCTCAGGCTTGTTGAATCCTGGGAGGTCATCGTCTCTTGACGTCACAGCGTCAAAGCTGGGGATACTGTCAGCATGGCGATTTTTTATCTCCTTGAGGTCCTTATGTGTAGCACACAGTACTTGGTAGGGATTCACCCTGAGATCATTTTTAATGCAATGCTGAGGGGTGTCATGATGAAACACTAACCAATCAAATGCTGGCTGGCGAGATAATTGAATTTGAACAAAAGAAAACCCATCAGGAAAAAAGTCACATACCAGATCACTGATAGCGTTGTCCACTGTAACAGGCAACAACGGAGCCAGCTGGCGATAGTCATCGCCTGTGCTATCCTCATCACTCGTCACTGCACGTGTCACCGGGTACAAAACGTCTCCTGTCGGTAGTTTGAATAAATGCATGCTTTTTGGGAAGCTATGCAAAGGCATGGGAAACTTTGGCAGCGGTAGGCCACGCTTGGCCCCCCAGAAGATTACTCGTCGCCGGCTTTGAGGAGCACCATATTGGCCAGCTTGTAACACCTTAAAGTGCACCTGGTATCTGGTCGAAATACCCTCGGAACATTGCCATCGAATATTCACATGGCTGGCACTCACCCAAGACAAACTAATGCTCGAACAATGAATTTGACTACGCCCATTTTGATCCCGTTAACAACCTTGCGTCCGGATTGTTCGCCGTGGAGAGGAAATGATAGGAGGCCTGTCACATTCTCGAGCAGAAAATACATGGGCCGATAGAACTCGACGTAAGACAGCATATTACAAACAAGTGTGTTTCTGTGCCACTCCGTGAGATCTATGACAGTGGGATAAGGCAAAATACTCACCTGATGTCATCAGCGCTCTGAAACGTGTCGTAATTGTGAACCAATCAAGAAGGGTTATGTCAAAGTGAAGAACATACTCTATGATGGTTCATTAGGGAGAAGCTCTGACATGGGGGTCCTGCGTGAGGCGATTAGATACGAGAAAGGACATCATTCATATGTCTTTACCTCCGAAGATAAAGTCTACTTCCCCTGGAGTCGGCATAGGCGGTAATGGTCGAGTTTTAGACCTGGAATTTAGACCGGCCAATGGTTGTGGTTCTCGGCCTTCAGCGGTCTCAATTGCGTGCTTCAACAGCAAGTTGGTGTCCTGGTTATACACCACCGCCTCGGGGTGATTCCTCCTAAGACGTGGTCAGAAGCTACACACACTAACAATGAGTGACACTCACTGAAACGTGAGCGCTGCACTTGGAGAAAACTCCACAGCCCACCGCGTCTGCACAAACCCAGCGAGCTCGAGACCTGTTGATAGGCCGCCTGCACCTAAAGAAGAGCTCTTTGATCACCTCTGTCAATTCAACGGCTGTGCATTTCATGTGCATACCAGCAAAAAGTTCTAACCCACGAAGTGGTCCCCGTGCAGTCAGGAGGCGATGAGCCGTATCTAGCTCAGCCCGTCGTTCTTTCCAGCAGGGTTCACAACGCGGTATTGATGACAGAGGCTGTAACTCGTCTGTCGTTGCGATTTCAATGGATTCTGAAACGCAATCAACGTAGAAATGATCTTCGTGCCGCAACCAATCTTCACGTCTCTTGCCTGTGGCACACGTAATGAATGCCTTTCCCTCAATATCCTCAGGTGCCACATTGACGGTATCCGCAGTGAGGAAGAGACGACGCTGAAAATGAAGTCATGAGTGACTACTCGCGTAACAATCATCGATATTGAGTACGAACATCGTCTTTGATGCGAGGTTCGTCCGATGACTCGGGCACAAGATCGTGCCTGCCAAATCGGCGAACCTTGATCTTGCGAACGTGTCCTTGTTCATCACGGCGAAAATCAACGATTTGACCAATCTCATATAGTAGTGGCTTCGCTTGCAGATGCGAGGTTGAGAGGTATACGCAATCGTTGATATGGTAGTCAACATTGTGTCGCGATATGCCGCCATCGGGTAGAAGCGTCCACGCGCATTGCTTCTTGCGTTCCGAGCGCAGGCCACATGAATAACAGCGCTTCCAGGGCTTACATGCTTGGAGTCTAGATGAGCGGGCGTCCTCATGCACATTTTTGAGAGAGCACGCATCCGGATCCCATGTGAGCCTGCGATATTTATGTCAAATCTGGCAATAGAAAAGGGGAAGTCGCCACTTACCACGTATGGAACCTTTCACCAGGTTCGTCAACAGGTTCGACCTCGTCTCCTCGGAGGATCTGCAAATCGCAATGGCTGTAGATACACTCCAGTGGTAGATCATCGCATTCATCCAAATAAAATAATCCATTTGCGTGAGCTGTTTCTTGGAGGAGTGTTTGCGAGCCATGCTGCAACCAACGGCCATGGAAGTACTTCCGTGCTCTCCCGTTCTCAACTTTCTCGAACATGTAACAGATTTCGCAAAACCTAGCGGGAAGGTGAGTATGGGCAAGCTTTAAGAGACGGGAACTTTACCATTTCTGATTAGCGAGCCGATTGCGGCTACGGGCCGATGACGAGGCCGCATTCCGCTCTCTAGTAGCGTTACGGTCTTCACCCTTCTCTACGATCACAGGGTCGCCGATCTAAAGTCACAAACAACAGTCAGCTCATTTCAACCTCGAGACTCAAGTTACACACAGAATACAGAACGCCGTCAAGTCTGACTGTCCTATAGTGGTTCGGAGCAATACGATCAATCCATTCTATGAGGGAAGGATCCGTTTGATGGGTAAGGCGTGTGCCGTCAGGAGTGGATTCAATTGAACCAATCTCATTTGCTTCAAGTGACTTCCCAGTGATTCGGAGAGTCTGTTTGAAGAGTCCGCTCGCAATGCGAGCGACTATTGGAGTCACAACAGTCTTGTTGCGATGTTGTAAGACTTCCTTCTCTATGTCCTTCAGCCGCTTCAGTGGCCCTGTCTTCTCTGCTTTCCGCACACATTTCTTTGCCTTCTTTTTGGCTTGCGCATCAATACCCCGCAAAGATGCCACAAGCGGAACGTGTGAAAGAGCACGCCGCAGTCGGCTGTTTTGTCCATATACATCCTCGAGGTTCGCTTGAATGTAGGCTTTCTGAATTAATGTCAGATGGAGCGGATGTACACAATGAAAGATTGTAATACCACATCGTCGCACTCGAGATCTTGCTGTTTGAGCTCTCTATATAGGAATCTGTAGGCACAGGCAACACTGTCTGGAGATTCCGGAGTGATATGCAATAGTCCAATAAATTGCTTGAGATCAACGGTCCGATCCTGCAAGCTCGTGTGAATGACTAGATGAAGTAATCGATGCTTGATCCAATAATCTACAAAATAAATGTAGTATGAATCAGCTGGTCTGTCAAGAATGTACCATGCGTAAGCAGTTCGTAGATACATCTTCCTGTAAAACGATCAGATTGCACCTTTAGATGACATTCAGTGAACTTACGGATCAATATGCAAAGGCTCAGGGGAAGAGGAAATAAAATGAACGTTGAACTCCAGGATTTGGGATAATTTGACTCTGCTCGGTTCAGCGTCATGGAGTTCACTAGAGGCATCAGTTCCAGTCTCATCTTGATCCATTTCAGCATTGTCATCGTCTTCCCCAGCATAGGGAAGTACAAGGCCTGAGGCACCGAAAACAATTGTATCCTCTAACTCGCTGTCGAGACCGAGAAGTTCCGCGACGTTCACCAAGTGCCGGGTATGCCATTCGTAGACAGAAAAATCTGTCAGAATGCGCACTGGAGCATCATCCGAGCTGGTCTCTGCGACGGTTTCTCCTGAAACGTCCAGATCATCACTCTCGACAATTTCATCCTCGGGTATATCGTAGCGTGTATCTGGGTGGAAATTTGAGACGATAACTCTGTAAGCTCGCAACAGTTGTGGTTACCATTGGCGTAATTGTTATCCAGGAGGCCAGTAAGCATACTATGAGGATCGATTAATTGTGCTACTCACGGAACATTGGGCTCATTTGCATCCTCCCACGTAGGTGTGGGACTGAGGCTTCTTCTCCGTTTGTAATTTTGTGATATGTCACCCTCCAAGGGTGCTCGAGCAGGAATCATAGGTCCGCAAAAAGGACAGATGCTAGGCCAAGTTCGAGACGATATCTATAACAATGCAGAGGTTCGGGTTGCAGGCTCATGCCAGTGAGGGGTTTCCGACGCGCACAGTCCGCCGCAAAATTAACGAAGAGGCCGCTAAATAACTCGTACACGTCGGACCGCTCGAGTGAGTCGCTTGTGGGCGCTGTTGTATCCAAGGAGCTCGAGCTGAATGGGGGCTGAGGTGGACACGCTGGCCGACCTCTGGTCTGCGTGATCGGTCACGCCCACGCACGGTCACGCTGTGACGGTACGCGTCGCGTCGCGCTGGGCCCGGGCCACCGTGGCACTGCTCTCCTTGTCCTCAGCCTCCTCCTCCACTCGTCTCGGGAGATCTCACCTGTCATGTCTCTGCCAGTAGTGAGCATCGATGTTGACTACGATGCGGAGAAAGGTATGCTCTGCTCCAATAGTCTTACACTTATCCGACCGAGGGCGTCAGACAAAATCCATAACTTCCTGACAACATACGTCGGTCAAGAAAAGGATCTGGCATTCGCGCTTTCCGAAATCAACATCAATAATGATGCACATGATCCTCCAGCCAGACAGGGGTTGAAGTATATGGAGCAGCTGGTATGTATCTTCTGGCTGTTCTGATGGCCCTGTCTGATTGTTGTTCAGCAACGCATCGCAAATCGAGAACAAGAGATGCTGGTGATTGACCTTGAGGATATATCCGAGGTATGCAGTATTCAGTGTTATCTCGCAGTTGTCTGATGCTGTCGCGTCACAGCATGAGAAGACCATCGCTGAGCTCGTAGCGCGTATCCGACGAAATACACGGCGATACGTGATGCTGTTCAGCGAGGTCGTGGATAAGATCATGCCGGTACCAACGAAAGACATAAGCGAGCATGACGAGGTTATCGACGTGATTTTGCATCAACGGAGGGAAAGGAACGAGAGACTGGAGGGCAATCAGGAAGGATTCCCAGACCACCTGCTCAGGCGATAGTATGTTGCATAAACTTTCATATATTCCGGCAGATTGTTCACTCTGAGACAGCAACCTGTATTTCCGACCGCTCCGCTCAGACATTGCGATGGCTGTTCGTGAGGTCAAAGGAGCATATCTCGGCAAGCTCATCACCGTCCGCGGGATCGTGACGCGCGTCTCTGAGGTTAAACCTCTCCTCAAAGTCAATGCGTATACTTGTGACGTCTGTGGCTCAGAAACCTTCCAAGAGGTTTCTCATAAACAGTTCACACCGATCTTCGACTGCCAAAACGAATCCGAGTGCAAGAAGAACGGAATTCATGGATCCCTTCACATGCAGACACGCGCGTGCCGTTTCAGCCCTTTTCAGGAAGTCAAGATCCAGGAGATGGTGAGGCCCTACTATTCTATACTGCTGTACGAAAATCTGACGGTGATGTAGGCAGATCAGGTCCCTGTGGGACACATCCCTCGCTCAATGACTGTTCATAACCACGGAAGTCTCACTCGACTCATGAGCCCGGGCGACGTCGTTCACCTTGGGGGGATATTCCTCCCCATCCCGTATACAGGCTATCAGGCCGTACGTGCAGGCCTGCTGACCGACACTTATCTCGAGGTGCATTACATCCATCAGCTCAAGAAGCAGTACAACGATATGGAGGCGACCCCGGAAATCCGTCGCAAGATCTTGGAGCTCAAGGCTGATCCCCAGCTGTACATCAAGCTGGCGCAGAGTATCGCCCCCGAGATATACGGACATCTCGATGTCAAGAAGGCGCTACTGCTGCTTCTGGTAGGCGGCGTGACAAAGACTCTTGGGGACGGCATGAAAATTCGCGGTGATCTCAACATCTGTTTGATGGGTGATCCCGGTGTAGCCAAGTCGCAGCTACTCAAATACATATCGAAGGTCGCCCCTAGAGGAGTCTACACCACGGGTAAAGGATCATCGGGTGTTGGTCTGACCGCGGCGGTCATGCGCGACCCTGTGACAGATGAAATGGTTCTGGGTAAGTGCTTTACAAAAGGTCTTGACGCTGACTGACAGTTTCCACAGAGGGTGGTGCACTCGTCTTGGCTGACAATGGAATTTGCTGTATCGATGAATTTGACAAGATGGAGGAGTCAGACCGAACGGCTATCCATGAGGTCATGGAACAGCAAACAATCTCCATCTCAAAAGCCGGCATCTCGACGACACTCAATGCCCGCACATCTGTTCTTGCCGCTGCTAATCCCCTTTTTGGTCGGTACAACCCGAAGCTCTCGCCGGTGGAGAATATTAACCTGCCAGCGGCACTACTCTCCCGTTTTGACTTGCTGTTCCTGATCTTGGACAAGCCGACGAAGGATGACGATGAACGGCTCGCGCAGCACGTCACGTATGTGCACATGTACAACACTCACCCTGAGCTCGACTATGAGCTGGTTGATCCCACTATTATGCGGTATGCTACGTTTCTATGATTCCATGTTCTCAAGGCTCACAGCGCCTCAGGCATTACATCGCTCTATCCCGTCAATACAGGCCAACTGTTCCGCAAGAGGTATCCGACTACGTCGTCGAGTCCTACGTGCGCCTCCGGAAGCAATCCAAGGACGAAGAAGAGCAGAAGAAGTCGCACGCCTATATATCCGCCCGAACGCTCCTGGGCGTTCTCCGCCTCGCCCAGGCGCTCTGTCGGCTACGAAATTCGAATGAGGTCATTAAAGAGGACGTCGACGAGGCACTTCGCCTGATGGAGGTCAGCAAAGCAAGCTTGCAGGAGGAGGAGAACCAAGAGCGCGACCAGGACCGTTCAGATACGAGCAAGATCTACCGGCTCATCAAAGATATGGCTGTTGACAGGCGCGCTGTGTCCGACGGCAAGCGGAAGAAGAGAAAGACGAAGCGCCTCGGCAGGGGTCCCGCGGGCGAGAACGACATGGATGTGGACGACGAAGGACTGCAAGACCAAGACGATCTGGACGAGCTCTCCTTGGTTGATATTAGAGCTCGGGTGCTCAGGAGCGGCTTTACCGAGGCGCAACTCATGGATACCATCATGCAAGTACGTGCATTAGTTGCAGCTCATCCGTACGATGGCTCACGTGTTCTCCTCCAGTACGAAGACATTGAAGTATGGATGCGTGTGGCGAACGACTCGAAGCTGCGCTTCATCAACCCCGTCAGCTAGTCGCTTCTCTCCTCTATCAGCTGTTCCCTTGCTATGGTCCTTACATCACTTTCTTGCTTTCATTATGTATGAATCTCTAGCACATAAATACCATCCATCTGAAAACGGATATAATCAAGATGTTACAATGCAAGGACGAATAGCTACGCTATCTCGTCTCTGACGCATGCTCCCAGCTTCCGTCCGCGCTCGTGCTTCCACTTCCACTCGCACGGCTGTCCGACCGCTCTTGCGAATGCTCCAGTGCTGGCTTCTCCTTCAGAGTCACATTCTCTGGCACATCTCGATAATGAGCAGGCGTCATTCCTCCAGTCGATGGCTCGTCATCCAAGAAACCCGAGTGCAGATTGACGCTGGGCGAATGGCCCTGCGGATGCAGGTGTGTCTCCTCATCCGCATCCTCGTCGTCTGACACCTCACCAAATGCATCGTACAGTTCCTTCGTTCGCTGCCCGCCGCCCGACGTGCGGCCGATCGAGCGCATTGCGACATCGTCACTCTCCGGTAGGCTTCTATAGTTCGCTCGCCGCCTGCGCACGGCGCGACGCCAGAAGAAGAGGCCTGCGGAGAGGCCGAAGATAACAACTGCACCAATCGCAACAAAGAACCACACCTGGTTCGAAAGCAGCCTCGAGAGACCGAAGAACCAGCCCTCATCGGCTGTCGGTGTGCTTGTTGCACTCGCAGATGCCTCGACCGCGTCGTCCTCGGGCTTCGTACCATCTTGCTGGCTGCCAGAGCTGCCCGAGAACGCGGGCTTGCTCGCTTCGCCCTCAGAGTCGCCGTGGTCGCCTGGGAGGTGCGCCGTGGGCTTCGGAATGGTCTTGGCGGGTGATGGTGTGGCAATAGTCGACGTTGAGTTGTCGGTGCTTTCATCGACCACAGGTGGGAGGATGTCGTCTATGACAGGGACATCGTACACCTTGATGGGCTGTGTCTCATCTTGTGCGGATCCCCATAGCGTCATCGTCCAGCCGAGGAAATTGCCCGATTCGTCCTCCTTGTTCTGGTCGAACACCGTCAATGTCCACGCACCAACAGGATTCTCATCCCTAAATACAAAAGGATCAGCACTGTAATGATCTATGAAAAAGGCATGAAAGCACCAATGCTTGATAGTCATGAATGTCCACCCAGGGTACCCAGTCTTGGCCGCATCCGCGAAACGCCTCCCAGCAAGCACGCTCTTGACACCGTTTGGGCTGACCAACTCTACCTCAACGTCTCCTCTCCTGGAGTGCGTGATCCACACCTTGATCGTGATATGCTCGAGGGCGCCGAAATTGCTGCCATCAAGCATAGACTGGTCCACGTTGATCGTGCTGGAAACGCCTCCAGGGACAATCAGCTCCCCGCCATTGGTGCTCTGGAAAAGGTCCATCGTCCCGTTGGCGACTTGCATCGTTGGAAGATCGAGGAAGACCTGCGGTTTGACAACTTGCCATGTCTGAGCGGCTCTCACAAACTCGACGCCATTGATAGCGCCGTATCCGTACTTGTAGCTGAAGCGATTGCCGGATGCGGTGGTCTCCCAGTCAGGATCATCAGGGTTCACCTTCGTTGCAGTCTTCACGCAAAGATGCTGAATGTCTCGCCATGTTAGATCAGGTCTACGCAGGGAAATGTGAGTGACAACAAAATCAAATATTGCGAAAAGCATGCGAACGCACCGTGCTTGCAAAGCAAGCGCGAAGACGCCCGCAGCATTTGGTGCAGCAGCAGACGTCCCGCCATGCGAGTGAGAGCATTTGTTTTGACCTCGGTCAGTAGTTGTCTATGCGTAAAAGGTTAAACTTAAAAAGGTAATAGAAGGAGTTCACACACGATCTGGTTGCCGCTCCCGGACGAATATGCTACAATCATGTTTGCCGCGCATGCCTCCGAGTAGTCCGGGTGCAGTCCGCGGAAATCAATCGCACCGACAGTGACAGAGAAGATGCTGTTGGTGTAGCCGTCAAAATTGCACTGATCGGCACTACGGCCGCCGTTCCCGCTTGCGAACACGAAGACCGATCCCTTGCCCTGCCGGCCATTCTGCACACCATTGACGATCGCTTTCTTGATCAGGTATCCTGGGCCTTCCATGGACTTGCCGTCATCCGGCGGGCCCCAGCTGCATGAGTAAATGGAAGTGTTCTGGTAGTCGTAGTTTAGTGAGGACGCCTCGTCGACATCGGATATAGGTCCAGAGAGGATGCGTATACCCGCGACCTGCGAGTCGTATGCGATGCCAACTCCGCAGACGTCATTCTTCACCGCAGCGATCTGCCCTGCACAACGAGTGCCGTGATGGTCATCGAAAAGTTTCGGCGTCGGCAAATCTTCGTGGTCATTGAAATCATAGGAGCCGGCAGCGTACTTGAATGTTGTTGAGCTTGGCGATACATCCACCGGTGAACTGAGTACTCACGAAGTTGGCTGCAAGATCCTCGCTTGTGTAGTCCAACCCATCGTCCACCAAGGCGGTGATCACACCAGTGCCAGTATACCCCATGTCCCACAATCCCGTTACATTCATCATATGGTGCGGATGCGCATCGTTAATGAGATGCCACTGTCTGCCGAATTCGGGATCCGTAATGCCCATACGCGCTGCAATCACAGCAGAACTCTCGATATCCTGCTCCTCGTCAGGCGGGCGTATTGGAGGTGGTGCGCGCTTGACGCGCTGGCGGAGCACCTGCGGAGAGATGTGCTTGACGGAGGAGACGATTCGCCGACTATGCAGTGCATCCTCTTCTCGCGCCGCTAGATGCGAAGACTGTGCCCGCGTGCGCAGATCCCGGAAAGCTTCGAGAACCGGATCTGCCCTCCGTTTCCTTAGATTTGACGTCGGCTTTGGTGTGCGAACCAGCCAGTGGTTGCGGAGCTCGCCTGCCTGTTCTACGACCTCGACGCCAAGCGCTCTCGCGCAGTCGGCCAGCGAAGCACCCGCGAGAGGAGTGTGTTCAAGCACATAGTAGTCATGGGTAGAGTAGTGTCGTTTCGCGGGGGAAGCGAAAGCCGAATCAAAGGCAAGGAGCACAAGAATGAGCGTGAGCGGAAGGCGCATTTGGCCTGAAAGAAGATGATAAAGAGAGAGAGAGTTGGTGGCAGATGTCGCTCGAGAAGAGCACTCGCAGGCCTGCATTGCCATCCGCCAAATGCGGAAGGTCATCAAATGTTTTGATCGGAGCACCGAAAGGTCTGATCGCGTTTCGCGAGGCGCTGTACGCTGTGGCAGGGAACAACAGTGATGGGTATCCATTGCAGGTGAAGAGCTACTGTTACAAGATGGACATGTAAAGAGACACAAGTTGAACATCGGGGCAGCAGGATGGTATAGGTCACGACACAACTTCATGTTCCATTAGCACATACGCCCTCGTTTCTGTCTTGCCGCCGGGCATGCTGCCGATCACCATCGCCAGCTCCGGAGTATCAGGTATCAGATCAGGTTCATCAAGCTGGCGCCGGGCCACATCATCGCGGACTATTAAGAGATTGCCAAGGAGAGGTGCCAAACGCCGAATAAGCTCGTCCAGCACGTCCTCATCGCTGTCGAAATTGTCTGGCTCGCGATCAAGACCTTTCAAAAGTGGGCACTGTTCGATGCTGCGTCAGAAAGCGTGGAAGCCTGAACGATTTGTTTGAGCGCACTCGATCATCGCAGACAGCTACTCGCAACTGGCTTCCTGCCTCATCCTCCACCACGATCCAGAATTCGTAAAAGTTTCGTACATGCGTGGTGTTGAGAGGATCCATCGCATCATCACAAGTATTGCAATATCGGAGCATGGACGGAACCCTGCCATAGATAGCCATCAATGCGCATGCCGAAATGCGATATGCTGAATTGCTCACTCTTGCTGGCACTCGGCGCAACGGCGTTGTATGAAGTCCGTCACCTTCTCCGGGAAGAAGTCGACAATGCGAGCACGGATGCGGAATTTATTGGGACATTTCTCACTCTCCTCTACCTGTTGGATGGTCTTGGCAACCTTGCATGCAACTGCGGTATTTTCAGATGGAGGGATGCTCGCCACGTTGTTCGGGAAGAAAAGCCTTGGGTGGTTTGCTGCGGCGCCCTTTGTGTAACGGCCTGCGATCCTCTTCTCGCCACCCTTCTTACGTTCGTTCTTTCGGCTCTTCTGATTCCTCTGTACGGTCCATGTTTCCTTGCGCCTGCAGAAAGTAGGAATCATATTCGCTACCAAACCGACAGCCGCTGTATTTTCTCCACGCACCGTAGCAGATCTCTGAGCTCCTCATTCCTTGCATCAGGTTGCAGTTTCACGATATACCTCTGGTTGCTTGCGAGCCTCCCCACCAGCCTCCTAGAGCTACGGGAAGGCCTCATCCGGAGGTTTCGGACCAAAATGAAGTCGCCAGATTCCAGATTTTTTGCTGACTCAACCTGTGCATCGAATAGCGCGATCTTGACTACACGATCCTCCAGATCGCGGAATTCCGGTGTCGTTGCGGCCACTGGAGAAAGGTCAGGACGGGAAGTGTAGTCAGTGACGTAGAGGTAGGTGTACGTGTCTTTGGAGGACACTTGAAGGACCTACATGCCAGCGGTGAGAGTGTAGTGCAGACAAGGATATAATGACGTACCTCTACGGTACAGAGGAAGTGGTGATCAGGTTCGGCTTGCTCGATGAGAAGATGCGGGAAGGCGGCCGCGCCGCCGTTAGCTTCCTGCTTCGCTAACCACTCTTGCTTACGCCTATAAAGACATTTTATGAGTTGAGCGTCCCGCACAGTGTTCGATGGGCGTATACTTGAGCAACGCCTCCAGGTGAGGCTCCGTGTCCAGCTCATCCTCGTCCAGCTTCCTCATCTTCTGCACAGCCGAAAACGTAGCCTCAACATACCCGCCCTCGCTGACTTTCATCCTGCTATTTCCGAAGAACCAAAATTCGCCGGGCTTGAATTTGGGTCCGTACTCCGCGGCCTCATTGAACAGCTCGAGTTTCAACACGCGGTTCCCCATGTCCGCACAGCGGTCCTTGTTCACCACCGCTAGCTGGGCATTGGACGTGTAGTCCGTGACGTATAAACTGTACACGCCGTTGTCATTCGGGTAGCCGTCGAGTACCTATCGAGTGTGAGAATCATGAATTGCGCAATGATAATTATTTTGCACTAATGCAGCTATACCTCCACCGTGCAATCAAAGAATCCCTGAGGCTCTGCATCCGGCGACGCTTCGCTGATCAGCCTGTGTATCCTCGCTTGGACTGAAGGGCCCTTGATCTTGTGAACTGTAGCATCGTAGACACCTGGAACAACCGTGTTGAACCACGTCGCTAGCTGAGCACAGCATTGAGCTTCATTCTGGCTTAGCTGGAACTCAATCTTGCTCTCGGTAGGCTTTTCCGGCTGCGCCTGGCCGAGTCGGGGGTCGAAGAGTGCCCACGTCCAGCCTTTGTACGAGGGCCCTGTGCCGCTGGGCCTGTCGTTGTAATTGTCACCCTTGCGGGTAATCAGCCACTGTAGACGTGATCTATGTCAGATGAGAAATCTACCATGAGATTCCGTAGAACGAGAACATCTCCTTGGTTAGGTGTGGGAAGTTGAGCCTCGAATTTGCTGAACAGGTTAACGCCGAACTCTTCGGAGTCATGGAGGGACTGATCCATCAACATGACTCTCGTCTTGAACTCTGGGCATAAATGAGTATCTAACTCATCGACGGGAGCATCCCACTCACCGCCTCTAGCGGTGCTCGATGGCATTCCAGCGGATCTCACCACTCCCATCACGTTGTACGGCTTGTTCTTCACTTTTACCTCTACCAGAGGAGTGTAATAACCCTATTTATACACTTCAATGAAACAGACCTTGAAGATATACTCCGTCACTGCTCACGTTGTCTGTGCGAAAACCTGAAACGGAGGAAGGTGCACTAGTAAAGGTCCAGTTCCCAGGCAGACAAGAAATGGACGTAGAATCGGTCGGAATGGACGCAACGCCAGCATCAGACTGGGATAACTGCGGGGCCGAAATGCTCTGATGCAACGGCGGGGGAGTTGGCATCGAGCCTATGGAAGGACACTGTGTGTGCTCCTTTTGTGCTCCTCCGAGTACGACAGGTAGGAGAGAACGAGCCGACCGTGAGGACGGGTCAGGCAGTGGAGAAGCCAGTGCAACATCGTCGGTGCCCTCCTCTATATGAAGTGATCTGTTCGCAGGTGGCGAGGACGGCTGAGCAGGAGCAGATAGCGCACGATCGGCGGCTGACTGCAACGCAGAAGAGGCGGTGCCTGGCTCAGCCGAGGTCGTCAGCGGTCCAGAATCAATTAATTCCTTTAATTGCCTCTTGAGCTTGCGCCTTGCATTCTTCTCATGTTTCGTTCGTTTTTGTTGCGTTGAGAGCAGTTTCTTGTCGGCCGTAATGTGTGATGAAGCCCTAGAAAGTTGTCCACCGAATTTGGAAGTCGGTTTGGAATATGGCCCTTTCAGGGTCTTCAATTTACGCCGCTTGTCTAAAAACTCTCGGTGCAGAGCAGCTGTTTGTCGAGATATATGCTGTTCCTTGAATCGTTCTATATTTGACGGGGACACGCCGGCGGACTTGTTTGGTTGCTGCTGATGTCCAATCACTTCCGTCAACCTCAGATTTGCATATGCCTCTATCGACCGCTGATTGAGATCGGGAGGATCCTCGGACATAGCAGAAGGATTACCTGGTTCCTCAGAAGACGCACACAATAGCGGGGGTTCAGCTGCCATCGTCGAAGTGGCCTCGGGGGCAGGCAGCGTAGTCGGGGAGCCGCCAGTCATTGGATAGGCATGACTGCTCGATGAGGTGAGGTTCTTGGACGGTGTGGCGAACCAATCGTCTTGACCGTGCGCATCAATAGCTGGTTTTTCGTGCTCTGCTGTGTCTTTCCAAAACAGCATCGTTAGGAGGAAACATGATACCATCGAGAAGCCGAAAGTCTCACTCTGGAAAGTATTGATGATCTGACCGCTTTCAGAACCTTCCGACGGCTTCCAAAACCTCAGCAGGAAACCTTGGGCGAAGGTCAACTTCGGGGAGGCATTCTTGGCAATCTCCACTGAAACGCCTCTGAGGGATATTTGCACGGTACTCTTGCATGGGATGGCTCGAATGTCTTCAAGGTGTTCTGAGGTATATCCTAAAAGCACGACATCGAAGTTGAAAGTCACAGCGGAGCCGCTAGTCCTCATCACGAGCCGTATCTTGCCATTTATAGGAGGATACTTCATGGACAGAGTACCCTGTATAAATCTCGTGTTTCCAGCGCCATTCTGCAGATCGTCAATGGTACTGATTCTGTAGGTCGCGTCGAAGTCGGACGCGCCGTCGTCGAGCGCGTCTGCATCAGTTCTGCGAATGCGTTTGCCACTACCGCCGAGCTCGGTGTCCGCAGCGCGCTTCATGTCGGCCTCGTCGACGCGCGGAAATGTTTCCTCTAAAAGGTGGCTGTATACGCGTTAGGCGAGCTAGAACGATTGTAGGATGAAGACGCGTCCGGATGCTGGGCCCACCGCGCGAATGCACGGTCGCGAGCCACGTGACTCAACAGATCGAGACCTTCGCAGTTAGGCACCCTCGACAGCCCTCCACGTTGCCCTTGACCTATTCCTCCTACCACACTCAAGCATTGCGATTCGCAATGGCCGACATTCCATTATCTTCCCTGTTCCACAGGGCCCTCATGAGCGCAGCGAAGGCGAACAATATGGCCACGATGAACGACGAGACACAGGTGAGCCGGCCCGTGGCAGCTCAGCCGCTAGCTCACCCACATGCAGGCCACAGGAGCTCGTACAGTCTGCACTGGCCGACCTCCGTCTCTTGCAGCATCGGACTGCTGCCCTGTCTCTTTTCAGTGAGAACGAAGTTCTGGCGGATATCTCAACGCGTGACCTGGTCTATCTTCTCGTGCCATTCGTACTCGCCGAAGTGGAGGACCACGTTCGGACCACCGATCTGGAGGAGCGTCTTGTACGGGTGGAACGTGTGCAAGTATGTTCTTGGTTCATTGGTCTTATACAGCAGATTGACTGCATCATCAGAGATTTTTGCGATCCTTCCTGTCTAGCCTCGAGACATACCAAATCGTCCCCGACTCCGAGAAAGACCTATACGCGAAGCCTGCAGCATCATATGCAGAAGCGCAGAAGCGAAGAGAATCGAAGATAAGGCAGTATAAGAAAGAGAAGGAGATCAAAGCTAGGATCGAGGTACGCACATTCTTAAGCGCTTCTAATTGATCACGACCATGCATCCTTGCAGGAAATCCGCAAGCGTCGGAGCAACGGAGAAGTCGTCAGCGAGCCTTCTTCAGACTTTGAGTTGATCGCGTCACTTCTCTTTGATCCCTCTGCGACGATCAGCGAGACGGCTGCGGAAGAGGAGGACGAGGACTTGGACACCGAGGACATCGTTCGCGAGGCCGTTCTCCTCCTCTTACGTTTGACATATGGAAAAGCACAGGCACAGCTGTCCAGCTTACGTGGAGAGCTTGAGCTTCTCCGTAATGCACCTCCGCCGGCACCTCCTGAACCTATAGATGAGCGACATGCAAAACAACGCGAAACTGAGGACATGCACATGTGGAGGTTGGATGCACCACGACCTCAAGGTGGCTCCGATGGGCAGGGACCATTGTTGGATCAGAGTGGAAAGGTCAGCCTCTTCGCTCGTATAATAGAAGGTATATGTGCTGAAGTCGCCGCCAGCCTCTTCGTCCGTTCACCATCCTATCATCATCGGCCGCTGCTGACCGGACACAAATGAGAGACCAAGTCTTCCGTCCTGACCATAATCTACCGACAATGTCTGTCGATGAGTACCTGGAGATCGAGCGCCAACGCGGGAACATCATCTCTGGTGGAGGGTGTGTCTTCTGCTTCGCAGACCGAATGCTTCAGCTGATTGCTTGCTGTACACAGTCCTCAGTCGGAGCAAGCACTGACAACCAAGGAGCAGCTGCAACTAGACTCCGAGATGGACGGAACTGTATTCGGAGAGGAAAAGGCAGAGGATAAACGTCAAAAGGACGAGAATTGGGCTCAATACACTGACACTCATCCCCGCGGCGCAGGGAATACACTGAACCGAGGATGAAAATTTGAGCGATTGGCAAGTGAAAGCGTGAAGTAAGAAGCGAATTGTAATTCATTACGTGTAATAGTCATTTAGTTTCGTGCGAGGGACCTACTTATGTCATTGCATGTGTTTTGGCAAAGCCCTATGATGAACCTGCCCGATGTCGGACTTGTATCACCGAGAGTCGCGCCAAAGGGAATATAAACAAGCAGGACTATTTACAGAGGATATTAGCTGAAGACGAAAAAGAAATATGCACCGTGCACACAGCATATACGCAACAAAACACCTTCAACTCAAGTGATGTCAACATGTCAACATTGGCATGATGCAGCGTCCGGAATTTCGTTTGCGGGTGGTGCTGTCACATCAATTTCTGAAGGAACCATAAGCATATCATCCAAACCAGCGTACCATGGATTTCTGGACTTGGACTCACTGGTGTTTTGTGTCTCTGTAACCTCGGTCTCCTTCTCCATTCCTACTAACTCCATGGCGATCTTCTTGAAGAGGCTCTTGACATTGTGACCCGCTTTCGCAGATGTCTCCATAAACATAATCTCAAGCTGTGCAGCCTTCGCGTTAGCCTCTTCCAGTGTCACTTGCCTTCAACGCGAAAGATACCGTTTGATAATTAGAAGCGCAGAGGATACAAATGCGATGCACATACCGTTTGTCCGACAAGTCTGCCTTGTTCCCTACAAGCACAATGATGACATCATTCCCTCGTTCTGACCGTACATCGTCAATCCACTTTGACGTGGAGAGGAAGGATTGCCGATCTGGAAAACACGTCGTGACATTTCACCCCTACAAGCAAATCGTAAGACCACTCACTTGTTATGTCAAACACCACGATGGCTACGGAGCAGTCACGAATGTATGAGGGTATCAGTGACCGATACCGTTCCTTCCACACCACTACGTCAGCGCTTGCGTACAGAAACAACTCGCTCATTCCTACAGACCTGTCCCGCAGTATCCCATAGCTGTAGCCGAACTGTTCGATCCTCCAGATACATCGCCTTGCTCAGGAAATCAATCCCAATCGTCGCCTGGTATGTGTTGTCAAACGTGTCGTACATGAATCTAGATGGCACAACCGTGAACGTCTGACGTCGATACAGCGGGTACAATGGTAACTCTGCCAGCCTATGTCAATGCACACCTTGTGATAAGACTGGTCTTGCCAACGCTCTGGTCGCCGAGGAGCACGATCTTGCTGCGTTTGAGCGGCGGGGAGGAGAAGTCGGCGGTGACGGGTGTTGTGGCCATGGCTCGTCGTAGAAATCAGCGTAGGAGTGTGGCGTGCAGTCGGCGGAGGGTACAGTTAAACAGAGGAGGAGACTACTGAGAGGAACGAGCACGGTCGGTGCCAACGGAGACGGAAATGCATGCAAGGTCAGCGGCATTGACCCTGCTCGCAATCGAGATTCAGAACATATGGGACCACGTGATGCCGATCTCATTTTGACTCGGGACCAACTTGCAAGCGTGCACGTCTTGCCAGTCGATCCTTCCGTGCTTTGGCTTGCAGAATTGCATCTGAAACGATGAAGTTGAACCAGAAAATCGCAGAGTACCGTGAAATCCATCCGTTCTTTACGTTCGAGTTCTTTCCGCCAAAAACGGACCAGGTCCGTGCCATATTGACTTGAGAGCGCGCTTGCAATTGCTCATTTTGCAAGTAGGGATTCGATAATCTACTCTCTCGTATCTCGCGACTGGTTTCTCTGAACCCTCTTGCGGTCAGTATAACATGGGGCGCTGGTGGCTCGACCAAGGACCGGAGTCTTGAGCTTGCAGGTCTGACCCAGTCCGAACATGGGGTCGACACAATTCTGCATCTCACATGCACGAATATGAAGCAAGGAATGGTGGACGAGGCTTTGCGGGTATGTGTAGCTAATGATAATCTCCTTTATACTACTCACCCTCTCATTCAGGATGCCAAGGCGCGGGGGATTCAGAGCATCCTCGCCCTGCGAGGAGGTACAGAAGAGCCACGTTCAGCTGTCGATCACTGTATGCTAACAACCTCGCAGATCCTCCTCGTGGCGAAGAATACTGGATATCGACCGATCCTCGCTTCAACCATGGTGCAGATTTGGTCTCGTACATTAAATCTTCCCCTGAATTTTCTTCCGACTTCTGTATCGGCGTGGCAGGTCACATCTGCATTTGTGCAACCTTAGCGGCAATACTCATTTCGACTCCTTCGTAGTCTACCCGGATGGCCACCCCGACAGAGGAACAGACGAAGAGGGCGAACTGGAGCATCTCAAGCAGAAAGTCAACGCCGGCGCAGACTTCATAATTACTCAATTGTTCTATGATGTGGATGGATTTTTGCAATGGGTCAAGAAGGTCAGGCAGAAAGGTTGGTACTTAGTCCTTAAAGCGCCTCCCCCCGCCTCCGCATTCTCATTCACTGCAGGTATCCAGATTCCCATCATTCCGGGCATCATGCCTATACAAACGTATGCATCTTTTCTGCGTATGACCAAGTTGTGCGGTACTCGTGTGCCGCCTAGTCTAATGTCAGACATTGTGCCACTGCGAGTGCGTGCCAATTCGCTGCCATCTAAGTACAATGTATCGCTTGACTGACCTATTTGTACTTTGCAGCATGACGACCAGAAAGTTAAGGACTATGGAGTAGGTTTGGCAATCAAAATGATTCGCCAATTGACTGCAGATGGCGACATCCGCGGCGTGCATTTCTGCACGCTCAACCTGGAGAAGAGTGTCACCCGGGTCCTGGAAGGTCTTGGATGGGCAGGTGGCAGCCCAAAACCGGCGAACAAGCTCATCGCGGTATCATCGTCATTTTTCGCATTGATGGTCTAGTTCTCAATCTCTGGTAGGACGACGTTGCCGGTCCCGGATCTGAGCTTGTCGTTACACCTCACAACGCGACAGATACCGCTGCGAAGGAACTGGCAGTATCATCGCCAGGTCCCGACGGAGAAGCCGGAAAGGGAGAGCTGAACAATGCTGCAAGTTGGGACGACTTCCCGAACGGTCGATTTGGAGACTTCAAGAGTCCCGCTTACGGCGAGACCGATCTATGGGGTAGCTCGATTATGTCGGTATGTGTGATCATGGTACCCAGCCCAGAATACACTACTCAATCTTCTGCCGCAGCACAAGCAAGCCATCAAACAATGGGGAGATCCTACCACTTTGGACGACTTAACGACCATGTTCCTGAGGTACTTGCACTCCAAGATCGCGACGACGCCTTTCTCTCCTAGTCCGCTTTCACCGGAGTCTCTCATGATCATTCACCACCTGGAGCGGCTGACACGCAAAGGCTGGTGGACAGTCGGCTCGCAGCCCGCCATCAACGGCGCGAGCTCGAGTGACGAGGTGGTCGGCTGGGGACCGCGCGGCGGGTATGTCTACCAGAAGTGTTTTGTGGAGTTCTTCGTAGAAGGTGCCGACCTGGAGAAGATTGAAAGGAAGGTCAAGGAACACGGACATGGCTGGGTCGATTACTATGCGGGGAATGTCCAGGTCTGCTAGAGTATGCACTGCACCGGCCGCATATCCTGACCACTACGTCTGCTAGGGCGAGTGTCATACCACTGTACCCGAGGGCGGGCGAAACGCTGTGACCTGGGGCGTCTTTCCCGGACAGGAGATCGCGCAGACAACCATCATCGAAAAGGAGTCCTTCTTGGCCTGGAAGGTTCGTCGTATGCTTTCGTCCGTACGCACACAATTCACTGTTCCTAGGACGAGGCGTTCTCAATATGGGCTGAATGGGCATCGTTCTACCCTCCGGACTCGCATGAACGGACACAGCTTGAGAGTATCCGGAATGAGAGATGGCTCGTGAGCATCATTCACCATGACTACATGGATCCCAGTTCGCTTTGGAATTTCCTGTTCAAGGACGACCCGCTGGTGTGAAATGCATGTAAATAGTCCATTTTCGCATGAAGAAAAAGATCTCTAAGAGCATAGTAACATCTGTACAGTATTTGCAGCATAGGGCGCATCTCGCGCATACAATCACCAGCCCTTGTCATTTTTGGACAGTGACTGACCAGCGCTCCAAGAATTGGGCATTGAAAGCTGCTGCTTCCCAAAGCGCATACAATCGCTCTTCTCTCCATCCCTCCATCCCCCAGCGCTGTACGAACTGTTGTCTTACGATAGGGTTATCTCCTAAATCATGGGCATAGTCATTGAGGAGCATTGCGTAGTCCTCCGAGGTGTTTTCGACGGAGCATATGGAGAATGGTGTTGGACTTGAGACAAGCAGTTGCAAGACTTGAGACAGAGAACTGAGGAGCGGGAATGCAGGACGAGATGGGAACTGCGAAGGAAGACCATGACATTGCACGTCCGGAGTCACTTGGCCGTGCATGGAACGCCGAGAAAGGAAAGGGAGCATGGCAAGGACGAAGGAACGACTGAAGAAGGAGATGGATGTTCCGATTGTCGTGAACTTCAGCGTCAGACAGGTTCCTCGTGTTAGGGCCGTCCGAAGTTCCCGTATATACGTCTCTAGTCTCAGAGACGGTACCGCATCGAGAAAGACCAGTCTGTGGGATATAGGACATGGAGATGGGGATATGCACGATGATAGTCGCATTCGGAGCTGAGCCTGAGCATTATTCGGACCAAGGACAGGATGCTGATACGCTGATTTAGGACGGAAGAAATCTGATGCAGCCTGTGAAGTCTTCGCATCTGACATTGATTCTTTCTTAGCTTCAGCGATGTTGAGTGATGGCCAACCCCAGACATGAATATATGCACCCACCTGAGGAAAGGCGAAGCGGGAAAGTCTAAAGCGAGTCAACACGACCATAAGTCAGCCCTTACGTTGGCGCTCACCGTTGATGTCACTGAAAAAAGCTGTGTGACTACTAGACGTCCTATGAGAACAAGCCGCCATGACCACTGCACTTGCAAGCGAATCCTCCAGCCCTTGATGTCAATCGAATCCAACATCAAATCTGGCAAGTCTATCTTAGCATTCCTGAGCTCCAGTTTTCCGGATTTTATGTCGTCTATAAATGAGGTAAGAGGAAGCGATATGGCGTGCTGCTTGGTGCAGGCTGGCTGGCATGCGATGGTCACGTAGCTGGCGGGCCACAGTGAAGTAGTGGGGGTGACAACCAGAAGAAGGACCTGCAACGTGGTCCTTGTAGCAGAAAAGTCCCTTTGATGCCCTCGAGATCGCTTCCAAGTTGCGAAAGAGAGGAGAAGAAGTAGCGCGACGAAAACAATACATAGAGCTGCCGATGATTGAGTACTGTCATACACACGTCTCAGACGCGACGGAGGCGTGAAGGAAGCCCAGACTTGAGTCTGACTGACAAGATGCCTCAGGACACGTGCGAGTAGTGGCTCAAGAGCGTAGACTATGTCTTTTGCTGTGAGAAGTAGCGCAGAGACCTCCATTGCAGTAGATGGCGCACACTGGATAAGGTGGTAGGGCGGCAGCGCTCCGCTGCGATGAGCGCTTGTACACGATGGTCACGCATTGTGTAGCCGGCGCTTGAAGCTTTACGATGGGGGCGCAAGAAAAAAGCGCGGCGGGTGATATGCGGTGTTTAAAGGGAAGTGAAATATTTCGGGAGGGCGATGGATGTCGCTTGAAAGGTTTTCGCGCTGGTTGAAGTGATTGCAGTTGATGGAAAATGCCCTACAATTGGTTGTGTACGGGCGGTTGTTGGTGCGCGCTGACTTCGCTTGCGGGAGGAGAGACGGTCGGAATCGAGCACTTGAGAGGCACGAATATGATACATTAGGTAGAGGGAGTATTGGAGGCGGGTGAGACCATTACAAGTTGCAATTATATACTAAGCAGAAGGAACAATTACAAAGATATGAGAGCAGAGAGATTAACTCGCAATGAGAATTATAGTGGAAAGTAATAGAGCAATTAAGAAGATGACAGATTAAAAAGAATCAGAAGAAATACACGAGCGATCCAGACAAGCATCGACAGCAATGGATGCAGGAATGCCAGCGTACGAGCCCTGCACAGTGATTCGCGACATGATCGACAATGACCGAGCATACGAAAAAGACGAAAACGAGGGGCAAGGGAGCGACAGAGGAGAAGGAGCAGATCACAGGAGATGATGACTGACATGACGAGCAACGGAGCGATCAGCTAGCCGTGATGCCCCCCGATCGCTAATTTTCGCAGAGAGCCTTCCACACTTCATGGCGATAAGAACATTCTTATGCCGACCGGATTCATAAGCCACCCCAAATCGTAGTTTCGGAAGCAGAATCCATATCATATGGGCGTCTTTCCATCAGAACTCTATATTTGTCACTGAAATTGATCCCTGATGCTACGGTTAGTTCGATATTACTTGGTATCTAATGACGCTAACCTAGCCATATAACTGATAGCACATATCATGGGAACGGAACGGAGGGGCTTAGCACTGAAGGTGCTTCTAGTAGACGATCTGACGTTCCTTTCGTCGGCAACCGATATAATGAGAAGAGAGAAAGAGACGAGGGAAAGGAATGATTCGCGATCGACAGACGAAAATAAGGAGGTGGGACATAGTAGAGGTCACGAGGTTGCAGAAGAAGACGCTGGCTTCGACGTTCATCAGCTATGTGCACGAAAGAATCCTTCGTCAGCTGTGTGCGAAGATGAGACGGAAGAAAGAGACGAACCGTGAATGATGGTCTCAAGCCTCCCAGTTCATGGGGTAGAAGTTGGCGTGCGGGAACCTCTTCTTGATCTGCGTCAAGAGCCACCAGCCGGGCGTGCAGTAGGTGATGTGATTGCTCGTCGCGCCGCCCTTGTTTTGCCCGGAGTGAAGCTGGCCGACAATGTAGGCTTTGCCGTCCCTCATATACCAGACAAGAGAGCCCGAGTCTCCTTTGGCGGAGAAGACTTCGCCATGCTTACCGCCCAAATTGTAGACGCCGTACTCGGTTGACTCAATGCCGAGTTCGTTCTTCTTAAACGAAACCAGGCCGGCGAAGATTCCGACGGTGAGGCCGGTGGTGTTCCCATCTTTGCCAACGATAATGCAATGTTTGTCTTCGCTGTCGATATCGGCAGGGTTGGCGAGGTCCTCCTTCGAAGCACAGCCCTCGATCCGGAGCTTTCGCCCAGCGGGATACTTGAACGTCGTGGGACCACCAGCCCGAGGGTAGAACATATCCGTCAGTTGTTGCGGAGCATACTCGGATCCTGAAATGGAGAGCTTTCGTCAGATAGGTGAATGCGACAAAATAGATACCCACCGAGATCCACAACGTTCCCTTCAAACTCATTCTTGACCTTGCCCTCAGCGGCCTCGAAGGCAGCCCAGTCCAGGGTGAAGTTGGTGTCGTCTTCGTCGACGCTGATGGCTACGGAGTGTTGCACGAATCCAATGTTGCGCTGGAGCTTAATATTGGACCATTCGTTCTCGACTTGGACGTGGAAGGCCTCGAGACTGGCGATAGCTCGGTTCTCCTCATTCAACTTGATCCTAGTTTGCTCCAACTCCTCCTCGTCCTCCGGGTCCTGCACCCCCCTCTCCTGCAGTCTGACGATATCTCTAGCCCAATGATCTGCAATGATGACGTAATCAGATACGGCCTTGGTGATGTCGTCCAAGCCGCGCTGGAATCGACGCATGTCACAGACTCGGACATAAATCTTGGGTGCGCCTCCTTTGTGCTCGTAATTTTCGTTGGTCTTCTTGCGCAAAACATGGCAGTTACTGACCCCAAAGACTTTGTCGCTCGGCTTTCCGCTCCTGTCCTTGTTTTCTCTAAACCAGAGGGTAAGAGTGCCCTGCGCATCGTCCTTCTCCATCTCCGAGGTCGCAAGGGAACGCCGAGAAGAGGTGTAAGGAAACGACGGACATGATGGGTGGCGTTGGTGCTGCCGACATGGCGTAGAAGGGGCACGCCAGCCAGAGTCTGCGGGACCGCCTCTCGCCACTCCACGACGACGCCATCGACTCCATGTTTCAACAGGAGCGCAAGGATCTCTCGTGAGACATCTTGGGCGGTAGCGGAGGTAGAACCGGGACTGACACCGACCCAGATGACGACAGGGCCGAGACTCTCCTTCTCCTCCTCTCCCGGTGGTCCGTGGGTAAAGAAACGAGCAGGGTCGATGGACGTCCAGTTGATCTTATGGGCCTTGATAACGTCGCGGATCTGAGGACTGACATTGTCGTCCCAGATACCGTTGAGTGGGGTATCGAAGACTCCACGGACCGACTTGACAGGAATGTGGCCGAATCTGCCGACGGGCTTGGGGAAGGGAGCAGTGAGGTAGTCGGAACGATACACAAGGTCCGGGTGGTCGCCGTCTCCAGCGATGCCATTATAGTAGGACGTCCGTTCGTAGTCGTCGGGACTGTACTCGGAGACAACGGTGGTATCGCTGGCGAAGATGAGGGCAGAGAAATGGGACGACACAGACATATCGCTGAAGGTCGGGGAGCTGGGCAGGCGGGGCAAGCTGGGGTTCCTTGTATTGCTTCCCTACGAGGTTACTGCACTCGAGGGCGAAAAGCGAGAGGTCTGGACAGAAGGTGTTAAGTGTGGTATAGACGTGGAAAGAAGCGAAAAGAACTCGCTCAGCAGTCCCGGGTGATTCTTCATAGTAGTGACGGCCTGGGCCGCAGGTTCAGACACATCTGTGAGGGAATAGGTAAGTATTGACACAGGATGCACTGCAGACGAATGGGTGTAGGAAGGATGAAGAGGAGAGAAGGAGGCGCAGCTCTCCTCTCGATTGACTAATCTAAGCTAGTTCCAGTCGGGAGCTGCCAAGGCAGCGACGAGCGAGGACGACGAGCGAGAAAAAGAGACGAAGGGACTCACCGTCGCCTAGCAGGCCGGCATGTTTTAGTTCGTCGTCACTGAACGGAAAAGCTTCGAGAAGGTCAGCGTGGACGCGACAAAGGGAAAAACGATAGGGTTCACTAGTACAATCCACGGTGAAGTTGAAAACGTAGTGCTGGGCAAGACGCGCAGATGGAGCATAGTGGGTTGGGGACGAGAAGTGAAGGGCCTCCTCTTCAATCACTGCATGTGGTCAACTCCACCGTATGGAGGTCCGCAGTCGTTGGCGATGCTTCAACACGCGGTGCTGCACACTGGGTGAGAAATTCGATAATTTGCACCGAAAATTCATGAAATAAACATAAAGTTTGCCCCTAGGATATGGTTTAGCATATGTTATTATTCCATTACCATTTACAAATGCCCAATAGGTAAAGCAATTTGACACATAGTTATCCAATTTTTATAATACTAATTCACATTTTATTTTCATTTTACATGCAGAAAAACGGCCCCATGTCTGGGCGGTGGCAGGGTCCCTGCTCGCAAATTTGCATTCAGCCTGAAGCAGAAGAAACATACCACTGACGAGCGTGCAATATAAACAGAGAATGCCAATTCATCAGTAATCTACAGCATTTAGCAAGGGAATACACTAATCAGTACTATGCGATCACGTCAACTGCCGAGCCTCTGCGATATATGCTTTGACTTCTCATTTGGCGAGGCTTCACAGCTAGAGGTCTAATCCAAAGTTTGATCAGCCCATACCGAGTAGCGGTGAGTATACCGCGGGAGATGAACATGACATCCGTTAACATGTCGCTTCCGATGTGCTTTACCTTGAATAAGAAGTAATCAGTCGTCGCTAAAACCAACTTAACAATCAGCTGACCAGAACGGGCTGAACGATAGCGACTTCATTTCGGGAGGGAGCGGGGTGGTAGCGTGGTAAGGATGAGTCCGCGAGAGAACCACCTGGGGCGGAAAGGAATACAGTCGAGTTCCCCCGACGTCGATAAGCGAGGGAGACCGAAGATATCATGGACATGCGTTGTTGATGAGCAGCCTCAATGAAGTTCATCAGCAACACTGGTAGACATCAGCGAAAAAATGCCTCACATGGATCTTTGGTCGGTGCAGTGCACCGCTTGAGAAATCCCACTAGCACGCCCCATCACTGTTTGCATATAAATGAAAGGCAATCCTTACTCACCAAGATTAGCTTGTTGTCCTCGCCCACGCTACCAAAACGGTACGTGCGGCCATCGCAGCGTATGGCATCAAAGGCGACTGCAGAAAGGAACGAGGAGTGGCCTTGGCATCTCGCAATAACTCGTTGTTCCCAGGGAGAGATGATGGTTACTAAATCGTCTTGGCCGCCAGTCTAAAGATCACGTTCATCAGAGGCAACTCAATGGAGAATTCATACGTACAAACCAAGATAAACCGACCATCAGGAGACCACGCGACACAAGTCAGTGCACCGAAATACGACGCATAGCAGTCAACGAGTCTAGTAATCGCATCAGATGGCCAATTCGAAACGAGCGACGCTGTATCAACACAATGCTCACTGTTCAGCAACGGTGTCGATGACTCGCAAACAGCCATCTTCAGATATTGCCGCAACAAATTTGGAGTCCGGGGAGAATACGAAGTCTACACATGTACATATTAGACTAATTACAGGTGTAACACAACATGTACCCATACCTACTATGCTTCTACGCGACACCCTCCAGTGGCTAACTGGGTTCTTAGCGGTCTTATCTTTGTCGGGCTTGCCCCCTCCACTAAGGCCGACCCCGGCCGTGACGGGATGCCAAGGAGGCATCGTGACAAATATACTGTCAAAGGGATCCCATTCACCTGGCAGAGAAGTAGGTGGTGTTCCGTCACCCGGGGAGCCCGGGGAGCGACTCGACGGCCCAGGTTCTTGTGGACAGAAAGTACCATCTTCTCGCTCTTTGTCATACACGATGATTGCCCCGTTCGCATGAGAGACGAGCAAGAGATTCGGAGAATCTGGCACCCAGCGTATTGCTGTACATGGTGAGTTGCAGATGCGGCCCTAGCAGGTGAAAGTCAGACGAAAGTCGCGTATTGCTGCGATCGTATCGATATACCTGCTTGTTCAGCCGACAGTAGCGCCAACTTGTAGGATCTATGTGATCTGTTAGTGCATACCAGAGTGACTAGTGCGCCACTCACCAAACCACAGTATGTCTCCAGTGTTGAACCCAATGATCACATCGATGTTGTCGGGAGAGAGAGTCGTCAGATTGACATCATGACAGGTAGGGTGTGCAGCGAAGTGTATTCGCGCCAGTGGTTCCTGTCTCTGGGATGAGCGTTAGCTGCATCAGCTAGGGCATGGCTCACCTTCACTTTGGTACCCGCCTCCGTCAAAATGAAGCTCTTCGCCGAGTTAAAGAACAGAAAGGTTGCGTCTCCTTGTCTTGATTGCAGACTCTTCTGCGCATTGTCTGCATTCTGCAGACGGGTGATGAACGTGGAGGAAGTTGCCTTCAAGCTATGTCGAGGCTTCGCCGCTGCCTTCTTCTTTCCTCCAAGAGCGTGTGAGAAGATGGTGTTTGGCGAGTCGTGGGCAATGACCGGAGATGACCTTATGTTCTCGGGACCAGGAGCCGTTGAGACATCGGGAGATGCATCATCAGGATCCTCGCTACTCGATACGCTTGCCCCGTCTTCTCGTTCCTTCAAGCCCTGGTTGGTTGCTGCATTCTTCTCTTTCTTATACTCCTTCTCGCGCCCACCGCTCAGCAGCTGCGAAAATACCGGAGAGTTCGTGGACTTGGCAGGGTACCGAATTGTGAACGCGGAAACTCGAGTTGGGAACAAGATGGGAACCGCATTCACGGTATGTTGACCAGCTCCGGCTGGTCTGTGCTCCTCGGTCACAGAGTACACGCCTTCGGGAGCGACAAAGGTTGACTCGCTCTCCATGTCGTCTAAGAAAGCGCTGAGAAGCCCCAGTTGTATGTCGTCAAACTCGGCAGTGACGGCGCGGGCGAAGGTCGGGCACTGAAGGGCAGCTGACCGGCGCTGGCTATATTCGTTCCACGATATCGACTGCCATGATACCCCCGAGCTTCAGAAGATTTCCATTGCGATATGCTTCAGCAAGGAACGTAAGTGAAGGAAAGAACGTGGCCTCCCCGCCCTGAATGCTCTGCATCAATTGACAGATCCGCCGCTGGAACTCCACGGTCACCGAATCTCATCCGGCAGGAGGGCATCTTCCTTCCGTAGCCACGTCCTCATTCCTTTGCACCACACGCGATGCAGCCCTTCGCCCGCGTGGTATCACATGGACAGACGAAGGCGAAATGGGTTCCACTGACAATCTCATCCCCGGTCGCGACACACGCAAGATGAACATGTATCAGGCGGTTCGGGACGCGCTCAGGTTAGTTCAATATTGCGGAGTCTCTGGGTGTGAAGCAGCGCCTGTAATCTCATCGTAGCCACGCGATGATGAGAGATGATACCGCAGTCGTGTTTGGCGAGGACGTAGCATTCGGTGGTGTGTTCAGATGCACGATGGTCAGTTATTTCACTTCATGACATATGTCATAAACACTGGTCACTAACAAGTCTGACTGCAAAGGGATTAGCAGAGGAATTTGGTAAGACTATCTTTGACGTGGGCTTCCTGTGGTGCTGATCTCTTTTAGGCAAAGAGCGTGTTTTTAACACGCCACTGAGCGAGCAGGGTATTGCTGGCTTTGGGATTGGTATTGCAGCTATGGGCCATACTGCTATTGCCGAAATTCAATTCGCCGACTACATCTTTCCGGCCTTCGATCAGGTGCGTTTCCAGTTCAGCGAAATGAACAGCAGCAAACTGCCCGTAGATTGTCAACGAAGCTGCGAAGTATCGATTTCGGTCCAGTGGCCAGTTCCAAGCAGGAACGCTCACAATACGGTGTCCATCAATGGCAGTGGGTCACGGAGGCCACTACCATTCGCAAAGCCCAGAAGGTTTCTTTATGGGTGCTGCTGGCATCAAGGTCTCGTTCATATAAGTTGCGTGCTCTCAGCATGTTTCTTACTGACGAGCGGCTGCAGATCGTAATTCCACGGTCACCAATCCAAGCTAAGGGTCTTTTGTTGTCCTCGATCCGCGATCCAAACCCAGTGATCTTCATGGAACCGAAAATTCTGTATCGTTCTTCAGGTACGCGTGACAATAACGGCTTTGCGCGGCTGCATAATGATCGTCTATTCGTATTTAGTCGAGCAAGTCCCTTTGGATGATTATCAGCTTCCCCTTGGTCGTGCAGAAACCTTAGTCTCGGGTTCGGATCTCACCCTACTGTCATGGGGTACACCAATATACCACTGCGAGACTGCTATGCACATGTTATCTACCCCTCCCGATGCACTCGCCTCTCACATCCCCTCTTCTCTGCGTTCCGCGAAGATTGAGTTAATCGATCTACGCACGATCCTTCCATGGGATATCGAAACTGTCGTCGAGAGCGTCAGTCGTACAGGCAGGCTGGTAATCGTCCACGAAGCAGGTCGGATAGGTGGGGTCGGGGCTGAAATCAGTGCCGAGATTCAGAAGAGATGTTTCCTTAAATTAAATGCCCCGGTGATGCTCGTCACTGGCTGGGAGTAAGCTGCACTTTCCTTATTTTTATAGTGATCATTTCACTGATGGGTCTCGTCGGCATAGCACACCCGTTCCTATGCAATTTGAGAAATTCTACGTGCCGGATGCTTTACGCGTTGTCGATGCTGTGGTGGAGACGCTCTCGTACTAACTGAGATTGTTGTACATCCGAGCGCAGTTTTGTATTGTTGATGAAGTCCTGGAAACATCTATGTAATAGTGACGGTGTGTATGTGACAAATACGTTGTACGACTCGTCGCCCTGGAAGTCGGAAGAGACGGGTCAAATCCGAAGCAGCAGTCTCCCTGTCGTATGCGAGCAGAAGTATGGTGAAGTACTTATGAATATGATGTTTCTGAATGTAGTCACTGATCCAAAAGACCTGTCACAAACTCACAGACTACAGTGCCACTGAGCCTCTGCCATCGTCTCTCGCCAAAGATGATAGCGGTCACGGGCTTCCGGCTTATTCCGGGGGCCTCACGTATATTAGAGTAGTCGAGCACATTGGCTATAACCCGAGAATAGTGTGTGAGGGGGAGGAGGAAGTGAGAAAGATGAGTGCGAGAGGGGAATGAGTTCAGGAAAGGACATAAAGTTAGCGGAGTGCACGTGACTGACTTCACAATCCGTCCGCGCCACAAGGCAACAGCGTCGTCCCAATTCACACGGTACCGCCGAGTACAAACTCTGCTTGAAACTGCATAACAACGCATCTGCAAATCTTCTCAAATTTGTGCTTGGACTGGTTCAGTTGCCTTGTTCACTCAGGATGGATGGGCAAGTCCTCAACGTGACGTGTGGTAATATGCATTTAACGGAGACTGTATAGCTTGGAATTAAATATACATCAACTCATACTGGAAGACATTGCCGCCAATGTTGGGGAATCAAAGCACAACCTTGATGATCCTGACGTCCTGTCTACGGTCGATTTGGTGACATCTAACGTGGAGACACGTGTTACAGATGAAGCAACGGACTCCGTGAGCGGTCGGCAAGAAAGGGTGTTTATGGTGAGTGTCGTCTATGACGTTGATAAAAGCAAGGAATCTGAATCCTGCACAGACTAACTCAAGAGTTCAATGCAACATCGGATTCGCCGAGCTCGCTATAAACCTCCCAGACACCCACGTCGATCAGACAGTCCCGGTCCTTGTCGATATTCTAAGAGACGTTCCGTACATCGATTTCGATCAATGTCTCTTTTGGGATGGCGAGTAAAGATGATAAATCCTATGCTTGTAGCGACTGACTGGGCAATCTTAGAATGGGCTTTACCCGACCAGCTGGTCTTCGCCACGGTGTCAGCCGTCCTCCGCATTGCTGGTGCTCATTCAAGCTATCGTGACATTGCTATGACTGCGATAACGCACTTCATCGATGAGACCGTGCGCATGTTAAGAATTGGCGAAGGTGAACAACTTACTAGCTTCCCATACAATGATGATTGGTGACTGTCGTTGTAGCCGCTGAAGTCTTGACGCAGGTTGCGCCTGCATTTCATGGATTTTATCGCGCAATCATATCCACACCATTTGACTGGTCGCCCGCAGAATGGTCGACTCTTGCCAGATATCTCAATGCTTTGTTCGGAACTGACGTGGTGGACCGTTTAAATCGACTATTTGTCAATATTGCACCATCTGCAACTGAAGAGGAAGACAGCGATCAAATTCGCTATGTACAGACTCTGTTCACTCGCTACGTTGCACATGGCCGACCGTTGAGTGGTTACTTCATCATGTGTTGTGTAACTGAAGCGCAGTGGACCATACTCGCGCAAGCGCTGACACCTCATCATGTCATGGCTGAGTCGACACAATCACATTTTATTGAAGCTGCGGCCGCAAACAAAGCCTTGCAGGCGCTATCGCGGCATGCCATCAACGGCTGGAGAAACGGCGAAGAAGATTATCGAGATGCACTCAAAGCTACCCTCGCTCATTCCGTGCGATCATTTTCTGATTTGCTATTGCAAGTGGAGGAAACGGATGGTCCCATATCTGAGGATAGCTATGCGTGGGAAACCATGTCCGAGAACTTGGTATGTGAATCGTTTAAGTTTGCGTGAATCGCAATTGATCTACATTGATAAATAGAAATTGGCAGCCGTCTGTTCATCGGCATTGGGTGAACTTGACAGAGGGCTCTCTTCGCGGCTCAAAGTGTTGCTTGGTATTGAATCACCAATGATTGACAATATGGTCAGAGAAGCCGCGCTTACGTCAACTGCTATTCTTGTCCGCAAGTATGTGCCGAAGTCGTAGTTGTATGATTGCTAATCCTAGCTGACGCGCTTCAAAAGTTTTCCCGATATTGCATTGGATATGGCCAGCCATATTCGCCGCTGGGTCACATCACCGTTGTCGATCTTCGAATTCGAGTTTGCGACTGGTACTAGAGCCCCTCCTCCCCTCGTCGCCGCCGCGAAGTGCCTTGCCCTGTGTATTAACGTAGGTATCCTTGCTCTCGGATGTGTCAGTGATTGACGCGGCATCAGTTGGCGCCAGGAGACGACCAAGTCATGTCCCACATGTACTCACTCCTGAATTATATTGCCGCCACTAGCAAGGATCTTTTTGAGGGAACAATTTCCAATTCTTCTTCCCTGACAGAGATCACGGAGTTGTCCACGTTACGCTCCATCGAGATCGGATTGCGCGGATTATCGGAAGAGGAGAAGAGAACAGTCGGTATCAGTAGTATCTCGATTGCGACAAGATTAGCGCTTGAGTTCCGCTCAGAGCAGGTGACGCAATTACACTACGCATATCCGCGACGATCAGATGACTGACGACCCGCAGGTCACTCGACTGACGATCTCAATGTTGCTCCAGAGATTGCGATCAGCAGAGCCTACCGTCGAGGCGGCGATTGCATATAATTTGGTCGACCTTGCTCTGGTTGCCCCAGAGAATTCATTTGTCGACATCATCCGCGCATTTTCAGCGATCAACCGTTCTGCCAACCTGGATGACCCGAGGTTCTCAAACAATCAAGTATGTCCTGTGTGATAGTTTCATGCGTTGCTGCTTATGCTGTTACAGGTGCTCGCAGCTCAGACGAGACTTGCTCAAGAGATGTATCGCAGGCCGGAGTTATACGAGATATATCTTGTCGAGCTTTTGACCCTTTTTGCGGATAAAGCTGTTGCTATTCAGAGTGTTGCTATCTCGAACCATCATGTTCAAGTGAGTGCTTCTATGAGCATTGACCTGGCGGTCTCACGTTGAATGGTATCAGATAGACGACATGGTCGAACAGCTTGGATCCATTCTGCTTCCCATTGATGCTCTCTTGACTCATGACGACTTCAAGCTACAAATTGGCATACCTTCGAATGTCGTGACATTATTCCGAAACATGTGGTTCCTTTGCGTTCTTTTTCGATTCACCACCTCTGACGACCACTCGGCGATGGATTGGCAACGACCCGCATTGGCTCGCATCGCTATGAAGACACCTCCCATTGTTTTAGAAGAAGTCCATGACACGATTGTCAGCGACCTAGAGTATAACACCGTAATTCGTCAAGAATATATTGAGATGGTGAGTCTCCTTTGAATTGGCTTGACTCTCGTTCCGATATATAGATGTCCAGATAATTTCACATCATCGCCTCCTATTAGCAAAATACATACCCTTGCGAATCAGCGAGATCCGCTCTCTGTTGCCCGGACAAATCGTGTTTCTATTGGCAATGCATGACATGGAGAGCATGCGTTCTGCTGGCGGGCTTCCATCGTCGGTAGTGTCTTACTTCATCAACAACGGGCTGAACAAGAATACTGCGTTGAGCGCTTGTGTTGACTCGGTGGCTGAAAAGGTAAGGTTATCGTTTCATGTCTGCATGTGTTTAATATTATTCATGGTTCCTAGATCATCCAAGGATGTATCACTGACCTCAATAGCCAAGCTGCCAGGCAGGCCCTTCCACGAGCACTTCCCGAGGAATTGCGGTCGTTGCTTGTATGCAGCACACATCGCATCGCCAAAGCTCGAGATATTGCATCACGATACCTGAACCGTCTAATTACCTCGTTTCCCTCGCTCATGTGTGACCCACCCCTGGTGTTCGCAATATTGGAAGTTTTGACGTTGATGCGGCGAGCATGCGAGAACGAGTTCATCGACGAAGTGCATCTACATCGTTGATACTCATTCTCAGGCGTCTGATTATGGTGCATCTCTCCAGGACAACCCAGTCTACGTGTACCATTCAGAGCGAGCAAATGTCACACTGCAACTCCCAGACAACTATGAAGTTCGCAATCAGATGCTATTTCAACTGAACAGGGATGCCAATAACTGGTTTGAGCTTGCCTTGAGTCGGGCTCCCGTTGAGTTGCATTCGACTCTACAGGTCAGCACATGTTTCATGCAAATGCTGCTCGACTGAAACCCTAATAGAAATATCTTGCCGTCAATCAAGTGCTATCTGTAAGCGAAGTCTCAGAGCTAGGCGCCTCCATTGCATCGCAGTACGGCAAGGCGATTGGGCCTATCGACCGTAAACTGAGTACGTACAGCACGTGCTTTTGATAAGACTGTGCTTAAAGGTCTATCAGCGTCTCTATCTACCTTCTCAAATTGGAAGCTTGACCGAGCGAAGACGTTGGCCAGCCAACTTGCTTCCAAAGGGTTCTTCGCCGGTGAAGTGACAGCCTCTAGAGTTGGATGGACAAATGGTAGAAAGGTGTCTATTTGCTCGACATCTCTGCGCTAAACCTCTGTCTTGCAGTTTCTTTGCAGCAAGCCATGGCTACTTCCGAACCTGTTCCATCGCATGAGATCGAGAAGCTGAAGAGCAAGCTTATGGACGCCATCCAAGATATTAGAGAGAAGCGGCACCCAATGGCCGTTCAAGACCTCAAACGTCTTCTCTTCCGCTCTGCAGCTACCCTCATATTTGGAGAAAAGGTCAGTGTGGTAGTGCGACACTTCTGAGTGAACTGACAAGTTGAAACTGGCGTAGTATGACTACGATCTATTGCACTATCTTGTAGCGTTGCCTTTCGAGGCGTTTGCTTCATCTGCCATTTCTACCGGAATTGAAGCGTGGTCCTGGTTGATTGCCGAAAAACCTGATTATGAGGTTACTTTGATGTCAGAGATTGGCTCAGCGTGGATCTCTACTATCAAGCATGAGAAAGGCATGTTCTCCACATCCCTGAAGTGAGTTTCAAGCATGAATTACTACTGTGGAAGCTCACAAGAAAATTAGTTATTCTGACCCATTTATACATCCCATCGAGTACAATCCCACCGACAAGGACCTGATCGATCGCGCCTCCGCGAGCGCACGACGCCGTTTGGTGCCACACGTGCTCATTCTACAATTTCTATTCAGCAGAATGCAGGCTGCGCGGTACAGGAGACCTGGACTTATGCTTCTCATTCAACGTCTAGCAATGTCATCCGCTCGTGCTCATGCATCGATCAGGTGAGTGCAAATATGCGACTCTGGTAGTTTCAGCACGGTGCAGATAATACCTCGCTAGTACTCACCCTTTGGCGCGCGAAGCTCGCTTCTCGTTCTTGCTGTTCGCGTTTGAAACCATGAAAAGCTCACACTTGGATATTTACTGTGAACATCAATTCCGGCAATGTCTCTACACGGCTGCCTTCTCCTGGTTCAGCACGCGTCCGCAGTACGAGGTCATTTTCGGTTTAGTCTGACGTTTCGTGACCGAGGGTTATCAGATGGTCCTACGGGTCAAATCGCATTCAAATTAATGCTGATATCAAGCTGCTGTCAGAGTTTCTCAACCATCTCCAGACGGATTCGATCAGAGGCATCCAGACAATCTCAAGCATGAGCCCTGCGCGTTCATCTGCTCTCGCCTCTAGTGTGTACAACCGCGGATCATGCTTCCCGGTCCTGAGATTCATGTATTGAACAGGATATCTGGCATCTTTGAAGAACGTGAATTTACCTCTGCGACTCTTGATCGAGAACGAGATATTCCGCCTCACTGTCTGGTCGAACCCTGCCAACGAGCCAAAACGTGGTGCAGATCATTTGATCTCAATAGAGAAGACTATGTTGGACGTGAGTCTTGTATTACAGCACTCTGGCCGATCATCGCGCTGAATGTCAGCAGAGCTCGTGGGTCAGAACAATTCGAATGGCATGGGACATCGATCCTGCAATTGCTATATTTCTTGCCGAACGTTTCAATCACGCCGTAGTCGACAGTGAAGTCGCTCAGCTCGTGCGTTCCAATACTCTGGATGTGTTGCATGTACCGGAAGCCTTGCGTTTCCTGTTTGGGGAGAAGCTTGATCAGAACGTTCAACGGGATTTGAAGGTTTGTCTCATGCTGGATTGTAGTTATAGTCACTTGAAAGGCCTCCAGTACGTGCTCTTATGGGACCCCGTCCCGCCGATCCTGGCAGTAAACCTTTTCGAGAGTCGCTATAACAACGACGCGGTCCTTTTGCAATATGCCCATCGAGTGCTCGAGCAACATCCAGTCGACCTCACGTTCTTCTTCGTACCCCAAATCGTGCAGGCATTACGTTATGATGCTTTTGGTATGTGTCCTTTCGTGCAGAGCTCCCAGTCCCTAATGTTATTGAAGGATACGTACAGCGGTTCATTTTTGAGACCGCCAAGATTTCGCAGCACTTCTGCCACCAGATTATCTGGAACATGAAGGCTAATTGTTACAAAGATGATGCTGGAGAGATCGTGAGTTCAGCTTCGAGGCATGCGCGAACCAGTCTATGAACATCATATCATAGGAGGATCCGATGAAGCCCCTGCTCGATGACATGACAGAAAGGGTTGCGCGATCTCTTTCTGGGGAAGCAAGAGTCTTCTACGATCGCGAGTTTAGTTTCTTCGATGAGATAACGTCCATTTCAGGCAAGCTGAAGCCCTACATTAAAAAAACGAAGCCAGAGAAGAAGGTCTGCTTTATTCAATGAGCGTAGTCTCCTAGATTTTAAGTGTCTGGTTGTAGGCCAAGATCGACGAGGAGATGGCTAAGATCAACGTGGAAGTTGGCGTCTATTTACCCAGTAACCCAGACGGCGTCGTTGTTGACATTGACAAGAAATCCGGACGCCCATTGCAGAGTCACGCCAAGGTACGTTGAAAGCGCACATGTTGCTCCAGTGAATCTGACATTAATACATTCCAGGCACCCTTCATGGCGACTTTTAAAGTGAGGAAGGAGCGTGTGGTAGTGGATCTGCAACCGGACAGTGTACTCGACGGCGAGATTCAAGGGGAACACATTGAGGAGTATGATATTTGGCAACAAGCAATCTTCAAAGTCGGGGACGACTGTCGTCAAGACGTGCTCGCTCTTCAAGTCATCGCAATGTTCAAGAACATCTTCATCAGTGTGGGCTTGATGCTATATGTCTTCCCATACAGGGTCACGGCTACTGCGCCTGGTGTCAGTCCATAATAATTCTGAGAGAATCTCTCTGATGACTCATTTTCAGTGTGGTGTGATTGATGTCGTGCCAAATGCCACCTCTCGTGACGAGATGGGAAGAGCGAAAGTCAATGATCTCATGGACTTCTTCATCGCCAAATATGGTGGCGAAGACACGATCGAGTTCCAGAAGGCGCGCTTGAATTTCATCCAGTCAATGGCAGCGTACTCTGTGGTCTGTTACATACTGCAAGTGAAGGATCGACACAATGGTAACATCATGATTGATGGCGAAGGCCACATTGTACACATTGGTACGAGTCCTAGTCCTCCATTCACTGGGAATCCTTGGTATTCAGCTTTCAACAGACTTTGGATTCCTGTTCGACATAGATAAGTTTTTATCCCCTTCATTCTTCGCTATGAAAACTGATTTCTCATTTGGCCGTCGTTACGTCCCGGAGTGAGTACTACGTCAGCGATGCTGTATCGAGAATCATTGATTAAATATTCCACACAGGGCGTCAAATTTGAACCGAATTCGTTCAAGCTCACGCACGAGATGGTCGTTCTGATGGGAGGGCGTTACTCGCAAGGCTATCAGCTATTCCAGCAGCTGACGGTCAAAGCGTTTCTTGCCATTCGGCCCTATGCAGATCAACTGGTCAGCATGGTTCGAATGATGCTCGACACTCAGCTCCCGTCATTCAAGGGAGAGCCTACGATCAAGAGGCTCAGAGATCGCTTCGCCTTAGGATTAAATGAACGGCAAGCAGCTGAGTGGATGATGGCTATCGTACGCAATGCCCATGAGAACGTCCGGAGCACTGCATACGACGAGTTCCAGCGTGTGAGTCTTAAACCATGCACTATCTGTCGGGATCGCGCTAAATTATTGGTTGCAGTTGCAGAATGGTGAGTCGTCGTTCGATGGTCTGGAGCAAGCTCTGAGAGAATGTATAGGTATTCCTTACAAGTAGCGGATATTTTGTTTGTTTTGTCTAAATCCACAGTCCGTAAATGATGGTTTTCTTGATGATGGTATCCATTTCCACTGCATGTGACTCTATGCGACTGTATCAATTGCACCACGTGTAGGGTAGTGACGCTTCCGGGCCGCCGGCGAAGGCCAACATCGATATCGCTGAGCGCTCTGGTATCGTCCTTTGTGCACTCACCATTCACCCTCACGACGCAGTGACCACACTCAACAGACACTGCTATAGTTAGTTGCGGCTCAAAGAGTAAGATGGAGATTTCGTTGAGTAACGTTGCGTTCAATGCGAGCACTTGGGATATCAAACGCGCTGTGGGGAAAGTGTTGCACAGCGAGGAGTTCTTCAATCCTACGGATCCTAAGGATCGTCCTGCGTATGTACCTTCCTAACACCTCGCAGTCGATGCGACTCTATCCCGCGCGCTTCCACAGGAATTTCATGGTCACGCTCAAGCCAGGCCGCGGTGGCGTAGAAAATAATGGAACAGGAACAATGACAGTTGGTTCTCGAAGAATTGGCGACAAATTCCTGAAGTGGATACGTACCGAAGGCAACTCTATTCATGTAAATGGTTCCAAGATACGTTTCTACCGAAGCCACGACATGCCTGAGAAGCGGAAGATCCACGAACTGGAGAAAGTCCCATACGTCAGCCCGGATGTGGAGGAAGAGAAGGAAGAGATCTTGCGAAAGCTCGATGTCAGCTTATACGTTGACAAGATCCAGTTTGGCATATTCTATCGACAGCCTGGATCACCATCGACTGCTTCTCGAGCCTTCTCTTGCGAGTTTGGAATCAGTCACAAAAATAAAGGCGCTGGGTTGCTTTGGTTCGAGTACGACCACAAGCTAATCCGTATTCAAGTACGCCTCTCCAAAATTGTTCCAGAGAAGAGCTATTCATCATCACTTGCAACAGATGGGAGATACTATGACCGAAGAGACCGCGCATAACATTGCCATCACATTTGTTAATATTCGTAAACTCGCCGTCGGCCTGGACTTTGGCAACCCTTGTCAGTATATCTCTTAAAGAATAAGTCATATCACATCTGAATATCTCACCCAGTCATCTGTTTTGATATATTCACTCCACCCATGTTGGAGAAACAACGCATCAACCGAGAGCTCACTGGTGACGACTGGAGAGATAATCGGAAGTTTCGACAAAGGCTCAGTAGTTTGACTGATGCGCATGCGGTCGTGGCACCATATGCTCACCAGCTTCGTGTTATCCTCCATGAGGAGCAGGACGTCCGTTGCTTTGCAGAGCTATGCAAAGTTGCGGGTCTTCAGCCTCCTGTCTGGGCTAACGTCGAAGCCAACAACTGTGGGTTCTTCCACCCGAAAAAGCTCTACGACATCAAAGTATGGGTGCGCTTTTTTGACTGGCCCGTTGCCTTCCAGCTTGAGGCTCTTCTTCATAATGGCTTGTTGACTACTGAAGATCTGCTCGGTGTCCTGCGTAGGCCCATTGATGACCTCTACGACAAGCAGCGCCTGCAGGCTGGCGAGATTCTTCGCCTCTACTTCGCGGAGCTACGTTCTCGTAAGCCTGGGGAAACTCCTATGCAGTGCTTTAATCGTATTCGAAACGAAAACGTGGAATCTACGCCCCTCCCTCCTGGCAACTTCGCTTGTCATCATATCACGTTCACTCCAACGCGGATGATACTGGAAGGCCCTTACGTGATACAATCTAATCGTGTCATTCGCCGGTACCCGGACCATCAAGAGCACTTCATACGAGTAGAGTTCAGAGATGAAGATCGATTGCAGTATCGTTGGGCGCGTGAGGTTTGTGAAATTGTTGCGGCACGGCGACGTATGGATTTATCTCTTGTACTAGGTTGACGGGCTGTCTCTGCTCGAGGAGCGCGTAGGTGGAGTCCTCAAGAATGGCTTTGAACTCGCGGGACGTGAGTTTGAGTTCCTTGCTTACTCCTCCTCGGCGCTGCGCGAGCATTCGGTCTGGTTCATGAATCCCTTCCACCATCCCACCGAAGGCCATGTCACCTCCCAGAGAATCAGAGATAGCCTGGGTGACTTCTCGGGCGTAATTAGACAACCGTCAAAATATGCAGCTCGCATAGCACAGGCCTTCACGGCCACCGACCCGTCGGTCTCGATCACGAAGGATCAGTGGGAAGAGATGGATGATCTGGGGCACGGAGATTACCTGTTCACTGATGGCGTTGGTACGATATCGGTGCAATTAGGTGATATGATTTGGGAGGCACTATGCAATGCCAGACCAGAATCGAGGCAAAGAGGTCTCAAACCATCTGCCGTAAGTCTTTCGTGATTCTCTGTCCGAGGGACGTGAGGGCTTATGAGATGAGAAACCACTAGTATCAGATACGTTTCCTTGGTGCGTATTCTAATCATGTACATAATAGGGCTTCTCTCAAGAGATAGTGCAGGTTATAAGGGTATGGTAGTCATCGATGCGCGACTAGACGGTGTTAAGATGAGACTGAGGCCATCTATGAACAAGTTCAAGGCCCATAACGAGGACCTGGCAGAGATTGAGATTGCCCGAGCATTTGAGCGACCGGGAAAGTGCTATCTGAACCGGTGAGTACGATTTGTACGTGTAGTTGCATCAGCTAATTTGCCTTTTTGATAGTCCATTAGTCATGATTCTGGAGGACCGCGGCGTCGATAAAAAGGCCTTTTTGAACCTACAGGAGACTGCCAAGACGGCTGTTTACACAGCCACGGATTCCATCGCAAATGCCGTCAACTTTCTCAGAGGCCATCAGCTGGGCACAGCGTTCCGCCTTCCTTACATATTGGAGTCTCTAAAGAAGCTTGGCATGGGCTTTGGGATCGAACATGCAGAACGCACGATCGACAACCCTTTTATTGACCGGTTGATCCACTACTCGAAAAACCACGTTTTGCGCGACATCAGGCATGGAGCGCGTATTCTCATCCCGGATAGTTATTTGCTCGTTGGCGTCGCTGATGAAGGACCTGCCTACCAACAAGAGGGTGTCGAGAATGTCTTCTGTCTGAGTCGAGGCCAGATTTATGGTACGTCTGTCAGCACCCACCGTCCGTGCATACTATGATGTGACATGCTACAGCGTGCATACAAGATCCAGATGATGAGGCTCCCAGGTACCTCAAAGGTGCGATTGTCTCTGTTATATCCGTGAGAGCTTCCTTTAATCTTCGCACATGCAGGTGCTATGATCATCGAGCGAAGTCCAGTGGTCCATCCAGGAGATGGTTGGTTCGTTATTTGATCTACTTGTATAATTCCTAATTATCATGCAGTTCAACGAGTCACTGCTATTGGTGAACCTCCAGCCGACAAAGTCTGTTTCTTCCGTAACCTGAAGAACGTCGTTGTGCTGCCATCAGTCGGTGAGGCGTTATCTTGGCTCTGACGTGTAGTTGCTGGCTGACATCACTCTATTAGGTGACCGTTCGTTGGCGTCCTGTCTCGGAGGTGGCGATTTAGATGGGTGAGAACTCTGCATCGCCCAAGCCAGATGACGCTGACCACTTCCGTAGAGATCTCTTTTCTGTCATTAAGTACGGTGCGCTACTCCCGCCAGAACATGAAGAACCAGCAGAGTATCCTCCGGGCGAGAAGAACGAGCTCGACCGCGATAGTACAATAGAGGACATATGTGACTTCGTCGTTGAATATTTCAACTCTGATGTCCTCGTATGTGACTTTCATTGGACTTCCAGAATCGCTGTGCTAATCAATGGCAGGGTCTATTGTCCGACAGGCATCTCGTAATAGCAGGTAAGTCATCGACGTCTTCAGCTCGCTGTGTCGTCCATGCTTATGTGTTCCTTGCCAGACCAATCGAAGGTACTTGGAGCCGCTTTGTTTGGTTTACTCAGCTCATACATACTCCAGAATGGGACGCGTGATAAGAAGTGTCTGAAGCTCGCTCAACTCTGCAGTCAAGCAGTGGATTATCCCAAAAACGGAGTGCCCGTGGACATCCATGACTTGCCTCGATATCTGATCCCTTACAAACCTGACTGGCATATGGTGGGATTCAACATAGAGTCGTTACAATGAATCTACATTGACACGAGCGTCGACAGGCTGAAGATGTGAATCCACTTCATACAGAGTTCTACAATTCGACCCGTGCACTCGGAGAACTGTACCGAAACATACAAATTGTGAACCCGACGGCGTCGTCACAAGCGGGCCCCGCGACCAACGGAGGCTCATCCAAAGTAAAGCCACTGTCAGATGCCATCTCAGCGGCCTTAAAGCCCTCCATTGAATACCAGCTGCATCACTCTCGCAGTGAGGACCGTTACGTTGCGGACATGTCCAAGCTCTTCCAGAAGTACGCGGATGAGCTGCGCTATATTTGTATGACTCACACACTCTCCGACGCGCCGGACGTGCGGCTGGTCGAGGAAGAGGTAGTGGTCGGAACGATCATGGCGAAATGTTCGCAGAAACGTTGGCGGCAAGATCGTATGCAGCGGATGCGTTTGCACTCGTCGACGCTTGTCAAGCATGTCAAACTGCAGCTGTTCAATCCAACGCAACCTTGTTCACGTAGTGACCTAACTTACGCTCTGTCGCAAGCTTGGCTTGCATGGGACTTCAGCTCGCGGAACAAGACGGTTTTTGGAGCTAACAGCTTCGGTTTGATCGCTTTGGAAGTGGTATTTGATATACTTGACAAACTCACTGTAACGCCTCTGTAGATTCTTTTGATCCATGTAATCCCCGACGGTTCGCAATTAGGTTGTAGTCTACTCGGGATTGGCTGAAGAACAAGGAACAGAGGTGTCCCAGGGATCTTTCTTCGATGTACTGCGCAGTCAAATGGATTTGTATGTACTCTAGGGTGCATGAAGGGAACGGGTCACTTCCACAAGGCATGTACTATCGACGTGATACAGCCTGAGGATCAGTCCATCTGCCCTTCCGAGCTCCATCATCTCAGGCATTTGGCCCACTTAAGTGAGAACGAATCCGCTGTTCACACTACGTCCTTTTCAGTGTTGCACAGCCATTCGAGCAACCTACCGATGGATGGCCCGGATCAGTCGGCTAGCGCGAATCAGATAATGATGTGTAGCTACAATGCGTATGACTTGCTGATGTTGAACCTCTGCAGGTGTGTAGGCAAATTCTGGCAAAAATAAGAGATACAGCGGAGACACGTGGGTTTTGCAGTATACTATATCCAACGTGGCCGGCGGCGAGCTCTCGCCCATCTGTCAGCTACGAGCGTGCAATTGGAACAACGATGAATGACAGCACCTTGCTGCGGAATCCAAAGACGACACCTAATAAGGTGTTCGTGATCATCCATGTCGCCTCGTGCGCTTCTATCAGTCGACAATCGACCAAGAAGATATCTAGTCAAAGTGCTCACCCCAAACTCTCGTCCCAAACGCTACAGTTATTCTCGTTGGGACAACCGACGCGATTAAGAGTACAAAGAGTGGTGCGAGAAAGCGCGCGGTTCTTGATGAGGTACGAGCATAAGAGAGACAACGAAGTGACAATAACGTAAATGCACGCTACGGAATGCGTAAGGCATAGTATGCTTCTCACTGTAAATAAGGTTCGACATACTCCTAGCCACGTTGGCATGCTTTTTGACCCCTTTGCTGAAGCCTCGATTCTGTTTTTTTCTCGACGTCTACGACCTTTTCGGTGTTTCTATTCCCAATACGCGAGATTTTGGAAATCCTGACTGTAGCGGAGATACAGTTAAAGTTAAACAGCAATCCTAGATTGACAACCACAGTTAGGTCAACAACCACATAAGTTCACCTAGGATGCAACCCTTGCTTGGCCAAGTTATCTGCGGACATATTGTAGCGCGAAACGTTCAGAGGCGCCAGCACTAGCTGGAAGGAACCGCTGCATTGTTGGAAGTACATAAATCGATGACCGTACCAGCCATGGCAACAGTCGCCAGACCGAGCGCAGGCATGCATGCAAGGCACAGCCAGAGTCTGAGACGCGACCGAGATGAATTTCCGTGTGTCGTTTCATAAAGATAGCGGACGGTCATGATGAAAGCCTGGACACCGATGAGGACAGGCAATGCGAAGCATGGGCACGTCCAAATTCCCAACAACGACAGGACAGAAAGCCCGCGAGGTTTGTCCCTGAGCCTGTCGTGCTGCACGAGTTAGAATGCCATGCATCCAGTCATCACTCTACGTACTGTTTATTGCTGTTTAGAACAACTTAAACGAAGTCTTTGGGGGCGCGATCAAGCAATTTGCCAGCAGAACGCTCTCCAAAGTGTTGGAAAAGGTTGTACTTGGAATGTGTGCACGACCAAGGATGACGCTAGAAGGTTCATGACACTCATGCGGTCTTGCGCATCAGAGACGAGCAAATATATGTTCCGATCTTTTCTCCCTAAAGGCCCTGCAGTGTTGAGCTTCTCTACTGTTCCATAATCTCGAGGAATGCAGCAAGATTAGCAAGAGCAAGAGATACGACGAACGTTCAGCTAGAGCGAGGATCGGACATCATTCTCTCAGCATGCATTGAAACCATTCCGAGTCATGTAGTCGAATGATGCGCCCTTGAGCGATCACCTAGGGTAGAAAACAAGCAGTGACGGATTTACGAGAAAGCCAAATTGATCGAAGGCGCGAACTTTGCCGCAGGCGACCGTGCGGGCCACAGCAACCGATATGATGTCGAGCTCAGGTCGACTGCGGAAGCGTCCTGCTATCTGGCTCTGCCACTCACTGTTATTTAGAGTCGTTCTACTGCTATCCTGTCTTACGCGCAGCCATGCCTTCAGACTCGGTCAGAGGGAGCTCACTCAGCTGTCCCCAGACGCGATTTTCTCGCTAGTCTCTTCACCAGACCCTGTGCGCAATGTCGATCCTTCGAACCCGGATTCGCATCTGGCTCACATCCTCATACCCCGTCCGCCTGACACCGAGAATAACACTATGGTCAAGGACTACATTGTCTCAACCATGCAGCATTTAAACTGGCACGTCGAAGAGGACACGTTCACGGACAACACCCCATACGGCACGAAACGCTTCACGAATGTCATTGCAACCAAGGACCCGTCTGCCTCCCGCCGCGTCATTTTGTCCGCACATTTTGACAGCAAGTTCTTTCTCAATTATCCCCGGAGCCAGGTGCGCACGGTACACGTCCACAGCGCCTATAGGGTTGCTGACGGTAGTAGTTTGTAGGTGCGACTGACTCGGCCGCACCATGCGCATTCATGCTTGATCTAGCAGAGGCTCTCGACCCTCTCTTCTATGAACGGCAACAGCGTCTGGAGGACGGAGAGGAGGAAGATGATGATGTCGCGGAGACGACTCTTCAGTTGGTCTTCTTCGATGGTGAAGAGGCCTTCAACACATGGACGAACACAGACTCTATCTACGGTGCAAGGTATGTTCCCTTCTTCGCTGCTCGGCTCATTCTGAGGTGGAATTACCACCTGTCCCAGGCACCTCGCAAAGAAATGGGCCACCACTTACGTCAACCCTCAAGCCAAGCGGCGATTGTTGCCCTCTATGATTACGGAGCTCTCAACTATAGAGCATCTCATATTGCTCGACCTGCTCGGTGCTCCTCATCCAACAATCCGCTCGTCGTTTCTTGACACCGCCTGGCTGTTTGATGCAATGGCATCGGCCGAGCGCCGACTGGGGGACAGCGGCGCGTTTGCGTACGATGGCCAGGCTGCAAATAACTGGACGAGTTTTTTCATCCCTCGAAATAATATGCACAACTTTGGTGGTATTGAAGACGACCATATACCTTTCCTACGGGCAGGCGTTAGCGTCCTGCATGTCATTGCGAACCCCTTCCCTAGTGTGTGGCACACCCTACAGGTTTGTACATTATCCAGAAAGGCGTTATGATGCTCTCATTGACCAGATAAATCTATATATTCTATCACAGGATGACGCTACTGCTTTGGACGTGCCTACGATGCGTCGGTGGAACCTAATTCTCCGAGTCTTCATGAGCGAATATCTCGGTCTCCGGCCATCAGCCATAGCCAGATCTCGAGACACGAAAGCGGATCTCCATCGTTCTTTTGACGAGCTCGTGAGAACAGCCCATATCAGTTAAGTCCTTACAGTTACTGACGCTTTATCAGTAGCATTCGGATGTTGAGGCTGAGACAAGTATAATGTCTGCCGATTTAACACATGGTGCCAGAGAATGAGCATATACCGGACAGACTGCGGAGATATTTCTCATCGCAGGATACATGGTAACGAGTCGGTTCGGAAGCGCAAGCAGACTGAAGTAGAGCCTCTCCGACGCATAATCATTCCCGATGCTCAAGAAAGCAAGAGAGCTTTGTAGTGCTTGATGAGTGCTGTGGCGTCTGTGGCGAGCTGTGGCACATGCATATGAACGATGCTTTAACAACAATCTTTTGAAGGTGCGCACCTTCTGATTCTCTATGTTCTCGTCCATCCGGGCCCTCGCATTCATCACAAGCCTACGGCGTGATCTCTGGCGTCCCACCGCGTGGGCCTCCACTGCAACGGCGGTCAGCATATCAAGGTATCCAGCAGAAGAACCGGTGGGCGTACGCATAGCGCTTGCATCGTTGATATACTCCGCTCTGCGGTGCGAGAGGTTCTCAATTAAAGAGGGGTATGTCCCGAGCAAGCCACGTATGCATTCCTGGATACAATGCCGGTCAGTATTGCATGCATTCGTGCAGGCGATAAACGGAGCAATACATCATGATTCTTCCAGAGAAGAGAAAGATCTTTAAAGTGATCGTCCTGCGATGTCTCTTGGGCTCTTAATTCGGCAATTCTAGCCTTACACTGATCACTATGCGGCCGCAATCCCGAGGGTTAGTGTCTGAATCATTCACTATCTCGCTCACGACGCACATATACGTCACACCGTCATGCACGATTGTCTCTACCTCCTTGCGTGCCCCGCTGAAGAGCGCTGTCTTTTCGTTCTGAAAGGCGGTGTTTGAGTGCGACGATGTCTTGCTTGCCTTATGTTCTGTCGACGTTGTCAATGCGCTCAAGGCTAGAGAGAGGGTTCACGCAGTTTGTACTCACTCTGAATCTGTTGTAGCATGCTGAGCATCTCTAACATTCCACTGATGAGTGTATGCGCATATTCAGCACGCGCATATAGTCAAGTAGTAATTCACGACATACCTGTCTTCCTCGCCATCGCCGCCGTCGTCGTCTTCTCCATCGCCATTCTCAATGACATCCTCCATCGCTGTGTCAACGTTGACTCCTTCGAACGTCACTTTCGGGTGAGTACTCTGACGTTGTGCGCGCGAAAGCTTCGTTATGGCCGAGCCTGACGCTGGCATAGCTGCTACAAGTGTCGCTCTTCAGCTTCCCAGTGCCTCGCAACTTGGGCCCTGAACTACTCACTATTAGAGGTCCTTTTTTTGGATATAGCTCGTCGTATAAAGCCGTTGCAGTGAAAGCTCTGTGGCAATATGCGAGGGTGAAGGCCACAATAGATGTGATCGAACGTGAATCAGTGATCGGCCACGCGAGCTGCTGTCATTCATTCTGCATCCGTGCGCGAACTACTTGTGGTCTCGCATAATTAGCTACATGACACGTACACTATAGAGGTTGCAATTGTAAATGACGACAAAAATGCTCGCAACTATGGTGAATCTAGATGCCGTGTGTATCATCAGCTTGGGATGATTGAGGATCAATATTCAATTGTCATGACAAGCAGGAAGACTGGTGCATGATAGATCGCCAACGTTCACTGTGCACAATGTTCAGCACGATGAGGTAATCGGACGAGCTTCAGTCATCAAAACGGATCATGAGCCCAGCAGAGCAGTTATACGGGTATCAAAGCCTTCGCTTCGTATGGGCATCTCGGGAGTATGAAACGGGTTCTTCATGACCGCATCAGCGTACGCCTCGTACACTTTCTGCAAGACTGACTCGGCCGTTGTCTCTGCAAGGGACGTCAGCAGCACAAATTTAGTGCCTGATTGCGTACATTAGCGCAAGAGGCCTCGAGAGCCGGCAAATGTTGTCGGTACGTACCTGTCGCCGTCAAGAGGATCGTCATCTTGAATGATTCGCCTGTGATCACTTGCGCGCCCGAGCTCGGACCGGAGGGAGAGAGTCGACTTGTAATTGCATGGATACCGTGGAGTGTACCAGCAAGAACGAGATACTCGTTAGAAGTCAAATGCGGGAGCCCATCTGTCTGGACCATTAGATCTGACCATGTGAGTAGCAGATCATGGCGCAGCACCTCCAAAATTTCGTTGGTAGACAAGGCCACCGGCTTTGTTGATGACCTGGATCGACGCAGAACATCAAGACGAGGAGGTCGTAGACAACGCAAGGCGCAACTCACCCACAGACCCCAAATGGCCATGATTGGCGGAAGAGCAGATGCGCGCGACGCGTCGCCGGACAGCGCTCGCATTTCGAACTCCGACGAGACGCGTCTCGATCGCGAGCCACATTGCCCACTTGGCTTGACTTTATTCTCTCATCTCCCCTACCAGATCATGCAGGCACAGGCTATCAGGACGGATCAGAACCAGGTATACATCTTTAGCTCAACGTTCAGCATGGTGCTCAACGTCGTGAAGGCTGTCTTGACTTCGCAGCAGAGTCTGCAGTCCATACAGACCATGCTCAAAGCAGGTCTTGGCTGTATCACTTACCTGAGGTGGGAAGCCTCGCATATATGCTAATTTTCTGGCTGATGTCTGATATGTGGACTCAGAAACCTTCTTCCATGCGATAATTTCTCAGAAAGTCGGTTGTTACGCTACATTGACAGCGAGTTATAGAGCAATGCAAACGCATATACTCACGCTACCCGCAGGCTACTTGACGTCTTGTAGCCCTGGGATACTTTCCTCGCAACCATCCGGTACTACAGAGTCCTGTTCCTCCGAAGATGATTCTAGGAAGAGAAGAAACATCAGCGGATTCAAAATTATGACGGTCACTCGCGGCTTTACTGAAGAAGCAGATAGGCTCCTTGACTATTTGGTGAGCCACCTACATGTGCCATGACGATTCAGCGATAACATCACGCATAGGAGAATGGCATATTTGATGCGTTACAGAAGCAGTATCTGCGCAGCTGCATTTTCGCAGTATACCTGGCGAGTGGTCTTCCTGTCCCGGGTGCGGTGCCACTAACCTCAACATCATATAGGATAGCCAAGATCCCAACAAGTAAGTGCATATAGCCATGTTATGCACTTTCCGCTAATGCAATGTAACATGTCGTTTCAGTATCGTAGAGGCCTATACGTTCTCCTTCGAGGTAGAAAACTACAATCATCTTGTAGTAATCTAGCTTACCCGCTTTTCAGTATCACAAGATTTCCGGGACTGATGTGGTGGTTCCCGTGATGTCGCTGGATGCCGACCTCGAGAAGCTCTCAATTTCCGGCGGCAAGATCAAGGGTATTGATCCAGTAACAGATGCGTCTAGGCACGGCAGAATCCCTACATTGGGCGACGTTAAGAGGAGTCTAAAGGTCCGTGAGCTGCATATAGCATGTTCAGAAAGCCTAAACTCGCATTCTCCAATATATCAGACTCTTATAAAGAATCTCATCCAAGCAACAACACAGATGGATGCATTGCCAAGTAAGTTGCACTGGTCTCGTGTTCTGCGGCATGTTCTCAGTCATTCCAAGAACGCCGATTCGCTACCTTCAAGCTGTTCTATCACGAGCACACGCCAGACGACTACGAGCCTCCGCATTTCCAGCCTGGCGATGCCAAAAAGGACAAGTGGTTCTTTTCCACGCATGACAAAGGAGAGGTGCCGGAGAAGTGTAGCATAGGATCTCTACAAACTGGTTTCCATGGGGTCGATGTCCGCGTGACCTCGGTGTCAGGTTATCTACCCTCAGTGGAGGACAATAATGCGCCCTTCCTGGGTACAACGAACGCCGGTGAATTCTCGGCACCGATCTTGAGGCCGGCGGACGAGGCTGCGACGAGACTGCAGCAAGCACAAATTCAGCGGGACGACGCATTGGAGCGCCGCGTTGTTTGGGATGGCGACGATGGCTTATGTGATGTGGATGCAGAGGGAGAAGATGATCCGGATTACGTCCCAGGTAGTGATACTACCGCGTGCGCTAGTCCCTTGTTTCTCACTGACCAAACGCCGCTGGGCTAGGCTCGACCCCGGGCGTTGGAGGACCATTTGGCATTGAGAGCGTGGCACTCATTGGCATTCGAACTGAAGAAGGCAACATCATCCCCTTGCCTGAGAAAGCGAAGCGGCAGATTGGCAGCTCAGCGGGCCGCGATGAAGAGGCGCAATATGCCGGAAAACATGACACTGTGCCTAATGGGGTTGCGCAGCTGGTAACGTCCCATGTTGCCGATGGCCATGGTTTACCTGACGCCTGAGTCTGGATTAGATGCAGGCCAAACGCAACCCAGCTGAGCAAACATTACAAACTCAACTGCTCGAGAAAACTCAAGTCGTCGAGTCCCCCGCTGCTCTGTTCCCTTCTCTCATACCATCGCTTTCCCGTTCACCAACGCCCACTCCGCAGCCCAAACATAACGGCCTCAAATCTAGAAGGATCATCTCTCCAGAGAACTCGCTGCCGCCTTCAGATATTGTGCCAGAATCACTGCCGTCCATCTCGAGCGTAGATCCTACACAAACGCTTGACACGCAATTGGTCCAGAACATGATCGTAGATGCCTATGTGGGTGGCGAAGACGACGAGATGTTAGGTCAGTCCGGTTGGCCGCCAATTCACAGGTTCACGCCTCATCGCCGGATCTCAGACACGGAGACGCAAGTAATGCTTGCCGCGTCGAGTATCGAGGATTCCATTCGTTCGTTTTCGGGTAATGACAATGGTCAGAGTCAAATACTGCCATGCACCCACGAGGAAACAGCTACCAACGACATTCGGGAAGGATATCAGGGTGAAGGAGCCTTGGATTGCGAATGCGGCGTCACTGTATGTCCCTACATCCTTGGCATCTACTCAGCGCTGCATCCACTACAGATCGAAGATGATGACTTGTGCTTGTGTGATGGAGGTTGCAAGAGATGGTTCCACACATGGTTATATTGATCTTAAGCTTTACTACCGTTTGTTCACGTTCCCCTTGGCAGGTGCATGGGCTATCACTCTGCCAAGGACAAGCGCATGCCTGCGCAGTTTATTTGCTTTGACTGTCGCGTTAAAGCCGACCAGAACTGGGACCTCATTGTCGTGCACGACTTGTATCCCAGGATGATGGAACGGTTCAGAGATTTAGCCATCTTTAGGTGTGTCGTCGGCGATGTCTTCTATTGCGATATTGACAGGCTGGCATGCTCTCGTTAGGCGAGCAATCAAACAATTCGAAACTCGCAAACCGGACAGCCTATCCGCGTTCACCAAGCTCATGGGTGCGGGGGCTATTATTTTGGAAAGATAAAATGCTGATGAGCTGCCAAGGGTGCGATCCCGCTGTCGCAGGGCAACTGTTTAAGAGGCTCGAGGCGGAAGGTAAGAATCCACTTCCTGGCGTAGGTCTTCATGCAAATTCACCGTCGACTAGGTTTCATTGCGATCGAATTGCGCGAAACTGATGACCTCGGTCTGATGGAGACTGCCACTCGTATGACTAAGGCCAAGAACAAGGGAAAGATGGCCGCCAAGACGAGGCAATCGCAGCGCAAGAAGGCTTTGCAGAAGCCGAAGTATATATTCCTGCAGGCATCGACACAGAGCCAAGCGTATAAGGATTACTTCGATCCAGACCCGGAGGTGGAGAAAAGATTGCTTTCGCTATCAGATCTCGTATGCTTGCTAAGTTATGTTCTCCGAGTTGCTTTGCTGAAGAACTTCCTGTACAGAAACCGCGACGCAAATCACACAAAAAGCAAGCCGTTGACGAGCCTCACATCGAAATGTACATGAATAGCATCTGCTTATCATTGTGCTTACTCTCTGCCCCACAGGACGGGTCCTCAAGCGGGCCAGGCCATGAACCAGCTGGTTGCGGACGTTCAAATGCAAGATGTGATGATCGCTGCACCGCCAGTTCTCCCTATCCAGTGCCAGACACAAGAGGAGACACAAGCCGCTCAATGCATCGCCGGACGCAATCAAAATTGTGGCGTCGATGCAGGGGAACTCAAGCGCAAGAACAACGAGGGAACTGAGCAGCTGCCCGCAAGGCCTAGCAAGAAGGTCAAGATCTCCGTCGGACCGGCGGTGGACCTCGGGGATTGAAGAGTCATCAATCAGTCTGGAACCGGGTCTCTGTTGGTCCTTTGCAATTGGCTCCATGCACTCGCTGTCTGTGCAAGTCTGTTCGACTCTGCTCTCGGAACTCCTTTCGAAATTCTGCTTTCCCGGATATCGACTCCACCTGATGTCTCCCGTCTGTTGCTTCTCTCTGCGTGTTAGCCTCGAGTTCCGTATGTTCCTGAGAATTGTTGTACCACATGCTGTTTGCACCTCAACAGAGGGAGATTCAATTGCGCTGTTGAATGTTGACTATGGTAGCGAGATGAGTCAATGATTGCTCCTCGGGCTCGGCGCGAAGTGCCTGTTAGCGCGTCGCGGTCGTCTAGGCCGAGCTGGAACCAATTAGTGCGAAGGGACAGAATTGACCATTCGAGTATGGCCCGCAAGAAGTGGCATGTATCAGAACGAGATCTGAACAAAAATGAGCACCAGACAACACATTGTGCAGCGTCTATCGAGTCCCCGGAAGAGTTAGTGATGGTCCGCCCGTCTGGTCGCGTATCTCCGCACATTCTTATGCTCGCTCGATGACACGCTTTCAGTGCTAACCTATAGCACAAATGGTCCACACACCAGGCGGATGGCTCAAGGCGCATCACCAGGCAAGTCTGCAAGATTCTGGACCGTAGGATGCGCTTCCTCGCAATTTCAGGCCAGGTATATGAGAAAGGAACACGGCAGCGTCCAATTTACACACACTCGCGGGCCGTGCGCATGCGATCTTACGCTTTGCTCTGCTGTTTGACCAATCCTGGCGGGCGGCATGCCTAGGCTTCGTACATCGGATTCCACAAGTGCGGCAAGCCATCTTAATCTGATCAGCTTATAGTTGGAAAGCGAGCGAGTTATCGGATGTGACGCACCGCAGGACTGAAAGCACTCGGACAGGGAAATATGCCGCTATCTATCGTGACAGCCGCTGTGAGATGTTCTTCCGGGAAAGTGGCGGTCGCGAGGGGCAGCTGCAGACCCACTGACCTAGAACACAATGTCACCTTCACGGCCACAGACAAATCATACGGCCTTGCGTTGCAATGTTCAACAGCAGTTTGAACAGAACACGTCAGGTGAGCGTATGAGACATTTGTTGGAACCGCGAAGCGACCTTCGCTATGGGAGATCTGAATGCGGACTGTGAATGCCTACCGTTAGCTTCATCGAAGTGAGCACCGGGTCGAACACATACCTACTGCGGACGCCTTCCGAGGAATACTGCATCTCGTTAGCGAGCTCCGGCAAGGGTGCATTTCATGCAGTTGCCGCTAATTTGATATTGGATGTACGGCAGTGGGAACACGATCGTTACCCATGTATGAGTCTTTACACAAAAGCTGGAACGGTCATGATCACAACTTGGGCACAGGAAATCTTAATGTATTTCTGATTTGTGACCGTTTCCCGGCCCCGGACGAATTGCATATTCTTCTGAAAAGTCATCAATCACATCGTGAATGCTCAGTTGCGCCTTCCCCCCTCTTCCTTCTTGTGCATGAGAGCTAGACAGGTGAGAATGGAAGAACAATATGGCACAAGGCATGGAATACAGTGTCATTTGACACTGCCATTACGGTTTGGGGACAGGGTCGGAGCACGACTGCGGCAGGTTACGGTCAAAGAGAAGCGTCCGACATCGAGGGCCTGTCTGGCCAACATCTGTGCCCCGACGGTGAAGACACGGGCTAGCATCATTGTGGCACTGGCCACAACACTGTCCGGACATGAGCGCACATCGATGTACGACGGACATTCGTAAGGACTGCAATAACCACATCGGTAAGTGGCGATCTTCGAAGCGTGAACCTGCCCTGAACGGGATATCATAAAATGATGTTTGGCGCAGTTATGACTGTTATCCCCTCATGATTTGGCAACTCATCGTTCCTCGCACCCTACGGGCGATGAACTGCATCGTGAGGATCTCGCAGGAGATGAAGAATGGTGCATGGCATAGACGCGCCTCCGTATCTCCCTGGGCCTGCCATTGCACAGGCCTTGGGCTCGTTAGCGGGGTGTACATATCTACTTTAACCTTGATTCAACGTGTACCATTTGCTTCTCTCGGTTTCCCACGGAATTGCTTACATCCTATATGTACGTTGTGTCAATTTGCACCGCGTTGCCGCCATTGAAGTGACGACAATCCGGGTACGAACGACAAAAAACATTGGCAACATCGATGCATAGGATGGACGTGGCAAATTGATTGATGTTTGATGGAGAACGGCCTCGACGAGCTTTCGCCATGAGCGAGGACTCGATTCTCGAGAACAGAAGGCGTCAGATATTAGTATTTGAATGAGGGGGCCATCGAAGGTTCCACGCTTTCAATATCATCTCGTCTTTGATAAGTTCCTTGTACCGGCTCCGAATTACCGCACTCTCCTCCCCAACTCTCCCCCTCTCGCTTGCTATACACGAGCTGTTTGCAGGCCGCCATATCCGTTTCACCGATGCCTTACAAGTTGTCCGCAACCCTCACGGGGCATACCGCTGATGTTCGTACGTTGTGGGTCCCAGAACACCCATGCTTGCTCACATCTTGTAGGTTCGCGCAGTGGCCTCGCCGACCGACGAGCTAGTCCTGTCAGCTTCGCGCGACACCACCGCCATTGCATGGAACAGGTCGGCGGATAAATCCAGCTTCACCCAGACAGCAGTGCTGCACGGCGGCTCTCGCTACCTCAACGCCGTGACATATCTCCCACCTACGCCTGATGCCCCTTCGGGTGAGCTTGCACAACTCAGGGGATTTTAGACATGGGCGACTAACATAAAGGGAGGAGTTCAGGGTATGCAGTGACGGGTGGGCAGGACATGGTCATCAACGTATTTTCACTGGCGGGTACTAAGGGCGAGCCAAATTTCTCCTTGATCGGCCACACGGATAATGTATGCGCGTTGGACGCTGCCACCGACGGGACGATCATCTCGGGGTCATGGGACAGGTATGTCAACTCCGATCCGAGTCCTCGCACGTAATGTGTACCTTGCCCTTAGGACGGCGAAGGTCTGGAAGGACTTTCAACTGGCCTACGATCTCATCGGTCATCAACAATCTGTTTGGGCCGTGCTGGCCATCGACGGTCGTCAGTTCCTCACCGGTGCGTCCTCCGCGCGTTGAAAGGAGGCGCGCTTGTCGATGCTAAGTGTGACGTGGTGTGAAGGCTCTGCCGACAACACGATCAAGCTGTGGAATCAGCACAAAAACGTACGCACGTATCCCGGTCATACGCAGGCTGTTCGCGGACTTGCTTTGATCACCGACATTGGATTCGCTTCATGTTCGAATGACAGGTGCGTGATGTCATCCTCTTCGGTAGGCAGGCATAAGTGAGCATTGTCCAGTGAGATCCGTATCTGGACGATGGAAGGAGATGTTGTTCACACACTCTCGGGACATACTTCCTTCATATACAGCATCTCTGTGTTGCCCAACGGAGACATAGTGTCCGGTGGCGAGGATCGGACCGTGCGCATCTGGAGAGGTGAGTTACCATCTGCCACAATCCCTAGCGCTATCTCATTCGACACTTAGATGGCGAATGCGTGCAGACAATTGTACATCCTGCCATCTCTGTTTGGTCCGTTTCGACGATGCCGAACGGCGACATCGTCACTGGCTGCAGTGATGGCGTCGTTCGCATCTTCACTGCAGAAGAGTCGCGGTACCTCCCTGCGGAACTGCTTAAAGCATATGATGAGCAGGTTGCGAATCAGGCGCTGCCAGCACAACAGGTCGGAGACGTGAAGAAGTCAGATCTGCCAGGATTGGAGGCATTATCTCAGCCAGGTGCATCCAGGCTCACTTCATGGGTGTCAGACAGCACTGATTTGCCGTTGTAGGGAAGAAACCCGGCGAAGTGAAGATGATCAAACACGGGGACAACGTAGAGGCTCATCAGGTATGCGGAGAGCGTTATGACTATTACATGTGTTTCTAATGAGAGAGCTAGTGGGACAGCGCTACATCCAGCTGGCAAAAGATCGGAGATGTCGTAGATGCCGTGGGAGCTGGACGAAAACAGCTTTACGAAGGCAAGGAATATGACTATGTGTTCGATGTCGATGTACAAGAAGGCATGCCGCCCCTCAAGCTGCCATATAACGCCAACGGTATGTCCCTCCCCGCAAGACCTGATCGGACCATCATCATAACTTGGTTGTGCCATAAGAGAACCCTTACAATGCTGCGCAACGTTTCCTCCAGAATCACGATCTACCGCTGTCGTACCTAGACGAGGTTGTGCGGTTCATCGAGAAGAACACCGCTGGTGTCAGCGTGGGCTCTGGCAATAACCAACTTGTGGACCCATTCACTGGTGTGTCGTCTTGCCTCACCATAAAATGCTATATGTTGATGAGCTCGCAGGTGCCTCAAGATATCAACCCATGCAGAGTTCTGTGGCGCGAGGGACCACCGAGTTCATGGATCCCTTCACAGGTTCGCTGCATTGTCGCGTGTGAGGCTATTCCGAGGATTGACCTACTATCAGGCGCATCGAGATATCGAGCGCAGCCTACATCCATCCCCTCGTCACCACCGAGGTCGCAAGGTGATTTTCGGACTGGGTCATCACAATTCTCAGGATCGTCATCCCCTCCGACGAGCTCGTTAAATCCTCCTCCAGGGAAAGCAAAAGTGGTTCCTGTAGTATGTCCGTTTCTCATAGAGGGATTGCACTGTGTTCATATCGTGTCACCAGCGCGACCCTCTGTCCTTCCGTCAAGCCAATGTATCTGCGATGCAGACGAAGTTGCAGCAGCTTGATCAGGCACTCAGAAACGAGATCGTGAGTCCCGTGCGATTTGGAATACCTTATCTGGTCTGACGGCTTGCATGCATATTGGTTGGGCTCATCATACTAATCCGCAAGTCAACATCATCGTTATCGATGTATCCACAAGAGTCGAGCCTTGTCAGCGAGGCATTCACTTACCTCTCTCAGGTTATCTCACACCTGGCGCACTGGACAAATCCACCTGCGACGTCTAACCCCTTGAAGGCGGAGCACCTCGATGCCATCATCGCGCTGCTAGATCGCTGGCCAAGGGAGGCACTCTTCCCAAGTCAGTTCTTGCACCTCTGTGGAACCTTCATCTGACCAAATTGATTCTGCGTGCAGTAATGGATCTTGCTCGTCTCCTAATTGCCTTCTGCCCGGACTATTCGCGAGACATCGCGTTGAAGCAGCGGTACTATGCCGCGATGTTCAATGCATCTACATGGAAAGAACCTTGGGAGACGCCACTTCCGCGAACACGGGAGACGAACATGCTGTTCCTGCTACGATCACTTGCGAATACTTTCCAGGAGACAGTGGAAAATGACGTGGCATGGACGGAGCAGGTCCGTTGAGTCATCGTACGTGCTTTCTTTGCATGGCACTGAATGCTTGTTGTCGCAGGTATTGCAAGAGCTCAGTGCTGTCTCGTACAACGCCATGTCGAAGGCGCAGCGTATCGCATTTAACACAATATTTTTGAAGTATGTGGCAAGCTAACTCGCTGAGGATTTCGTGACTAAACTGCTATTCTAGCATTAGTTGCATCGGTCTGCGGGAACAGTTAGATCCCGAAATCCGTGCGATACTGTTCAAATCAATTCTGCAGGTACGCTGCAATTCATGTACTATGCACGGAGCTCTGTGAATGATACTTGCATGATATAGGCTATACAAAACGAGAGGACAGACTCCGAGGCCGCATATCGCGCATTGGTAGCGTTAGGCAACATTGTGAGTTGCTCTTGTATCGCAGGTGGAGACCACAGCTGCTCATATGCATTCCTATTCAGCTATGCGAAGCCAAGCAGAAAGGGCGATCTCCCGATGCTTCGCAAGCAAAGGCAATCAAGCAATATCTCGCAGCCCTTCCTGCCGCCTTCCCAGAGGATCGCATCGAGGATGTTTCAAAGGAGGTCATTGAACTACTTTAATGCCATGCGGAAAGCGGGCAATGTGCTGTTTGGTCTCTCTCCCCCTTGGGATGCAGATTCGTGCCTTCATCGCCACAGCGCTCGTCCATCCACTGCGTTCGTGGTCTCATGATGCCCGACTCCTCTGTTCTGTTTATCGATTAGATTCCGGTATCCGACCTCCAGCTTACTGTACGTCCTTAAGTGGACTGTGTTCTGTCTCCAGCTTGTAGCACTTTCTCTGTCTCGTTCCGATCTTATCATATGTAGAAGCGATGGAGGGCAACGGATATCAACTTCGGTACTGCATTCGTGCTATTTCGACGGCTGGCGGTGCAGTGTAAAGGTGCCAGACAAAGTTGGCATCGCATGTGCAAGAGATAATAATTTCTACGCAGCTGTCACATCGTGAGAAAAGCGAGTGTTGCATAGCTTTCGTCTCGACGTCGATGACCGTTGTAAGGGTGTACATTGTCCGTCATGGAGAGACGGACGAAAACAGGCTTGGAATCATGCAGGGACAAGTGGATACGAAACTGAATGCTGCCGGCATCGAACAGGCACAACTAGCTGCAAGCGCACTAGAGGTGGTGCCGTTCAAAAGGGCGCATAGCAGCGATCTGGAGCGGGCAGCCAAGGTATGTTTCACTACGAGGAACAAACGCGCGAGCAATGCTTTAATCGGCCTTCTGGATACTTCAGACTGCTGAAATCATACTCGAGAAACACCCCAATGTTCTGCTGGTACGTAGTGTAGCGTTGAGAGAACGAGTGAGTCGCGAGACTACGCATCGTGGAGAATCAAATTGATGACATTGAACGTCTGGCTGGCAGCACTTAGGCGACTGGCAAGGACAAAAGCTCGTCGGACGCGGGTCGAAGGCCCCTGCTAATGCGGAACCATTGACTCAGTTCACCGCACGGGCCACAAAGTGGTGGCGTGCCACGATTCTGCAATACGTCAGCACGTTGAAGGCATCGGGACATCGAAGCGGGCCCCCTTCATGCGTCCTCGTCGTGTCCCACGGAGGCTACATCTCGCGCCTCCTCGCGACCCTGCTTGAGTCTGGCCACGTTAGATGCGAGGATGGAGTGCAGGTCAGCGGGAAGTGCTGGAACGCATCGATTTCCGTCGTCGAAGTGGATGAGAAAGGGCAGGGCATTCTGGTCAGCTATTCAGATACCACGCACTTGGAGACGGGCTTTGTCAAGATCAACGCAGATATCTTTGATCCCCAAGATCTCAAAGAGCGTAATTAGAACACGTAGAGAGCATAGAGCGGATCCTTCGCATATACATCCTTTCGTACAATGAGGTCATTTGTGCTTTCGTATCGATGAGAGACAAGAACAGTGTCTATTACATTGGCGACATCGCCTGACAAATTAAGACAGTAGTGCTGCTAGTGATAGAGAATCACAAATATTTGAGATCGGAATGGCATATACAAACATGCTGCGATACGATAACATGTATCAGGTGGCCATGAAGCCATCAAAGGGACATTGTGCGAGAATATTTTGCTGGTCCGGCCAAGGCACGCGCGCTAGTGTGAGTGTATCTTTGCCTTTGTACCCTTCTTCCTTGCTTTCTCGTATTGGTCAATTTCCGTGTTCACAAGAAGGCTGGAACGAAGCATGATCAGAAGAATAACTCAAGGTTTCCTGATGGACCTACTTTTGAAGTGCTCCTTCATCGACAACAGGACCATTTCCGTCTCCGATCATCACCTTCAGGCCCACGCTCGGGACGTCGTTGATGACGACGTACAGGAACCCAGGTCCCGGAGGGTACACATTCCCATTCGGTGGTCCGGTCACCGTTATCGTCTGCCCATCATCAGATAGTGAACTGGCAAGGTAGACCAAGCGACTGTTTGCATGAACGGCATGAGTTACGAAGCCGAGATCCATGAGCGCAACTGCGGGGATGTAGGTCATGAGCACATAGGAATGCCATCAAAAGCGGGAAAGACTCGCCCTTGATGTCCGCATCAGCCAACGACAATCCGGGCAGGCTTACATCAAATTCAACAGTCTGTCCAAAGTTGATCGTCCTTGCCACCTTGCTAGCGAAAGCAGGCCTGCTGCCGGTCATATACGGAGGATTAAGCCATTCAACACGGTACTCGGTACCGTATTCCTCCTCACTACGGTCGAGATTAGGATTGCTCCCTGAAATCATGACATTCCCACTCGGCGTCAGCGTCGCGACCGAATGATACATCCGTGGAATATCAGTTGTCGGCATGCCGCTCGACGAGAAGCGCTCTCCCAACGGAGCGAAAGGGTCATACAGAACCGGAGTCAAAACTGGGTTGTCGGCATTCGAGGCGCCAATTTGGCCGGCCACGTTTCCGTATCCTGATATTCCCGTACCTGCACCATTGACGATGATAACACGACCCGTAGGCAGAAGGACCGCGTCAGGCATCGTGCGCGCCTCGGGCATGAGTTCGGTCTGCCACCCAGCTGCAATCCCCTCTTCGGTGAGCAAGATCCGCGAGCACTGAGCAGAAGCAGGGTCCTGCGAGCTGATGTCATATCCTGCCTTGGAGTCATCGATCGTAGAGCCGCCACAGATGAGCACCTCCGGGGCGTAGTTATCATCCGGAGAGAGGGACAGCAGGAGCGCCGTGCCCGCCATGGGGTAAGTCACCCGCACACCATTGGGTATCGACGGCAGTCGGCGTTCTGTATTGCTTTGCCAATCATAGATCATGGCATCGCGATTGGCTGCAATGAAGACCTTGCCATCTGGCAGCGAGAAGGCGATGGGGAAGAGGTTTGCGTTCAAAGTATCCACTAGGAATGGAAGTGGTATGGCGAGCCCGTTGGAACCGTGGATATCCTTAGGAGGCCAGTATTCAATAGTAGGATTGTTGACAGTGCCGTTGTTGATCCAGCCGCCCTTCATGGAGCCGCCAATGATCATAGCACTCCCGTCTGAAATACGCAGAACAGTCGTATACCATCGCGGGCTTGCCATCCGGATGCGCGAGTGATTCTCATATAGTCTGCAGGCGCTTACATCCTCCGAATCGCACGGCTCGAAGATTCGGACAGCCTGCAGACCATCCAGGTCGCCAAAGTCGGCCGCAGACGTATGATCCTCGACCACAGGGTTCCCGCCGACGTTGATGAGGGTGCCGTTACTCAAGAAAGCGCCGCCAGCACAGAACGAGTTCGATTCTACAGCCAGAGGTGTAAGAGCATGCGTTTTGAGGTTATAAAGCGCCGCCCAGGCCGGATGTCCGTTGATCGTCAGTGGGTTGTGCTCCACCTTGTCGATGACGAGCGCATGAGATTCTGAGATGACAGCCAGCTGCATAGCAGAGACACCAGTGTTGCCTTTCTGAACCAAAGACCACTGAGCAGCAGGGATGGACGGTGCAGCAAAGTCAAACAGTGGTGGATAGCCAGACACGGGTTGGGCAGAGACATCCAGGTCATGAGACTGCGAGTCATCGCCAACGGGAGGCAAACTCATAGTCACCACGAGAGCATCCACATCGATCAAAGAGCCTCTCGCAGCCTCTCTCTTCTTTCCGGTGTTAACAATTTTGATGGTGTGCCTGCCTTGCGGCAATTCAAAGTTCCAATACATACGCTGCTGTTTCCGCGGAGTCGCGCTCCAGGCGTCAATCTCCTGAACCATGTTTCCATCTAAGAATACTTGTGCAATTCCATGTCGAGGATCTGTGTTGCCGAACCACTCGATACCAGTGCCTGTGAATGAGAAAGTCATAGAAGCACCAGAGTCTGTGGTCGAGCGCAAGGTTTTCTGGATGAACGAATTCGAATATGAGTCCCTCCAGCGACCAGAATAGTGCAGCAGAGGAGAGGACGAGTCATAGCTCTTCGTCCCCGGCGGCACATAGTAAGGAGTAAATGCAGCAGGTGTTGTAGAGCCCGGAGTTGTTAGTCCGTTCCACGCGCTGTCTGCTGCGACGGTGCTCAAGCTTGCGATGAATAGAGTGCCCAAGGCAGCAAGAATGAGCAGACTGTGTCCAAGCATAGCCACGATGAGCTTCACACCGAGAGAGCACGGTAGGAACCAGGACCAGATGGCGCGAACCAACAAGTTGCAATCGAACCGAAGTGGAACTTCGCGATCCCGTGATCGAACAAACAACGCGTCAACAAAACCCGACTGCTCCTCCAGCAGATGTAACTGATCAAATGAGGGGATTTCGTCAAATACTACTGCATCAAGTGCAATACTTTGAAAAATAATCGTATTTTGGTGCGGCCATTCCTCATTGTTCACGCATCACGGTTCTAAGAACGTGACCACGCGTGACGTAACGCGTTGAAGTTCCTCGAAGAATGCTCCCAGCCTCAAATGAGCAGGTTCTCTTCCTATCGCGCACATGACCTGCCCACTCGGTTCCTTCCTGAGTTCGGGGCGGTGGTCGCACATCCACATCCAGGTCTGCTCAACCGATCCTTGACTCACGCAATCACCCCACAGCACCATCATCTGTTTCTCCGCCCAATTTCAGCTCAAGGCGGTGCCTTTAGATGGCATCCATCAAGACGGACTTCTCCCAATGGAGCATCAACTTCCAGTTTCGAGTCGACGGTCTGAGCGATCTGCTGATCGCCCAAGACGGTCAAGACGTATGCCGTAGCGTTTGTACAGAAACACTCGGATATGGTCTCTATTTCATGGTTTCTGGTAAGGAGGTCGACGGAAAGACGGCGTACGCCTTGTTCCTCTGTTCGAGCAAATCTACCATGACCATGCGGGTCCTCCTGTGCATCACTGCTTGCTCGCTCCAAAACGTCCCGTACTATACCAAATTCTTCGCATGCAATCTCAAGCCAGCAAGCAGCGGAGGCCGCAATGTACTTTTGACAGCAGAGGTCTTCGAAGCAAACCCGACCATGCAGGCCGAAAATGCTGTAATCATAAATGCCTTATTGATAATAACACTCCCCCCAACAACTTTCCTGCCCATTTGGTCATCAAATCTGCTGTACGACAGTGTAGTAGGCGGGACGCAGGAAAGGGCTCGGTATCTCGCATATTCTGCTCGCACCAAGGCTGGCGAGATGATTAACTTTCGGACAACATACGCTCCTAAGGACATCCTGGTTCAATCATGCCCTGCAGTCTGTAAGTCATTCAAACAAGTCTTCGTATAGATCTCTTGGGCTAATTAAACATTACTGTAGCGTCGTGGGAGGAAGGACTCAAGCTACTTGGCGGATCCATGGTGATCCCGGGCGTGTCATGGAATCGTTGCCGCATTGAGGCTGATTCGTATGCTCAATACGACAGCGACTTTGAAGACGCCGATAACAGCGAAGATGAGGCTGAGGCCCGCGATGAATCGGAAGATGAGGAAGAAGATGAGGAGGAAGCCGAGCGTAAGAGGATTAGGAGGAGAAAGGGCAAAAAGCGGCAATCCACATCTGGGAATATGCCGCGGCTCAAACGTACAAAAGTAGAGCCCGAGAGTGAAAATAGACAAATACTGAACGCCAGCCTCGAGGAAGTGAAACTGTCACTTCCTATTGCGTCTTGTGAATGGTTTCGTTATCTCACTCGTCGGGATGAGCACTCATCCTCGCGCCCATAGCTGCAGATGGTCTTGCCTCATCTTCTAACGCAGGCGAGACCAACGAGAACAAGGACATCCTCTTCAAAGGAGTCGCAGCACGAACGTGAGTACGTCATCTCGATGAATGGACCATCAACCAAGTTAGTGTTCCGGATCGCAGTTGGGAGGCAGTGCTGTTCTATCTCTACAGCGGCGCAATAACATTCGCGCCTCTGAGCAGCAACTCAACCTCGGACTCGCGACGAGCCTTCATACGCGAGCACCGCAAGGCCAACCCGAAGCATCCCACTCCGCCGTCGTGCAAGTCCGCTTACCGGATCGCCAAGAAGGTTGGTCGGCCTCACCAGTTGAGTGGCGATATGCCTAACTACATGATCGGGACAGCTCGGACTGGAAGACCTCAAAAAGCGAGCGCTGGCCCATTTGACAACCCAGCTTACTCTCGAGAACGTCCTCGATGAGTTCTTCGGTGCATTCACGGTCGAGTCTGTCTCACTCTTCTCAGTCCTTTGTTGTGGCTGAATAGCTGTCTTTTTGTTTTCCAGACACGAAGAGGTGAGGCAACTGGAGATGTCCCACCTGATGAAGTGTTGGGGCGAGCTGCAGAACCGTCCGGCTTTGTTGGCCAAGATGAGCGACGTTGCGCGAGGAAAGTTGCCCCATGCTGGGCCGCTCATGGTGGAGTTCCTCCGAGCCGTCGATACGAGACAAAAGGCGGATAGCTCAAAGAACTGATCGTCATCCGCTCTCTCTACAAACAGTGTGCAAGCGCATCTCGCTTGCATTTGGCATATACTACAGGCGATTTATCGCTTTACTGGAAGGGTTTGTGTCTGCGATACTGACAGGCGCGGAAATGTACATTTGAGTGTCGAATTGCTTGGTTTGTTGGTGGCGTCACATCCATTGGAACTGTACATCGCGAGTTACTACTCTTATTTTACACTTCATCATTCGCATGACATCCTCAGAGAGTGCATCCATCTCCACAGCCATGGTAGTGTCCGGATCCATGCCGCAAACCTGTGCACTGTTTGTACTTTCGACTGACTACATAGTATCGTATTTGATGTTCTCCTTGTTGACTCTCCAGATCCAACCCCTCGATCAGTGCATTCCGCAGATGGATCTCCGGCGATTCCGTGGCCCAATCGCAGCGTATGCCAACGATCATACATTGTGCATCAATGACGTGTCTGCCATCCGCCGAACAGCTCTGCATGCTATCGCAATACATCAGTAGATCACCCATGCTTGTCGTGGCTGTGCGTACCCGTTTAATTTGACTGACAGCATCAATTCTTTGTCGTTCTAACTCTTTCGACCCCTCCCGATCGTCACCCAACTCCCTCACGCGGTCAGTGAGCTGCTTGATTTGCGTCTTCGAGAAGATTAGAACTAGCGTGTTCGAATCAACAACGAGTGCCTCTGCGGCGATCATCGAGTAGAGGGGAAGTGGGTTCCGACGAAAAAGCATGCGTGACAGGGGGCGAAAGGAATCAAAGCTAAAGACAACAAAGCTATCGCATCGTCAGCATGGCTGGTAGCAGAAATTCACGAGACGAACTTCTCATCCAGACATCCTTCGCAACATCTGGCCCGACAAGCCCATAAGACGTTCATGACTCCCGCGGTCAAGCAGAACTACAAATCACCCCTGAGCACATAATTTGACAGCCAGGAGAGATTAAATCTTACATGACAGTGCTGATCAAAAAGCAGATTTGCATATTGAGGTTCGCTGAGGTCCGAAGGACAATCAGGTAGTCTTCCGACTAGTTCACGAGCACCCTTCCACAAGGAGATGGATGAACGACTCATCAGCATGGTGCGCAAAGCTTTCGTCGTGCGCGCAAGATGCAGCAAGTCAAGTGGACGAAGATGACTGAAAATCTTTGCAACATCGTGTGAGAAGTGAATGGTTACATCGAGAAGAACCGTGCACTACATACTTCCAACAGTATGTCCAACGGCATTTCAGGAAGCTTGTCTAGGACGCGTATTTCCAACCTGCCGGGCTCATTGCCAGGCCTTTCCACAACAGCCCTGTCCTTTATTTCTTTCATGGCAGTTGTGGCGGCTTTTCGACCTTTGCCTCTGATTGATCTTGCGATTCTATCTCCAGAGACATTGTATCGTTGGGTTCTCGTACTGGCGCCCGCTTTCGCTGCAATACGGGCTGATCGACGAGGATTTGATCGTCCCATCTGCTCAATCGGCGTTCTGTAGTTCTTCAGAGAGGAGACTGCGACTGGCGACTGGCGACGCTCGAGCCTCGTGGGTTGAGACGTGACAGACGGCGCGTGATGTCACGCATTGAGCACGTCGCGTCACTTGCGCAAGGCTTCGAAATTCGTCGTGTCGAGACACAATATTCCCCGAGCAAGGGGACGCAGTGCCTTGAAAGCATGGCAGCATAATCACTGCGCCCCATGAGCGTGACCAGCGGATTCGAACTAAGCGCGAGCACGAGAGCGGCGATCGCACGTTCTTTAGTAGGCGTCCTCCGAAGTCAGTCTCTAACAACTTGACTCAAGCTGTCATCTCAGAGCGTCATCGCCAATCTCCTCATCTGCTTTAAACGACCCCATAAGACCGAGGCGTCTGAATGCAGCATCTAATCAAAATTTGAGTCGATGGTCTCCGAGAAATGATGGCTGAATACGAACAGATATGTCAGCCTCCGTACAGAAGCCTTTGCTTACGGGCTCTTCCTCAAGTTGTTGCCCAGCTTGACGGGAATGACAAAACACTGGCACGATCTACAGAGACGCTTGGCTCTTGTGAAACAAGGTTGAGGACATTGCTGGAGGCAGTTGCCCTCTGCGAGACAACTCATGATGGAGGTTCCCGAAGCTATCAATACGAGACGAAATGCGACGAAGACTCACTAGACCTTCATCACCTGAGAATAATGCCAGAGCGCGTTTCTACCGCAACATGTACTTTCGTAAGTTGCGGGAATACATGTGCTCACAAGTGTCCGTTTCATGCCAACGAATAACTGCACCTCGATGTATACCAACTGTCAGCCTGATAACAAGCACAAGAGTCAAGAGAACCAGATAACATGAAGCAGCTTATGCTCAAATAGCTCTCTGCCGCATACGACTGCTGACGGTCCTCAAGCCAGCATACACTTTGCCGGGCGGCGAGCCCAGAATGAGTGAGACAATGGCATCTCGCGCGATTTTGATGTTCTGGAATGAACCAAGGATGTGGATTTTACTGCAGTACGCCACATTAATCAAACACAGGGGATGAGGTCAGAGAATGGTACGTACGTGTCTGCGAGGACGATACGAGTCCGGCTGGCGTTTTCGATGGTGAATTTTGTCTTGCCGTCCTTGCCTGCAATACGACCTAACAATAAAGTGACGCTCAGTGATACCGCACTAGCATTTTCAACAAATCCCTAACCGATGGCTCGAGCCAGGTGGTCCCCATGTAATGTCTTGACATCCTTGATCTCGAAGGAGTCGAGATAGAGGTCGTCTAACCGCAACAGCGCAATCGCATCCTAATGATCATATTTGGTTGAAAAAGATAGGAAAGAACACGATGGATGCACTGACGTTCACATCGAAGCCCAATGCATATGCCTTGACAAAGTCAGCGCCCTTCTGGATAGCGCCAATATCCTGCGTATGTTTAGAAGTCTAAGAAACGAACCCGACAGCATGAGCTTTGATCGATGATAACGACACTGGCACGTACCCGGATCTCCACACATCTCTTCTGTACGTTCATGCGGACTTGCAGCATAAGCATCTCAGTGAGAGGCGAGAAGATGTTGACCCAATCCTTCTTCAGCGGCGTCATGCGATGCGGGGGTATGGCTATGCGCCTGGACTCGGATTTCAGGGTGGATTTTTCCGCAGATGCAGGCAGGGGAGGGAATGCGGGGCCGGCGGACGGAGTAGGGAGGGATGAAGGATCAGTGTCAATCATGATTGCGTCGTCATCTTCCACATTCCCGCTCGTCCCTTCCTGGCTGTCAGTTGGAGGGACGACTTCCGTTACATCTATCGTTGCGTCTCGCATTTCAGAGTCTTGCTGTGCAGAAGCATTGGCGTTTTGCGGGGACTTCTTGCTCCTTTTCTTGCGAGGGTCCGCAGAGGTGCTCGGCTCGGCATGGACTACGACCATTGCGATAAATCAATCGTCGATTCAAGTGAGAATGGTGTCGAAATGCAAGATGGTGAGCTGAGAAGCAGTGGTTGCAGTGAACTTGTCCGTTGCACACTGCACAGAAAACAGAAATTGCGCTCGGCAACAGCCGCCAACAGGTTATTAGGACACTTCGATCGTTGCTCGCCACACTGATCTCTACTCTTTTTACCTTTTTCCACCGGCACTCGTTGCGCAAGCATGGCATCTTTAGCTTCTAGTTCCGCCGAAGATCTCAATGAGAGCCGAGCCGAAGGTGTGTTCTCATGTACAGAAACGTACGTTCCTGACTGACGAAAGCATAGCTCTGCAGGCTCTCCTCAATTCGTTATCACCTGGGGACCCAACGGCTGAGAACGGCGGTCAACTGACTTCTGACCAAGTCAGAAAAATGTCTGACAAACTGGGCGAAGTACTGGGCGATGGAGCGTTTGCTTCGGAAGGTGGCGAGCAGCGACGAAACGAGAAGGGTGAGGTACGTTCGTAGTCATTTGACGTTGGACCTCTCACGCTCATGCGCCTTGATTCTTACAAAGCTGCTTAATGAAGAGGGACTTCCCGTAGTCGACATCACAGAGCCTATCTCTGAAACCCCTTCCTCGGAACCGGGACACATCTTCAATGATCCTGATCTACTCCCGCTCTGGGCTCTGTCTCCTGCTGAGAAGGCACGTCGTCGTGCCGAGCGGGAGCGTATATTGGACCTTTTGGAGGAGGAGGAGCAGTTGGAGCAGGAGCGCGCGGAAGCAGCAGAACGCGAGCGATATCGGTCAGAGCTGGAGAAGCGGAAGGAGGCGGCGAAGGCGCAGCTGGATTCACTGAGGAAGGCCAAAGAGCTGCAGAAGAAGATGGGCAAGGCGCTTCTTCGGAACGTCATTGAGAGCAAGGAACGAGAGGAGCACGAAAGCGTACAGAAGGAGAAGGAGAAAGAGACGGCGAGAACAGAGAAGAATCAGAAGCCGGCAAAGAGCGTCTCGTTCGCGGAGCCTCCTTCGGACCACGAGAGCACTCCAGCCGAGGGCTCTGAACAAGGCAAGTGGGGTGACGTTTCTCTGGCGAGACTGCAGCGGAAGGGCAAGAGCACACTATTGACCAAGGCTCAGATGGCAAAGCAACCAATGAAGATGGAAGTCGTCGAGCGACATCCCGCCGAGTCCCGTCCATCGTTATCAACAAGTGCTCAGGTTCTGGACGGGCAGGACTCTGATGACGAGTCTATCCCAGGCTCTCCAATGCCTACTGACTCCGACGAGGGGGAGATCATCCATTCTGATCATTACGATGAGGAAGATAACCGCGCATCGGCACCATCAATGCCACCGGAGTCTGATTCAACTGACAATGAACACTTCACTGACGATGGCGAGCCGACAGAATGGACGGAGGACGAATCTGACGACTTCGCTCGACATCAGCACGATATTGAACGTGCATACTACGAGAAGCGCGCCACGATTGGCGCACAGGTTGCCAGTGCGATGAGAGCTCACACGCATTCGGAAGATGAAGATGAATGGGATCAGGCGGTATGTGCCATATGCTACGGAGGGTCATGCATGAACTAAGTGACGCTGAACCTCAGGAAGTACCACTTGAAGCAACGCGCGCATCCGCGCCTCCCAAAACACCGGTCTCCAAGTTCAAGTCTGAGCGTCTTTCCAATGCTTCTTCCAGCACTCTCGCTTCACATTCCCTTGGTCGCTCAGTTCTACCATCCTCTCAGTCTTCGTCGTTGAAAAGCGCCATCAGGATGGGAAAACTAGAAAGTGATCAGCTCGTAGGAGAGGAGAGCGATGATGACGTTGAGAAGCAAACTAGAGAGGTCCTGGAGTTGCTCTCGAGAGGAGAAGTGACCAACATCAGTTTGCAGACAAGTCCTACTCCTGCTGCTGGAGAGAGTGTCAGGGCAATATCAGCTGTATCTTCCAGTCCCTTACAAACGCCTTCCGCTCCAACAATAATCAGTCCGGACAACGTAGGCAACGCAGCGGCAGCACCGAAGCCCAAACCATCCAAGGTGTCCAAGTTCAAAATGGCGTTGTCCCAGGCACAGCAAGTGCAGGATTCCGCATTGCCATCACCTCCGATGACCACGCCAATATCTGTCACCGAGCGTTCTTCTCCCAAGATGGCCTCGCCTGGGCCAGGAACGCCAATAGCCGTGCCCACTGCGTCGTCGCGGCTGTCGCCTCGGACGCCTGCGCACACACGTAGCCAGATGCCTAGCATGATTGTCGACTCGCCTTCGTTCCTTCCGCCCGCGAGGATGTCATTAGCATCTGTGGCGCGACCATCGCCAGGACCAGCCTCATGTTCTGCGCAGCGATGATGCAGGTGCCAGTCCTATACCTTTCCGCTCGGTTATCATCGAATCGCCCTCATTTCAGCCCATGTCCACCGTCAACTCGTCGCCATCATTATCCTCCCCGCCGATGCCATCGTCCTCAACATCAAGTGCGGGCAACTCGATTAAATTTGCCCCGGCGGACCGACCAGCTGTAATCATGGCTGCAGAGGTTAAGGAGTCAGATTCTACTTCACGACGTACCGCAGGCGCAGAGGGGAAAGAGAAGAAAGTATCGAGATTTTTAGCAGAGAGAATGTGATGCATATCCTGTGCATGTTGTTACATATTTTCACGCGTACTAGTTCGGCGCTCGACTTACATCGGGCGCCTGTAATGGATCGCAGCACAGATCTCAATCTGGTCCGGTGATTGCCGCTCGCCGACGAACGGGCGCTCGGCTACCCAGCGTTGAACGTTGAGCAAGACGATCCGTACGTTTGACTTGCATGCAAAGCCTCACCGCCCTTGCACTTGCCGTCCGCATAGGAATTGCGCTCGCGACACGGACCTTCTTCCAACCAGATGAGTTCTTCCAATCGCTCGAGGTCGCCCACCATCTCGTGTTCGGGTACGGACACCTCACCTGGGAATGGCTGTCTTCCAAACCCATCAGAAGCATTGTCTATCCTATGTTGAACGTGCCGGTGTATTGGCTGTTGAAGGTCTCTGGGCTGGATCAGACGAGTATGCTGGTGTGTATGCGGTCTTAAAATATCGTACGAGCAGGCAACTCACGAAGCGAACTAAGATATGGGCTCCAAAGATACTGCATGGCGCCCTTGCTGCGTGCACTGATATCTGGCTATGTGAATTGACAAGGAAGGCCCTCGGCGAGAGATATGTCTCGACAACCGTGAGTATCGATCAAAGTGCTGGGTATGTCTGCTCACTGCCCGCTCATAGTTGTTTTTGTCATTGACGTCCTTCTTTCACGGGCTATCCCTTTCTCGCTCTTTATCAAACTCGCTAGAGACCTCATTGACCGTGGTGGCGCTGGCATATTTTCCGTGGAAGCACACGTCAGGTCCGACGAGGTAGGATTCCTCGCTCTTTGAGACACTCGCGGAGGCTTGACGTGTTGTCATAGCCGAGATTTCCATAAAATGGTGACTTTCGCTGCGGCTGCATGTGCCATCCGGCCTACAAACGCGGTTATCTGGGTGTATGTTTTCGCGATAATGTTCGTCCGATTCAGGCATCGACCGGCACTCGTAAAGTCTATGGTCACCGACACGCTTCTCACTGGGTGCGAAGACCGTCTTTCAGGACCTTACCATGGCTGATCTGTGCTCATTGGGTAGGCTGCTCTGCCTCTCGACGATCGTTCTCCTCGACTCGGCGTATTATGGCGGTCTAACGCTCACTCCGCTGAACTTTCTGCTCACCAATCTGTCATCTGTATCTCTTTTTTACGGTGCTAGTCCGTGGCATTATTATCTCTCTCAAGCGATTCCTGTTCTATGCACAACGGTTCTACCATTCGTTATTCATGGCACATGGCTAGTCGCTCGCTCCACCGAACCCACCCCAAAAATCCTGCTCGGCATCATTGGCTGGACCATTTGCGTGTATTCTCTGGCAGGCCATAAAGAGTGGCGCTTCGTTCATCCCTTGCTACCGCTAATGCACGTTCTTGCTGCCAAAGCGCTTGTTGACACATACGGATCCGGCCACCAATCTACCCGTCTCCCTATCCGAAGTTCGCACCGGCTTCTTATCCTCCTTCCCTTGCCGGCAATATGTTACGTCGCACTTTTTCATGCCCGAGCCCAGATCGAGGTAATGCACTATTTACGGAACCTTCCTCCTCATGAAGTCAACTCCGTGGGCTTCTTAACACCTTGTCACTCAACACCATGGCAAGCATATCTGCATAGAGCGAATCTAGCCGACGAACGGAAGTTCTGGGCTCTTGGCTGCGAGCCACCCCTTTTGTGGGTCGATCGCGCGTTTTGTTTCATGTCGGTGGCGCCGCTGACGATCTACGCTGCTCTAGAGGCCAAAATATAGATTCATACCGTGACCAGAGTGACGTGTTCTTTGATTCCCCTGCAAATTACCTGCGCATGCATTTTCCAAGCCGGGTTGACCCATTGTTTCCGCCCTCGCCTATGCCCAACACGCCGCCAGGAGCATCATTAGAAGCGGACACCGTGTGGAAACATGAATGGCCAGAATACATCGTGATGTTCGGGGCGTTGCTAGATGATAATGATGTACGAGGCATGCTGGAGACGAACAGCTACCGGGAGGTCTGGATGTACGAATCAGGCTGGGAGAGTGATCAGCGAAGGCAAGGAGGGGTCCGGGTGTGGCGGGTCCAGCCTGTCCGAGGTTGAAATCATCTGCAGATTCACAATGCATGCTTTTTTCACCACCATTTCATCACTGTATAAAACCGGCTGGAGTGAGCAGTATGTCCGTCAACCAACAACACCATCAGCGCTCTGCCAGCACTCGTATCGGGAGAGACTTACTATCATCCTGACTGCACTTCTGCCTCCCCATGTCGTCCGTCACTCTCCCTGTAGAGCTCTGGTTGTACATATTCCGTCTGTCGACTACTTCTCCACTCACGCACAGCTTGCGTGCAACGACGTACGGACCATTCGAGACCATACCCCTGGTAGCTCAGGACGATCCGGAGGCAACGAAGACTAAGTCCGCTCTCGTCCTCGTTTGCAAGCAGTGGCAAGCATGGGCGACGGATCTGCTCTACGAGGACTTGTGGATGGGCCGTCGAGAGAAGCTGAAGGGCTTGTTGGATGGCGTGGAGGGAAAGGGCGACCAGGAACGGTCATGCGGGCGCTGGGTCCGTCGTGCCAACCTGCCGTACAACAGTTCGATGACCATCTCACCGCGTCCTCTCGAGGCGAACAAGATCCTCGAGCAATGCCCACGACTAGAGGTGCTCGTCCGTGTGGGCCCATTCCGTCCGGATGTGGACTTGCGGTTCGAGTTTCCTACTGACTGTCCGCCTATGCCATCGCTAAAGCGCCTAGATTGGTGGCACATCGGCGAGGCTGCACGTACAGGAGGCATTAACTGCCTCGGAGACGTCCTCCAGGCTGCTCCTAACTTGCAGTATCTCTCGCTCGGCGGGTACGTCAAGTTCAGCCACATCGCGCAGTCTCCCATCGCTCTTTCCTCCCTCACGACGCTGCGCATACTGCGCTTGAACGTGCTGTTCGTGCGACAGACATGCAGTTGGTCCATGCCTGCGCTGCAGCATCTCATCATAGACAACGTGGAGGATATCGGCATGTTGGAGTGCTTTTGGGAGAGGTTTGGCGAGCAGATTCGCACCGTCGAGCTTGGCCACAGCCTGTGCTACTACGTCTACGATTCGCTCTCGTTCATCCTGCAGGGCTGTCCCAACCTTCGGGAATTGAACTACTATGTTCACTTCACCGCTTTACCTCCCGAGTTCCGCGAGGGCGTGACATTCGCCTCGCTCGATACCGTCCGGTTGCACGCTCATCCGAACTTGCTCCTCCCACCCGAAAGTGAGGAATATTGGAAACGGATCGAAGATCACTTCGCGCTGCTGAACCGGCCTTGCTTCGCTGCGCTGAAGAACGTGGTACTACATGGAGATTGGGACGGGGTGATGAAGGATTCGCGCTATCCACTCCTGGCCCAACCATTGCTTGACCGCAAGTGCATCATAGAGAGGGCCGCGGATTATTAGAGCGAACGTTCATGGACCATGCATAGCTTAAATTTCTCTTTTCATCGCATGACTTGCTTCTTACTTTGACAGTGCATTGAATATATGCATAGTATACATGGGACACTCTAGAGCCTGTAGTATACTCCTATCATTTCAGCTACTCGATAGATCATATATAATATATAGAGTCCTTGATTGTTCCTCAGTAAATCCGTTTTTCGAATCGTGGATTGCTAGATGAAAAGGAATGAAGCGATGGACAAGTGACTCTGAACATCACATGAGACAGATGGAGCATGATGCTCGAGCTTGTCGGCTAGTCCCAGCAACAAGCCCAACCTGTCCCCGAGGCCTAAACATACAACCTGCCGCCACATTTCTACCTACGGCGGAGCGCCTGATGAAGGACGGACTCTTCACCGGGCGACCCGACATTAAGTGTGACGTCCGGCAACTCCGATGGTCTGACGCCATGCGGGAACTGGCTGCTGGAGGGTCCTCGATTGGCAGCAGGAAAAGGCCGACCCCTCGTAGACTCTGAGTCCAGTGATTGGTCAAGTGAAGGAGACATATAATGGAAGGACAGACCACGAGTGTTCTCCGAATCGTATGTGGCGTCCCGGAGCCGCGGGAGATCGTCAGATGAATGACGCTGAGGAACATCCGAGGGGCGAGCATATGCAGTGAAATTGTTTCGCAACGCTGATGTACCACGCTCCCGCGACGGACGGCGGCGACATTCGTCGCAAACAGGTACTTCCGTCCGCAGGTCGCTATTCGCCGTGAACCGTCGGGCGCATTGTGCGCACAGCTCCGTCAGTGAAGGCAAACGAGCTGGAACTGGCGGCAAGTCCACGACCTGATGGCCTCCACCCTGTGACGAGGAGGTCGGGCTCCTGGAATGATCGGAGTATTCGTCCATGCGCCCAAATATCCCGTCGAAAGTGGACTGTTCGGAGCCTTCGCTGGGTTTGGTTGATTCGCCGCTGTCGCTGGAGTTGGATCTCGAGTCAGCGAAGAAGAATCTTGCCCCGCGGGGTCGGCGTGGCGCTCCGCCCCCGGGGATGGGGACCGGACGTGTACGATTCTCATCGTGAGGCGCTGTTTCCGACATGAGCAGCAATAGCAGAGGGAACAGCGGCCGCGCGAGGTGAAGCAGACTTACTATGAGGGTAGGAGGATGTCAATTTATAGCAATCTCGACACAGCTGCGCTCCCAATGCACAAAAGCACAATGACCCACCACTTCCACTTGCTTGATTAGTCCATGGCTATGCGTCGTGGGTGCGTTCTCCCACATGATTCCAGACAGAATGGATCAGACAGCACATTGTGAGTCATATTTTCTGGAAATGAGCCCGTCAACACGGCTATCGCACTTTATTTTCACCATCACGGGCCATGCCACTCACCACAAAGCGAACGGCTGCCACATTCTGCGTAGGGACATGCAAAACAAGAGAGCCCGATCATGATGACAGAAATGAAAGGAGAAATCGGGGTACAACATATCCAGTGTGCCACATATTGAGCGTTAGCACTAGGCTGGCAGACCGCCTATTTCGGCGGCGTCTGCAACAATAGTACACTAATGATTCCCGGAGCCAACGGCGTGGACTCACTCGTATCAATGAACGGAAAAGACCGTCATCGGCGGTGGTTCCTGGAATGGAGCCATTGTACCGTTAGTCTTCATGCAACGCCATCCTCGTTGCTGTAAGAGTCTCGCATGCAATGCGAGGCCGCCATTACGGAGTGACGTGACATCTCACCAGTTCTCATTTATAGCGTGCAACTACGGAAATTGCTAATGTAGGAAGTAAGATTTCCTCCATTTGAGGTCACAGAAATTCGAGACATACCGTCAACGGTTGGACGCGTTCGAGGTTCCCCACTTCGAACAAGACATTGTTAGTGAGGCGCGACACAGGGGATCGAAGTGGGAGATGATACGACAGATCGACACAGCAAGCAGGTAGGTAGGCTTGACATGATCTACAATACATATAAGCAGGGACTGAGTGTAGGTGTTGTTGTATCGATTGGAATATGTCGACGTATGTCTGAGACAGCGCTTATACCTACTGTTTTGGACGATACCTGGTTACGCTTGACCACAACGGATTGATTGCTTCCAGGAGCACCGGATGTGGAATATTACAGCCATAATGCTTCCATCATGACAGCGGGCGCCATCCTCGGTCTCCGCGGCGTGAGAAAACCTGGGTATCGTGTGTTCCCGGACAATTGGAGACCAGATACGCTCCGCCATAGAAATATAGAGCCAGCGAACGCTTCTAGCGGTTTAGGCAAAGAAGCACCAAACCGCGGCCTCTTCCTCTTAGACAAATCTATCCGCGACGCCCAACTGTAAGACCTGATCGTGCATCAACCACATACAGACGGAAAGATCCGGCCGAATAACGATGCGACATCTCACCCAGTACCGCTATCCGAAATGTGGACACGCGCTGCGGGCAGCACATGCAGCAACACGACAGAAACGAGCTCATACTAGATGCAGTAGGAGCGACCCTTCGCTGGATCGGCGGTTCTTCATCACCAGTAACGTTTCGGTCCCGCATGAACGATCAGGATCCCCTATCGCCCTAGCGTAACGCCTAGATGATGGTTTCTCTGGTATAGATATCCAAGACATACGGAGGCCCGAACGAATTGTCTCGCCTCCTCACAGGAGGCTAGATTAATGAAGACACGCAGAGACGATCAACGTTGGTCAGCGCGCTTCAGCTGATAGCGACTTCCTCGGGCGGTCGCGTATTGCTAGGATATAGAAGTAGTCCAAATCGCTAATGCCAACGACAGCCGATGATATGAACACTCACATAGGGAGTCACCAGCGCAAGATACACTAAATATCAGCCACGCCCAAAGACAGCGGATGACTGAGAAAGCATGATGAGATTACGGCAGATTGCAAGAGGAGAGTATCATTGGAATGCTCGTATGAATATGAGAAGGACATGGCGATAAATGCCGCGATGGGGGTCGATTGCTCATCACCGACCGATCTTGATCCGTTGAGACCGTGTAGCCTGAAATTCGACGATGGTTAGAAGGAAACCTGAGTCAGTTCATCGCTAACTTACACGGCGCCGCTTCTTCAGCCTGACGTGAGACAGTTAACATCGGCGGGGCTGCTACAACAGAAAGTCGACTCACTTGTGTTTCTTCATCTTCTTTCGACGCTTCCTCTTGGTGCTATCCATGTATGCATCAAACTCGGCCTCTGCCAGTTTTACCTCCTCCGCCCTTCCCTCGCTCAAGTCCAGACCCAACTTCTGAAGAGTGTTCTCCCATGCGATAGACGGTGCAACCCTGTTGATCACCAATGCCCTCGCCAGGAGCCGCGCCGCATCGGCATCTTCTTCCGGTGTTGCCTCGGGCGGCTCGTTGAGACCATCCACCGATACCGCAGGAGTAGCTTTTGGAGGGATGGAGAATGGAGTTGCCGCCGATTCGAATATCATCGACGTTGGCTGCGACATGAGCAGGAGAGGTCGATGGAGAGAGAAGAATTGGTGAAGCCTGAGATCATGCGAGTTGACCCCAGGGTGCATCGAAACTGCAGCCGATGGCACAGGCAGCACAGAAGTCAAAGCAGAAGATGCCTCTGACCCTGCTGGAGTGCTAGGCGATTGCTGAGAAGATTGATCCTTTGCAGAGGCATCGGAGGCGGCATTCGCGTCGATGATAGTCGTTGTGGTACCAGACACAACTTTTGGCGGCTTCGACGAGTTGAAGAAGCGTCCCCCACCTGGCTTGGAGAAGGTCGAGTATGCTCTGCGGGTTGCTGGCACCGGCCTGAGCAGATGGGCCAGCACAGCCATGAAAACGGTGGGTGTGTTGCTCGCAAGTCGTCGCTGGTGTAAGCGATTATAACGACAGAAAAGCACGTGCCGATGGCGCGGCTCGACGTCCCAGCTGGCTCAGTTGCGGCTCTCCGTGCTCAGTCCTTGCAGACAATCAATAACGTTAATCGAGACGTAAAATACATCGGTCAGCAAGGCATTCAAGTCCGTATGAGTACAATAGAGGTAATGTCCGAGAAAAAGCCAAGGTCCTAGCATGCGCTCTGAGGGTGCTCTGAGGTCGACATCGCAAAACGAGGACGGCTAGGTTACAGTAACAATCTGTCCTTTGCCGTCTTTGAGAATGACCAGTTCGCAGTCAATTTTCTCGCCAGTGTCCATGCAGACAACGTCGGTTGGATCCACCGGGTCTAACTTGACCTGGCGAGCTTCCATGAATGATCGGCCGAGAACGACGTCGAAGTGAGACTCTTCAGATAGATAGACAGTGTGCATCGTCTTGGTGTGGCCAACTACGACGGGCCATTTACCAATGCTGAGCAAGTGTTAGTCATGGATGCCTCCCCAGTCGGATCATGTACGTACTTGACAAGACCGCCATAGCCATAGTGTCCAGGGGCAGCATCAGCTGGTATGAATCCATGCTTTATCGCGAACTTGCGCGAAATATACACATGCCGATAGCCGCTCTTCAGGAGCATCCGCACTGTTCACACGGTCAACACTCGAAGTCTACTCGATTGTTCCGCGCGACGCACCGTTCTCAACAGGGCCAATTGACCCTAGGACGGTTCTCACACCATTCTCGCTATGGAACTTCTCAAACTCCTGCTTGTACTTGGGTGTGACCTCCTGGGGCTTGACTTCCTCCGGAGTCTTCCGCCCTTTCTTCCCACTATGGATCGAGCCGTTGATGGACCGAGCTCGAAGTGAAGGAGGAGGGGAACGCGGGCGGAACATATAGAATGATGGATTCCTGTACGCCGATGGATCGGGTAACGGCTCGTCGGGATTGCGAACGTACAGGACAGGCCAGTGGTCGCTTTCCGGCTCAGCCGACTTCATGCGCCATGTGAAGATGATGTAGTCTGAGTCTGTGGATGAAGATGAGTGTCAAGGCGCTCGGTACATGCAGCGATGGCGATACCATCGTCCAGATTCCATATACTGCCGTTCCATGAATACTTCACCCAGCCAGGTCTGATGCGTTGGTGGTTGATGTCAGCAAAGGCCTTGTTGCTCAGCTTATGGAATAGTTCCTCCAGCGTATCATCATCTACAGCGCAGGTCATCAAAAAGAGTGTCGGCCAATTCATGAATGACGCACGCACTCGAGTGTACTATGGAAAACGATGACACTGGAGTATGCACGTTGAGAATGAGTGGAGGAGTGTTCATCAGTAGATTGCAGAGATGTGAGTGAAATACGAAGCAACTAGCTGCTGCAGATACCTTCTCGCACAAAGTCCGGAACTAGGTCCGTTCGCTGAGCTCAGCAGTCAATATCGAGATGGATGATGGATGTTCCGAGGCGGATGTGTAACGCGTCTCGGGCGCCAGCAACACGTCCCACCCAATCGAGCGCCACGTGCTTGCCTGCGGAAGTCCAGGTCGCAGCCGATATCGAGGCACATCGTTGCGTGTCAATGAAAGGGCGCACTCAGGTACAATCGTACAGCCACACTATATGACACAAAGCGAGAATTTCTTCACCGAAGGGTCCCGCCATTCGTACAATTTATACGATCACACGACACGCCGTCTGTCACCAGAGAATTGAATAATTACGACCAACTTCTTGGACACGAACATGCGGTACAATGACTTCTTGGTGACCACCGACCCAAGCGATAGATAGTAAGGAAGCATGCGGCTGCTATGGAGGTACGTTAGTCAGCGTGGATACGAAAGTACGGCGACATTGCAATGCCGCTGTTACGCACGCGCATGCGGAGGGGTAGATCTCCGAGACACGGAACTCCTGATCATGAATGGGCACGAGGGTGCTGTCCTTGAGCTTGTGCCGGCGGCCTTTTCACGGCCCAAGCGAAGCTCCATCGCGTGTAGAGACGCGTTCGAAGTTCGCGCAGCTCGTTGCTCGCCTCGCGACACATTTCGTCTACATATTCCGGCAGGTAACCCTCACTGATGTAACAGGCATGTCAGTAATATACCCAAGGCAATTGTCGTAAAGCTAGGCCTCGCACCTCAAGAGCAGCGGAGCAAGACCCGAGATATAACGCAAGCAGTTCTCGTGACATAGCTCTGATAGAACCCTTTCGCGCTCGTCATCTGCATCGCGGTCAGCATTTGGTAATCGTCCGATAGAGATAGGGCAGAAGTACCGTATCGCCACGGGCCCATGGGAATGAACAACTTATGCCACCCGACATCCGTCAAACTGTCGATCGCACGAAGCCAGGTTGGACTCATTGAGGGGGAGTCGATATTCCCACCTCTGTTTTTCATCGCACTGTAGGAGGCGAAGAACATTTTATGGATCCATGAGAAATTCGGCGTGCCCGGGTCGCTCAGCGCCAGTGGTCTCTTATGCTCGTCGTAAAGCTGTTGTTCGCCGTCGCCCAATAGCAGCATTCCTCCAGGGCGAAGAACACTCGCGAGCTCTTCAAGGAGCGCCGGGAAGTCTCGGATCTGTACCACGAAATTTAGCACCCGTTTGTATACTATTACAGAGCGATAGAAGCATACCCCAGCCGAGATCGCTCGAGCGTGCACAACATCGAAACAGTCCCGGTAATGAGAAAACCCTAGGTTAGCCTGATCATCTGTCAGTATCGACGGTAGCTGTCCTGATCGCAATTCACCAACATCATCTAATTCAAAGCTTCCTCGGCAGATATCAGCCGTAATGCCGGACGGTCAAATAGGACACATACCGGCAGTTGATGGGTAGTTCCCTGCTACACGACTGAATACATTTCGTAAGAGACAGATAGTGAGGGAGACCGCTTACCCATCTAGTCTAGGAGGCGCCAAGTCGACACCGACGACATCGCAGTGCGGGAACTCTTTCGCCATGTCTATAGCCCTAGAATATTCTAGGATCAACAGAAATGGTGATGAGCGGGCGGTGACTTGCCAACTGCCACTGCCCGTGCCTACGTCCAGTATAGCGGGGCGGCGATCGGTGCGTTGCCGCAGAGCCCTCAATACCAGTTCTGGTGCTGGGTACAGCCCACCAAGGCTCATAGTATATTGCGTGTGTTGCAAGTCAAGGCGGCGATGCTCTTCACTATCCTAGTTCAGGCAGATGAGGTACTAGGTTGGTCGTTCTAGGCATCGTAAATACGCTTACTGCCGGAAGGAAATATGTCTACGAGTAACATCGTCAGAAGAGATGAAGGCAGCGGACGCTTGCCACTCACGTCGTTTTGACTGTTCAGGATGCGGCCGTACAGCTTGCGAAGCTTATAAGAACCCAATGAGCTCGTTATACCGGATAGCAGACAGTATATACTGACGATGAATCTCTCATCCACGGAGCTGAAGGAATAAAAGGAAGGTGCTGGACTTGCTGCTCGGCCGTCCAACAGCGTTGATGAAGTCGAATCGTCGAATCCGTCCAGGTTATCCGTCATGTAACGCGACGAGATTGCCTTGACAATCTGCTGGTCGTCAGTAAGCGCAAAGAGGACTTGAAGGGGATCGTTGGATAGAGAGCTGTTATGTATATTTTCAGGAGCATGTACGTACGTTACATTGCATCTTATGGCACAGCATGTTCCGTTAGTAGACGACAGAGGCAGCGAATTATGTTATGAGACTATCTAGGGAACTTTATGTCGCAACCGAGAAGTTTCGATGAGACGAAGACGCTCGTATTGGCAAGCGCAGGGAACCGACCGAATTAAGCTTGGGGCCAAATGAGATCCCGGACAGTTCGCGCACTGTCGCGCTGCGATAATAAAGCTTGCAACAGTTGAATGCAGAGGTCAGAAAGTTGTTACGCTGCTTGCGGACACCTTAGTACGGGCTCAAGGCGTGTGTTACGGCGTGAGTCAGGGTCGCGACACGGTCAAGGGCGAATACGGCTCTAGGAGAATCTGTTCGTAACAGAAGGAAATTTATTGACGGAGCTGTGCGGCGCTCACGCCCATTATGTTACCGACATCCGGAGAAGCTGTCATACGGGAGATGGAAGGATCCCATTTGGTGTTTTTCGTTGTGCCGCATGGCGTGTGGGCCTCCTCTGAGTGGCCTTTGAGTGCGTCTGTGGGACACGCCGCTGACTAAGCAGATGGCACCGGCTAGAGATCGAAAGATCGGTCGGCTCCGTCTGTTCACTTCGAATTCTATCCATCGCGACTGGACGAGTATGTCTGGCATCTGCAGGGCACGTCTTGCCGAGGAGCGCAAACAATGGCGCAAGGATCATCCATTCGTGCGTGTGAGGATCGCTGCGCGTCTGATTGTGGCATTTACGACAATCCGCTGCAGGGTTTCTACGCGAGGCCTGTTAAAGCCGCAGATGGGACCATGAATCTGTTGGAGTGGGAGGTCGGGATTCCTGGGAAGACCGGGGTATGTCGAGCCCGTTTTGATTGGCGATTTGCGGTGTAGTTCCTGACCTCGTAGGGTGCAAGACGCCATGGGAGGGCGGCGTGTACAAGCTAATGATGATCTTTCCCGAAGGTATCACCATTTCTTCTGCTTCTTGCGCACCTGAGCTGCACAGTTGAACAACTCCCCCAGATTACCCGTCGAAGCCCCCAAAATGTGCGCGATCCATGCTACGATCGAAGCCAGGCACTGACATCTTCTAGGCAAATTCACGCCTCCTCTGTTCCATCCTAACGTCTATCCATCCGGGACTGTCTGCCTCTCCATTCTTGACGAAGAGAAGTCTTGGAAGGCTGCTATCACCGTCAAACAAGTAAGCCGAGCATCTGTATTTGACTTATGAATTATGTTGAGGATGTGGCAGGTCCTATTGGGTGTCCAAGAACTTCTGAATGACCCGAATGTCAATGACCCAGCACAGAGTGATGCCTACACTATGTTCAAGTACATATGTTTACCGTCTTGGGAACACATTGCTGACCACGTTCCGTAGGAATGACCGGGTAGCTTATGAGTACGTTGGTTTCCTCAACATTCCACCATATATCATAACACTGATCGTATTATCTAGGCGCAGAGTGAGACAGCAAGCTCGAGAGAATATACCCAAGTGATCTGTTCTCGTTGCCCTACCTACATCTCGGCTATCTCTCAGTTATCTTTGCTTTGCTTTCGGTTTGTATGTATGGAATGCAGTACGGTCATGGTTACTTGTAAACGTTGCTCGAAAACGCTTAAAAACCGTCCATGAACTGGGCGCATGCCGGCATAATATCACAGGTCAGTGGCGCAATGGCGTCCACAAAGACGAGCCATCTATCAATTCTGCTTTTATACGAAGACTCGTGGTGCAAGGCTCACGCATTGCAGAGAGTCACAAAACATTTAGAGCAAGATTCCGTACGCCTATATCATCAGTTTCTCGATAGCCAGCTTGATAGTCTGAATCTGGCTGGAAAGCTCCCTGTTCTCGTTGGTCGTGACACTCGCAGCGATGACTGGCCTGGAGACACCGCATGCACGGCCCAGGGCGGCCTTCGAAGCGACAAAGACGTATGGAACGTTCTACGTTGCGGTTTCGTCAGCACGGACACCGGATCGACAACAGATAATCATACCTTCTCCTCGCAGAGCAGAGGGAGATGGAGCAGAATCTCAAGAGGCTCGGTATCAGCAGTCAGGATAATGACTTCAGAGATACCACGGTTGAGGGTCTTGGTAGCTGGAATGGCCGACGTGAGGATGGCAGAGTAAAGGTTCTCCATAGACGCGCACCTTCGTTTGCACCCTTCTTGAGCTGTTTAAACTGGGATGCCCGCTCAACGAGATCCAGGATCTGAAGGGGACAGCATTTGCTGGTCAGTCTTTACCGGGCCACCAAACATAAAGCACTTTACCTGGTCGTTCAATTCGGGGTCGGCAAGAGGCCACGCCTTAGCACGAGTAGCCGGCTCTGACATTGCTGGTTATGTTGTGAAATGTGATACGACCTCACGTCTCTGATGATCCTTGGTCGACAATGAAAGCAGAAAGAAAGCCTGAGCCCGCCAAATTATTCGAAGTCGGCGAAAATCACGAAGCGCGCATCTGCTGCAGAGCACGTGACGATACCGGTGGCTGAGAGAATGCGACGCGTCATCTCGCGCATCGTACACGCTCTGTATTCACCATGAATTCTTTTGCTAGCCGTTTCTCAACTATTGGGCCTGCAGTGGATTTGAAACGCCTGAAACAAGCCACGGGTAACGATGAGGACGTCTCAGACTCTATGTGGGGCTCAGAGGGCGGCTTCGTGAATCTCGCGAAAGGCGTGCCGACATTCTCTGTGCCTTCCGTTCCAGACGTGAGTTATCGCGCCTGAAACCGGAAACCCGCTATTGACAGCTAGTGTGAATGCTGACTGGACACGCATTCAGCCGACTGCATTCCTGCGAATGCACACAGACGATCATGCAGACCCGAATTGCAGGATCAAGATCAAGCACGGAACGACGACACTAGCGTTCAGGTACCAGGGGGGTGTGATCGTTGCCGTGGATTCTAGGGCGACAGCAGGAAGCTATGTTGGTACGTGTCCAGTGTCGTAGCACTTGAGAAGGTGCTGACATTGGTGGCGTAGCGTCCGGGACGGTGAAGAAGGTCATTGAAATCAACCCATACCTACTTGGGACGATGGCTGGTGGTGCTGGTAAGCATACTATGGCGAGTCTAACTTTGGACAAGAACTCAGTTTACCGTAGCCGATTGCCAGTTCTGGGAGACGTACCTTGGTATTGAGTGCCGATTGCATGAGCTCCGTAACCGAGAACGGATCTCGGTTGCCGCTGCTAGCAAGTACCTCAGCAATCTTGTATACAGCTACAAGGGCATGGGTCTCAGCATGGTATGTCCGTGCCGTAGCCGTCAACTTGTTTGTTAATGTATGGCGGCTCGCTAGGGTACCATGATCTGTGGCTGGGATAAGACCGTACGTATCATCTCTGCAGGCTACTCAAAGCCCTGCTGATGAGCATGAATATACAGGGTCCCGCCATTTTCTATGTTGATTCAGACGGCACGCGCTTGAAAGGAGACATGTTTTCGGTCGGCTCTGGCAGCACATTTGCGTACGGTGTGCTTGACCAGGGGTACCGGTGGGACCTTACAGACGAGGAAGCCCAGGAGCTTGGGAGGCGCAGTATATACGCTGCAGGTCACCGTGATGCGTTCTCCGGAAACACAATCAACTTGTACCATGTCCAGCAAGACGGCTGGAAGTTCATCGGTAAGTGCTCAGGACTGTCTCAGGGGATGGTTCTGACACGCAATGTCCCACGCCAGGCAACTACGACATCTCCGAAATGCACTACAACGGTCCAGAGGGGAAGGGTGGCTATGGCTACGACATACGTACCGAGGGGCGCAGCTCGGCGAACCCTCCTCCGACCTCTTGAGTGCGCTTGTCGTGTCACGATATCCATGTACTCAGCTAGTGTAAATTTATGTGGCGTGATTTGAGGGTGCAAAGGCTGCTAAGAAGCAATATTAATCGAAAGCACAACGCGTTGATGTCATGCGTGCCGCGCGTTTCTCTGTTGCGCCACGACCGTGTAACCGTGTGCAGGGCCTTGATTCTGCCTCGTCCCTCCTTTGTTCTCCTCGCATGATCGCACGCATGCTCAGCTGCTAGCCAGATGAAGCGTCTCCTCTCGTTCACGACAATCTCGCCGGCGAAGAGCATCCCAGCAGCTCCCGTGAACCCCGTTTCTGGTACACTGCCGCACGCGACCACCCTGCAACCGAAATATGTCCTTCCACCACTGCCACACCCATGTCCTCACGAGCACATCGCGGTGCTAGCGACGCCGCAGGGTCTCTTGCTGCAGCCACACTTCCAGAGCACGTCGCATCCGGAGTCCTTCATTCGCGTGCAATGGGGCAAGACCGGCAACGTGGAGGAAGTGCAGTATCGCGAGGAGTTTGACAGCATAGACTGGTCAGAGAGCGTGGTCATCTATGGCCTGGTTGGCGTGCTGAATCTTTTCTCTGGTGAATTCTTCCATCGAGGTCATTCATTGAATGGTGAAGCGAGCGTGGTTCTTCCTAGTATCGCATCTCCTCGTAATATCGGGTCGAACGGAGGTCGGGCATCGTGAGTCTGTGATTACCGCGGATGTTCCCTCAGTCAGTTAACTACACTCAGTGCTCGACCCACGCCACGTTGTGTACAGCGTCAAAGGCGTTACGGCGATTCCCTTGCGGGAGGATCGCGCTCGCTCTGTATTGCGTTCACTGGCAGGGCGCAATAGGACGGATTCGCGAGTATCTCTCGAGGTCACCTCACAGCCAGGAAGTCCACCTCACATTGCAGATATCTCGGGCGATTCCAATGCGTCTACCAGCTTGGAAAGCAACGCATCATCGATATCGCCGCGTGTGAAGTTCGCCGATGAACACGAAGTGAAGGTGATGACGCCGCAGACTGAGCACGGATTTGATGCAGAGGAACTAGGTAGACGTGAAGATGATCTGTCATCGTCTGTCTCATCTATTGCATCCACACCGTCCTCGGAGTACTCAGTAAATACAGAGAATGTCGTGAAAACGTTGACGGCGCGCTTGTCCTTCTGGAACAGACTCTCCAAGTCGAAGGCCTCGTCTTCTGAGCCTCGAGTGTCCATGGAAGCTCAGACATCCTCTGATTCTTCTGAGGAAGAAGATCATCATCGAGGGTCACTCGAGTCGATCACGAAAGACGGCAAAGAAGAGCCTGCCCAGGTGCTCAACTCAATATTGTCCAGAAGTGCATCCACTCCCCCGACCGCCGAAGGGAAGCACTCGGAGCTGGAGGAGAAGATTGTCCGCGAGTGCATCCGAGAGTTTACCAAGGGCGGCATGTACTTTGCCTACGCATTCGGTACGCGTTTCTTCTTTCTCTAAGAATGCAAGCCGACGTGCGTAATGATTGTAGACATCACTAGGTCTCTGCAGCATAAGCACGAGATGATCGCCAAGGCCCGTAAGGAACATATGCACCCAGCAGGTTCCAAGGTTCTGGATGATGATTCAGACCTAAGCCCACTTGGAGAGAAAATCGAGGTCCTCGCCGAGCCCTCGCCGGCTCTCCCGCTCTGGAGAAGGGTGGATCGACGATTCTGGTGGAATGAGTGGCTGATGAAATCGTTCCTTGATGCTGGGGTAGCGTGCTATCTCGTCGCATATTTCTATCGCATCATTGACATTCATGTCAGGTCCACCCATACGTTCTCCCCATTATGCAAGGATTCTATCAAGTTTCTTCTTTCCACGTGCCTCGAGAACCAGTGGCCTTGGAGGAGGGTCAATACGCGCTTGTGGACTATATACTCGTTTCTCGAAGATCGCGCGACCGAGCTGGTCTGAGATACCAAAGGCGAGGCATCGATGATGAAGCAAACGTCGCGAACTTTGTCGAGACGGAAACCATTATGCGGGTAGAGGTGAGCTGCAGTGTACTCTTGGCGTGCTCATCTGTGATGTATCTGTCACCTGCAGCGAGAGGGATTTACGAACATTTTCAGTCACGTCCAGATTCGCGGATCAAGTATGTTCTGTGCTGCTATTGCACACGGTATATTCTAACATTAGCTTTCTCTAGTTCCTCTTTACTGGAAGCAAGAGGGATATAGTCTGAAGCCTACACCTCAACTCGCTCCGGACAGGACCCACGAACAGAACCTTGATGTCATTCGCAGGCACTTCAAGAAAATACTCCCACGATATGGACCTCATGTAAGTGTGCTACTCTTCACGGTCTCCGAGTATGAGGACTCACACTTGTGTAGACAATCGTAAACCTCGCGGAGCAGCAGGGGAAGGAGGCGCAGGTGACGAATGCGTACAAGGAGTATGTTGAGGAGCTGCACGATAAGAATATCCAGTGCGTACTCCAATCACCACAGCTTCCTTCCATCTTGATCATGCGTGCATCAGATACTACGCCTACGACTTTCACGTGGAAACGAAGGGAATGAAGTGAGTGGCACGGCGCTGGCTTCAATGCTCGCACTGATATATGGACAGGTATGAGAACATTGCGAAGTTGATTCATATGGTGGAACGGGTCTTCGAGAACCAGGGGTACGTCAGTCTTCTGTGATTCGATCCGTGTGGTCGAAATTAAATGATCATGCAGATACTTCTGGATCTCCAACAACACAATCATGTCCCGACAGCGGGGCGTTTTCCGCGTGAACTGCATTGACTGCCTGGACAGGACAAACGTCGTCGAGGTATTCATCATTCTCGCTGCGTGGCTGGGATGATTCATCGTGCAGCTTACACAGTATTTTAGTCAGCTTTTGCGCGACATGTACTGAACAGACAGCTCGGTGCTGTCGCTCTCCTGGATCAGGCCGAGGAGAGCAAGATCAGATCGGAGACCGACCTGGTATTCAATGACGTATGGGCGAATAATGGAGATGCTATCAGTCGTGAATAGTGAGTATCAATGACAGAGAATCGGGTCAAACTAACCGTCAATCGTCTCTGCCAGTGCTGGCACTTCTGCATTGAAGGTGAGCAACGGCACCGTAGGCATAGGTACAGTGTCTACAACGTCATTCCCATCAGGGCGACTTTACGAGAACCGGTAAGCGCGACTTGGCTGGCATGCTCAATGACGGAGTCAATTCTCTGGCGAGGTATGTATTCGGTGAGCTCCCTACATGAGTGAAATGCTCATTCAGACGTAGAATGTACACTTCAACGTTCGCAGATTGGTTCAGTCAAGCAGTGATCGACTACATCCTCGGCAACCGGACGATCTCGGTCTTCTCCGAGTTCCTGAACAAGCTGCAATCGACCGATCCTCGAGAAATGGTTCGTTTGTCGAGAATCAGGGCGGATGCGATCGCGACATGCGTGTCTCGCGTGCTACCGGAGGGCGAGCGATTGTTGTCTGGCTGGACCCTATTTTCACCAGCGGAGCTCAATACCAAGGTGGGGGACAAGTTCGAGGAGAAGGTGCTGCTGCTGGTGAGTCCTTGAAGATCCGTGTGCGATAGACGCGTTGGCTAATTGTGTCCAAAGAGCGTAAAAGCTCTATATATCATAGTATGTGCATCTTTCCATCACTGTCCGCTTTTCCGCATCCTGAGTCTTTCTGCTCAGAGTTATGACTATACCCTAGAGAAGGTCAAGATGTATACCCTCGTACCCCTCCAAGATATCGTAAGAATAACCAAAGGTCACATCCCTACTTCAAATGGGGAACCGGATCTCATCCCACATGTACAGGTGCTTACATACTGTCTCCCCTCGAGGAGGCAAGCCGTGATCCATTACAGAACGCTGGCTTCCTCATAACATGGCGCAACGTGGATCAAGATACACGCGTTACGAGCTATTCCATTCGCAACAGTGTTGACCCTGCCTCACCGTTGCCACCTCCATTTTCTTCCGTACCATCTCATCCGCGGGCTCCGCATAGACGGGCCACCTTGCCAATGCTATCTCGCTCAACTACGTCTTTGCCGGGAATGCTATCCAAAGCTGCTGCACCTGCGGCAGAGAGCGACGAGACCTTTGCCGCATTTAAAGTCCTGCCAATAGATCCGGCACGCACCCGAAGGGATACGGGTAGCTTTATTGAGCCTGCAGACGAGCTCGCGGGGGCAGCCAGTTGCAAGGAGGCCGCAGATTTGATTGTGGACACGATCCGGCAGGCATGCCAGGATGCAGGCGGTGCGCAGCGCGACTACATCGTGCTGGAGGACATTGTCAGGTGAGTGTTGATGTCGTGCGGCCTGATACAGTCCTCATCTCAGTCCCTGTAGTTTGGCTGAAGCCCAGCGGATGACAAGCGTGTACGCCAAGATGGAGTATGGAGTCAAGAGGCTGTTGTGGCTGGGCGGTTGACCACTATGTGTTTCTCTTTGCAAAGCGTCACGGTTGTATATCACGGTTGTAGAATAGATTTCAGAATAGTACGAATATCAGGCAAATTACTTTCGGGCTCGCAGCCGCGATAGGCTTTGTGAGTTTTATTTATATTTTTAATATAAGCCACTTGCCGTAGTAACACTTGCTTTATACGGAAAACATATATTGCCTAGCGAAACTTGATTGTCTTCCATTTAGGTACTCTCAGTTGAGAGCCTTGCGCAGGTCCGTTCATTGTCCCCTTTCTCCTCCATCCGAAAGCCCACTTGCAGCTCCTGCCAGTGGTTGGTAACACTGCTGCTGCTGATCTCATCCGCAAAGTTCAGCCGAGATAAAGGAAGGCATGCTACAGGCGTTGCATGCATGCACTGATCATCAAAGCTTCAAGTCCTGTTCTTCACAGATCACCCTCGTGCTCTGCACGCATCGACGCTTAGAGGTCCCTGGCTCGAAGCTTCGCCGCTACTATTTCTAAGAGCGTCTTCTCTTCTCGAGCTTCATTTCTCCGTTTTGCTTTGACATCGCTGCTCTATGGCGACCCCACACTCGTTACCTACCCCGACCGCACAGCGATCGGGGACTCAACTGCCGTTCTCTCCTTCACCGAGCAAGACCTCGCAGCGGCTATCCAGCGTATTGCCGAAGCCGCATAGCGACGGCGTGTTGCGCACTCTGTCTGCGAGCCGCCCCGGCTCAATTGTCTCCTCGCGCCCCTCCCAGAACATGAGCCATGTAGGCGAATCGGCACTGCCATCGTCTATCTCCATACCCCTTCTTCAGTCACGCGCGCTGAACGTTTCCACCTCCACTTACGCAAGCGGTGTGCTGCCATCTGCATCCTTCTTCAACCCCTTGCGACCTGGCTACCCCCCGCCATCTCCTTCGTCACGCCACACACGTCATTCGAGCGTAGGTTCGAATATGTCTACAGATGCACCCGCGTTCGAAGGCGTGCGTCTCAGTACGCTCTCAGAACAGCAGAATGGATCGGAAGGCTCCGATACCAGCGGACATCTGACTGACGAGGCGAAAGACCCACCCACACCATCCACAAAGGCTCCCACCATAAAGCCGAGCAGAGAGTATCTGCTACCGGTTCGGCACAAGCAGCCAAATCGCCCATCGGTGAACACGCAGGTGACACCGTACGGCATGCATGACGAGAAAATGAGTCCAAGCGGGCGCGTGCGCGAGAGTTTCGAGAAGCTCTTTAAGCGGTCGCCAGCGAACACCAGTCCGACCAGCCCACTTGGCGTCTCTGTGCAGGCGTTAGCACGCTCGCGTTCGGACGACTCATCACAAGCTTTGCAATCCGCCGCAGGACGGATGACTTTCGACCTGGATATCACCCATGCTCGACGGAAGCAGAATCCGTCTTTTACCCGATCTATTACTTTCATCCCGACCCCTCCGCCGAACTTGGACCCTCTTCCAGCGTTTACACCCATCGTGGATACAAGAACTGGGAGGTACATGCGGAATTGGCAGCTACACCCATCAAGGAATCATTTCTTTCTGAATGGATACATACTAACTGGCGGTGATTCTCCTTGGGCATTCTTTGCATCACTCGCGTTCGTGTTTGGCATCACGGGAGTGTGGTTCGGGACGACATGTGTCTGGTGGTGGTGGCACGAGAGCCCTGCAGTCGCCATCCTTGGGGCCTACATGTGCCTGCTGACGATTTCCAGCATGTTTGCGACGGTGAGTGCGCATTCACTGTCGTTGAATCTGACTGATCGGAATTATTTGATTTGATTGCGTATGATGGCTTAGGCATTTCGAGATCCAGGGATCTTGCCAAGAAACCTGGATCCTGACCCACCATGTCCTACGGCGGCATCGACAGAGAGCCTCCCTGCGCCTCTCCCCCGGGATATCAAAGTCCGTGCAGGAGCGTGAGTGCTATCCGCGTAGCTGGCGTGCCATCATTGCTAACGCTGATCGCCGCTTGTCAGTGTGCGCACGAAGTATTGTCAGACATGCAGAACGTACCGTCCTCCGCGATCAAGCCATTGCAAGATGGTATGTGTTCCTGTAAGATTAGCCAAGCAACAGGAGTGGCTGACTAAACCGACAATTTTTCGATGCGACGTATCGGACGTTGCAGTGTGATAATTGCGTGGAGGGGTGCGACCATCACTGTCAATGGGTGAATAACTGCGTTGGCAAGCGTAACTACACCACATTTTTCACATTTCTGTTCTCTGCTGTGAGTGCCATCCGCTCACTGGTCATTGTGCCTGGAAACGTAAAACGTACCGTCATTGACTGCGATTGTTGCGCAGGTTGTCACCCTCATCCTAGTGATATGCACGACCGCTGTCCACCTGTATCTGCTTACGCGAGCGCCGTTTCACCTGGATTTCCGGAAAGCATTACAGACGACGCAGGGCTCGGGTAGTGCAGCAGCGTTCATGATGTCCATCCTGGTTATATGGCCCGTCCTCGCATTGTTGCTATATCACCTACGGGTGAGTACCCCCGTGCTGAGAGAAATAAAGTCAGTGCGGCTAAGCGGGCAGTGTAGTTACTGCTATTGAACGTGACGACGATCGAGCAGGTGAAACATCTCAGCACACGTAGGGTACACCGTCCTCGTACTGACCCGCATGTCATAGATTCGCAACCAAGCGCACAAGTCGCTTGTTCCGGGGCCCGCTCCGCCAAACCCATTCTCCCATGGGTCTTGGCAGCGCAATCTTTTATACGTGCTGTGTCGACCGCCAGGGTACTCGTGGCTAAACGCGACGGCGATTGCGACAGAGGACCGACGGCAGGTGAATCCCGGGCTGTTGAGGAACATGGAGGATGGTGGTGATTGCGACGCATGGATGGGAGCATTAGAGGAAGGAAGAGGGCCCAGAAAGGGAGAGTAGCGAAGTCTATGTGTCTATCTGACAGGATGGGAAAGACGTGGCGTGCGGTGGGTCGGGGCACTTATATTGTACTGTATTCTATGATATTTTGCGACCACCTAGGTGGTGGCCGTGGCAGGGAGAGGGATTAGAGTTAAGACCCTCTATCCTCGGGCCGTTAGGATGGGGTGATGTATTTTATTCGGATACTTTTATTATGCGGAGGAGAGGATGGAGCTGGCCACCCCTGAGCGCAACTCAATCTGGTGCCTGGGTAGGTCCGCGGCGGGCCCGAGACGTCCGAGATTTGGGCGATGGATGATAACCGCCAGATAAGTGTCGCGATCAGGGGATAATGGTGCTCAGTAAGGAGGTATTTAAAATCGGAATTTGTGAGCGACCCACGGAGCTTGCGCGTGATCTTCGCGATGATGAGTCTTCTGATGCGGCCCCGCGTGCAATTTTTTGGGGTGGCAAAGGGGTGACGCGTCGCGTTTCAGCGAGTGTCCGCGCAGGTGTGGCGGGAGCAAGTCGGCGGCTGAATCGGGGCGACGGAGGATGGACGTTATTGGTTATTACATGACAAAGATCAGAGCGAGGATCGGACAGATGGGATCGCAGTGCGTGATATACGCGCTGATAACGGCTGGGAGCGCGTCTGGTTGCAACGCCTGGCGGGGACTCAGCGGGGCCGTGCGAAGGCGGGAGAGGACTGGGTCAAGCCTCCTCCGCTGGCTGCGCGATGCGGTGCGCTCCTTCACCGTCGCCCATATCAGGCACAAGAGATCGACTATATATACCAGACCAACCCCAAATCAGGAATATGACGTCCGCGGGCCATATTCCTGGCCATCACGTGTATCGCGGAGTTCCAATTACACGGGTTGCGCTTCAAACGGAAGGCCTCTCAAGTTCGGCATCCGGAGGCGTTGACCCATCTCTCGCTCTGTGCGCACTGCGCTGCTCGTCCTGCTGCCACCACCGCTCGCGTTCGCATCCGCGGCGTTATCCTGCACAACGTCTGAGTCGTTCTGCGAGTTTGCATGCCCCTGGGTGTACTCTCCGATCCGAACGAAACTAATCGCCGACTCGACCTCCAGGCAATCATTCATTTATAATCCGAGACGCGAACATAATGGACCCTAATCCGAATCCTCCGTCCACGCCGGCCACTGCACCCTCAAACAAGACCCGCGGCAGCGCTGATACCTCCTCATCAAAGCCGAGGAGGTCACGGAACAGCAAGCCCGCCCCATCAACTCTGACCTCTGACACACCGCCGGCCTCTGACTCCCGCAACTGTGAGCACATTCGCTGAACATATTCCACTGCAACTCAGCATGCTCAATTATTCACTAACCACTCATTGTCCTATTCTTGTCAGCGTCTCGCACTTCGAACGTCCGGGAGCAGCCGCAGCCTGCCCCTTCTCGTTTCACCGCCCATCTTCAGCCCTATCCAGGTCCTACTGCCCCTCCCTACGTGATGAATCCAGGATATAGCCCGCTTAACGGGAATCCCTATCCGTCTTCTCCATCCCCGTTCCACCAACCTGCTAGTTCCGCCTCCCCAGTCAACGGCCAGAGTTCTCACATTCCAGCTGGCGTGCCGGCCCACACCCATTACTCTTATGCAGTTCACCATACCACATACCCTCATGGATATCCCTCTTACCCCCAGTACCCAGCCACAGGTATGATGATGTATGGCACTTCGCCGACAAGCCATCCAGACACTGTGCGCAGCCCAGCAATGCCGTCGCCAGCTCCAATAGCTCCAAGCACTGGCAAGCGTAAAAGGAAGTCTAGCGTTGATGACATCCACAGCAGGACGTCTAATGATCTGGATACAGATTCTGGCAATGACCTCACACGCTCAACGACACAAGGCTCCAGCTCCAGCATCGTCGTCGACACCAAGAAGCGCACAAAAACTCAGCGCGCTTGTGACAGCTGTCGGAGTCGCAAGATCAGGTTTGTGTTGCGTTGTTTATCCAGCGACCCCCTTGGTGTGCCGGTGGTATCATCCCCTCACCGACCATGTTGTAGCATTCCGATTGCTTAGGATAAAGTACGGCGGCTGATGCTCGTGCCTTTTGTACAGATGTGATGTTCTCCCTGACGCCGATCCGCCAGTATGCCAGCACTGCAAGCAATACGGGTTCGAGTGTACATTTTTCTTGCCCATCACAGAGACGCGGTTCAAGAAGAAGAAGATGGAAGAGGAGGCGGCTGCCCTAGCAGCAACAGAGAAGGAAAAAGAATTAGAACGGCGTACGTCATCCCCTCGCACAGAACACAGCAAAGGCGGCGAGATGAAGGTCTATGGTTAGTTTGTGCACAACCTGTTTCGTTATTATATGCATGCTTATGGCGCGACAGGTCCTACGTCTCCAGCGCATATGCTCCATTCGCAAGCCATGATTTCTTCGCGCGTTTACGAATCTTACGACATGCGGTATCACCATTCATGGGACGTCAGCGCGGGCGGCGACGGAGTGATTCGTATACATGAACCACAGCAGGGTGAATTGCAGCTGGCGCTGCCCAAGCCGATCGATATGCGGATCGAACGCGATGTGCTGGAGCGACTCGTGAACGCCTACTTTTCTGAGGTCGCACCGCTATTGCCTGTCGTAACGCGGGAGGAGTTCGTCGCGAGCAATCCTCCGCCACCTATGTTGCTCTATTCTATCTGCCTTGTCGCAGCGGCAAGGAGAGAAGTGCCCCAGGGCGTATACGACTCGATCCGACACGCGGTGAATACCCTCATCAAGGCCGAAGACGTGCTGTCGACCGCTTCGATTGTGAATGTGCAAGCTCTGCTGATCCTGTCTATGTGTGGTGACTGCCACTCGCAATTCGTACCTAACGCACTGTCAGCGTTGTGGATTCGCCTGGGATGTGCCATACGCATGGTTTGTTTGTTTGTTATACTGAAATCTGGCCCTTTCATTGACTATATGCGCCGCGATTGTAGGCTCAGGATCTTGGGTTGCATCGTGCCGAGTCAATCAGGCGAGATATTGAGATGCGACGGCGGCTATGGGGTATATGTGTGATCAGCGACCGATGGTCAGTTTATTTGGGCGCTCTGCATGGACTGAAGTGCTGATCGCTGATTTATCGTATTAGGATTAGTCTCACGTATGGGCATCCATTCATGATTGACGTACAAGACTGTGACGCCCGTCTCCCATCGTCCGGCGATCCTAATGATCGGTATATGGATGAGTTGGTGAGGTTGAGTGTGATCTTGGGGCGGGTCTTGAAGACCATCTATACGTGAGACTACTTTATAACATGCAGGTCGACCGACTGATCGCACGTGTTGACAGTCCTGCTGGCCTCAATGTGACGACGGACGAGCAGCTTCACACGTTACTCAACGACATTGACGCGTGGAGGAGGAATTTACCAGATGACCTGCAGTTCCGTGGGACGGACACGCATCGTAATGCAGGTAGGCTTCCGTTGACCCGAATTCTAGGCCATAGTTACGATGGCATTTTAGGGCTGCTCTTCATGTTGTTCACCTGCGTCAACATGATTTTCTGGCGCGTCTTCATGCGCATATCCTACGCATGCCCTGCGCACCTCAAGTTCGCCCTGACCGTTGAAAAGTGGACGGAGCTGGTGCAGCTAACGGGGCAGGCCATTGACTGGCTGGATGCCCACGAGCGTTTGTATGACGTCTGGCTTCTTGTATCATATTGCGCGACGTCATGTGCGCTTGTGCAGGTGCGTGCCTACTAGTCCATTCTACATGTTTCCTTGGCTGACGTCTGCTGTCTCTCACGTTGATAGTATCACACTTGGGCGCGGCGGCGGGACCCTGAAGCACAAGCCAGATTAAGGAAACTCCGCGACTGTATCCGGAGATGGGAGGCATCCCTCTCTCCAGACCATATGTCAGCACGACGAAAGGTCCGTTGAGACACACTCACAGACTTTCACCTACCGTGCTTGCTGATACATTCTACAGACAGCCGAGATTATCGCACTCCTATTTGAGGCCACGCAGAGTCCTCCGGATGTTGCTGATGCTCCGGCGTTAAATCCGACGGGCGGGGTTAAAGTCAAGCCTCCCCTCGGCGGGCTTGTCTTCCAGAAGGACCCGTCACGACCCGGCGGTGGCGTGTTTGTAGCGCTTTCAAAGCCGAAGGAAGGTCAAGTTGATGGTGTGCCTCCTGGTACCATCATCAGCAGTGATGGAAAGGAAGGTGAGGCGATTGCAACCGCGATGTCTGACGTTCGAGCCCGCAATGACCTCGTGTTATCGTCCGCCCGCTCTGAATTCGCACCCTCTGCGTATGCGTGGTCGTCACCATTAGTTATCACTGGCTCGCAGGCGCAACCGCAATATACGCCGCAAAGTCAGCAGCAGCAGGAGTCGACCGCACAGGAATATTCGTCGCCGGGAGGGAGCTACTCGAATGTAAACCCGATGATGGACGATGCTTCTAATTCCGGCAACATACAGGTGATGAATGTGCTGGACGTGCCGCAGGCCTCGAATACCCTGGAGCAGTTTGCGATAGCGGACACCGCTTTCATGGAAGGTATTCCGGAAGGAATGTTTGAGTGGAGTTCGTCGATTTTTTATACATGTTCGTCCGTGTGTTTGCTCATCGTCAATTTTAGATCAATGGGAGAGTTTCTTCTCGCGTTGGTCGCAGCTACCTCAATTCCAGCAGCAGCGACTCCAGCAGCTCGGCAATGTCAGTATGCAGCAACAAGCCCAACCGCAATGCCAACCACAAGCTCAGTACCAGTATCCTGCCTCCGGTGCTGGGATGTAGCACAGGTGGGGTTGCCTTATGTACACCGCATGGTTCGGCATATCACCATACTGTGAAGCTGATAGTTTGATGCGGACTCCTCTTGAGAAGCACCATGTCAAGAGGATGTGTTTCGATGTCGCTCCGTGATGGTCCCTCATGATTACTACGCGTATATGCCCTGGACCTTCTACTGTCAGGGCCTATTATTCATGTCATTTCCTCCTTGACCGCGACGCCACGGTGTGCACGATGGGTGCTCGAAGGCGTCTGCGGGTTGGCCAGCCAGTGCCTTTACGTACGACGTGCAACATGATTGTCGAGCATCTGCTTCCGCAGTTCACATGAATGAACTTCGAAGTGAATGGGTGTGATTACGTCTTTTATTATGTTACGAAAGCGGCATAGGTCCATAAGATTAGCAAAATGAAACCGTTTCGGCTATGTAATCACGAGGAAACGATTGCATTCAGGCGACGGACGAGATGCTGACGCCCAGATCGTCCGTCATCCGCTTCCTGTCTGTTGAGCTCGATTATTCGAAATGTTGCAACCTGGTTGAGATACCGAAGCACTGATGCCCGAGATCTTCTTGTCCCGCGAACCGATCGTGGACTGGACCTGTCTGCAGACTTCGCCTGCCATCTCCGTCCGCCCGATCCCGGTGTCGGAAGAGACATGTCCGGTGACGCGAATTTGGTAAGGACGAACCTTGAGCTTGATTGTTGTCTTATCTGATAAGTTGGACCTCACCCATGATTACGGACACTGAGCAAATTCTGTTAGAACCTGATGGAAAGGCGAGAAGCTCCAGTTTCAGGGCACCCCGGAATATGAAGAAGAGAACAGGAAATGGTCCACTCACCACGGAAAACGCCGCAGAACCTTGCATCGGAACAATTGCTGAAGCGTAGGCGACTCACCTGCATCTACATAGGCTTTCTCATCGGAATTGATGGCGTGTTACGGTTGCATGTGGGTGGTGAACGAGAATCATTCTAAGCTGACAACGCTGCATATGTAATGCCCCAGTGCAAAATCGCACGAATGAATGGGTTGGGTAGGAGCCAACAAAGATCTGTGAGGCAATGCGAGAGCGGGAGTCAGTATACGGCCAGCTCGGAAGAAGACGCGAGTCATGAGCCAAACAAGGGACAGACACAGCTCCGAGCTCAGCGTAGGAAGGGAAGTCATCGGAATGCCGCGGACACCTTCTCTGCCTCGTGATGCTATAAAGGTACGTTTCGGGGACTGACAGTGGGAACGGAAGTCAAGGAATGATAGTATCGTGAGAGCGCTGAACGCACTGCGCGTCCTTCTTTACCACCTTTGTCCCGCGGGAAACCGGGAAAGACGCTTCCATGCCATGCAGGAAACGGAGGCTTCGACACGTCAAAGGATGTGCCATAGTCAGTACGTCAGCCTGTGGGAAGAGCATGCATGTGGCTATTTCGAGACGATCTGCATACCAGAAAAGCACGCGTGAGTACTCGTAACGAGGACGGATGGCATCAACCCATTATTACCTCAGAGTTGATCATTCTGAATGACGTTGACATAAAGTAAACTGATACAGCATCTATCACCGCGATAGGCGACATGATCCATTTGTCGTAGCTGATTGAAACCACCTGCGCGTGCAAATCGGTCAATTTCTCAACATTTGTACTTATGCATACCTGTCCGTCCTAGCAACATAACGCAACTCTCGCCTTGACAGGAAAAGGCTATGTTGATGATCAGACATGCGACGGTCGACCGGAGGTCCGGAGCTGTGAGCATGGAATGAAACGTCACAGTTCGACAATCCATTGAATGCAATTGAGTCGTTGATTCTCAATCACATCACTTTTGCGCGTCGAATCTTCAGAACCTCGCATCATGCACAGAGTGAGAGAGTGGACCTCGTGCAATTGCTATTAAAGCGTTTGAGAAGCAGGTCGGAGCTTGATGGAGCGTATTCTCATAAAGCCTGAGAAGCATATCAGAGCACATGCCAATCGTGACTGCTCACCATGATGGACTCGTTTTAGTATGATGCAATCGTAGATACAGTCACTTTCTCACATGAAGCGGCTACAACACGAGAAGGCTTCCTAGGAATGTCATTGACCACGCGGCGCCGCACATTAGAATTGTTTTGCAAACGACAAGCAAGACTTGCTATGCATGTGGGAAATGCCGTAACGCACTGAACGAAATATGACATCAGTTTTCGCATGAATCCTGACTCGACATAAAAATGTTCCGAGCAATTCATTCACAGGCTCAGCGATAGTTAGGATGCACCCTCTTTGCTGTCGACTAGTACGCCATGAGAAGACAGTGCTGTTCGGCTGAGGCTCGAGCGGTAACTAAAGAGTTCCAGCAGACGCCTATAATGCACGATGTCTCTGGAAGTAGTAGCAGTGATATCGCCGCGTACGCTTCGGGCACGCGAGCAATGGAACACGACGGAGAACGAAGGGCAGAATGTTGAAGTCGCTGCCACAAGACAGCCGACGCTTGTCTCGGCGGGCAGACTACGCACAATCAGGCACAGAAGGCTGCGGAAAATAACCCGCAGTACGATCACCGGTCTTGCAAGCGACTATGTCCGTGTGAAGGACAAGATCAAGGGATCATCTCCATAAGGATGCCTGGGTCTCACGAACCAGGAAGGGGGAAGAGACGCCAAATGTGAAATGAACAGCAATAAATGAACGCCGCCTATAGCCTCGGTACATCGCATCAAATCGCACGCACGTACCATCGACATCCTCAAACGTTGACGTTGATATTTTCGTTCTTCCATGCATCGCGAACTGCGATGCATCCTGAGAGCATAACTTCACAAGCGGAGCGCTGTGAATCCGGACCGGAGCTGTGGAATATCAGCATAGCTGCATCATGAATAGAAGTATCCTGAGAAGACAGACTTGGCATTGTCTCACGTTAGCTCAACAAAATCGTACTCTGCATTGTGACGATCGTTCGAGCTAGACAAAGCGATAGCATTGTGTCAATGATAGGGGAACCACAGTCGCGACTTGTTGACAATCTGCATGAAGACACGCCACTTTCTTCTTGTCTGCCACATTTACTGCATACATGCATCCAACCGAGAAACACGTACTCATGTGAGCATGCCAGTTCGATTACTTTTCTTCGAAGGCGTTTGCGGCTTCTGACTGCCAGATGGATGGGACGCAGGCTCTAAGATCGTGAGATAAGGCGCATATACAGACCTTTCGGCCGCTTCAACCGCATCTCTCTCCGCGTATGTGTGAGACGAAGATATGCGGTGATTAAATGTCCTCTTTTTGCGAAATCAGCTCACCGAGCTCGCGGGTAAGTTCACACGTACTGCGTATGGGTACAGCACTGCCGTCTGGTCTATCCGGACACGATGTTCATGAGAGCAAACGGTACATTAGTGCTAAGAAGACAGCCACCAGCTTCACGAAGGCTCGAGCTTGTGGCGACGAGACATCACATGGCGCTTATCGTGAGAGCTGAAATTGATGGTGGGCGAAACGATCCGCGTGGTTGCCCGGAGCGCTGATAGAGTGTTGAAGTCAGTCATGGATAATGGTGCTGAACATGCAAACGTCACTACTTGCAGTGAAAATCATTGAAGCCAATTTCGCGCAATGGGTCGCCATCGGCTGCGACTGCACTTGGACGTCTTGGAAGTCCGCAATACGATTCCTGTCCATCGCGTCGACGGAGGCCGACGGATGTTGTTTCCGGCTCTGGGTGATACCCGAGTCGTCATGTCGTGCAAGAGAGAACTGATAAGGCAACGTGCGATGTTGTTCATTCCATGAAAAGCAAACGTCTCAGCGCAAGCTTCTGTTCAGACTATGAGATATGCACGTTCAGTGAACGTCCGAAACGTGAGAGCTTACCCCACAAAATGACGTGGATATAGCAAGGAGATCAGATTGTGTCGGAGAACCTGCAGGGTCCTCAGCAATTTCAAGTCGTCGGAAATGGGATCTCGATGGTAGAGCGCTTCCGTCGGCAAAATTGTTGATGATGGTCGTGTGCATTGCTGTTCGAGGGGCAAAGGTAGTTATTCCGCTTACGAACGTGCTCAACGATAGGATGATCATTCGTCATGAGTATACGTTACGCTAGTGGCCGCTTGGCGCATCGTAGTGGCTTCCAAGAACGACTTGAAGGACATGGAGGCTTTGCAGTTAGTCGGGCGATTAAACGACGTGCTGATGATCAAGTCGCTTGGTTGAACGAAGGATGCTCTAGAAGCACAGACTAGCACAAGACCGCAAATCGGTGCCATTGAGGCGAAAAGCTGCGGAGAAGAAAGACTAGACTGGCGTTGTGGCAACGGATAAACCGCAACGTCGCTCGCTTGCCGCACTTGCTCACGCTCGACACGTTCTCACTTCTCTGATCATGTTCTCTCTCAGGTAGCCTACGTCTCGCTGCTCTAATCCGACGTGCATAACGTCCCACGTCGTATTCGCATCTCCCAACGACGCAGACGACGCATCCCACACTACCCACACGTTCCTTATGGCCCAACTCCTTGCCCCGGCCGCACCAGACTCAGGGCGCATATCACAAGTCTTGCCAACCGTCAAATGCTCTAGCTGCAACTATCCGGTACCTATTCACGAACTTGGAGATCATGTCTGCACCCCAGGGTCAGCAACCGAATCATCCTTTCCCATCAACAAACACCCCAGCCTCATCTCCCCGCTCACCGCCATCGAACTTGATCCAGAGAGCTATCAAGGCGAAATGGCGTTCCCTGCTTCCAAAACGCTGCAGGCTCAGCAGCCGGTAAGTTCTCACCAAGTGAGTAGCCCCGCTTCGCAGCATACCAGCGTCTCTGCTCGTCCAGAGCAGACGCGAATGCGCGCTCCGTCACTTGCCTCCCGTCCTCCCGGCGAAGGGGATGGACACACTGCTCCGCATTCGGGGCCAGGGCGTCCTCGCAGAGGTTCTCAAGCACCTCGACCCATGAACAGTCGCTCTGGCGGGGCAGCGTTGGCGCGGATTAATGCACCTCTCGTTGGTCCACACGCTCCAATACCATCTGCTATTCCATTCCCTACCGCTGTAAACCCGTACGGAAGCACTCGTTCCCCTCCTCCAGACATGCAGTATCAGGGAATGCCATTCCCCACACAACCTGAAAGTCCTGTAACTCTTGCATCCACTGCCGGTCTTCGCTCTCCTCCTCTTCCCCCGAACGCACTCCAACAGCAACAACACGCTTTCGGGATGGGTCAAATTGTGCAAGGCCTTTCCATACCTGTACAAGCGCCGCGTCCGCATCAAGCTGGTGTTGTACCGCATCAGATTCAGCCTGAGCGCCCTGTTGCAGGGGCGAGAGCCAACTCTCCGGGACCGTATGCTCATTCCGAACCCAGATGCACTACCTCAAGCGCGCTAATACCTCAAAGTCAAGCGCCATTGGAACGTGCTCGCACTGCGTCTAATGCGAGCCGTCAGCCTCCGCCTTCTGACGATGGGTACGAAGTCATCTATTCCACGTCTGATTATAGGAATGGCCCGCTCACCGCGCCTCTGCCGTCGCGCTCTCCTAATAACAGTAGTAAGCTCCTGCAGCAACCACGTCCGCGTTTCGACTCCACTGCGAGCGTACCGTCTGCATCCATGTCCGAGCAGCGCCCTTATCAAGCCAACTCGGACGCAGATTCTCTAGAAACACTCTTGCCACCGCGGCCTCGCGTCGATTCTACCGCAAGTCTGCCTCCTGTGCAGTCGTTGCGTGTTCGTGCACCATCCACGGCCAGCCTGGGGCCCATGCCTCAGAGTACCGATACTGGTCGACGTCCCTCATTCGAGCGCCGCCCATCTAACCTCGGTGCCAACCCACCACCTCCTCCACCACGGCCACAGGCTTTGGAGGCCGGCAGTCGATCTCGGAGCCCCTCGAGCGCAGGAGGCCGATCGATGTTCGATCGGCGTCCGTCTAACCTCGGCGCGAACCCGATGACAGCTTCTGCGCCCGCTCCTCCAGTTCCTACTTATATGCACACGTCCTCACAACCACCGGTGTCCTCAAGGGCACCTATGCCTCCGTTGAACACCAACATTGGTGGCGAAGCAGGTATGGCAGGCGTTGGCCGGAGAGGATTTGCAGCTGCGGCCATGGCACAGACCGCGACCTTCGTGCGACCACCGAACACTCCGAATCATCCTGGCGCGTATCCTGGCACTGGAAGTAGAGACTCGCGAGATCGGCCTGACATGCAGCCTGGCCAGGGGATGGATGGGAGGAGGGCGAACGCACCGAAGTTCTTGGATATCGCATCGGTGACAAACCTTGGTAAGTCAGGCATCAGTCTCGTTGAGCTATCCTTTGTAATTCGTGCTGATTTTTACACCGTCGGTGTCGCAGTGCAAGGAAACACGCCTCCTTTATCGCCCCACTCCCCGCACTCTGCATCGACCATATCGCCCCGCTCTCCGCTGTCTCAAAAGTCGCCCCTCTCAGCCGGCTCACCCTCTCCTTTGTCACGCACAAACACTCCAACACCCACCATCGTGTCCCCCTCCAGCCCTGCAGGCCGTGTCCCTAGCATGCATCGCGAGCGCGTCTTTCCCCCTGCAGCGGAGCCTCCGAAGGTACCGCTACCCGCGACACCAGGCTCTGCGGCAATCCGCCTGCCATTCCTCGAGAAGTTTAAGGAGGAGAAGGGGATGGAAGGTAGCCAGTTTACATATATGCCTGGCCACAGACCACGGGCGTCCGATTCGGATAGCATCTCATTGCCATCGCCGAGAGCGGATTCCGAGTCTGACTACGATGGGTTGCCGTACGAGCGGTCGGAGGCAGGTGATGACGATGATCGATCTAGGAAGGATGGCGCTGGCAGTGCGTCGAAAGAGGCGCAAGTGCATTTTCCCTCCATGGCTGGCTCCGAGTCACACTACTCGCCCATCTCGCCTACCTCACCCGAGTCGTCTCATCATCCGCCTATGCGCAGCCTGTCCGCGTCCACGGTTGCATCGTCGTATACAGCGCGCTCGGCAAAGTCGACCGGCGCATTGGACCGGCTCGATCGCGCCATGGAGACGCTGCTTGAAGACACGGCTGCTCTCGGTAGTTCTTCCACTCCGCTCTCGCCTGAGGTACGAGCGGGGAAACTGCCCACGCGCTCGCACACGAGTCCGACGCTGCCTGCGGGGAGGCAGGAGAAGCATAAGCATAGGAAGGAGAAGCGGCGCGTGTGCACGAAGTGCGCCATGGTGATTGAAGATGGGCGGTGGATCCAGATGGAGGGCGGTAGCGTGCTTTGTGAACAGTGCTGGAAGAACATGTATCTGCCAAAGGTAAGGTTGTTGATGAGAAGGGCGTAGGATGGTACTGATGTTGTTCAATAGTGCCGTCGTTGTAACCTGACCATTGAGAAGCAGGCTGTATCGTCTTCTGATGGGCAGCTGAAGGGCAAGTATCACAAGGAGTGCTTCAACTGCCACATATGTCACGTAAGGGTCATGATTGCACGACTGTATGCATTGGAAAACCATCGCTGATCGTTGCCTATCGTAGAAACCATTCCCGGATAAAAGCTTCTACGTCTTCGACGGCAAACCGTTCTGCGCCTATCACTATCACGAAGCGAACAAGTCCCTCTGCGCTGCGGGCTCGTGCGGGCAGCCCATCGAGGGGCCCTGCGCCGTCTCACACTCGGGGCGCCGGTACCACCCCGATCACCTTCTGTGCGAGTATGCGCAGTGCACCGAGCGACTTGTGGATTATTGGGAACTCGACGGGCGGATGCTGTGCAAGCGGCACGTGCAGCAGGCGGTGCAGGAGTCTGCGGAGGAGAACGACGAGCTGGACGGCCTGCCGGACGTCACGCTCGATGCGCGCGCGATGAAGCGCACGACGCGGTTCATCGACCTCGCCGGGTTCGGCGGCAGCGAGCTGCAATGACCTTTTTTCTACGCCGCAAGGACAGACTAAGACAGCTTAGTTATTCTAGACAATGGATGAAACGGACATCCTGCGTAATCTCCTCATCATTCTTCGTTCTCATCGCGGAACATGTATGCATTTGTATCTCTCACGAGCGATCTTCATCCAGTCATTATACCTTCATACCTTTGTTAGAATCATCTACGTTTATTGTGGCTGTCAGATACCTTGGTCACTAACTAGCTCTGTATCCAGTGTACACGGTGACGGCGATAGCCGTCGATACCCTAATCAAATACATTAAGTACTCGCACACAACGTGAAGAGGGCCCTCTAAGTCTTCGGTATAATGTGCCATGGCGAGCGTTCGAGTGGCGGCTGATCAACGCGCATCCGGGTGTTCTACGATCCACTGACGGATGAATGTACTGCTCAACTTGGTATTTTTCAGCACTTCTGCGTCTTCGTCGTCGACGCTGGCTTCGGTAGAAGAGATGACGTCGATGACGAAGGTCTCGAGGGAAGGAAGAGATTTCTCCGCTCGCAGCTTGTGGACTGAATGCCACCATGGCGTCAGCGAAAGGGCATATGTTTTTGGCAGAGACGTACTGGCTGCTGCACCAGGTAGCGTCTCCTTGCTGACGACTAGCGCCTGGACGTTTGGGTCCCAAGCGGTTGGCCCGTACACGTCGTTGATCGGCACGATGTCGTACTCCAGCCCAGCTTTGAAGAGCTCGAGAAACGCACGCGTTCGTGCCGTGCGCACGGGCAGCTTCTCCAGGACCTCCTTATTCACCTTGTTCTTCAGCAGCACGTCATCTAAGGAGCGGAAACAAGATGTGGGCTAGGAGGACATGTAGGTTGTCAGGAGGAGACTGACCGGTTATCCCGACGATGAGCTTCTCGCTGGCGATCCACGCGGCCATGCTGAGCAGGATCTTGTGACCCGCGTGGAGGTGGTCGAATGTACCGCCGAGAGCTACCACCGGGAAGAGCGAGGGCAGATTGGGGTCGGATGGAGGGGGTGGGTGTGGGTGGTGGGGGAAGTGGGGTGATGCGTCGTGTTTGAGCGATACGACGTCCGTGCGTTCCTGCACCGATGCAGGGAGCGCAGGGAACCTCGGGTGTGGAGGCGTGACTGGAAATCGTTATAAAGCGACGGAAGATCGCGTCGCGGAGGGATGCTTACCACAGTATGTGCGTTCTACATCGCGGATCAGTTCCTCCGGGAACTGCTCTTCGGTTCCCCTAAGCAGTACGTCTATGTCCATCAACACCTTCCCCATATCCTGCGCGACCTTGGTCGCCTGCACGTAAACGAACGTCAACAGCCTCTGTACTTCATGCCAGTGCCCGGCGTGCGAGTACTCGTTCCTGTCGCTGCGGAGGTCTATCCCGCCTCGCGGAGCATCTGAAGTTGGTGTCGCTTCGTTGAAGGACGGAGAGAAGAGGATGATGCGCAGGTTCGCGGTGGTCTGGCGCGCGGCGGTCGAGATAGCGCCTGCGAGGAATGCGGGTGGCTGGCTGAGGTCGTGGAGGGTCGCGAGGAGGGCGGCGCGACGGACTGGCTCGAGGTTGGGCTGATCGGACATCGAGGATACTTTATGATGATGGCGGCATTGCACCTAGCAGATCACGCTGCTGCGATCAGTCTCAAATCTGACTTTCAACTTCTCCCAAGACTCGGAAAACGTCGACGAGCTCGACATACGCCACAGCGCGATCGGAAATTTAGGAAGAAGGACCGCGGCGTCGACGGCCCCTCCCAGTTCGTCGAGACAATACAAGAAGTGATATTACTTCGTTCTTACGGGCCCGGGCCGGCCGGCCATAAGCACAGCAACTCGATTCATTACATGTATTCCTCTTCGTCCAAGGGCCAGTGCGCCGCGACCTGAGCCCGTTCCTCCTCCGACTCGGCCGCCGCCAATCCATCCTCCTTCAGCTTCTTGCTGCGTGCCATGGCCTCGTAGTGCTCGGCGGGCATCCAGCCCTCCGGCCCGAAGCCGATCATGTTCCGGCACGCCTCTAGAGTCTCGTCCGCTCCTCTCGTTTCTGCATCCAGCTCCATCGTCCCGCGTACGTCCTCGGCGTCGAACACGACAGGACACGGCGGGCCTCCCCCCGCAAGCGTCTCCCAGTTCTCCGTTGCTTCTATCAGCGCAACCTTCAGCGCGAGAGTTTCGCCCTCCCACGGGTCCCTGGGGATGAGTGACGACGCGATGAGGAGATAACGGTGCAGGTTCTCGATGTGATCCGACGGCGGCTGCTCCTGGTACTGGTAATATTCCCTCCTTATGCGCTGGAACGGCAACAGCGGTCGACCGAACTGCTCCAGATAAGCTAGTTCCTATTCGGCTCCTCTCACGAGCGCTGCTTCGGCACTTTCGTCTATGGTTATCAGTAAGTTTAAGGGAGTAATAATAAAAAGGCAGGGAGCGGCCTACATGGTCCTCGATCTACGTCGAGCTGTGATCTCCTGCCATACCACAGAGGCAGTCTTGTATCTGTCGACTTAGCTCATCGACGTTGAAGATACGTCTGCGCTCTGCGTGGCGAAGGTCATCGTTGAAGCTGAACATGTCAGATTACGGGTTAGACATATACCCCATAGAATAACATGTGTATGAGACTTACATCCACCGCCCTGACGTGTATTCAAAAAGGTCGCTACGAAGATGCGCCGTGATAGAGAACGCGCGACGTGGCGGCCAACGGGTCGGGGTGGCGATGGAGCAAGAGTGGGAAACGTGAAGTAAACGCGATGAGCAGCGAGGACGGCGCAGAGACAGCCAGACTGGAACTGCCGGCAAGTCGAAGACGGGCATGGGCCATGGGCCGCAGCGATAAACGCGTGACATCGGCAGACTGACGCGACGCGTCACGATCACGTGAACTTGAACTCACCGCAGGGTAGCGCGCAATGTGCCACTGCCAGAGCACGCACTGTCTGGCTACATTCCGGGCAGCATGTAGAACATGCTTTCAAGCCCTCAAACTGGGCAACCATGTCATAGCGTGAGCGGCGAGCGTCCTGGACGGAATTGCTTTACTGAGCGACCCGACCCTTGCCCCGCGCGGTCACAGGACGCAAGTCGGAATAGACTAAGGCATAAACGTGCGCTGCATCAAACTCAAAACTTCCTTCCCATACATGCAAGGCCTCCTGCTCCCGGCCATTGCATTGAGAACGCCCTTCAAGCTCTAAGAGCCTGAAACCCTCAAGCTCGAGCTTCAAATCAAGCCAGAAGCTCGCAGGCGGCATCCGTTCAATTCTGCGGTATTTCTAGACTTCTTCACCCCCTTTCTAGTTATCTTCGTTCACGATCTTCACGAAACTAACGCCAACTGACGACATTCACGACACTCACGAACACACAACCATGGTTTCGAATTATAGCCTCGACACACCCCCACCTCCTTCTCGTTTCCGCCGACCATGGTCTCCCGATCCTTCTGACCCTTTTCCCAAGATTTCCAGGCCCGCATATAATGACTTTGGTACCACTGCTTTTGGGATTCAGCGCCAAGTATCCGATGACTCCATCGTCGCGCTTGATCTCGCAGAATACGCAGCAGCCTTGAATCGGAACGCAGACAGCTCAAACTCACGCGAGTTCCGTCCATACGATCCCTACCCGCCTACCCCTCCTTCTCTACGCCCATTCGCCAGCCTTGCATCTCTCCGTTCTCCTTCTCTCGTTTCCCCCTCAGCTGCGGGCTCACCGTCCTCCTCTGATCTTAGTCCTCGTACACCGACCAGCCAACCGTTCTCGCTTCCCCCGCCGTCTCTCCCTCAGAAAACGCTGCAGAGCAACCCTTCGTTCTCCAGCCGTACGCATGCACTACACGAGGCGCAGAGTGAACCGAACTCCGACAGTTCAGACGTCGACTTGGTTCATTTCCCCTCATTCACGAGGCCGTGGTTCAACCAAGGCAAGCCCCAGAAGTCATTCTCCCTCCCTGCAGCAACGCCTATCGGGCATGGCTTCAATACTAAGCTTTCTCCGTTCGACCCCGCGTTCCCCACACATGTCTTTGACATCGGCCCCTTCCCGAACCCATACGCATATACGGCGCCGCCTTCGTACCCTGCAGATTCCTCTCATGATCTCGGCGTTCTGCCCTGGAATGCGGATTCGGATGCGTCTGTCCATCCGAACCTCAAGGAAGAGCGCATGCGCATGCTGGAGGCCGAGTTTGGTGGGAAGGAGCTGCCGCCTGTTGTTGGCGAGAAAGTAGGTAGCGTGGATGCGAACGGACGGTTGATCACGGAGGGTCCGAAGACGAGGATGCTTGTGCGAGGACTGCAGATGCTGTTTGTAGTCGCAGCGTGTCTCTCGACTGTGTACACGGCGTTGGTATGTCATTTTATACATTTTGTCTTGGCTCCATTTCTTTCCCCCCTCAATCAAGAAATTGCGCTTTTGCATTTGTACATGCACTTTGCATGTCTGACTATCGTTGCATGTCAGCTCATCAAGACTACATCGACGCCTCCACCCGCTCACAAGCTCCCAGCTTACGTACTCTACGTCTGCTCCTTCCTGACTGCGCTTGCCCTGCTCTATCTATTCCTGATCTATCCATATTGCTGTGGAAGACGAAAGCCTCCAAGAGACGCCACCTTTGAGGGCTCAGGAGGGCTCATGGTCCTGCCGGTACAGCACCTGCCCGGCGGCAAGAAGAATAAGAGAAAAGGAAAGAAACACAAAGGCGTGCCGCATGACGATGGCGTCCAGGTGAACCTCATCGTTGACCCGACCATGTTCGGAGGCGGAAGAGACCGAGACACGGAGTGGGACGACGGAGAAGACGACGGGACGGACTTTGGCCCGCCAGGGTCTTACGTGCAGGCGAGGCGTCCGAGGCGCCGTGGCATCTTTGCTGGGCTTGCATTGGAGGCGGAGTGGAAGCGCGCGCGAAAGCAGCTGAAGGTGCGGATGGCGTTTGACATTATCACGGGAGTGATTTGGGGAGCTGTTTTTGTCATTATTATGATGGGAAAGCGGTGTCCTGTTGGCGGGTACAACGGCTGGTGAGTGCTAGTCGTCCGTGGGCTGCTCGGGCGGGCACATGCTCATTATGCGGCGTGCAGGTGTGATGGGTACAACGTCGGCACTGCTGCCGCGTTCTTGTTGTTCCTTTCGTTTGGCTTCAGCATATATTATGATATCAAGGACTTGCATGCGAGCAGGACTTCTCCGAGAAATCGGCCATGATCACGACTCTCACGAATTGCCCTTTTGTATTGCTTCTTGCCTCTCCTGTATTTCCTCTTTCCTCCTTATCCCCATCGTCTCCGCTCGTTTTTTGTATCTTGCTGCCTTGTGACTGTTAACCTGCTGTTGTTGTACTTATTGCTGTATGTAGCCCTGGCGCGCATGTACCTCTTGTGGCCCCCGCGGCACGTGTGTCACAAGCGCGCACTGCATTTTTGATCGCGATGCGCGCCGCAGGTGGCGGAGAGCAGGCCGCTTATGTCAATCATGCCGGCTGCATCTTGACATAAACCTCCATCTCTCCCATCTCGCAGGCTCTCCTCGCTCTTATGCATCTTCACACAGCATGCGCATGCTGACCTTTATTGTTATTTTGCAAGTTACAACTCACCTCGCTCTAGCTGCGTTGATTATTCCGAGCACAGAGATTTCCTTCACCCCGCAGCAAGAGTACACGCTCCCGCAGGACTATGCGCTGGACGGTCCGCAGTCCGTGTTTGCTGTCAGCTCGCCGGACGACGCACCGACGCCGACATTTACGTTGAAGGCACGGCCGACGACCATCTGGCGGCCACGTTCGGCGGAGGTCTACCAGCGTGCGCGGGCGGGCCTGGGGAGCGAGGAGGTCGAGTGGGAGCAGGTGGAGGTTATGGGGCCGTATGTCGAAGACAAGCATACGCTGACTCAGCTGGCTCGGATGACGGGCAATGCGTACGCCCTTCCCGGTCAGAAGAACTGGTATGAGATCGATCCTACTTGGAACCATGTACGTGTTCACCCTTTTCGCCTGGCACCTCGATTGCTCATGCGATGCGTGTGTAGAGCTTTCCTTTCGGCTGGGAAGACGTGGCGGACGGTTTTCGTGGGCACGTCTTTGCCTCGATCTCAAATTCGACCGTCATCCTCGCGATCAAGGGCACGACCCTGCAGGGCCCAACGTCCAAGAAGGACAAGTTCAATGATAACCTCCTTTTCTCATGCTGCTGCGCTCGTGTCGATTTTTCGTGGGTATTCAGTACCGTGTGCGGATGCTATGCAAACCACTGGCGGTGCGATAACGGGTGCTTGAGCAAGGCGCTGATCGAGGAGAGCTTGTTCTACAATGTCGGGGTGGTGAGTGCATTTCGCATGTTCTGCTCCGTGTGTTGTAGCTGGGCAGCTTTCTGCGTTTCCGGCAGGACTCTACTCTAGTTCATTCCGCCGGGTGATGCATGCTTACTTTACATGCATCTGCCAACGCCAGGCTGATGGTCACATCATCTTGATTCTGACAGATTTTGCTACTCACAGGACTTGATCAACAACCTGACGGCATTATATCCGACTTCCACCATATGGCTCGTCGGACACTCCCTTGGCGGCTCGCTGGCATCGCTGCTCGGGACTACCTTCGGCCTCCCCGCCGTCACCTTCGAGTCTCCGGGCGAGCGGCTCGCTGCACAGCGTCTGCGTCTCCCACTGCCGCCCTCCGCGCAGTCGAACGCCACCGCTGCGTTCGGCGCATCCCCCGTCACACACGTCTACCACAACGCGGACCCGATCCCGCAGGGCACGTGCACTGGAGTAAAATCGCTGTGTGCGCAGGCAGGGTATGCGCTTGAGACGCGGTGCCATCTGGGGAAGACGATAGTGTTTGACACGGTGGGGAAGTTGGGCTGGCGGGTGGACGTGCGGACGCATACAATCAAGGAGGTGATTACCAAGGTGCTGGAGGCACAGGTGGAGGGCGGGTGGGACACGAGTGACGATGGGGTGGCGTTGGACGTGCCAATTGCGAGGGAAGAGGTCGACTGTGTGGTATGTATTCATTGGCAGCGTATGCTCTGGAAGTGACGAATAGCTGATTTTCTCCAGGATTGTTACAAATGGGAATTTGGTGACTTCAAGGACCATTCGGCATGCGGCGTTTGACTAGTGCACTCCAAGCACATAGATCTATTCCACGGTGGTATTCTGCGTGCGTTTGTATGTATGTACCTATATCCGTCTACTGCACCTGTATACCGTATTCTGTAAAATAGCCATTAATATCATCCCCGGAAGTCCTTTCCGCCAATGAGACGACCCTGTACGAAGACTTTCCTTATATTGCGATCATCTCCGCAGAACAAGAATCTCTCCAGTATCCCCTCAAGCTCCTCCTTCTCCGTCTTTCCCCGTCCGCCCTCGTCGCCTTGCTCTCCACCACTCCCCCGCACGCCCAACTCTTCATCCATATCTGCGCCCCACACCGCGGGGTTCCCCGCACCCGTGCGCACGCTCACGACGAGCGCGTCGAATGCGCGCCCCGGCTCAAGCACGGCGATGCGATGCCCGAGCCCGCATACCTGCGCGCCACCAAGCGTTGCGAGGTACAGGAGAGTCGCGACAGACAGCTGCCGGTTCGCGAAGTGCTCGTGGGGAGCGGCGGGCTTGGAGAAGTGCGGCTGCATCGCGACGACCTTCGAGCAGATGCTCGCGTCCTGGATCGTGCGCAGGATTGATGGCGAGAAGCCGCCTGAGACATCCGTCCCGAGTCCGACCTGGTCCGGTGCAGGCTGTTAGGGAGTGGCAAGCTGGAGGAGGGGCGGCTAGCGTACCTTGATTCCGTGGTCGAGCAGCATCCCAATCCGCGCGCACCCGCTTCTGAGGTTGAAGTTGCTCGTCGGGCAGTGGCTCACGCCTGCACCTCTCGCCTTGATGATCTCCACCTCTTCCGGCTCGAGATGCACGCAATGCGCGAGGATCGTGTTCTCGCGGAGCAATCCGAACGCGTCGTACACGCCTGTATATGTCCCGTGACCCTGCCAGCCTTTGGGCGGCGGGACGGGCGAGCACGGGAGAGTGTGTGCGGGAAAGAGTGAGCGCGTGAATGCGATCTCGGCCTCGTTCTCGGCAAGGTGCGTTTGAATGGGCAGCGCAGGGTCGGACTGCGCGAGCTCTCCGAGCTCGGTGAGCAGCTCGGGCGTGCAGGATACGGCGAAGCGCGGCGTGAGGATGGGCTGCACGAGCTGGTGGAAGAGAATGCCGTGGGAATGCTCGGGCGTGGAGGGCGAGAGCGCGCGGATGTATGCGATAAGATCGCGCGTGGCCGACATGGAGGCGTCGGCGGAGGGCTCGACATAGTAGTCCGGGCAGTTGCGGTCCATGTTACATTTCTGGAGGCGGAGATGGTGAGGATGGGTTGTGAGGACGAGCGAATGGGGGCTCACCTACCCCGACAAAGGCTCGTTGCCCTAACGATGCGACATATGAGAGATGCGACGTTGGTAGGACGGGAGGGCGTACCACTTGCGTGTACGATGTCCACCAACAGCTTCGTCGCTTCTAAATGCAGTGTACCATAGTAGCAGCACGTCGTTGTCTACCTTCGTGTCAACCAGCAGCACTGAGAAATGAATGGCAAGGAAAGCGTACCCCACAATCAATCGTGCGTCTTACGACCGTCGGATATGATCGCTTCGCGAAGCTGATGTCGGCGAATCTCGACTCCATCGGAAACGTAACTTCGGACAGCCAGTCCAACAGCTCGTGCTGCTGCCCGCTTTATAAACCATGAATGCGTGAAGAACAAACCAGTCGCATTGACACGTACCTGCCAGTGTTCGGGACTTGAGGCGCATGCTGTGTGGCCGTGAAGTCATGCTAATTCCAATACTAGTCAACCAACACTCACTGTATGCGTGTCTACAAACCCTGGCATGAGAAACTCGCCCATCCTCAACTCTATCAGGTTGACGGTGTCAATGTGGCCGTGCTCCGCGAGGACATCCTGTAGCGTACTGGCTGGCACGTCCTGCTCGAGCCACTCTATCTCGCCATTACGATCTGAAACTGCCAATAATGCATGCGGGAAAGCATTGTAGGTCGTGAGCGAGCTGGAAGAAATGAGAGCACCGTAAAATATCGTCGACATTTATCGATATAGCACGAATCATCGGAAGTTCCTTAGTTGTATAAAGATAGCAATTGATTAGTCAGCACTGTAGTACTTTAAGTGTCTTCCTTGTATAGCATGTTGATCTCTAGATCGGGCGCCTGTTCGCTATCAGTTGAAGTCACGATTTCTGCGGGAGCGCAGATACTTGCAGACAGCTTCAAGCTTTCTCCTGTTTAAACATGTCTCCGCATGCCCCGGCCACGATGCACGCTCCCCAGAACACTGCACAGCTTAGGGAGCTGCTCAGCAATGATAACAAGGTCAAGGTTGCCGGTGAGCCTGAATCAATGCGGTATGATGTCTCAGACATTGACTGGTGAACGAATTTTGCCAGGAGTGGATGGTAAGCATCGTTGGGAACGAAGGCAATCGTATCCTGAATTGACCTCCTGAAGTGGATGGCGTCTTGAGAGGCAAATTCATGGTGCGAGCACTGTTGCAGGAACAATTCGCATAGTAATACTCGTCCTGATACCAGTTCTCCAGTCAAAGGAGAAGTTCTTGAGCGCAGCCTCATCCGACGGCTTTGGCTTCTGCAGTGTTATTTTGTGAGATGATCATTTGAATACGTGGCTACTGTAACTCACTGGTATTCGCAGTGGATGGGACATGCACGATACAGTCTACTCGCGAGAGCTGCTCATCTCGAATAGAGCGAATGGCTATCGCGACCTGCTGGCTTCTATAGACCTCTCCACATACCGCCGTATTCCCTGGGAGCACAACGTTCCTTTCTTCCTTGTTTCCTTCCTCGACCCGGATACCAAGGAGCCAATATGTGCTGATCCTCGGGGCGTGCTGAGGAAGGTAGTTGAACGCGCCGATGAGAAGGGCTGGCAATGCTTTGCTGGCTGCGAGTACGAGGTGAGAGCCTTTGTGTGGGCAATAGTGATATGGATACCTAAACTTTGCTAGTATTTCCAATTTAAAGGTATGAGCAATTCTGTCACAATTCTTCTGAATCCGTTGAGAGCAGGACGTATGTGCAGAGACCCCACATAGTTTGGCAGAGAAGAACTACATGAACCTTCAGCCGTTGACTCCCGGAAGTAAGTGCTTGCGCTCAAGAGTGCTTACCGCCCCTCACGGATCCTCCATGACAGTGCACGGCTACTCACTACTCCGCACCCAAATCAACAATGAGTACTTCAACGACCTCTTCGACGAAGCCCTTAAGTTCCAAGTACCCTTAGAAGGCCACCGTTCGTCCTCACCCTTGTTACAAGACTCGTTTATCTCAACATCCCGTAGATACTGAGACCGGGCCAGGCGTCTATGAGACAGCTTTAACATACACGAACGCTCTGCGGATGGCAGACAATGCAATCCTATTCAAGTTCCTCGCGAAGAGTATTGGCATGAAGCGGGGAGTCGTCCCTAGCTTCATGGCAAAGCCATGGGGAAATGTGCGTAAGCCACCCTGTTATGCAGGTATTATGCTGACCGGTTTCAATGTGTAGCTTCCGGGCTGCAGCGGGTAGGGGAATCTGCTACTGACCGCTGTTTCCAGACTTGATACTCACGATGCGGTGTAGTCACATTCATGTATCGTTACGCGACAAGGATGGGAAGAGCTTGTTCGCCGTCTCCGAAGCGGAGCTGGAGAATGGTGGCAGAGAAGGTGCTGCATACGACGATACAAGGTACCTCAGCCAAGAAGGCGAGTGGTTCCTAGCCGGTATACTGGACGGACTTTCGGATGGTATGTACGATTGTTACCTTAATCTCGACCCCACCTCATCTCTCACTCTTACATCCTCAGTCATGCCCATGGTAAGCCTATTCCTCTATTAATTCATACAGCCGACCAATTCTACCCAGCTTGTGCCAACCATCAATGGTTACAAGCGGCTCGTCGGCGGCGAGGCATTCTGGGCACCGAACGCGGTCACATACGGGTACGATTCGCGCGCGGCGTCCGTGCGCATTATCTCGCCGCCCTCCGTCCCACCCGCTGCGACGCGCTTAGAGGTCCGCGTGCCCGGCGCGGACATGAATCCGTATTTTGCAATGAGCGCGATCTTTGCGCTGGGTATTCGTGGGGTCGAGAAGAAGCTGGAACTTCCCGGGCCTCCGGTTGGGCAGTTGACGGCGGAGGATAAGAGAAATGGGAAGGTACGCTTCTGGTTCTCGTTTGTATGATCGCTGTTAAGGTACTCGTGCCGTTGCAGGTCCAGATGCTCCCGCAAACCCTAGAATCCGCAACGAAGCGCATGATGCGCCCGGAAAGCGTTGCGCGCGCTGAGATCGTTTTCGGACACGACTTCGTCGAGCACTTTGGCGGGACGCGCGAGCATGAGGTCAAGCTGTGGAACGAGGCGGTGACGAATTGGGAAGGTGCGGCCTCGCACACCCGCGTGTCTTACTTCGTTGCTCACTCGCCTTCTGTGATGTTTCAGTGGAGAGATATCTCGAATTGGCCTGAGGCGTATGTGGATTTTGTGACTGATCCGACGGATGCGCATGTATGTCATGGTGCGTGTAATTACTGTATAGGGATGGTGTGAAGATACTGCCCCATTTCGGCGTAAATATCCTCGTATGATCATGTCGTCACGCGGCACTGCCTCTTTCTGACTCGAACTGCGCAACAAATATTTAAGTAGAGTGAGGCTGGTCCATAGACCACCACTTGCAGACCATGTTGACCGTCGTGACATCCGACGATGTGCGCTTTGCTCTGGAAGATGATGTTGCCGTACAAGCAGGATTGCTGCGGGACTTCGCAACCAGTGCGACGTGCCTCCTCTTTCGCTATCATGCATTTGTAACGAAGCTCTTTCATAGACGATGACCCTACTAGAGAAGACATTCCCTTACAAGCTGTGACCTCTGATGTGTTTCGAAAGGTATGTATACCATGCAGTAAACGAGCAATGCCATCATTCCCGCCCTCGCTTGTCAGGTTCTTGAGTATTGCGAGCACTATCGCGGGCAGGCATCGCTCCCACTCACTCCAGACCAAGCGTGGAATGACTCGTACGCCGGCGGTTTGGAACACGACATGCTCTTTCGCGTGATCCGAGCCGCGAAATACCTCGAAATCGTCCCTCTACAGTGAGCGCTTCATGCACAGCCACAGTAGTGATAGCAGTTGTGCTCATGCATTGCTACGATGAATCGGCAGGGATATGTGTTGCCGACAAGTTGCGAAGATGATCATTGGAAAGACGCCAGAAGAGATCCAGGTTTTGTTCAACCTCCCCGTACAGAGAATGAAGACCCAGAATGCTCAGGTTGGGGTGAGTCCGTGGTTTGACGTCTGTTTGCTCTTCCTCACAATCTTGATGCGATCCTTCAGCGATCATGAGAATTCAGATAGCTCTGTGGTTCTTCATGCAGTTCGCGCCTGACATGGCTTTTCTGAGCTGTCGTGGTCGTATGAGTCCCATGGATTGCGTAGTCGAACGCCTAATGGCTGGTCAACTCCAACCCATCGTCGTATGTTTATCTTGCCTATGTCCCAGCCTATGCATGCGTTTCGTGACTATCGTAGCGTCATGGCTTTCGTGCTCCAACTGGTTGTGGCAATTCTTGCACGCAGCAATCTGATCATGGTTCGGCCTGAATTATGATTACACGGGCACGATCACGGATGTGTGTTCTGGCAGGCATCTCTGAGACAGCTTCTTTATAAGGTGCTTGTACAATTATTGAACGCGCTTCACAAGTATGTATACGGGCGTACATAATGTTGGTATCGAGTGGAGCAGCGGTGCGCATACAACCTGGGGGAACTCGTACACGCTTCGTTATAGTGCGTGCACGATGTCAAGTGCACAAGTCGGTCTCGGCTACCAAACACAATTAGCCACTCGCAGGCGGCTGTTCTGGTTTCGAACGGACGGAATGGAACCAGTGGAGAAAGTGGGTCACGTCCTGCATACTATCGTTAATTGATCAACACTGCAATATGCTTTCAGAGAGCTCACCTTCGAAATGGTGCTGTCCATGGTGGACTCTGCCATGAATGAAGGTATCTTGCCACCAGGCGTGCTTGAAGTCGCCATGCGCCATTCCACCTTGCCACTGTCGAGTTCTACGAGACGTTCGATGCTCACGTAACGGCCTTTGACGCCCTTCTCCTCCATCTTGGCCAGCTCCTCGTCTCCAGATAGGTCGATCGGTATGGAGACAATGAGCCTGGAGACATGACGGTTATCAAATTGCTGTACAAGCCCCTAGAAGCTGCTGTGATTTACCCTGTCCTAGGCGAGTTGTCATCACGATATGTCGTCTGCAGCACAGTGAACACTCTTGGAGAGACCGGAGGTGGGAACGTGTAGTATAGCGACCAGACAGCTTGGGTTGGCGATATCTGCTTGACGAGCGTGACCTTCTTGATATCAGGGATATACCTGATACACGGTTGGGCGGGTACAATGAGCTGGGTCTCTGATGAGTAGCAAGTGCCATGGACATACTGCATCTCATTCTGCGCTTTATCCACACCTAGCTTGCTCCAGAACTCATCGAACGTCGCGTCCTCCGCGGCATGCTCGCTGACCCTGCAATGCCAGGGTGCTCCGTCCTGCGGGCCCTTTGGGCGTGAGCAAGTCTTCACCACGCCTTTCTGGTAGGCTTTGCCTGGTTTCCAGGACGATGTAGAGTCCAGAAGTGCTCGCCCCGACGAGACTATGGTCTCTTCAGAGGGGAGATCTGCAAGTTGAACCTTAGCACGAGAAAGCTTTCTACATTGTGGGTGCACAGGAGGACGCACCGGAGAGCTTGATGGGGGTTATCGTGAGCTGAAAGTCAGACATGGTGTTGTGCTCTTTCGGATGCTGCACTGTAGCTGATATAGCGACGAGCAGTTACTGTGAGAACGGAGGCAGCGCAGCGCAGCTTGACATGACGGGTCATTGTCTGGCGACGACCTGACCCTATAGTTACGTTCGTGAGATCTAAAGTGAACCAGTCCAATCGTCGTCGACTGGCCCTGGTTGCCGTCGAAATGGAAGTAATGATCAGCGCCCATCGTCTTGACAGCGATCACCGCGACCAGCTTTGCACAGAGCATTCCTTAGACCATCATTCAGAAACCGCGCTATCATCTCGCTATCCTCCATGCTCATACACAGTACTTCACGAGATCTGCCCCTGCTCCTATGTGGTTTCTATTGCACCGCCGGAGCTGAGTTGAGGAAGCAGTCCCAGACGAGCCGCACAAGACATCGGAAAGGAATGCTGTGACTTTGGACGAACACCTGTACCGTGCTCACTTCATCATAGCCTGATCGTCCACGGTCGCGCCGTTGCACGCCATGTCATTCGCAAAATTGCTATTGCATCCTGCGTTGATGGAATGCGCAAGTTGTGTACAGAAAGTCAATAATAGGCGATCACTGCAGTGAACGCGTAATGGATCGCTAATCGCTATAACGCGCAGGCAGACAAGGCGGCTAGTTCTCAGCTACTACGTGGCTTCAAGGCTGCCTGCTTAGCGGGAGGCTGCGAACTGCGTGGTCTTGATCCGTACGCTGTCCGTGTTACTCCCGCAACGCAACTGCCTCCACCTTCCGCTGGGCACCCATCATAATTTTCCTAATCTCCCGCAAAGTATCAGATGATGAGGACGGCCCAACGCATTCGAACCTCGGCTCAAGTGCTCGGTATATCTCGCACATTCTGCACCGGTGGTGTCCATTGCGCGAGCACCAATAATGAAGTCATTCACACACCTCCTGGAGACGTTTCACGTACACAAGATTGCAGGGGATCGTCCGGATGCTGGTCCTCCTGTCTCTGGAGGAGTATCTCATCTCAGAGAGAGATTGCAACCGCGCACATATCGGTTTCACGAAGCACGACTGGATTGAGATATTCGACAGCACGGTGCCTTCGCTAAAGGAGCTAATCGATCTGGACTTGCCAGTCATAAAAGAACCTGTGGTGCTGCACATCCAGCAGTGATATCCACTGTGATGTTTTCAACGCCTGTCTTGCGCAGCTTGTGTCGTCTGTCCGCCGATGTTACTGTTGCTGTCTCTCCACCCTCCGTCCTGTTGTCGCAGCTGTGTGTAGAGATCATTAATCATTCGTTGTATATTACCTTCATCCTTTTATGTACAGGCGTCACCCAGATGCAACGAGACCAACTGAACCCTCAAGTCAAGCAGTGGTAGATTGGTTTGACACATCGGAAGATGCGTTGAGGTTCACAAGGCCAAAGTAGCGACTACGCCCCAAAGCGCTGTCGTCCCTTGGCAGTTTCTCGCCCTTGTTGAGCACAACGCCCACATACTTGCGCGCACCTCGCATGCGCATCTCTTTGTAAAAGCGCACATAGCCGGGCACGAGTGCGAAGAGGGTATGATCGCGCCCGATTCCCACCTGTTTTGGAAGTGAAAAAATTGAATCAACTCGCGCATTCTATTCGGTTTTGTAGGAGGCTCACATGCTGGCCAGGGTGGAACTGCGTGCCGCGCTGTCGAACGAGGATGTTGCCAGCCTTCACGAACTCATCTATGAGGATGATCCTGCCGTATTAGCCCTGCAATGAGGAAAGCGCATGTGCAGTGTCACACCTGAGTACTTCTTGACACCTAACCGCTTCCCTGGCGAGCCGCCGTTATTCGATACGCTGCCTCCTGCGCGTTTTGTGGCCGTACGCACAGAACCCAAACCTGTCGGCAAGCAGTGATTTCCAGTATGGTCCTGCGCGTCGCACGGGAAGAATTCGAACCTGAGAGGCTAAACGGGCTGTGAGGCTGTATGAAGCGTGCCAGAGACCAGAACGAAGTCATGGCGTCGCTGCTGCTGTGCTGTGCAGAGTGGACAAGTGAACGGATCAGTTTACGAGGAGCCACATTTATTGACGGGTGTATGGATGATTACCTAATCAAGGCGTTACTTCAAAAACGGTCCACGCGCTCCTGAACCGCAAAGACTCATACCAAACTCTTGTCAGATCATCACTCCATATCGCGGTCTTCTTTCACAATGGTTCTCCTCGTTACTTCTGACAATGAACAGTTTGTCGTTGACAAAGAGGTTGCTGAGCGCAGCGTTCTCATCAAGAACATGCTTGAAGGTGATGTTGTGACGCCACCCAATCCTGTTCTGCCGGCGCTGACACCGCCTCTCAGATGTCGGCGAGAGCGACCAGCCCATCCCGTTGCCCAATGTCTCCTCGAGTGTGCTAAAGAAGGCGCGTATAGTTGTTGTGGCGCTCCTCGTGCCACCCGCGAGGTGCGCTAATACGGTCCATCGATATGATATTAGGTCCTGGAGTACTGCGAGCATCATCGTGGAGAGCCTCTTCCCACCGCCGAATCCGAGCAAAGCCAGGATGAGACCCGCAAGCGGACAACCGATATCAGCGAGTGGGATCAGAAGTTCATCACTGTCGACCAGGAGATGCTCTTTGAAATCATTCTTGCGGCTAACTATCTCGACATCAAGCCTCTTCTGTAAGTCTTACTCATATATTTCCGTGGGCCCGGAGTTGATTTCACCCTTATAACAGTGATGTAGGATGCAAAACTGTCGCCAACATGATAAAGGGTAAGACACCTGAGGAGATCCGCAAGCTTTTCAACATCGTGAACGACTTCACTCCGGAAGAAGAGGTAAGGCCCCGCTTCTTGCGACTCATGGGATATGCTAAAAACTTCTCTTCTTTGTAGGCCCAAATCAAGAAGGAAAACGTAAGCACTCGTTGCTGATGGTCAATTTCGTCGTCACTAATCCCTCTTTTGCAGGAATGGGCGGAGGACCGCTAGGCGCATGTGGTGTCAATTTCTCTTCTCGTAGCCTCATGTCATCACTTCTCATGCCATATGTTTTGCACGTTCTTCTCTCTCGCTGCTGTACAGTACATTCGACTTCTAGAACACAGTGAGCATGCCTTTGCGTCGTGTGCGTCGTAGAGGATAGCCCTATTGCATTAACGCTGTACGTTTTATGATCCCGAATGCATTGCATACTACAATCCTCATAGCCATACATCCTCCGAACGCCACGTCGACGAACTTGCGTCTTATCGAGTTCGAATCGAGTCCTCGGTGCACGCGCGTGTTATGATGTCCGCGTCACGCGTCACGCCTACACGCCTGCCTCTTCCTCGCTGCGTCCATGTCTCCATTGCCTGAGCTGCCCGGCAAGCCAGTCCCCCCCAAATCTGGTCAAGAACAATGGCTTCGGCGTACGGTGGCTCGTCTCTGCCAGCTCGAGAACGAACGGTGAAAAATCTGACTCTCGCCACAATCTGGTGTTCATACTCTCCTTCCTCTTAGTTTTCCTGGTAGTCAGCCTATCAGCTTTGGCACGCGAGATCTGGAGAAACTGGACTCGAAGGAGTGAGTTGCGCTCGCATGTCAATGCAGCATTCACTGGAGGGATCCTAAATCGTGGTATCGGGCAGCTATTGGGTATGCGAGAAGTCGGATGGCATTCGCGTGCTCCTTTTCGTCCAGACGGATCACCAGGAGCAGACGGTCTATATCGTACGTGTTTGCTTGACGTTCTCGCCATACATTTTAAGTGCGTATTTGACTGTCGGATCAGATTGACCGCCACAATAGCTATCGACAGGTAATTGGCCTTTATTTCCCTCATCATGAAAATCCCAGGATGCCGCTGCGCAATACTATTGTCGATGGTGAGCTTGTCGTTGATGTCGATCCTCGTACTCGCCAGGTTTGTCCTTTTTTCAGTGCTTCCACAACTTCACTTGCTGAGAGTCATCGCAATCAGGAAACACTGCGCTACCTCGCGTTCGACTGTCTGGTGATTGACGACCAAAATGTCATGTCAAGATCTCTGGACAAGCGCTATGGGGTAGGGTGCTTCCTGTTGAGTCGATGTCCCTAAATTAAGTAGCTTGGCAGAGGCTGCAAGCATGGTTCTATGCTCCTTATGCTAAGATGATGAAAGAATTCCCCCAGATGGCGCAAGAACAACCATTTGAGTAGGCAGTCAACCTCGGCGATATCGTGATGCTGAATTCTCACCTTCTCTGCATGATAGCATCAAGATCAAAGATGTCAAGTTGTCCTACCACGTTGATGACGTCTTCAACATCGATTTGCCTGCGCTGCAACATGGCACAGACGGCTTGATATATACGTGCGCTGAAACGCCTTATATTCCTGGCACAGATCAGAACATGTTCGTATCAACTCAATCTAAGGCAACTAAGCTGACCTTCAGCCACTCCACAGATTGAAGTGGAAACCTCCATCGGAGAATTCTATAGACTTCAAGCTGGTGCTGCGCTTCCCGCCCAAGTCCAATAAGTCCTCCGAGCCCGATTTGTTTGCGAAACCTGTCTTCGAGTTGCATGTCTACTGTGGCGATGACCGGGGTCAGCAGCGGTATGAATTTTACGATGTCATGCATGTCGAGGATGATGAATGGGAAAGGTGTGTGGAACATCTTCCTTTCGGTTTCACAACCCAGTTCACTGACGTTCGCTTAGCATGAAAGCCTCTGGAGAGCAACTCGACGATCGTATCGTGGAGGTGCATTGGGATCCCAAGCATGAGTACTGGCGGATGATGCGTTTCAGGGACGATAAGCCCGCAGGCAACTTCAAGGCTGTCGTAGAAAAGATCACCGAAAGTATTTCAGACGGTGTCGAGAAAGAGACGGTAGGAGTTTACATATGCATACCTGTTGTCGTTGGACTGCTTGACCTGATTCAACTCCGCCCCTTAGCTGTTCGCCCGATCTGCCTCCATACGCAATGCATGGAAAGCCCGGCACGGTTCTGCGGCTGCCCCGCCACAACAAGTACCCCGCCCGCAGCCGCGTCCTCCTCAGGCCCAGCCCTTACCGCCGCGGCTCCACGTCATACCAGCCAAGCTCCAGGCCGCACCGCCTTTCCTGCAAGGCGTGCCGGATGTAGCACCTCGCTATGGACCCCTTGCCACCTCGCGCTGGAGCAAAGTGACCGGTCCTGAGATGGTTTCTGGCATGTACAGATGAACAGATGAAGATGAACGAGCTGAGGTCTCGTCGGTTGGGGCATGCGGCATTGCGACCGGCGCTTTGGAGCTCGCAGCGTCTCGTGCGAGCATCAAAAGACGAATAGGGGCGACCTCGCTCCAGGTCTAGGACAGTGCTCGGGAGTGAAGATGACGATTGGGGCTAGCGGTGCACGACGCAGCATTCATATCCTAATCTGCAACACAGTGCGCTCGGCCTCGCATTATCACCGTCCGGGCCATAACGCCGACCCCCGCTGCAGTCTTGGGTGCATAGAAGGACGCGCGCTCCCCGCGGCTTCCCATTCACACACCGGATCGATGTGGGCACAAGAAGTTGGCAGTCATTGGTTTCGAGGCGGCGTCTTGCCCGGTCATGGCGAAACGGAACTCCTGGATGACCATTCAGCGAACTGCTCATCTTTCATTCCAAGGCGGTCTGGACCGCAGGCTGGTACACCGTGTGTTTGCTGAACCTTGTATCGTATTCGACTGACAGTGCCGAATGTATTCATAGTTTGCATGGCGGTTGTCATATACCGTGGTTATTGCCCTCGTCTGAAAAACATCGTGAAGTGATAGGCAAATGCGCGGTGGAAAGTCTCGCTGAGCGCGAAGTCTATGCTACAGCACGAGATGCTACTAGAGCGGCGATTTGCAATTGGAGTGTGCGTGCCTGTCGCGATCGTTCGATTCTGCGAATGAACGGACCATGTGTTGCTACTCACTGAAGTCAATACTCGGACCCTCGCGCCGATCTCTGGTTCATTCAATGTGACCAAGAGGTACTATCATCGAAGCTGGACGCATTCGAAGGTGGGATGTTCAGGTTATGATCAGCTCAGCGACTTTTTAGGTCGTAGTGGCGAGGTCGATAGAATTACCAGCTGAGAAGCGCTGGTATCGCGGAAGAACCATGGTGTGCTTCTCTGGTAGGATGCATTGTTGTGGGTGCCACCATTCAGTCTCAATTCAGTTTCTCGGCGTCAGGAACGGCGGTGAACTTCATCAAACCCAGCTGTCGGGTCGGACAAAATCAAGACTGTCGCGCACATGTCAAGTTGCCAACAAATATAGATAGCCGAAGTCGATCTTGAAGTGGTTTGCTCCCGAGCATCCTTCACAGCGGAGTTCTCGCCCTACCAGGCGGTCATGTTCCCTGCATCATCTTCTCTTGTCCAAGTCCGAGCAAGTCGAATTTCATTGAGAGCGTTGAGAATGAGTGAGCGGGCCGACACGGAGTTGGAAGATGAATCGTATTACGAGACCGATGGCATGCATGTCTAGTCATTACACAATTGAGAGGCATATCACGGAACAGACCCAATGGAAGCGGAATGCAGAGGTGGAGGAAAGCGCGACAACGGAAGACATGCTATGTACTAGTAATGCAACAGTCAGACGTCATTAGCTGCGTGACGTGAACGTGAAAGGCGCGTAATATGAACAGCGTAGCAACCATGTACACGATGCTGCGTGTAATGGCCCATCAAGGAGAACGCGATCCAAGCGTGGAAAATATATGCGGGGACGCGGAAAACAAGCCAGAAGAAAACAAGGAAGATAGATGAAAACCATAACAGAACAGAACGCGATGAGATGCAAGACCGAGGCGAGAGATTGGGTAGGACATATGCTAGGCGCTTTGACGCGTATCGTACGCGAGAGGTATACGAGCCTTGAGCTTGAATGATATGTGACGAACGTCATACAAGATGATTCGTGACGAGGTCATTGCGGATTGCGCCTTAAGCGCATCGTCGAGCATGTCGTCGCATAGGGGTAAGCATAGAGGCGATGAAATGGACTGTGTAAGAGTCGTGGGTCGTCGATGGGGTCATGGAGGGAGAGCCAAGACACGAGACGGGGGACCAAGACACAAGACGCAAAATGGAGGGCATGCATATATGCGCACTGGCGAAGCCATTCGCCTTTTCCACTCTCTTCCCACTACCACCTGCGCTCTCCTGAGAGGGCCGTCAAGGGAGACAACGCGTGCAACCAACTTCCAGTATTCAGTAAAAGAGGTCGTCCACATCCGTGCTCGATAGCGAGAAGTACGATGGTGATTGTGAGCACGAATCTGATGAATCGGTGTCATCATACCAGAGGTCGTCCCACGAGTGCCGCGACTCTTCATCGGATTTCGCGGTTTCGGTATAGGAATAGCTAGCAGGACGTGCCTGGTCACCAGATTTTGAAGCGAGCGTTGGCCGGTGGCCTACGCAAGGCGCGTCCATGTCACTTGTCTGGAAGTCGGTGGAGGACGGGACATCCGGGTCAGACGTGAACCCGAAGTCGAGGTCCAGGAAGCCGTTCTCAGACTTCGTGCTCAGTGTGGGGAAGGTTGTGTCGAACGCCGGCATCGAGTGAAGCGTGAATGGCGACGGCATTGGGCTACTCGACCGCGAAGAGTCAGAAGAGTCGGAGGAGTCTGATGAGGGCGTTCTGCTGTGGCGCTCGGGTGTTCGAGGCGAGATAGAGAGTTCAGCGAACTGTGGCAGTGGAGACAACACCTGGATAGAAGAGAGGCTGTGAGCGGAAGATCTACGGATGTGTGTGCCAGAAAGATGTATATATGCACACAGGCATACATGAGTGAAAGGATGAAATGAGAGTACGGACCTCAGAGTCACTGTCAGTGCTTTCCAATGATAGGTCGGCGAAGAAGGGAGTGATGGACGCGACGTCGGCACTAGGGCTCGGAGCCGACGGCGAAGGTGATCGCCAGGCCTCAGTGGCGGCGGCCACAGCATCGTCATGCGCAAGCGCTGGCGTTACAGCCACATCGTCATTTCCGGTACGCACTTCCGCATCCGTGTCGGTCGCGTTGTTCTCGTGGGTGGACGCGTCAGCGTCCTTGCATTGACCGTCTTGGACGATCCACCAGTCGATCTCTGCGAGGACGCGCCTGTGGCTTGCATCCGAGCCTGATGATCGACGTAAGTTGGGAGCATTGGTACGCGTCTCGTTCGCGTCTGTGTCCGAGGACGATGACGACGGCTCCGCAGGTTGCGTGTAAGGGGCACCACGGGCCTCGGGGTAGGACAAGGTACGACGGAGAGATGGCATAGTAGTAGTGACTTGTAGCAAGAACACGTTAATGTGAGGGCGTGAGTTCGTTATGGATAGCGATGAGGACGATGGGTACGACGACGAGCACCAGTGGGTACCCGCAGAGAAGATGGTGGGGGTGAGTTAAGAGGACAAGAGAGGTCCTGCATGAATATCGAAATTTATACCCGTGAGCAATCGGAAATGTGAAGGGATGTGAAGGGTTTCGGGCGTCAAAGACCCATCACGACTCGCATGCGTTTTGCGCCTTTTGCCTGATTGGGATGCTTCCTGCGCTGCTTAGCAGTTCCGCCCATCATCTTTGAGACGTTGTACGCTTCGTCGGCGCGTGTTCCGCCATTCAACTTAACAAACGCGCGACCGACGCGCTCGACGACGACGACGACGACGACGCGCACGGGGCAGCATACGGGCCCGCCGAGCCCGACATCCATCCGAGTACAACGTCATGGACCCCGGGAGAATTGGCTTTCTTTGACTGGGGCCGCCTCATGTCGTGCGTTGCTAAACTACCTACAGTTCAGGCCCTCCCAGCGGGTCCCAGCTCATCTTTGCTTGTCCTCGAGGCCGGGCGAGTTCGTATCCTGTCTATCGCCCAGCCAATCGCATCGCATCATCACCAAATTCTCGAATTCAATCGTGTGCTCTCAGCTTCGATGTATGACAGGCTCTCACATCTATCGCTCCTTCTCTTTCCAGGGGTCTGGGTACAGGATGGTGCCGGCTATGTCTCGCGGTGTGGCCATCTCGCCGATTCAACACTCTGTCTATCGCATCATGTCTTGTCTTGTACGTCTACAATTCCGACGATCGCTAGAGATGGTATATGCTCGGACACTGAGCTTCATGGCTTCATCAGTGAGTCGCACAGGGTCTACACGCCGGCGCCACTCTTCCCTGCCTGTGTCGCTGTGCATGATTTATTCAGCAAGCCAGGAACGCCGCTAACGTTGGACGCCCTCGCCGGGTGGCCACTGCCCCACAGTGCGCACCCGAGCCTAGCGAGTACAGAATTAGGCTTGCCAAGGACCCTGATGCGCTCAACGTCATACACTCGACCATGCTCGCACCGGGCGAGATTGCCATGTGTCTTCCTGCTCATGCGACCTCCAGCCACAGACGCGTCGCAGGCTGATCTCCGCACCAGTCGGTTGCTTTCTCTCAAGTTCTATCTGCGATCATCTGCCGGTCTTCTCGCCTGCGGAACCAGCCCCGCGTGCAGCAAGGCACGTTTCACCACATTGATAGCCTCCTCTAGCTCCTCATATCAACCAGGCTTTATCGCCGGGCGCTTAGCGACCGCTCACCTGCCCATCTCCGTTCCAATCATGGGAGCCAAGCGTACCTCAACGTTCCCACTTCAACACCACGGATCGGAACTACCAATCAGCCGTATCGTGACCAAGCCGAAATCGTATTGTGCGATGCTGGGTGCTCGAAACTGGACCCGGAGATGAAGTCTCTGGATTTGATGCTTCTCACAGGCCTGGCCAAGTGCAGCCTTATCTCGATTGGACTCGTTCGACGCTCTACGGCTCTCGGGTTTCACTGCCTTGCCTCTACCGACTAACAGCGAGCGAGGCAAATGTATTGCTGTTGTGTGGGGTCTGATTTCGCCATGCTCGCCAAGGATGCTGCCAGCGCCCGCCTGTCGATCTTCCTTCTATTCGGTGCTCCGCAATCAGACAGGCGCATTACACCTCAACGGGCCTCAACTGAGATGTTCAAGGTAATGGATATGCCGCACTTGTCTAATCCTAATCTCCGCATGCTTACGATGATTCTGTTAGCGTCGCACCAGCGTCTCACGTGCGTCCCGTCGGTGCCGTTCCGTCGCCGATTCGGGTTGAAGCCCCTCCCTCCTTGTGTGAGCTAAAATTGGCTTAGCATTGAGTGCGCTGAACGGCTGAATGGTCATCATAAATGTTACTACGACCTTTCTCCGAGCTTTGTGAGTTAGGGGCTCATTGGAAACTAGCGAATAAGCTCATGGCCACAAAACGATTCAGTTTGATCCACATTATGCTAGAGCCAATGCAATGAATGATGTCAACTCCCCTCCTCGGGGCTTGATAATCAGCTGCTGCGCGTCGGAGAGCCGGCGAAACATGCACATACACGGGTGGCTCCGACATTCCACACATCGAAGCGGACGCTCTGATTCAGTTGGTCAAAAGCGGTTAGCACGCAACTGGCGTGCGCCCGGAGCTGATGTGCTGTCAGCGCTGCATGAACGAGAATAAGACGAGAAACTTCGGGCCCTGGTTACCAATTGTTCCATCTTTGCGCTGGGAGGCTCAGACATAGCAAGGGTCCGCCGATCGTGTGGACTTTCCAAAACAGGAATGTCTCCTCACAGCAGCCTCCGCTTGTTCTGCACTTTGCAACTTATCCGTTGTCATGATCTGCTTAAATGCTTTATGGACTGTATTTACGGTTAATTTACGCGGTTGCAAGGCCAAAGGCGCAGAGATCGACCGTGATTTATGACTTACACTCGGCGGAGTCCCGCTACTCGAGGTTCACTCGTAACATCTCTCTACGGAGCCTTGGGCCTACTTGCGGGTAAGTTTGATAGGATCTGAATAGTTCTTGATCCCCACATCTCCCGATTTCTTTTAACCGTAAGCTAACCCTCGAAATCTGGCCCATTTGAATTTTATTTATACTCTACACATGCCACGAATTAGCGCTGGCTAATTACTATAGTCTTGCGCCTATGTTATCCTCGCTGGCCATCCGGGTCCCGTCTGCAGCGTCCGCTCTCGCTTTTAGCAACCATGGTTCTCTCTGCGTCGGTTCAGGCAAGTCGTCCGTGTGACTCTTGTCGCGTGTTTGCTGACCGTGAGCCCACGTGTGCACAGATGACGGCACGCTACGCTTTTATGAGCTGCCCGGAGAAAAGGTCGTCAGGGCTGTCAGGGCGCTGGGTTCGGAGGTGTCGTGTGTCGCATGCAAGAAGACGAGGGACGGAGCGCCCATTGAGGTGTGGGCTGCGAGCGGTCGTCGGGTGAGTTTCGTGCCTAGAGGTGGACGACGGCGTGCTCTGATCGGGGCGATTGCCCATCGTAGGTGGTCGCGTTCCCTGTGCGGCGCGACAAGATGATCATGACGGAGGGAGACGCAACATGTGTACTGGAGCTCGGAGAGGACGAGGATGATGTGCTGAATGAGGTGCGCCCGACGGTCTTCCCAATATGCTGCATGACTGACAGCTGCGGCTCAGCCAGCTTAGTGTGAGCGACAGTGGGAAGCACCTCGCGTTCAGCACCGATAGTGGGACCGTCGGCGTCGTCGAGCTGTCTAGCAAGGCCGTCACCAGGATGAAGGCACGCCACACCAGCGTGAGGTCCACTACTGCGAGCAGTGCTGCGTGATCTAACCGTTCGCTCCAGGTCTGCGGAACAGTCAAGTTCATCCCTGGTCGTTCCAGCGAGCTCGTCAGCGGAGGGTACGATTCGGCGCTGCTGCACTACGACTTCATACAGAACACCGTCCTCTCGCGATTCGATATCAGTGTGTCTGTCGCATCTCTCCGTGTGCATCGCATCTCATATATATGCCCTAGCTGCTCCCCCTCCGTCATCGGGTGTCTCCCTCTCCCCTCCTTTCATTCTCTCCACCGCGATAGCACCAAACGGTTTGTTCGCGGCGAGCACAGCGGACGGGCGAGTGTGGCTGGGCGGAGGAGGCGAGAAGCGTCAGTCGGGAGCGAAGAAGCGGAGTAGAAAGTGGGAGGGCCTGCGGGACGAGGAGGGCTTGTGGGTGCAAGTGGCTGACGGGCCCGTCGTCGCATTGTACGTCTCAAAATATCTCATATTCAGGAGTAGTGCTGATGACGATGTGAAGGGCGTTCATGCCTGGAAGAAACGAACTCATGGCAGCTACGTTACTCGGCAACATCACTGGGCACACGATCACTCGCGATGCATCGGGAAAGTTGCAGAGCACAGCGATATGGTCTGATAAAGTCAAACATATTGAGAAGGTCAACGCGATGGCTGTTGATGAGGGGTGGGTTTGTATAGGAGGAGTGGAGAAGGCCGGGAAGGGTGTTGTGGAGGTATGGAATGTTGGTGAGATTACCCATCGGCACGCATGAGGCAACGTCTTCTCCGACAGAAGTGCAATGGTATTTTTCCACCTTCCTAGCGACAAATACGCGTACCATTCTAGCTACCCGTATGAGACCCAGATTTCTTCGATTTGTTCTCCTCCTCAACCTGCTTCTCGAGATCGGCAATCTGCTCAAGGTACGAAGCCCTCTTTGCCTTCAGCTTCGTCACGTACTCCTCATCAGACATCCTGGTGAACCCGAACAAAGTCAGGAGACGATCCAGGCGCGCTGTCCATGGGGATGCATCGACGGATCCTGACGGCGACGAGGAAGATGCGATGGGTGCTCGCGTGGGTTCTTGCTGTGCTCTCAGCTTCTTTGAGATGTACTTGACCCGTGCGACGCCGACCTCGTTGAACGCGAACTGGATGATCGCGCAGACGATGCCTCCCGTTGTGATGCCGGGCACGATCCCCGTGCGCCCGCCTATACCAGCGACAAGTTGGCTCATTAGACAACGTGTATGAAAGAAAGAGAACATACGTCGCCATGCGTTCAGCACGGCGCCAGTGAATGCGCCGCTAAGCGCGGTATCTGGCACCCTGTACATCCGCATGTCCCACCAGCCCAGCTTCTCTCCAGTGCGGACGCCCGATGCACGTTGCTCTTGGATCTCTCGTATCCGCCGCGAATAGGAGGTGTCTGCCAGTGCGGACAAGAGGAACGGGCTGACGAGGTATTCACGGCAGCCTGCGGTGTGCCCGTCAGTGCCGCGTGCTCGCCTGCGATAAGGAGGTGACACGCACTGAAGAATGTCGCGCCTACGATCCCGCCATTGATCACTCCAGCAGTGACGAATGGCCCGATGCTTTGGTGGCTTTTGATGAGGGCGTAGATGCCTGCGCCAACTCCTGTTGTCGCGGCTGCTCGCGCGGGCGCGTGTCAGTGGTTGTGCGGTGCAAGCAGTCGCATGGAAGACGGACTCGCATGTTATGAGCGTGTATTTTCCGACTGTGAATGGTGTCGACGGGTCCATGTCGAGAGCCGGGCCTGCAACGCGTGGTGGTGGTGGTGGTGGTGGCGGCGGTGAGGCCTGCGTTTGTTGTCGTTCCTGATCAAGTGAGCGTCGATCGTTCACTGCATCTCTTCCTCATCCATCTCGTAACTTCAACATCTCGTGCTCACCGCCGTGTAAAAAAAAAAACAATGCTTTATGCGTGTCCATATTTCCTCTCTGATGGGATTCGCGCTCGTCCCTTCTCGAAGCTGAAAAAACTATGACTGGAACGATCCGTTCCATGACTCATGTTTCCCGAGCCTGAGACTATTCCCCGTTCCATTCAACGACGATCGTGATGCTTTACTAAAGGACAGCTGCGGACAGCCGGTAAAGAAAAAGCATGTTGGGCACCGTCCTTCCCGGAGCAATCACTGGAACTTCGCAGTCTTCTGGCTCGTGTTGTTCCGTCCTCAAACACTTCAAGCAGAATCGAACCGTCTTCGTCGGAGTCGAGGTCTGGACTCGATCATGAGGAAGGCAAATAAACACTCTTCACGAGTGAGTTCTTCCACGTAATTATGCATTATGATACAACTTCTTTGACTGACGCTACGCGAGTCGTTTGTACATCTCTAGGTAAGCGAAGGTGATGCGCTGCAAATACCTCGCAAACCGTGATATTCCTTATTCGTGATAACTTAACCGGGTATAATTTCCTGCTGCGCAAGCCTATCCTATGGGGAGATGAGGACAAATGAGCGTTGCAATTCTGGATCAGATATCAAGGGTGCTCTTACCTCGGTCTCAGAGGGGTCGCCACACACCGGCCGCTCCGGCGGAGACTTCCACACCCACTCTGCGGCGTTCGCACGTCCGCAGAAATGCATCACACACTTTGTCCCAGCCCGCTGAGATGAAGGGATTGCCTGTGCAGGACAGCGGCAGTTGCAGCCGCACGGACTTCAAAGAAACATATGAGCCATCATTTTCGAGGATTCGGTGCAACATGGAGAAGGCTAGGGGCAACATGACCATCTTGCTTGTGGAGTCGGCCACAAGAGTGACGCAGCAGATGCAACGGTGTGACCGCATGGCCCACAGGAGCGGCGACACTGAGGGACTGGATGCTAGCACCCAGTGACTCAGGTTCGGACACATTTCCAGCAATCCTAGCTGCCCGTGATGAAGGGCATTCAGACGACGGAGCCTCTGGCCGCTGCGCTGAACGAATTCGCCAACGTCATGTGGAGACGAGGTGGATGACGGGCTCCCCGTGACGACCAGATGAGTCAAAGCCGGAGTATTACAGGTGAGGAGGGAATTCTTGTATGTCCGCGTATTGTCCGAGATGATGAGGCTGCGCAATTGCGGGAAGTCGAGATGGGTGAATGAATATACGATTTGTCGTGATGTGGAGGAAGGAGGAGACACCCAGAGCATCTCCAGGGATGGCGCGAGGTGCGGGACGAGCACCTGCAGAAGGCTCTCGTGCTCGCCTCTACACTCGAGCCTGCGTATATGCACCTGCTTCAGGCCCTTCGAGATGGTACGCGTGAGCGCACACCACTCCCAGAGGTGTGGGTCGGATGTGCAGGCGATGGTGGAGAAAACGCGCAGGTTGGGACAGCTCTTGAAGATCCGGCCGAGGGCTCTCAAATGCTCTTTCTTCCATATGTGCACGCCCTCCAAGGCGAGTTCGAGGCGGATTGTCCACCGCCCTGGTCCCGCGACGGGCGTGCGCGAACGTTGGTGTCTTGACGCTAAGGCAGCCGCCACGTGGATTGCATGGTCTCCATCCTTCAGCAAGATGTATCTGAAGAGGAACTCGGCGACCAACGCATTCCATCTCCTTGAAACGAGGGCGATGGCCAAGTTGGTGTCCATAGCTTCTCGGTGCCACCGATGCAAATGAATTGCATTTTGGTCGTCTGCGATGCGCTCTATGCTCTCTCCGTCATTGCACGTCATAGCCTCCGGGATGTAGGTCGCGTCCGCGAATATGCCAAGCCATAACTCGTTGGGAATCTTCTCGGCTAAGCATCGCATGGCGTCAAATTGCCGACAGCGTCTGACAGGAGTGGCAGTGCGCGCGAGAGGCGGTGAGGAGCAGAGTGACTGTGCAAGCTCGCCAGCCCGTGCATATTTATTTGCGTGGCCCCGTGCCATGTGGTGGATTGCCGGTCCGCGAGAATAGGGTCGCCTGTTGAGAACAGCGTGGACAGCACGCCCCTGCGGGTCGGTTGCGATCATCGTGTGCTGGGCTAAACTATTGACACACAAATTTCAGCAACGGTGCGCTACAGATCTCCGGCAGTTTGTGCTGGACGATCCGAATGTGGAATTCCAAGAATTTCGATGTACAATCATAGTGTGTCCCTGACAAAGCTCAACGTGCCCAACGACCAAGCAAGCAATTCCACTAACTTCTCGCTCTCCTTGCGCTGTGCCTCCTGCAGCGCCTCGAGTTCTTGGTGCAGCTCTTCATTCTCCATCAGAACGTCCCCGTGCATGCGAAGGAAGACATTCAAGAACGTTTGTACAGCCTCAAAGTCGCGGTGTGAGCACAGCCGATCATGCAATGCCTTTAGGAACAATCGGAGTGCGTCCAACGTGACTAGCTCGTGTAACTCAAGATCGAGGGCGGCCGGTGACAATGTCTTCGCATATGCGAAAAACTCCTCGTCTGAGCAACATGAGTCAGTCAGAGGCGGATCACCGGACAGGATAGGGCAGTCCCGCTTACAGTCACCCTCGGGTTTCTCCGCAGCTAGCTTTTTGTAGAAAACGCTCGTGCTGGAAGCAGCGGCTTTCTGTAGCCGTTTTGTTGACTTCGGGGCATTTGCGTCCGATTCCTTCTCTTCGATGGCAAATCGAGGTTCCAAGCCGGGAAGAGTGGGCAGGAAGAATGGCGCCCTCTCGGGCTCCTTCGGTGGCTCCTTCGGCTTGTTGCGTTGCTACGCAGGGGACTATGTGAGATGCACATTCTTAACAGAAAACAAATCATGACATACCTGGATCACCTCGAAATTCAGCAGTGTTTGCCATTTCGAACGCGGGAGCAGCGAGAAGGTGACCAAATCGCCATCGAGGTTCGATTGTGTGAGGAACACATCAGGCAGAGTTTCCTGACCATTGAGAGTGAGCGACGATAGGGCATCAAGCGCTGCAAAAGAATGATCAGCATATATTTCCGCAGATAAGCCGGAGCTATCACCTTCTTCCTCTGCCTCCCCTTGCATGGAAGGTAGAGAGACATCTTGCACATCTTCATCCGAGACACTCTGGAAGGACACCTCGGAATATTGCGCCCGATTTGCCCTAAATATACATGTTAGAATATGAGGGACGATGGTATATGCACGGATTTACCATAGATACACTCCAACACTATCCACATGAGCGGTAGCGAGGAAGTCGTTTGTAGGGGAGAACGTCACGCTTGTTGCCACACTCGCTGTCCGAAAAGCATCGATGAGACGCCCAGTTGGGATATCGAATGTCCGAATGATTGAATCTAATGAAGTCGTTACAAGCCATCGCGAGTCAGGAGAGAACGTCTAGTCGAAATCAGGATTGCAAGCACGGGCAGCCATAGGCTTGGTACTCACTACGTCCAGCACTCGACCGCGGAAACCACCCAACTCTCGCACAACTCGGCGCGTTTCAATGTCTACGATGCGGACTAATAGGTCGTCACAGATCACTGCGAGAAGTCCACTATCTCGATGCAAAGTGATGGAGACAGCGGAAGAAGGGAGAACGAGTGTATGCTCCAGCTTCGCGGTATGGAAATCAAAGAACTGTTGAAGTGTCAGCGTCGATCACAGCTCCAATGAGACAAAACCAACATTGACGGTCCCGTCCAGAGTACTAGCAACCACCGAGCCGTTAAGTGCGTCGGTTGCCAGCCCTGTAATGCATCGTTCCTCCAATTTCTTCTTGGTCGAGCCGGTAGGGCGAAATTTGCTCGTGACCTCCGGAGGGCATGGTCCAACACTATACGTCTTGCGTAGGATACCCGACTGCATATTGTACATGTGGATGGCGCCAGTAGAGGACGACGCTAGACCAAAGTTACCACACGCCGAGACGCAAACAGCCTAGGGTGGTAAGAAAAAAGTCAGTCATCATGTCGTTAACAGATGGAAGTTATCCACCTTCACTGAGCCGACTGGTGCCCCTTTCTTGCCGCCATTGCCGAATCCAAATGCATATTTGCCAATCTTTTTTTCCTTCATACTCCAGGTACGTGCGAAGGTTTCATCTGCGTGCGCGGTAAGAATATCATCCCAGTCTCTCGCACGAGCAGCTGAGTAGGATACTGCATTGATGGGAGGAAGCTTGAGGGATGCAACAGGTATAGATTGGCTTGTGGCCTTTTTGGATAGGGAACCTATGTTCGAGGAACACAGTCAGGAGAAGAAGCACGACGTGGACATGCATTCCTACCTTGGCTGAATTCAAAGCTTCGGGAATCTCTGACCACACTCGTGCACCGCAGACTACGATCCCTTGACGCCGTCAGGATTTGCTTCCCGTCTTCGCCGTAATACCTGATGAGATGCGGCGGGGCATGGTGGCCCGATCGGAATTTGAGAAGACGGGGCGGGGAAGTAGGAGAGTCGAAGACCCATTGCTGTATTGCGATGAACCCTCAATCATAAGCTTCAACAATGCTAATCACAGACGTACTTTCACGCTGTTGTCTTCACCAGAGCTGATCAGGAGAGGTTGGCCGGGGACCCACTCCACGGAGGTAACCGCTCCGTCATGTGCACCGCGCATTAAGTGAAGTAGCCGCCCACCAGCGTTCAGATCCCACAATGCAATGTGGCCTATAGAGGAGGCGGAGGCAAGGATAGCCTGTCCGTCTGGAGTATCGTGACTCAGCCAAGCGTATCCGCAACAGCAATAGAAGTAGGCATACCTGACCGAAAAGACAGTGCGCGCACAGCACCATCTTGCATTTTCATCCTCATCAGCCGCTCGTCTGTCCTCACATCATAAACCGATATCTCTCCGGAAGCAAACCCGATTCCGACCACATCGATGGCAGGGGACTGTACAAGTGCAGAGATTGGATTTGTCAAGGAACTCTGCGAGTTTGTTGGTAATGTTAAGAGGGAGGCAACTGGGAACGTATGTATCCGCGTCCTGGACAATATTTCATGAGCCCCACACGTCGCTCATGTCTGAAAGCACTCTTACTGTGTGCGGATATTCCAAAGCTGTATATCGCCTTGACTACTAGATACGAGAACTTTGTTGAGATACGTCGCGGGATGCAGGATAGATGTCGCAATAAAGTTCGTATCAAATTGTATGGTAGCCTGCAGTTCTACAGTCGTCCATGGCATGAGTAGAACGTTGTAGGAGCAAGAGATAACTCCGCACCTTCGCTCTCAACATCCCATGCCAACATCCTTGATCCGTCATCGGTGAGTGCGAGCAGCTGTGAGCCGAAGACTAGGATGAAAGAGATCGTTGTTCCTAATGGGTTAACCAGCCTCCCAGTCTATTATGACAGTCAAGCTAGAGACAGCTTCTCTAATTGCAAATGCTTACCTCCTTCCCTCTGATGTACCTGATTACATTAGGACCGCTGGCCGTCCAGACAGAGTTTCCCTCCATAGCCATGTAGGTAATTGGCTCTGGTGCGTCGGGACCTAGCATGAATGATAATGGTTTTCTGGTCACGCGTCCGTATCAGAAACATACAGAGGGACTCACTTACTTACCCACAAATAGAAGACCCATCTTTCCTCCTTCCCACATCGCCCACGCCTTGCCTAAGCATGTCACAAGGTGTAACCGCGGGCCTTCCGTGGAACCCTTGTAGGAACGGGTCTGTAGGACAAATGGTAGATGATTGGTGATGAGACCAAGAGCGCGGAAGGGAGCGAAAAGACGCGGTTCCGTCGAGGTTTTCTTCGAATCCGTTTGCCCGACGCGGGGACGTTTGCGAGGTGGAGGATGGCTATGTTCCATTTCCGAGTTTGTACTCATGGTAGTGACCATATTGGCGCAGAGATATGGTATTCGTCACTGGTCGCGCAGATGGTGTCGGCTCTCAGTCTGGAGGGGGCGAGCGGTAGGGCCACTAAATGTAAAGCAGAGAATTTCAGGGCGATCGGGCACGTGAGCAAGACAGCGGTTGTTGCGGTGTGTTGTCCAAAGCCTTCCGTTCTTAACAGCGACAAACAGCCTCCCATTGGGGTGGCGCGGAAATACCGCGTATCCCGCCAGCATCGACGCCGACAAGAGTTTTCGCAATGGACACTTACAACACCGAGGAGTCTTTGCACGTTGAGTCGGAAGTGCTGTCGCCCGCGTCCGTGTTCACGCCGCAGACGCTCTTGATTGCATCACTGTCGCTGGTGGTCGCGCTCCTCGCTAGTTAGTACTTCCGTTCTGCCTGCAGTCTCGACTCTCATGCCTGGGCAGTTATTATTATTCTATCGCGTAGAAGGTCACTCTCGAAGGGAGATGCCCTTCTCCTTGTTGGCTATTCTGATGCAGGCAAGACTGCCATTCTGTCTAACGTAAGATCAGTCACACGCGTACCACCCTCTTCTCATGCCCTTCCATAGCTCGTCTACAAGAAGACTTTACCGACGCATACATCAATGCAAGTAAACACATCTATAGTGCCACTAGGAGAGAGAACACTCCGAGTGATCGATGTGCCGGGACATCCTCGAATCCGCGACCAATTCCGTGAATACCTACCTGACGCGAGAGCAATTGCCTTCGTCGTCGACTCGAGCACGATTTCCCGGAACGGGGCAGCCGTTGCAGAGTTAGTAGAATGTCTCGATGCGTCTTAATTGTTACTGAAGTCTATTCGCCGTATCATAGACACCTTCACCAAGTACTGCATGCGATTACTTCCCTCCCACCCTCGAGACCTACCCCTGCACTGCTTATCGTTGCACACAAGCGTGACCTTCTCAAGTCAACAGCTCAAGCAACGCCGGACCAGCTCGCCATCAATCGCGTGCGGACCATCCTCGAGCGCGAACTCGAGAAGCGGCGAGCATCTCAAGCTGGCGGAGTCGGTGTCGAAGGCCTCGGAGTGGAGGGTACCGAGTCCGAGTTGGGCGGCTTGGAGTGCAGCGGCACGGGCGAGTTCAGGTTTGCCAGTTGGGAAGGAGGGCAGGTCGATTTCGTCGGCACCTCCGTGGATATCAGCAAAGAAGCTGGGTTAGACGAGAACTCGGTCGACGTCGACGGACTGCAGCCTCTACGCCGGTGGATAGAAGAGCAACTATAGCCCTGTTGATGGGCAGATCGATCGCCTGTGCGCAATCGCTTTGCAAACAATGACAAACAACCCGGACAATATAAAGTTTTCCCGACGGTGAAGTTGCTCCTCTCATGCAGCCTCAAAGACAGTGCCTGTTCTTCGTTCAATACTCCACGGGGAACATGGCGATTCGGCATTGCAGAGAGTGATACTGTGGGTGGCAAAAGAGCTCTAGCATCTCCCCCTTGGAGGGCCATGGTGTCGTGAGTGTCAGAACTTCCCTACATTCCTTCTCTGTAGCGCACGTACCATGTACGTTGTGTTGTGTTTGCATTGCACTGCAAATCATTATTTATAGCTATCTACGGGCATGTAGTGATGTAGTGATAGCCGTGTGTAGCAACGCTAACAATTGATGATTTTCTACCGTTCATATACCTTGCGCATCCTCGACTAAAACCGCTGCCACAACGTTTGCAACATTCAAGAATGATCTGAGTCCCCCTCTCTAAGACCGTTATTCGCTTGCATAGACGTCCAATAATAGTAACACTGAAGATATCAGCTACGGTAGTACTTTGGCATCACTGTGTCTGCTCGACCTGCGGCAGAGGAATTTACTTGTCCGGGTCCGATTGAATGGATTCTGTTGAATGTAACTACAAGAACTAAAGTGCAGTTTCATCATCGATTCCATTGAATATCCACAACTCAGTAAGGCCTCTATATGCTTAAATGTTGTCCTGGTATCTATCGTATTTTCAAAAGCAAGGCCACCGTGACGTCGCCAAGGTAAGGAATGTGACGTCACTGAGACTTGACTTGTTGTCACGGTCACTCCACGGGCGGGCCGTACACGAGCTTAACTTGACGTACGTTCTCTCGTTCGTCGACGACCATTTGCTAGCGACGCCATGTTCATTATCAACTGGTTCTGGGATGTTCTTGCACAGCTCGGTATGTAACGCTCCGCACTGCTACGGGACCGAGCACTCTTATGACGGTCATACAGGTCTGTTGCACAAGAACGCCAAAATCCTCTTCCTTGGTCTTGATAATGCGGGGAAGACGGTAATAACCAGTAGTCTATGGGAACAGTGACAATTTCTGAACCATTGGGCAGACTCTACTGCACATGCTCAAGAACGACCGGCTAGCAACACTGCAGCCCACACTCCACCCCAGTGAGCACGGACATGGATTGACGTTACAGACGCGTGTCCTGACGATCACGTAGCATCTGAGGAGCTCGCAATTGGCAACGTGAAATTCACGACCTATGATCTGGGTGGACATCAGCAAGGTATGTAACGCCCTTAGCTCCGTTTAGAACCCCACTGAAGTGCCATAAATCAGCTCGTAGGCTCTGGCGTGATTACTTCCCCGAGGTTGACGGCATTGTCTTCCTCGTCGACAGCGCCGACTTCGAACGCTTCGCAGAGTCCAAGGCCGAGCTGGATGCTTTGCTCTCTATTGAAGAGCTATCGAAGGTACCCTTCCTGATCCTTGGCAACAAAATCGATGCCGCAGGTGCGGTGAGCGAGGAGGAACTCAGGCATCACCTGGGCCTGTACCAGACCACTGGAAAGGTATGAATCCCCCATGGGTCGGATGCGATGGTCCTCTCATATTCGCTATTCACAGGGCAAGGTGCCTCTCAACGACATTCGCCCCATCGAGATTTTCATGTGCTCCGTTGTTCAGAGACAGGGCTATGGAGAGGGTTTTCGCTGGCTCTCACAATATGTATGATCACTCGTCGCTGCCCTGCCCTGACTGCTGACAGTCTCTCGGTAAATCTGAGACTTTGGTAGATGTGTTGATATGTAACCGTCCGGTGACCGTCAGTCATGTGGGAATTACTGTCGTCTTACTGCTTTTCCTATTGTTAGTAGCTACTCTCCTCTATGTTGTGGAACATTTTTTTTGCTCTTCATCTCAAGAAGTGACCCAGCGACGGACATGGGTCCTGTTGATAGATGCGTACCATATTGTTCTAGGAGCTGGTATGGTGCACACCATTTATCGGTCCGTGGCTACCATTCCGCCCCATCATTCGACTGCGCGATGGACAGCACTCGGGAAGATCGTTGCGAAATAGTGAACACTAGAGCAGCGATGTCATGCCATTACCTTTTCAAGCGCCCATGCATCGCGTCGAGCGTCAACGCGCTTCGTTTGGCAAACCACAACGCGATGGCGTTCGTTTCCGATTCACCTCGTCTGACACGGCTCATCCCTTCCTTCACGAATGTTGTGCTCGTTGCAATCCTACTACGGATTGTTCTCATTCTGTACAGCGAATGGCACGACGCACGTTCCGTAGTCAAATACACCGACGTCGATTATCGCGTCTTTAGCGATGCGGCTCACTTTGTCTTGCATCCATCAACCGGTAATCGTGCTCAAGGACCATTGGGGAGGTTGTTGGACATCGGAGAGTGCGTCTTTTAACAGCCTCCCATTACTCTCGTAGCTTATAAGTATGCCGCGTACAGTCCATATACGAGGGCGACATATCGTTATACGCCATTGCTTGCCCTTCTGCTGATACCCAACGAGCTACTCCATCCGTCCTTTGGAAAGTGCTTGTTTGCGGCATGCGACATCTTAGCGGGCCTGCTACTGCACAGACTCCTGACGTCCGTCATTCTCGTGCCACGACAAATGAAGCAATGCTCTCCCAAGCCCGATCAAGGTATATCACTGACGGACGGAGGCCTCACGGAGAGGAATGGTGTAATAAAAGAAGACAAACTGTCTCTGGAACGATATGCGACTTTACTGGTCTCCATCCATTTGCTCAACCCGCTTGTCTTCACCATCTCCACACGGGGCTCCTCCGAGGCCGTTCTGTCGCTCTTCGTCCTGAGTACACTCTATTGCGCATTAAGAGGAAGATGGAACACATGCGCTATCCTGCTAGGCTTAAGCACGCATTGGAAGATCTATCCGTTCATCTATGGCGTTGCGTGTCTTTACGTCATCGGCAGCGAAGCTGGGACAGGGAAGGGCTGGAATGCATATTGGAGGAGCATTATCAATTTGAAGACAATGAAGTTTTGCGTTCTGAGTCTGACGACGTTCCTTACTTTGGGCGCGGCCGTGTATGCAATGTAAGGTACAACGACTTCTTGCTGCGATTTTGGCTTATCAAAGTCATGCAGATGGGGATACCCTTTCTTATACGAATCCTATCTATATCATCTGCACCGACTAGATCATCGGCACAACTTCTCGCCTTATTTCTACCTGATCTACCTCACCTATCCATCACCCTCCTCATCTGCTGGTATCGCTGACATGACGCTCTGGAGGAAGCTTTTGAGATCTCCCCTTACGAGCTTCGTACCGCAAATGATCCTCTCGTTAGGAACCGGGCTGTTGTTCGGGCGTCGTAAAGATGACCTTGCGTTCGCGTGGTTTTTGCAGACTGTGATGTTTGTCGTGTTTAACAAAGTTTGCACGTCGCAAGTGAGTGGCTACTTTGCTAAGCATGCACGACCGTTGTCTGACTCGCTGTTCAGTACTTTTTGTGGTACATTCTCTTTTTGCCGCTGGTCGTTCCCCGCGTGCGCATGTCTCTGAGACAGGCTGTGCTCCTTCTAGCGGTATGGGCAGGGACGCAAGCATTATGGCTTAGCGAGGCTTACAGATTGGAGTTCCTGGGCGAGGACGTGTTCCGTGGGCTGTGGACGAGGAGTTTGATATACGTCGTAGGCCATTGTTGGGTCCTGACAGAGCTGATGAAATATTACATAAGGTGATAGCTCCTCATCGCATCTGAGCAACGACGATTCCTGAAGCTGTGACATGGTTGATCTCCGCGATGCCTCAAGGAATTGGATCTATATCGCTAATCTCTGTGCGCTTTGATGATCCGAATCGGCACTCGAGGCCCTCAAATATGAAATGCTATCGCGTAACATCAACACCTCCAATGCAATTCACCGACACGTCAATATGTCTCAATACAAAAGCCCATATCGTCAACACTCCTGCGCAACCCGTCTCATCAAGCTCCGAGAGATGGTATCGCTATAACCTAGCATGCGCACTTGGCTAATACATTTCACGAACAATTAGCCTACAAGCCTCAGCAGAATACAGGACGTCGGGAACTTACATATGACGACCGGGAGAAAGCATCGGACCGCTTCTACTTCTGCTTTGGTGGCTCCGCACAGCCGCATGCGGGATAAGTGCAGCTGCCGCCGTTGGCTTGAACATTAGCGCAAGTTGCTTTGTCCTACACACCGACAGAGCGAGTCAGTGTCAAATCTGTGCTCTAGACCGCATCAAACGGTATAGAGAGTGAATGACTACTCACAGACATGGTTGTGATGGTAGTCGAGGACTGGGGAGGACATGGAGGGTCGGTAGGGCCTTATATATTAACAACAGGAGTCAGCCCTGACCCGCGATTGGGTGCGTAATGCACTTTGCGCGATTGGTATGAACAATGCGGAACAAGCTATTGGTGGTAAGCAGCGCAGCCGACGTGCATGGATCAAGCTGATGCCAGTTTGACAGAAGAGACACTTTCCATTGGTCCAAGTCATCATTCTATGCGGCAAGGCTGAGCTCGTGGAAGCCGCAGTCTCTTCAGCATGTCGCACACGGACCTATGTGAAGACCCAGTCTCGTGCACATCACACGAGGTGGGCCTTTCAAGCGACGCAACTCCAATATAATCAGGAACTTGACGAAACTCAAACGTGTAAGTCAGATCGCGAACATTCTTAGAAACAGTAATCACTGGACACTCATCATTTGAGCCTTAGAGTTGATGCATGATGCATGATGTGTCATCATCAATGTGAAGAGGTAGGCTATCCCACTCTATTGCAAACATCTAACGTCTTGCTGACGTCTACCTGGAATGTATCATCACTCGCCTGAAGCACCTAGTTTTAACTCAAACTCCGAGTTAACACATGCATTGCAGCCAAGATTCCACGGATACGTTCGCGTGCTTTGTGAGGCTCGTTATGTCCTGTATCCGACTGATTTATGTGAAGACTAATACTTAAATCACCGAAATCGCGTCGCTGGGCGGCAGTGGACTGAATGCAACGGGTTTGGGAACGTGCATGTCGGACGAAGAGTTATATTAAGAGCAAGAGGTCCTCACGCATGATTATCGGTCTGCTTCAAGCGCGGCGTTCATTCAATCTCCATTGCAAGCCATCGATGCAAGATACTAAGTCGCAATACACATCCTTCTCGTCTACAATCCGCCTGACTAGCTGACATCACCCCCACGGATCCCAAGAGACGGTTCAGGCAACGAAGCAGAGTGTGCACCTAACTAGAGGCATAATACATAGCGATGGTGAGTTTTGCGCTTTCACGAAGCTAATGATGGAGGCTTGCCTGTGAAGACGAAGGACCAAGCACGCGGACGGCTTCACTTCTGCTTGGGTGGCTCAGAGCAGCCACACGCTGGGTAGGTGCAGGTGCCGCCGTTGGCCTGGACGTTAGCGCAAGTAGCTTTGTCCTATTCACCGACAAAAATGAGTAACCAGCCGCCTTGCTCGACAATCGGGAATGGAGAAGAGAGTACTCACAGACATGTTTGATACTTGTGGATGTGGTAGTCAGGGACTGGAGGGAAGTGAGGCTCGCGAGGCTCTTATGTACCAACTTTGAAGATGTCATCCTTGGATCGCAATTGGTCGCGTTTTCACAATGCGTCGATTTCGTGCAGCACAATGCGTATCAGGCTGTTGAAGCATGATTAGCAGTTCGGTGTCAGTTGACAGAACCGACGCATGCCATTGGTCAGGGAATGATACAATGGCACTGAGGTGAATCTCCGGCCGGGACAAGTATAGCATTAGCAGCTTCATGGTTGGGCAATGCTGGGAACGAGCTCTAGTTTTCCACTCACGGGATAGTGGCAGACTGGGGGAGGTCGCATGCGCTTAGAAATTGAGCTCTCTCGTGTGGCAGACTAGCGAATCTTTCTATTCCTGCATTTATCAGAACAACTAGTATCGTACATAAATCGGAAATAAAGACATCGAAGCCAGACCATCCACATTGAGTATTGGTCATCCATGAAGCAGTTTCGAGTCGATAATTTCCTGTGTAAGCCCCTCTGCTCCGTCGCGAACCTCTATCACCTTGCTGATATCCGCCTGGAGCACAGGGCAGTTCACACGCGGTCACTGATCCATCAGATCGTAAGGCACTCACTGTATTCTGGAAGTCGATGAATGCACTGGCGTGCAATGTGAGGAGGCTCATCTCGCTCGATCGCGGAGCCCAATTGACAAGGACCAAAGGGAATGACTTGCGTCCGTCAGAATGGTTCAATTCATGTGATAGGACCACATAGCGTGGTGCGTTCTCCGGTAATGCTGATTAAGGGAACGATGTGATGTGCAGCTGGACTGGATTCAGCACAGAGCACACCTTCCGCCAGGTCATCAATACTGATACTGTCGAATTGCTCAACCTCCTCCATGATCAGTTTCTGCTTGTTGATTTTAACGACGAGCGCGGCGCTCCCTGCATCGCGCCGGGCGAATCTGAACTTGCGGAGTGAGGTCTTGAGCTCTTGGGGGATATCGACGGTATGAGACTATATGCAGGGTGGCAACGCTCAAGATTGCATGCAGAATGGCAGCATGAAGCACAAGAACAAACCATTGGAACCGCGTTTGCTGACCAGGTATCGCGCTGGCTGGAGAAGAGATGACCGGCGTCACTGGCGCCGCTGTAAATAAAGATAAGATAAAGTTCCGGATCGTTAACGGGATCTCTTTTGCCATACACGGCAGTCTTCTCTTTGGTCTGCAAGCTTGCCTCACACGCAGAATAGGTTGCGCTCATTTTTCAATGGCAATGCTATCGCTATTCACGTCGTCGCCGGAAAGAGATAGTTCGGTGCTTTGTGAAGGTGGTCTTGGGTCGTGTGCCGCTCCAAGCCTATCGTGCCTATCAGCTGGACGATAACGCAGTGCTCACCGTATTCATATCCATTTCAGCTGACGTCCGTGTCGCCGACGTTTCATTCTCATAGCCATGTCGAGTTCGAGGGAGTCCTCGAGGTATCACCGCGATGCGTCTCGTGAACGGCACCTCGCGTCGACTTCGCGCGGAACGCGTAGCGTCTCCGCATCGCGTACATTCCCTCTAGAGCTCGATGTCGAAGCAGATCTCCTCATTCACCCCGATGGTGCTGTCGCTACGGAGATTCTCCGTCCTTCCGAGACTGAGATCGAGGAGGCGACGGACAGTTTGGAAACTCCTGTCCACGGAGTTTCATCGAACGGACAGGATTTTAAGCCGTGGTGGAAGCGGCCCTCTCCATGGTGGTGCGTGTAGTCGAGCGGTGTTCGTTCAGATTCAAAGACACTCATTTGTATTTGCAGGTTCCTTACCATCACTCCGGTCGTGGCTCTTGCGAGAGCTGCCACAATGGCACCTCGAGTAGAGATATATATCCAACTAGTATGCGATGCGTACAGGCCGGACACAACCGTCGGTCAAATGTTCTCATTAGCTGCGAAAGATGGAGGTCGGTCATTATATTCCCGAGAAAGCTGGGGACGGAACTGAATGTCGCATATGCCTTCAGATAGATGGGAGCTCTGCTCGTCCGATCCGGTCGTGCAAGCCGCTGTGGCGAAGCTGGCGATGGCGATGACGACATCTATGGGTGTTCTGGGATGCCTTACCACAGGTTGGTGGGGCTCGGTACGTAATGTCCAGATTCCTACTGGCGGCCATCGTTAATGAGGCTCTTAGCTTTCTGATCGGTATGGTCGTACGAGAGTGATGACTGTCGCGATCATCGGGCTTTTGTTGGAGGACCTGGGCTTCCTGATAGTATGCAATTTCTCCAAACTACTGCCAGGAGGTTATTGGGCCTTGACGGTTGCGCCTGTGATTGCGGGACTAATGGGAGGTGTGCATATAGTCAGTGTCGGATCACATGTCGTCCTAAACGTTGACGAGGAGCGCAGGATTGGGGACGGCTGGCGCCAACATGAATGCCTACATAGCTGACTGCACAGATGTGACGTCGAGGTGCGTCTCAATATGTCTCCATCTGTGCTCATGCTGAATTTCCCTGCATACAGATCCCGCTTCTTCTCTCTCAGCCTCGGCCTCCTCTTTCTAGGCTACAGCATCGGGCCCACGTTCGGCAGCGTGCTCATAAGCTACACACGGAATACACTCTCTGTTTTCGCCGTCGCCGCGACGCTACACGTCGCGTACGCGTTCCTCACGGGCTGCATCATCCCTGAGTCCCTGAGTACTGCGCACATGGCGGAAGCGCGCGGGCGGGCTGCGGAGGAAGAAGCACAAAGGACAAAAGGTGGGGTGAGGATATGGCTGGCGAGGACGGTGGGCGGGTTTATAAGACCACTGGCCTTGTTGCTGCCTGGCAAAGTGGAGATGGAAGATGGAAAGCAAAGGAGAAAGAGGGACTGGAGCTTGTTGTTGCTCGCGGCAGGGTACGGGTGTACGATTGCTCTCAAGGTGGGCAATACCGTATACTCGTCGAGAAATGGAAGACTAACAATATCTAGGGGGATATCACATATGAGTATCAGTACATGTCCCTGATGTACGGATGGACATCCGAAGAGGTGCGTCTGCGTCAATTCTGAATTTCTACGTGCATGTTAACCAATGCATTACTATGACCAGCTCGGATACTATACGAGTGCGCTCGGTACTACTCGCACCGTCTATTTGACAATCCTGTTGCCTCGTGCGTGCCATTCATAAATGTGTCAACTCATGTGCTGACCACTTGGCATGCATAGTGATCATGAAAACCCTCCAGCCTAAGCCTGCCATTCAGATATCAACAGAACAGCACAAGCCCTTGGATTACAGAAGTATCTCCCGACCAACATCCCCTTCTACCAAATCTCAGTCGCCGCCGCCAGGATCCCCATCCCACCATGCCTCACCTGCCCTTGACCTCGCCCTCGCGAGGCTGTCCATCCTTATCGAGCTCGTTGCATATACGTTGATGGCGCTTGCGCCGAATGGTCACCTATTCACCGCATACGCTATCGTCAGCGCACTCGGGGCCGGATTCACACCCGCAGTGAATAGCGTTGCATCGGCGCTATATATGCAGCAGGGTGGGCGCGAGCTTGGGAAGCTGTTTGGCGCTCTGGGAGTTGTGCAGACGATTTGGTGCGTGTGGTTTTTCTCTCCATGCACTGATGCCTGTTAATGAACCTGTCTCAGCTCGCAGGTTATGGGCCCGTTCGTCTTCGGGGTAACGTATATGAAGACGGTAGCGACGTTTCCGCAGGCGATATTTGTGGTAACGGTCGCTGTGTTGGCGGTGTCCTTCATAATGCTAGTTCCCACCCGTGTGCACTCACCCTCGAACGTGGACGTTGAGGGACCGACCCGCGAACCCACGCCCGTTGGCGAGCGCGCGCCGTTGCTGATGCAACGAGGCAGGAAGGCGGCTGGGCTATCGGCGACTGCCTAGGTAACTGAGGATCTGTCGAAGTCTATGCTAGAATGGATGGCATCTGTAATATTTTCTCATAACTTCAATTCAATGTCGTGTGACACCGACGCGCGAAAATGTTCAATCGACTATGGAAGGAATGGCACCTATCACACAGAGGGTCCAAAAGTGAGGATGGGGGTGCCCCAAAGCCAATCCGGCTTCACCACTATAGGTCGTATCGGGACAGTGAATACTGCCCTGGTATCTGCACCCACAGTCAACATGAAGGATTCCCCTTCATACACCTCATGTATGTCTCTCCCATCCTCCCTCTCAACCCTCCCACGGAGAAAATGTGGCAACCAATATCGATCGGGTGTTTGAACTCTGTAGAGGTGGCATGACGGGGGAGTTCGGATGTGCTGCAACGTACGTCTGTCGACGAAATCGAGGCAGTACGTATGACAGGCTTCCATGCCTTTGCCCCAGATACGGACGGCGAAGTTCACATTCGGCACTGAGAGATAATGGACGTCGCGCTCTCCGGGCACGGGTAGGCGCTGATTGTTCGAGTATCAGTGGGATGAATGATGCGAGACACAAGGCGCTTACTCCAATGATGGGTATCGACTGGTCGAGGACCGCCTTCGCATGCTGCCGGACCTCCTCCATAGCTTCGCTATCTGTGATGCTATCACCGTACTTGAACTTGCTCTTCATCATTGCGAGCCAATCGTGAAAGGTGCCGTTGAAGGCGATGTGATAACGGCCCCAGTACAGCAGCTCGGTGTCGTCCATTTTGGTGTGGTCGAGTTCAGGATGGCGGACACGCACTATCGCCACAGCGTTTGAACGGTTTGTTCCTGAAGCGAGTTCTAAAAACTCGGAGGGCGGCATAGGGTGCACTATCGGTCGCTCTTGCTGAGCAGGACCGGCCTTATATGCTTGACGACGTCGCGTCTACGCAGACAATTCGCCATTTGCTTGACTGGAGCTTGTATAACAGACAGCACACACCTTTCCAGAAGTGCTTCTCGTTGGTCCAATGTTTGCCCGCTGTGAAGAGTCCGTCGCTTCCTTCGACACACCTGTAACTATCCTGAGTACTGAGTGAAGGCTAGGTCTTGTAGCGCACGTACCGAGGATTTTGGAGTAGTCCTTCGATTTGCTCCGTTTGAGCGCCAGCTCGGCCTTCTTGAGCTCAGATCGCAATGCCTTCACGTCCGCATCGCTGCCTTCGAACTCGGCCTGCTCAATGGCCGACTTGAAGTCGGCTATCGCGTTGTCGTATTTCTCAAGATGCAAATAGATGTGGGCGCGCGTGCGGAGCCCCTTGAACGATGCAGGGTATAAGCGAAGAAATTCTTCCGTATCTTGAAGGGCATCTTCGTATTGCTCGAGCTATGGCCACCGAGAATACGAAATTAAGCTTCAAGGGATGCTAGGGTTCCTCGTACACTACGGACCTTCATTAATGTCGTGGCGCGATGCGACAGGAAGATCGCGCGGATCTGTCCACCATTCCCTTCGTTGTCCTCCTCACCAATGCGCTGAGCAATGACGTCAATGATCGCGGACTAGCCTAAAGCAAACCACCCTCACACCAAGTGCCTCGCCATACCTCTCGGTGGCTTCTTGCAAGCGGCCAGCCTTGAAGGCAACGTTACCCTCCTCCTTCAATCGTTCTACGTCCTTGATCCGCTTCCGTAACCGTTGAGCAACTTCGTGTCCGGGGTCCAGACGCAGAGCAGACTGCACATGCTGCAGTGCCTCTTCGATCTTCGCAGTCAGGAAGAGGACCAACCCTCGGAGGGCCAGTACATCTGGTGAGTTGGGCTCCAGATGCAGTGCCTCACTGGAGAGCATGACGCCATCGATGAGGGCGAAAGTGTACGCAGGGGCGTCACACAACTTACCTGGATGCAATACCAGCCGCATCCCAGTTTTTCTGTGCCAATTCAAACTCAATCCGTCCCAATTTCCACTGCACTGGTATATCTCCTCCTTTCGCTTCGATTGCCTGCACGCACTTGTCCAGTGCAAGCCGCGCCGTCACCCAGTCCTGCCTTCTCTTTGCGTCCTGAAAGTTCTGCAGATGCGCCTCCAGCTCGAGCACCTTCTTCTGCAGTTGTAGAGCCGGTCCATTGTATGGCTCGAGATCAAGCACAGCGCGAAGGGTGGATAGAGCCGGCGCTGTCGACCCAGTAAATAGCTGACAACGAGCTAAACGGATCAGTGTTTTCGATGACGGAGATTCTGATTGAAGGTCAGCCGCTTGTTGGCAGTCTGCGAGCGCAAATTTGAACTTCTTCAGAGCCATGTAGGCGGCGGCTCGATTTGTGAGATACGTCGGCTCTGCTGGGTTTAATTCTGATGACAGCGCATGAAGAAGAGCCATAGAAGATGCAGGTTTATCTATTCACCAATAGCCCAAGAATACGATTCGACGGCATCCATATATCGCTGCGCTCTGAAAGCGGCATTGCCCATTTCCTTGACCTTCTCCGCGAGCTTGATTGGGTCTTCCTCGGGCTCAGGCTGCATGTCTACTGTCTCAAATTGTTCAGCTTGATCAATATCAGGTTGATCGACCTCGACAGGGCTTTCATATCTGCCCACGCGCTCAATTGGAGCATCGCAAGGCATGATAGAAGAATTGCGTACCCGTCGCTGCCAGAGCCAGCAGCAGCCTTCGCCTGTTGCCTCTTTCTCGCAAGCGTGTTCATCATACTTCGAGTAATCTGAGCCTACAGCGACGGAGTCTTCCTAGGAGCAACGAGGCAGGACGAGCCACTGAAACCGCGAATAAGCGCCGGTCAACGCGTTCAACGCCACAGGCGCGACTGCGACGCGTCGCGGACGCGACGATCGCACGTGTTCGGGCTATTTCCGTGAGTTCCGCCAAATTCTGACACTTATATATGCGTCTCGCTGGCTACAAGTTGAAGGAAAGTCAGTCGTGACTGACGCTGCGATGGACATTGGAACTACGACATGTTGCATCGTCTCACATCCTCGGTCTACTAGTAGAATTGTTTGTGGACACTTTCTTTCTCCGAAAACTGCGGAAGAAACACCGAGCGAAACGTTCTCGTGCAAAAATCATTCCTTCCACCTCAGAGGGAGGAAAAGATCAGCTAGTAAGTTACTGCTATCACTTTCCTAGGAGTTTACGTGCAGAAGGGACTCAGGATGATTAAGTTTAGTTCCAGGAGTGTGGATTGCTAACGATAAGACGACCGAAATTGGTCAACGTACGTGCGCACGGATCGCTTACATGTGGTACTACTACTTCAGAGCATGTTGATCTAATGTCCGACCAGATCTCAAGATCGACGCGGAGGTCGACGCAGTCGAGCATGCAGCGCACAATGCAGCAAGGAGCATTCCTGCGCAAACAATTCACATCAGATAACACAGTACGTGCCACTGTTTTCGATGTCCTGCACAATCTTCGACATATACCCGACGGGGACCTTGAATTCTCAGACATAATGTAAGTGAAGTACGCATAGAGGGGAACAACTGTTGTTCCAAGCCTCATCGACTCCAAGATCTGAATTGCATGCACGCTCAGACAAATTCCAAGATCACGACATATATCAATAGCACAGTTTCCTGAGCATCCACGGGGAGAGGCCATCACATGCGGGACATCAATACTTAGTTCAATTAGCCACAGCATAGGCAGAAAACAGCGAGTTCGCTTGAAGTTTCCGCGTCAATGAATGATGGGAATTCTCATCAATGGTCATTTTGAACGCAGCTGTGAAGTGGCATTGCTGGATCGTGTCGCATTGCATATGAGACCGAGGATGTCGAGCATAGATTGGCGAATTTCTTGGCCTTGGACTGTATCCTCGGCACGGAGCCTACGAAAGATAAGATCAGAGAAACGATGGAATCCGCCATTTGGCAGAATCGGGAGGGCGTTGCGGACGAAGACAAATGGGAGCTGCAGTTCGTCCTTTGGACAGTGACTGCTCCGCAGAATGGCCTGATGGACATCTGCAACATCCGAGTTAACAGCTACAGTGCCCCAATGCACGCGTTCGTCAACCTTGCGCAAGTATCTCCACGTCTGGAAGGTGCTGTAGGTAGTCTGGGTGGGTCTCCACTTGCATTTGAGCAGAGCGAATCGGCAGGGTGCCGTCGTCAGTAGCATGACAGGAGGCGCAAGACTCCCCAGGTGTGGGACTCGGGAGGGACAGAGTATGCGAGCCGGATCTGCTGGAGTGTCCACTCATACTCGCGCAGAAGCAAACAGACCCGACGAGGTTACGACGCAGTTCGGCGTGTCATCCTTGCGCGCGTCGTTGATCGCGTGTGTTCTTGCCGAAGGCTCTTCTTCGGCCCGCTGACGTCTGTGCTAGCTACTAACTGCGCCTGCATCGAGGCCCTGAGGCTGATGGGATTGGCGCAGCAGCTAGCAGCAGGTGTCATCGCTGATGATTTATCTTTATATCTGGAGGCGTACATAGTGCTTCAAGACGTCCGAATTGATAGGAACAATATCCGTGCAACGTCGATTCACCCGACATCCGTCACCGTGGCCGAGGCGTGAGAACGCCGAGCGATCAAGAGTGCCTGCGGGATCTTGAGCTCTCTCATGGCTGACCGTATCCGCGTTGTAACCCATGGCGCCAGTGGCTACAAAGACCCGTTTTCCGCTGCCCCTCCCAATCTCCCCTCGCTCCCCTCGCCCCACCTGAGCGCAGCCAACGACATAGACAGTCGCGTCCATGTCGTCCAGGGACCCCTCTCGCCTTCGCGTGCGCGATGCGCCCTCGCGCTCCCGTTCTCGCCGCCCGCGCGCGTCCCGCAACTCCTCGCTCGTATCGGTCCCCTATCTCCCCGATAACCCTGATGCGCTCGTCAATCCGGACGGACAAATTGGCGACGAAGCTGCAGAGCTTCTGCACGAGTTCGTGCATCCACACAGGCACGACTCGGACGAGACACTCACGGCGGACGAGGAGCCGCGCGAAGAGGCTGATGGATCGCTGGAGAACGACGATCTGCTGGAAGAGGCTGTTTTGGAATGGAGGCAGAGCCTGCCTTGGTGGAAGAGGCCTTCTCCTTGGTGGTGAGCTGGTACTCTCTGCTGTCTGCATGCCGCGAAGTACATGTTGCATGCAGGTTCATCTTTCTTGTGCCTTTCTCTGCCATTGCCATATCCGCCACGATGGCTCCACGCATCCAGATCTACACACAGCTCGTATGCGATGCGTACAAGCCCGAGTTCAAAGCTGGCCGAGGCGCGGACAAGAGCCCGATGTCCCTGCTGTCTGCAGTGGCACGTTCATCCTACATGCTGTCTACGGTCACTGCGCTAGACGGTACAGCTATTATGCACCGCTCGCAGTATGCATGAGCTTATTGCCTGTCGTATATGCACAGACCGAACGTACGAGCTGTGTGCGGCCGACCCCGTCGTGCAGCAGGCAGTATCTAAGCTCTCGCTTGCCATGCTTAGCACCATGGGAATACTCGGCTGCTTGACCACCGCTTGGTGGGGATCGGTGCGTTACTTCGCCCCGTATCGCTGCATCATGCTGCATGTCGCACTTACATCTATGATGATTAGCTCTCCGATCGATTTGGGCGCACCCGAGTGATGAGCTTCTCCGTCATCGGTCTGCTGACGACCGACGTGAGCTTCATCGTCACTGCGACTTTTGCCAACAAGCTGCCCGGAGGGTACTGGTTCCTGCTATTTGGACCTATTGTGGAGGGCATGTTTGGCGGTACGTAGTCGTTTAACTCCTCGTCCGTCTTGAGTGCTGATAACGGACTGGATGGACAGGGATAAGTTCTGTGATGGCTGCGATCCACGCATACATTGCCGACTGCACTGATCCCGCTGCCCGGTAAGTACCAGCGTCAGTTGTTTATTCGCCGTGCTGTGGTTTCTGACCGCATATACCCACTTTTTGTAAGCTCCCGCGCCTTCTCTCTCTTCCTCGGCCTACTCTTCACGGGCATGTCCGTTGGGCCTACGCTGGCCTCGCTCCTGATCAAACACACGCGCAATCTCCTCGCCATCTTCTATATCGCTACGGCAGTGCACATAGTGTATGCGTTCCTCATCCTGTTCATCATTCCTGAGTCGCTTGCGCCCGTGCAGAGGGCGGCATCACGGAAATTGTGGAAAGAGGAGCGCAAGAATAGAAAGGAGGAAGAGGACGGGCGGAGCGGTTGGTTGCGGTTGAAGAAAGTGCTAGGGTTCGCGAAGCCGCTGGCGATGTTGGTGGAGAGTGTGGAAGACGAGACAGGGAGGCGGAGGCGGGATTGGAGTTTGCTCATGCTCGTGGCTGCATACGGGTGTGTCGTGATGCTTCTCGGCTCGATTACGTCGAAGATGCAGTACATGACGATGATGTTCGAGTGGTCGGCGGAACAGGCGCGTGCTTCCCATTTTTATGTCCCATGGCTGTTGTTAATAGCACACGTCTATTCAGGTTGGCTACTGGTCCAGCACGGTCAGCGCTGTCCGCGCTTTGTGGCTCACTGTCCTCCTTCCTGGTTTGTATTCTTCAGTATGGAGCATGCATGGATCTCTGATGGACTTGTCCAGTAATCATTAGCTTCTTGCAACCAAAAGCATCTGCGGTCCGTCTGCCCGTGGAGCCGGACGAACCGCTCGTTCCCTCCCGACCCTCCTCCCCATCATCATCCCCTCCAGCTGCTGCCCCTCCACCGATCACGCAATTCTCTTCCACACGCGCGGCAACACACCACCATCACGCCCACTTGCCCGCATTTGACCTCGCACTGGCACGCGTTTCGCTCCTGATTGAGATGGTTGCATATACTCTTATGGCTAGTGCGCACACGGGCACGCTATTCACTGCGTACAGTGCTCTGGGTGCGTCCGGTGCGGGCTTCGGGCCTGCGATTAATAGTGTCGCAGCGACTTTGTATTCGCGGCGCGGAGGGCGGGAACTTGGGAAGTTGTTCGGCGCGCTCAGCGTGGTGCAGGTTATCTGGTAAGATGCTGTGTTAATTACTGGAATACCTAAGCTGATGATACGTGCGCGTGCAGCTCACAGATACTCGGCCCGTTCCTGTATGGTGTGATGTACATGAGTACCGTGGCGACGTTTCCGCGCGCGGTCTTTTTCCTGTCCGTAGGCTCGCTCACTGTGTCGTTCGTGCTGCTTTCCTGTATCCGGCTCCCGAAGGACACGGGCGCGAGCGGCGACGAGGAGAGTCGGGCACCGCCGCACCGCGAGTCCACACTCGTGGACGCGGATGTGGAGATTATCGTGGAGGACGTGGACGAGGAGGAGGCTGCGCGTGGGCGGAAGCCTGGGATTAAGCCTGCCGTTGCGGGCGGGTCAGAGGCGTGATACTGTTTTCAAACATCCGTCGCGATCCTTACCCCTTACCGCTGTTTATGCTCGGCGCAAGTCGCCCTCCTGGCTAGATTTTCCTCCATGAACTGCGATCTATTCTCGTGCGGTTCTCCTTGTGATTGTACTTGTATCTCCTTTCGGCTTCCCGCGGTGTAGTGCGCGATTACTGTAACTTTGTATACGAAGAGTATTGTACCATAGATGCTGCTATGCGAGCATAACAGCATAGAGTAGTATACGGTAGACGATACGCTAGCTAGATAGACAATGTCATTTCGCGATAGAAACTAAACATATTTACCACACGTGCGCCACTCAGCGATCAACTCATTTGCACGCACAGCATCGTCTATACCGCCTGCGAGCCATCCTGCTGACCCCGCCACCGCCACCACCCCCACACGCCGAGACCGAGCACAAAGTTGCCGACGCCGAGAGCTGCGGAGCCTGCGCCGATGAAGACGAGGAGGCACCAGCAGTAGCCGACGAGCCGGCCTAGGACTCGGCCGGTATACCGCTTGAGCGGTGCGTATGGGTCGGGACGCGGTGTGTAGGTGGGTGGAAGGCGGAGGGTAGGTGGAGTGGGTGATTGAGGGGACGGAAGAGGGGGGGGAGGGGGGAGGAGGAGCAGAGTTACGATGGGTTTCTGGGAGTTGTTTGAGTGGAGGCAAGGGAAGGAGAGGATGAACAAGGAGGAGGAATGATACGTACATGGTCTGAGGTGGTATATGAGGGCACGGTGGTATATAGGAGGTTGCTGATGTGTGACTCTTCTGAGTTGTCGGAAGAGTCGGTGTACGTCGCGTACATGATGCGGTCTGTCCAGGCGGGTAACCGCTTTAAGCTAGCGTAGAGTGTGAAATCGGGTTAGACAATTGAAAGAGGGAAATGGCTGGCCACGCACTCAAACTCATGTATCTCACCCAGCTTATACTTATAGCTACACATGAACCGCCAGAACTCGCCCTCCCGCAGACAGGCGAATGCGCTCTGGTTCACGTCTCGCTCGACACTGAGCTCGTCATACTCCGCCAGCTCGCGCCTCGTGGACTCGTCAGACAGTGCGTGTGCAAGGTCTGCGGGTGAGAGAGCGGCAAGGCGGTGCGTGGGTGGGATCCTGAGTCGGAAGTTGAGGTCTCCAAAGAAGAAGAGGTGGGAGGAGGCGTAGATCGTCGTGGGGGCGCTGGAGCTGGTGGAAGAGGAGGAAGAGGGGAGAGGAGGGAAGAGCAGCGTGCCGACGATATGGTGGTAATCCTGGACACGCCGGTGGAGGTTGCAAGCATGGGCGGTGAGGTGCGCGCAGACGAAACTGTTTCGTGCGTTCGATAATCGCGTTCATAGCAAGTCTATACACACGACGCGCATTGTGGACGTACGTGTACACCTCGCCCAAACCGTCATCCTCGCTCGGAACGCGGAACCGCACGCCCACCGCGCCCTTGTTGCCCATGTACGCGGGGCCGCATCCCGTCCACTGCGTCTCCACATCACACACTGTGCGCGCGACACCTTCATCCAAACCGTATACTAGCAGCGCCACGCCGACGTTGACCTCTTTCGCGATGAGCGAGTAGCGCTCCTTGTTGGGCGCGTGCGCTTCGATCTGGGAGAGGATGAGAGCGTTCCTGCTGTCGATTACCGAGGACGATAGGCCTGCAACTATATACATAACCTCATGTGAGTCGACATGACCCATCTCTAGAGAAGAACGCAATCACATCCCAGGTGCAGCGGAAGGAGCTCCTGGAAGCCAACCGCGACAATGTCTGGAGCGCGGTGCGTGACCTCTGCTGCACGAGGCGTCGACGCCTCGAGGGTCGGGGAGAGCCAGTCGACAAGGTCCTGGGGGAGGCCGCTGTCGGCCTGGAGATTTGTATTGTAGGACGCTATCTGGACAAGCAACCTGTCCTCAGACATCGCAGCAAGAGCGCCCGTGGTGAGGCGATATTCAATCAGTCACCACCGCAGATGATCGATCGGCGATTGATCAAGACATTTAGACTCAGCGCGCATGCCGTCCGCCACTGTGCATCTCATCCTCGTCGACATGCCTCCGCCCGGAAAAGCCACTGTGCAACAAAGGCGTCGTAGACGGCCGCTGAATTTGAAGAAGTATTCGAAAAGAGAGCGCGTGCAACAGCTCGAGGGTGTCCCGACAGAAACCGAATGGAATGCAATGAAGCGCCTCGGATCATTCACTAGTAAGTAGCTGCCATGTCTTCTCTATTTGGCACTGACTCTCATCTTTTGTACAGTAGATGTTCAGGAGAAGCTGGATGAAGAGAATTATTATGACACTGGTTCTTCGAGTGACCCAGATGGTGCGTCACCAAGTTCACTTGTCGGACCAGGCTCGAGCAATACACCAGATTCGGGTGACACCGACACGACGAGCATTGTGACTACAGGAACTGGAACGAAGCTAATATCACGACCGGTCACATTTTGCAAGGGCAACGAGTGAGGATTTTGGGGAATCTTGTGCTGTATCCTTTGCGCATTCTGATCCACATACCTAGTGCGAGGCTCTTTTCGGTTGACGATGATACCGAAAATGCGTGGATTGGGAGAATCCGGCAGATTCGAAGGGATCTCACTGATGATAAGGTCTGGGTGAAGGTCTACTGGTACTATTCGGGATTCGACATTAAGCAGACCCTGCTGCGTAAATTGTAAGCAGTCCGATTGTTTTGTCACTCTCAATGCATTACTTTAATGGTTATTCCCAGCAACCCTGCAGATTTTTCTCCATATGAAAGAGCAGCCTCTGACGACTGTGACATTGTCTCTGCACGCTCTTTCCTTGGTATGTATCTATTACAGCTGCTTCAATATATTTTTATGGCCTCCACTCATCCTGACTTGCTTGTAGGAGTGGTCTATGTACATGACTATGATGAGCACAGACTGGATCCCCCCGACATAGAACCAGACACGTTCTTTACACGGACATACATTCAGCCTCAGAAGAAAATCATCGAGGTGAGGGACATGTAAGGTTTTGTGTGGACATATTCACAGCTATTAACAGCCAAAACCTGGGACGGAGACATGCCTGTGTAGACAGGCATATATCCCGTATCCTTGGCAAGGTTCTAGCATTGCCTCGCCGTAAGTAATCTGAAATCAGAAGTCTCATGAACGATGATCTGAACAAACAATTTTGTTCGCATATAGTAAGGATGACGCTGCTCCAGACAGCATGCACTTCTGCCCGCGGGAGAACTGCCGCACTTGGTACCACACATCATGTCTGATGAAGTACGGAAGGGTTGATGATTTCAATGTTACGTGTTATGAAGGAGACCGTGGCGTGCGCCTCCTCGCTGTCAATCCAGACAGTGACCTTGATTGTGCAGTGCTAAGCAGTTTCTCAAGGCCGCACGACCTGGATGTGAGTGTCACATTCAAGCTACATCTCGCCTTTAGCTCCACCATGGTATTCATTACATGTTGCCTTCCATCTTCATGTGTCCTGGGTCAACAATGCTTGATCTGTATTGATGCATCTCCTTACAGGACTCTACAAGCGAGACTTCAGAACTCAACCGCTCCCTGTCCGGCACACCTGCCACCACCTTCTCCACCCTCGCACCACCTCTCTCTCCTCTCTCCCTCTCGGAAATTATCGAGCAGATGGCCGTGTCCTATCGCATCGCCCACCTTCCCTCCTCCCTTGTGCGTCTCGCGCAGAGCCCAATTGTCCGCCGACCAGGCATTCCGCCACCCGACTCGGGCTGGAGCGCAGTGGGGAACGTGAAGGAGGTCGTGCTTGCGCGGCGATTCGTGTATGCTGCGCTTGAGGGATTCCATCCTGAGAACGGCGAGCATCCTGCCGGACAGATGGAGGAGAGGATGAGGGATATGGAATCGCTGTTGGAGGCGATGGAACGGGGTGAGATATGGGCATTCGATGGGGAGGCGGGGGAGCACGAAAGGGAGGATATGGATGTTATGATGGATGTGGACGGAGAGGGCGAGGAACACATGAACGAAGAGCGTGAGGCTGGCAATGGCAACAGTCACGCAAGCGGCAATGCTGGAGCAGGAGCTATTGTGGATGACAAAGAGCGCCGACTTCAAATTCTCGAGAAGCTATGTGTAGAGCTCACGGAGACTATTCTTCTGGCATCCCCATATCAACCGTATTGGGAGCGACGTGAGCATGAGCTCGAGACAGAAATGTGGATGAACACCCCACCACTGGTATGTCCAAATTGCAGGGGTGCCATCTAGAGTCAGGTGCATATGCTGGATGGTAGCTGGGAACATCTCTTTGGATTCATAGATACCATGCGATAGTTGAGCAGGTTGTGGACGAGGTCCGCTTGCATTGTGACTGTATATGCATCAGTGAATTGCATCGTGATTCTCACGAGTGAATGAATGACTGCACTTGAGTTATATCCAGTACAGTGTTCGCCATCGATGAGAGATGCGAAGATGTATTTTCTCTGTGACTGTTGCATGAGTCAGAGTCATTGAGGATTACGTAGCAGACTTGTAAAACAGTCTGGCTTACGATCGAGCGGGGCAACGTACACCGATGCACTCAGCTACCTTGGAAATACGATGCAGCATACAATGAGATCATACGCGAATGAACAACAAGCAAATCGTCATATGCTTCAAACACAAGTCAGCAAGATGTTAGGCGGTCTTCGCAGAGCGAAATAGCTCATGCACTATAAAAGACTCAAAAACTTTCAGCTGCACCGCTACGGATGATCATAATACTAGACTTTCTTGGATATCAAGCTCCCGTATATATCGTATCGAGTTACCTGTTATTGATACTGCATGGCTCCAGGCACCGACTTTGACTGTTTCGTATGGACGTTTAGTTCGTAGGGGCCCGTGTACATGCGCGGAGATATGTAGGCTCCACGAGGCCCGCGCCTTGTGAGTTCCATTCAATAATCTCCTACCCAATCGTAAGCGTCTACTCCGTCAAATTGGCACTGGATTAGTGCTCACATTATTTGCCACACCTCTGATACCAATAGCTTGTTCCGCATTGTTCATACCAATCGCACAAAGTGAATTACGCGCCCAATTGCAGCTCAAGTCTGACGTCTTCAGAGCTGATATATAAATCCTCGTCAACTCGACATTTTCTTCACCCCTCGACTACCATTGCAATTATGTCTGTGAGTGCTCGTTCGTCTCCCGAGTGCCTGCGCGCCGCAGAGTTGCGGCGTGATGCTGACGCGCTTTTGTCGATGAATAGGATAAAGCAACCTGCGCTAACGTCCAAGCTAACGGCGGTACCTGCACATACCCTGCATGTGGCTGCGCGGAGCCACCCAAGCAGAAATAGATGCTGTCCGGTCTCCTATTCCTCGTCGTCACAGGTGGGTCTCGCCTTCAATCACCTTGCTGAACAGCAACTAACTGACTAACTGCAACACTTGCAACGTTTAGTCGATTGTATGCGCTGGATTGCAGCGAGCGCCACCTCTAGATGAATCGCGACAATCAGGCGGAGGTATCAGAGACATGGAATAAACATTGTAGCTTACCTTTTTGTTGATATACGCACCCGAACTTCCGATAATTGTGACGGGTTACTGCTCTTGCAAAACTGAAATTGCGGCTGCAGGAGTGCCGTCCACCGCAATATTGACCATCGAAATAACTGCATATCCCAGCGACTTGTCGCGCAAGTCAAAAGCTGACTTTATAATTGCACTCGAGCAATATGATCAGGCCGTCGGAGTTAACATGAGAAACCGAATGACACACAATGCTGTGTGGACGACAACGCCTACATCTTCGTTCACCGAAGTGCAGATTACCAGACCATCATACCTTATTTGATACGGACGCGTGGTGCGAAAGCTTACTGAAAGCCACGAACGAAACCGGATACCATTGATCATACGTAAGGAAGGAAGGGGCTCCTATGATGAGTAGGTGCCTCAATGACAGGTGGAAGATGCTGCGTCATCTCCTTAGTGCCTGCGGGAAATGGTAGTGCGTCGACGCCCTTCGGGAGAATCTTCTCCTCCACACCCTTTGCATGTGCCACGCGGGCCTTTTGGACCATCTTTTTCGAATCCCTTAGCATGACCTGTGCGTCATCCACTCCGGGCACATTGCCCTTCACGAAGATCAAGTCCAGCGCGGAGTCGACACGCACCACAGACAGGTTCTGCTTCGTAACGCGCCTATTACCCATGTGACCCGCCATCTTCTTGCCCGGCCACACACGGCCGGGGTCCTATGTGGCGTCGTCAGCGAAGTGATGTAGCTGGGAGGCGGATGGATTCTACCTGGTGTGCACCAGTAGCACCAGCGGACCGGTGCGCGAGTGAAGTACCATGAGATGCACTCTGGCCATGGTAGCCCCACCTCTTCATAACACCCTGGAAACCCTTTCCGACCCTATGGATATAAGATCAGCAACACTGCAACGGGAGTGTTTTCGGAAGCGTACGAGTTGGCGGTAACGTCGACATTTTGTCCCGGTACAAAGTGGATGGCAGATAGTGTTGTCCCTGTAGATAGAGAACGCGAGTGAAGATAAGTTCGACGGAAGAGCTTGACCGAGGCATACCAACGGGGAGATGCGCATCAGGTGTCACCGGGAATTCTTTCACAATCTGCTTCGGAGGAACGCCAGCCTTATTAAAGTGCCCCAACATCTGTCTTGTAGTCGTCTTTTCGCGCTTGTCCGAGGCACCGACTTGCACTGCGTGGTACTCTGTCTTGTCCTTCTTCACGTTCTTGATGTTCGCCGTGACTTGACAATTCTCAAGCTAATAATGCTCGAGCTGTAACAACTGCTATCCTGGGAATATACAGAACATACCTGGAGGACCGTCACCGGGAACCGGGCACCGTGGTCGTCCCACATAGACATCATGCCGCGTTTACGGGCAATCACGCCTGTCCTGACGGAGAACGGTGTCCACCGCGCTTCAGTCTGCGGCTTTTGTTCCGTTGAAGCAGAGGCATTGCTTGCTATTGTCGAATGCAACGTTCTACATGAGGATATTCGAGGACATTGACGTGAAGCCCACAGCCTGAGCATGTCGAGGAGGATGTCGAGGTGAACTAGCGAGCGGAGCACGCTCGAGACGCGCGCTTGTCGGTTTTTCGCGGACTGGAATCGATCATATTTGTACTCTGCCACTCATCCTGTTTTATGCTCGTCAAATGGAATGGACCAGTGGCCTGCAGATCTTAGGGCGACAAGGAGCAATACCGCGGGCAGGGGCAAGGACGAGGGCGAGGACAACAGCGAAGTCGCAACGTGGACATACCCACAGCTCGAGCACGGCGCACTGGCCGCAGCGACTCTGCACCAGCAAGGGCATCGTCTCGAATGGACGTTCCTTTCTGGTCGTGACATAGGTATCACCCAAAGCCTGATTGTCCCTGTGAGTTAACCTGATATGTCGGACAGGACGGAGGCTACTCTCGAGATGTGACAGTGTAGAGGTCTTTCCTCAGACCCGCCGCGCCGACGCATACACATCCCACGCAGTATTGCGGCAACAAGGAGTACGTCAGCGACTTCAGTTGTATGCTAGTCCGAACTTATGTCCACAGGCAAAATTCATTCACACCCACTATCTGGACGTTGGCAATTCTTCCAAGATGATCAGGGAGCAAATAGCAGAGAATGCCTCGACGCTACGAGACCTTGAGCAATTTTATCCCTATGAGGGTAGCATAATAGAGGCATTCTCTTCGGCATGTGGCAATGACGACGACCGCATGTTTCTTACCTTTCCAATGGGCGAATCTTTCCGCGAATTGAGTCAGTCCACTTCGTTTCATCACGATTCTTTCCGCCATTCAGAATTTTCGACACAGATATCTCTCCCGTCGAGTTCTCAAATAGTGAAGGCATTAAATTGATTGGCACCCCAGAACCTGCCTGGACATTTCATGCACCGATCTACCAGATTGCCGCTCCTTCAATCGTCGCCGGCGGACGAAGTGAGTGTAATTCGCGAGCAGATATCGTTCATGATTATCTCATTTATTCTTCCGCAACTCGTCCAGCGGTATCGACAATATTGGCCGTCAGAACCTGGGATTCAGCTAATCTGTTGATCATCGAACCACCATCGACTCGACGCCCATTCGAACTTCGTCAACTTGTTTCCTATTCCCGATCAGACGTGGAAGATAGGTGTATAGTCGACATGATGCCTATACCTGGTTCGCTTGCAATGTTGGTGAATGACAAAGGCACCGTTTTTAAATGTGTTCTTCGGGATGACGCCGAAGCACTGTGAGTCACTTTCTTGCTTTCGGCGCGCTCAGGCTCTCTCAATAGCATTCTGTATAGGCTGTTACCACAACCTCGGATACTTCCCTCAGACAGTCTCGATGACAATATGTGGAGATTAGCACCGTGGAATAACGAGGAATCCTGTGTACTGATGTCAGGACGTGCCATACACCATCTTGACTTACGGGTACTCCATTCTGTGCCCTGTATTATTCGCTATTCTGACAACTTGTGCAGACGCAGGGTACTCATCTCGAATTGTACCATACACGGCGGCCTTCGGAATTGCTGACAGCAATCGAGCACTTTCAAGAAGACCGGATGATCCGTCTCGTTTCTACGAACGAGATCATGTGGATTGATCAACGAAATACGAAGCGCCCTGTGCTTGGTATCAAACACGGGCGAGAATCAGAAAGAACGCTGCGACCACAAACACAGAATGTCGGAGGGGGTGGGTCGGTTCGCATTCATCCTGCGGACTTCGCTGAACGCAAATTTTAACAGTACCCATCACGTTTCTTACCTCTCGCCAAAACGGCCTCGTAACTGTCTATGATGTTTCTCGTTCAACTGACAACTTGGTTCACCTTCATGCTCCTGCATATCCATTACCGTCCATGCATACCCTTGGTCGCCGAAACCTTGGCCACAGCTTCCTCCACCATCCATCAGATGACAATGAAGAGAACGTCAGCATTTTGCGGCTCACCGATGTGGGAAGTATACAACTGCTTGAGCTAAATATGGCCAAGGGTGGTGTAAGCCGTGACGCTGCGCGTTTGCCTCGCCAATCGCCTGAACGATCTGCTGATTTTAACGCCTTGAGAGCGCGAATGAGGGATTCTTTACCTAAGCTAGGCCCCTTGGACTGGCGCATGTTCATTCAAAAAGACCTACAGATCGTCTATAATAGTATGTAATTGCTAATAGTGATTGTGCATCAGCTGATATCTTCCGTCAGGGCTACTTTGCGCAAGGGATGATGCATCCTCATCAAGGAATGCAGATGCCGTATTCGAGCTTCTAAAGAAGATGTCGTCCTTTTGGCAGGATGAAGACATACCCATCGAATACACCTTGACAACGTGACTCTGTCAATATGTGCTCTGTTGCTTGCGCTGACTTCCGTAATATCTAGCCATGACATTGCATTCCGATCAGGCGCTCGACCGATTGATGCGTCCAGGGATGATATCTTCGCTGGAAACTCTCTCAACTCGAAAAGCGGTTTTCGTGCTCTAGTTGAAGACCACATACCTGTCAACATTTTGGCCAGCCGAGTGTCGTGGCACCTCAATATCGTCGAGTTTCTGCGATCCTTCATTCCTGACCTTCTGGACAATCACGATGCTACGCTGGAGAGTCTCGGTCGATACGATCTTTTATCCGAGGGGGACAGGCCTGCAGAACCATTATATAGGGAGCTAGAAGCCCGTGAACAGCTCCTGGTGGATCTGTCATTATCATCGGATGTTTTCGCGCCATGGTCGTTCGGAAGACCAGTGAAAACCAATACCAACAGCTCCCCAAAAACTATGCCGCGTGCTGCAGAAGCCATGGCGGTTGTAGGGAGTGAACCCCCTCCCGTGCATTTTGGGTTCCTGCATCCTGTACCACAGGGGTCCGTCGACTCTCGCAAGACAGAGCGTAAACCGAGCCAACAGGTATCGGAGAGCTTCACACCGCTTGGGGTCCGCCTTCTCCTTCAGGAATGGGAAGTCGGCACGGATCCTCAAGCCTACCACTACGAGGATCCGTATGGTGTCGTTTTGCCAAAGGCGCCGTCTGACTCGGAGCCATCCAGAGTACGCCGAGCTGACACACCAGCTCTCGAAACCGCTGCGATATCTCAAAGGCCTCCAACGATTGTGTCAGCAGCCGCCCCTGCTCCACCTCCTATCGCCACAACCTGCCCTGCTGCACGGCGCGGTATAGTTGCTACTATTCCAGCCGTCGAGGTTGAGGGGAGATCAATTGTGGACAGCCGCAGCCAGCCCACAGAGAGTGCGAGGCTCGCAGGTGCTTCGTCGCGAATTCCTATGGCCAGTACTCAAGTGCTTCCTGGCCGTCATGGCGGCAGACCTGCTCCGGCGAAGAAGCCTGCTAAGAGGGTCAGCGGTTTTTAATTAGAATGTATTACATATGTGCGTCTTGTTTTCCTGTCATTCTCTCCATGTAGTCCTCAATTGCCCCACCATTCCAGTCGTTGGACATTTGTGCAGTTCATAATTTGTGCGCTTGCGAGGGGGGTCCCTTTACGTTGCCTGCTATGATCTGTCTCACTGGCTATTCCTTGCCTCCTCCATGCTGTATCCTGGCGACTTCCTTGAAAAATGCAGCCTCCGGCGAAGGAGGGGGGTCAAGCGAACTTCGCATCACATCCTCCACATGACATGGTTCTGGGTCTGATTGAGCTATCTGTTCTCAGGGATTCCTGCTTGTTAGGCCAATAGAATTTCTTTTCCTGAAGTTCAGGCTGCGCGCTCCGCTGCATCCTGGTCATATGCTCCAAGTCCGGAGTCACCTTCGCGCCGGCGGTGTGAACGGGGTCACCACGTTCTTTGTCGGTATCTACTTGGCAAGGGATCAAGGATGTACTTGATGAGGGCCCTTGCTGGAAGTGTGTGTGTCTACGCTCACCCGTTACGATCGTTGAACTTCGACGGACACTCTGTCTCACTGCTCAAGAGATGCCGCCGTATGGCGATGTTCTGTTCATTCTTGGGATAGCCTTGACTACTGTGACGGTGTATTATTTCAATCGTTCTATAGTCAAACTACCCCCGGGCCCTCGAGGCATCTCTTTCTTTGGCAACCTCTTCCAGGTGCATGCCTTACGTCCTCATCCGCAGGCAAGCCATACGATCCTTGATTGCCTCTCCGTCATCTCACTTTGCAGAGACAGTTCTTAGAATGGGCACAACAGTATGGAGAGATATTCCATCTCAAGATGGGCTTCGGCCATATGATTGTGCTCAACACCGCGGAGGCTGCCGACGAGTTGCTGGCCAATCGTAGCAAGATCTACTCCAGTCGTGCAACCCCGCATGTTGCGCAAGATATCGTGAGCGATGGCCAGAGGATGGTGTTCATGTCATACACGAGAGAATGGAAGGTCAGACAGGTGACATTGCAATCGAGCTCGCTCTCACCGAGGTGTCTGGACACGCATCCATTGTTTAGGTTTTGAGACGAACCCTGCAGAGTATCCTTGGTCCCGGACCATCGAAGCGGCTGCGCAAGATGCAAGAATTGGAATCTCGTGTTGTGATCTATGATCTGCTGAGCCACGCTGATCAAAGCGTCAGAGAAATTCATCTACAAGGTCCCAATGGCGAGGTGCCCGAGCGACACTGGTTTGCGCTCGTTAGACGCTACGTGAGTTATCCGTGGCCTGGAATGGCTTCGCAGACCTAACCGCGTACAGACGACAAGCGTGGTCCTGCATATGGCATACGGGCATCGTGTTCATCGGCTGTCGAACAATCCCGAGCTGTAAGTTGCATGTGCTCAAGGAGTACGACTGCCTGACACCTACATAGGCATAAAATATACGATGTCTTGGGTAACATCACATGCGTGGCTCAACCTGGGAACTACTTGTTAGTCCACACAGTGCGATTCTCGTGAGAGACAGGCTTAGAATTTCGTCGCAGAGCAGACGCGTTTTCGAGCCTGCGGAAACTGCCAGACTTCTTAGCCCCGTGGAGAGTTGATGCTCGAAAGATGCATCTATGGTAAGCCTCGTTTTGTCGCAAACATTGGGAGTCTCATTCTGTCTGTGTCAAATATGCGCAGGGAGATGGAGCTATGGGGCAAGCTGTTTGCCGACTGTCGGGCTGCACTTGAGAATGGGATTCCTCGCGCAGGTTTCGTAGCGTCATACCTTCAATCGCGGGCGGAAGCCGGACTGCAGCATTTAGCTGGGAATGGTGTTACACCTGGGGGATCGGGCTGGATACGCGACAAGTTGCTTGCCTACACGGCAGGATCAGTATTAGAAGCCGGTTCAGACACCACCGCAACGACGATCCAGATTTTTGTCATGCTGATGCTACACAATCCAAAGGCATTGAAACAAGCAAGACAGGAGATCGACGAAGTAGTAGGGATGGATAGAATGCCAACTTATGAAGATGAAGAAAAGCTGCCTTGGCTTGTTGCCTGCATCAAGGAAACCTTGCGGAGGCGCCCTCCGACCATCATGGGTGAGTTGAACGGTTTGAGCACTGTCTATGCGGAAAACTGAACAACCGTATCGACGGGATCAGGGGTTCCACACCGAGTAGACGAGGATGACATTTACAACGGCTACTTTATCCCTAAGGGCTCCACGGTGGTGGGAAACGTTTGGGCTATCCACATGAATCCCGAGCGTTTCCCAAATCCTAAAGCATTCATGCCCGAGCGATTTTACGAACCAGGCAAACCCTCGCGCTGGGGCAGCGGTCCGGATTCGCAAGACCGCGACCAGTGAGTAGACCGAGCAGTCTAGTGTCTCGGTCGCTGTATATTGATGCGCTCAACTGCAGCTATGCCTTTGGCTGGGGTAGGCGATTCTGTCAAGGAAGCCATATATCTGAGGCTTCGCTCTTCATCGTCCTATCGCGTCTTATCTGGGGGGTTGAGTTTTCGGCGCCGATCGATCCACAAACGGGCAAGCCAAAGCTTCCGGACATTGACGACGAGGTCAAAACTTGGAGCGAAGGGTTCATCAGCGTTCCAAGGATATACCCGGTGGCCTTCAAGGCACGCTCCGACAAGCATGCAAGTATAATCCATCGAGCGTTTGACGACGTCCAGATTGAATGGCAAGGAATGGGTCTAGCTGGAGATGAACGATAGTGATGTGGACGAAATTTGTGGCGTGGAATTGGCGTTAGCGCTATATAAGCGAGTTTGCGTAGCACGAGGATTAACTCTTTGTCATTCGACGGTTTCGCTGTACTGTACTCCATCTCAGGCGTCTGGAACATGTTCACGGTCGTTACGAAGAGGAGGGGCTATGGAAAGAAGAGAAATACTCATTTGGAATCACGCGAGAGCGAGGAGCAACATCCGGGCGCCTACCGTCTGTACAGTACAATCCATGCCGGACCACCCAAGACAACATTGAATCCGAACGACGACTTCTACAACGTCTGACTCTTTGGCGCTCTGGCAAGAACGGATATTTCGCCTGGTTGAATAAATCGTCACCTCGTGCGGCGGCACGATCCTGGACTCTCGGGGCCCCGTGAAAGCATCCTATGAGTGAGAAAAGGTGCGTGATTTACCCCGCATCGGAGACGCCTTCACAAAATCAATCGGGGACGTACAGGCCAGCGGGCTCTCTGTTCGACTCGGCTGCTCTCCATGAGTCCCTCCGACGTACATTTCAGCCTCCTCTGCGCGTACATGGAGAAGGTGGAGTGACGTCCCGTTTCCGACAGATAATAAAGCGGTCGTCTGTGCTGTGTCCGCCAGCTACATCTCGACATTTGCGGGATACCCTGTAAGCTTGAATTTTCCAGTTTCGATGTGGGACCCTCTCTAAGGCACTGTGCCCAGCTGGATTCCCTCAAATCCAGACTGCAGACACAGCGCACCCCCATCAGCGTCCCAAAGCTTGCTCTCCGGGTCTATAATGAGGAAGGCATCATCGGTTTCTACCGCGGTCTATGGATTCCGTTGATCACCATCTCATTCGTTCGTGAGTGCATTCTTAGGACGTTCTTTTTTGCTGCTAACCAAAGCTTTGCCAGGTGCCGCCTCGTTCACGATATATAGCAGTACCAAGGAGCACTTCCGAGAGCACAACTTATTGGCGCGCGATACGTTGCCATGTATAGCGGCGACGAGCGGGATTGGGTAAGTATGCTCTCGAACCGCACAAGCTTTACCCTTCATCGTCTCCGCACAGCGGTGCCTTATCAGGCTCGTTGATCTCATTCGGCAGCGCTCGTGAGTCCAACGTTCCACGGGCGTAAGAGTATCACTTACAGTTATGTGCAGCATTCGAGCTTGTAAAGGTTGGTATACAGCATTTACCTACATCTCAAGACGGACTATAACATGGCTACCAGGTCCGACGACAATTGGAGTACTCTATCGCAGAAAGTAAAGGCCTAAAACTGGTGAAAGCACCTGGGACGTTCGAAGCTGTCCGAGACATCTTCAACTCGTATGGTCTCAAAGGCCTGTATCTGGGTTTCCGCCTGCACTTCGGTAAGTGTATGCTTTGTTGGAATATTTGCCACTATATAATCTGATACTTCGAAGTTCGAGACACCACGGGTACTGGGTTATACTTCCTCGAGTATGATGCTATGCGGCACATAATGGGGCGCCTGTCATCTGGCGAGCAAGGTCCGACGCCAAGCTGGCTACCAGTACCTGCCTCGGTCGTTCCTTTCATGTGCGGTTCGCTAGCGGGCGTAACTTCTTGGGCGCTCATATATCCGTTGGACGTGTACGTTTTCCGTATTATGCTTCTAAAATACATGACAAAGTAGCTTCATGAGTAGTGTGAAAACCAAAGTGCAGCAGCGTGCATTGGCTGGCGAGCAGCGGAGGGGTGTCTTAGAAACCCTTCGTCGTCTTATTCGAGGTACGCTCGTCCTCCTCAGCATGTACTGGTGAGATGTTAACTTTTGCCATGTACAGGGCCGGATCCGAAAGCACCAAAACCGATATTGCTCGGCCTTGCACGGCTCTATCGAGGGCTGGGAGTGAGTGCCGTGAGGAGCGTTACGACCCACGGTTTGCTATGGACATTCTTCGATCTTACTGCTTCGTATATCGACAACCTGCCTCGTAGTGACGACAATACATAGATTGACCGATGAGTCTCGCGCGAACCATGTGGAACGTCTTTGTCAATTGTTCGGAGCGTAAGCTAACTATTCGTACATTCTGGTCGCCCGCGATCAGTGCAAGATTGTAAGTTAGAAGAGAGATCATGCGGCAAGTGAGAGGTGAAGTTTACAACACAAAGCGATAAATAAGGCAGCGATATTGAAAGCAATTGTCCAGGGAATGTAAGAGGCGGTCTGTAGGTATACACATTGAGTCCAAGCCAGGAGCGCGTCATGCATCCTGGACGGCATAGGGGTGTCGCACAAGCTCGTCGTAGAGATCCGGTGGAAGGTCGCGAACGAGAGTTACAGCAATACCGATGACAGGCAGGGCCTCAAGAGGCGGGAATGTTCGCAGCAGCTTCATCGGACTGATAGATATATGGGGAATGATGAGAATGTTCAGACGGTACATTTGTCGCAGGGAATACGTACCTGGATGAAGCCATCACTTCGGCTCGCATAAGAAGAAGCTGAGCAATGACACAGAGCACATTGAGATGCACCCCAAATGCCAGCAAGAAATCCCAGAGCTGGAGCACTTGGTCCAAAGGAGGCGTACATGCACAAAGTGTCAAGACCGCTGTAGCACAGACTGTCATCAAATGGGGGACTACGCCCATGCAGCAGCACTCACAAGGGAATGCGTAGATTTCTGCGGACAACTTCCTAGATCGCAGATGGGCATACAGCTCCGGGTCGACAATCTCGAGACATCGATCAAGCAACTGGAAGGAACAGTCAGTAGCTCATCACAACGGTGCTACTTAAAGGCACACATTTAGACCGCGATGGACACCCTCGAGGGTGGGCTGGACATACAGCGGGCAACATTCCTCAATGAACTTTGCGAAGCAGAAGAACGCTTCTAGTTCGGAGGGCATGGTGTAAAGGAAGGGCGCAGCGAGGACGTTCATTCCCTGGACATAGGTGAAACCGAGCTGATGCGTTTCCTGTCTGTCTATCGAACGCTCGCACTGCATGCAACAACTCAGGACAGAAAGAGCTCACCATGATTCCGCCATACGAACGCGTCCAACAGGCGGACGAGCATGTCCTCGCGCACACGCTCCTTGAATCCACGGTCTGTGGCTAGTGTCCTGCACCAACGTGAACCCGTGGTTTACGATAGACATGCGAAGTACAAACCTGAAAGTATCATTCCTTATTTTCTCCCGGACTTCACAGGGCCCTCGCGAGACGTACTCCAAGAATGTGTCGGCAGACATGTCCCGGACGCGTAATAATATCTTCCATATTCTAGGGCGCAATGTCGGATCCTAGCACTATGTCAAACCGCGGACTGTATCACAGCGGTAGAGTTCGAAGACGCACCACGTCTGATGGAATTCCGTCGACTAGAATCAGCCTTCTAAGCTTGTTGACGGTATCCTCAATGTCATCACGAGAGCGGCGTTTGGAGGATAGTGTGAGTTGGTTGAGAATCTTGTTGAATGAATGCGCTGTGGCTGCTGCAGATGACGCGGGCGAGGATGAGGAGGAAGCCATGTTGCTGCTTACCACAACCGGCCACGATCACTCTTGTACTCAATCAGCGACGTTGTCCTCGCATTCAAGCCACCCGCCTAGATGGACATCCCCTTTGTCTCGTCAGGGGCGCTCAGTCGTTCGCATTATGCTCTGGTCAGGAAGGTAGAAACCTCCCAGTCTTCCCAGCTTGCCGACCAACATCTCTTGGATGAAATCGAGGCTATTAGTGCGCAGCTTGCGCGGCCGACATTGACCCAAGTATGTGCGAGGTTGATGACATCTGTACATTTAATCTGAGACTGGTACTAGAAGCAATGCAAGGAGTGCTTGATATTACTTTTGTATTGCTCTACGAACGTTAGTTCAGGCATCGGTATGGACTTGGAGTTTGCGCTGCACCATGCAGTCAATCTGGCGGAGACTGGACAGACGGTGCATGACAAGAGAATAGGTATGTTGCTCGACCGTGAATGTACATCTGCCGTGCGAAGATACATATAGGTTATCTGTTCTGTGCGGAAATCATGCCGCCTGACCATGAACTGCAACTCATGCTTGTCAACACGCTACGCAAGGTGCGTGAGGTTAGGTATCGAGCATTACCCTATCTGACAACATCCAGGATATGGAAAGCATTGCAGCTCCCCGCATATGCCTTGCCCTTGATACCCTTATTCACTTCTCAAGTGAAGACGTGATTCCCGCCATACAGTCCCGCTTGCTCGACTTACTCTCATACAATTCGTCAGTATGTAGCCTGGACAGTATGCCTCCGAGTTCTACTGACAGATTGTGTCATGGACGTGATACCCCAGGCTTCATATTCGTCGTCGAGCACTGTTCGCATTTCACAAATTAGCCCGACGTGATCCCAGTATCCTGGCAGGGATTGTCACCAAGGCACAAAAACGTCTATCTGATTCAGAGGGTGCGGTTGTCAGCGCAGCGTTGACAGTCTGTGCGGACCTCGTGAAAGTGAGCTCCTACGTTCTTCGAGTTCAATACTGAGCTAACACATGTGAAGTACGGGCTTTTGACGTCCGAGACTTTCCACGATTTATTGTCCAACCTTCTATCGTCTGTCTGGCGACAGCCACACAGTGCTGCTAAGGACTGGCTTACGAGCAAGATACTGAGCCGGCTACGAACAGTCACGTCAGTCGATATCTCTCAGAAAAGTCGCGCATTCTCATAAATCTCTTTACAGTCTCTCTCAGCATGATCTGAGATCGATCCTTAGAATCATTAGATCATCCTCTCAACGAGGACGCGCTGGGCGCTGTGAGCAGAGTTGACCTCCAATTGCACCAAACATATATAACTGACTGTACCGTAGCGGTTCTATTGCAATGTTACCTTACCTTTGCTGGTGTCACACCTGAGTCCATAGTGCAAGCTCAGGCAGACTCAAAGTGTGCCGTGGTGCAAGAAATTCGACATCTGCTGACGTCGGAAGACCCCAACGATATATACGTCTTTATGTCCTGCCTTGAATGCATAGATCCTTCGCTTTGGGCCGGTACCACTCCAGGCATTCCAGCAGTTTTAGAATCATGGGAAGTGGAACGGATAATGCAATTACTGGAAAGTAATGATTGCACAATTCGTCGGAAGGTATGCCAAGCCATTAATACATGTTGTCCTTCAAAGCCTGTCCAACTTTTTGGTCTCAGACTTTGCGCATTCTGCAGCGCGTGGATACCGTCATACTGGAACAGTACTATGCCCGCATGCGTCAGAGGGACCTGACGTTGCACCCAGACTCCGATGTGCTGCCGCAGAGGATGCTCGAGATTATTGACGTCCTGTGCGGGGAGGATGGAGAGACATATGCCTCGCAAGTAAACCAGATCGTACGGACAGAGGAGGGGGACGCACCGTTCGACAAGCGGCCAGTCCTACAGGGAGTGGTGGAAGATGTGCTTACGCGTGTTCGAAATGGTGAGCTTAGTGGAGCGTCCCATGATGTAGAGCTAATCTCATTTACTAGGTAGCGACACTTTTAGGAGCGGGTGTATCGGAGTGTGGTTTACAAACGTCGTTGATTTGGAAAAACCGCTGGGCTCGACACTCATGGTCATCTTGACTGCATTAATTACGGAATATCTCGGATCATCCCCGTGCTCGCCAGTGGACCTGCTGCGGGGTACGAGTGGACGTATTATGTCATACCCAGGTCGGTCCCATTACTGGCGATGACACATTATTTTTTGAAGCTCGTCTGCTGTAGTGTCTATCCAGGACGTTTGCCTGCTATGCATGATGAGGGTCGCTGCAGAATGCGATGACATACCCGCCGACGTTATTGATGTTGTGCGGAGCTTGCATGACCGCTCTGGGCGGTATATTAGACGGGTGTGTCTATCATGTTTTTGTTGTGCAGCTGTTTGCCTTACGAAGATATTACAGCGATGCCACCAGTTCATCAATTTTGCTGCAAAGAAAGGCGCTTTGCGAGACGTCGTGTTGGCGGCGAAGACGGCCACGGTGCGTCAAAAGCTCAAGCGCGTTCAACGTGAGATCTCATTCTTTGAAAGTTGCCGGACTTTCTTGCGGCTCTGGAGGCATGCGAAGCAAATAACAAGGACGTTCACGCAATTCCGCAATCATCCGCCCCACAAACGGGGCGGTTGAGTGCGGGCAAACTTCGTTACGATGCATATGAGCCTCCGAAGCCAGCGCTTCGTCTCAGACGCATGAGCAACAGCAGTTCGCGCGCCTCTGATGATGGAAGCTCCAGGTTTATCGGCCAGGGAAAGACGACGGAGGACCATCTATCGAGGACGATCACAGCAGGTGATCTGACCGTTGTTGCTGGCGGCGACGAGCTTGAGAAGTTGTCTAGCGTGAGCTTGCTTTATATAGATCGTATTGAACGTTGATAGTAATGCGTCTGCAGGCTTCGGGGCCAGAGGTAACATTACCCGCTGTCCAGATCATGGATGAAGACATTTCAGTGAGCTGCGAGCCTGTCCACTCTCTCATAACTTACCTGACCTTCCTTCCAGGCCACACGTGTCGACTTGATTGCCTTCGACTCGCCGTTTATGCCTGAGCCCGCCGCTGCGTTGATAGGGTCACACCAGTTATCTGCAATTGACTTCGAGGCCTCTTGGAATAAGCTAGAGGCATATAATTCGCGAGGCTGGTGTGAAATGTCCTTGGATGAGGTCCAGGATCGGATACGCAGCTCGTTCAGATACGTTAAGAGTGTTACAGCCGAAGAAGAGCCGTTCAAAGGTTCGATTCGTTGTGAATAATCTCCAAAGCCATCTAACTTCAGACAACAGACGAGATGAAGATCGTGGTTCTATCGGGCACCGACTCTAGTAACATGCAGGTCGCTGTGCTGCGTCTCAAACAGAGTGATGAAGATGGGACGCTCTGGCGCATGCGATGCGAACACCAAGACCTCGCAAAGGCTATAAAGGGCCTTCTGTCAGAGTCATAGGCCTCGTTCGAATTTGCTGAAAGCATTTCCATTTCATCAGGCCCTTTCCTGCCCACTGCACTGGCATACTCGATTACAGTAATTGAAATGTACACCTGTTCAGCTCAATCAGACAGATATCATCGTGACTGGACGTAGTCGTCAATCTTGAGCAATAGACAGACAGTTTCCGTCGCCAGTTCAACTGCGCTTGTAGATACCAGCAGCGGCTGCACGACGTCTTCCTCCAAGATGTTCGAGATCAAACCCTGCAAGGAAGCGATGGACATCAGGAAGGTCTATAATCATACAAGTGCTATACATACCTTGCGCACGTTGATACCTGCATTACGCTCGCCCATGGCGTGCCTGTTCCGGAGCTCGGTGACAATGGCGATAGGGTTGAGACCTGCGTTCTCGGCGAGCGTTGTCGGAATAACCTCCAGTGCATCAGCGTATGCCTGGAAGCAATAGGCCTCCATGCCCTTGAGAGTCTGAGCGTATTGTGAAAGCAGACGAGAGACGTGGATCTCTGGTGCACCTCCGCCTGCAATCAGAGCACTGTAAACCGCGGATCAGGTCATCAGTCGATATGGTTCAAAATAGTCACGCACCGCTTCTTTACAAGGCACCGAACGACACACAGAGCATCGTGCAAGCTACGCTCGCACTCCTCGAGCACGAGGTTATTGCTGCCCATTGCCAAGATGCTCACTGTGCGCCCGCGGTTCTTCACACCGGTGATGCGCACCACCTTCGCACCCGCATGGCTGCTCTCGTCCACGAGGTCCGCATAGCCGAGTTTATCCTCCGTGAATGCCTCGATGTCCGCAACGGGTTTGCAGCCGAGGCTCTTCGATAGGAACTCGATTTCGTCTCGCTCGACGTCCTTGACGACGAGAATGTTGAGGCGCTTGAGGAAGGTGAGCGAGGTGTCGTCAACAGCATCGCGGAGGATGGACTTCTGGATCAAGAGCACGTTGCAGTTTGCCTTCTTGATCTTTTTGCAAATGTTGAGCAGGTACTGTCGGCCTTCCTTGATGACCTTGTCCATTTGCCGGTAGTCGTTGATGACGACCGTGTTGTCCATCTAGAAGCACCATCCTTTCAGCAACATTTGAGTTACTCATTCATAGGTCCAACTCACATCCGGTTTTGGTGCACTTAGCTGGAACTGGATAATACCGATCTTGGCCTTCTCTATACGAGTAGGTCCACCGGCGGCAGTGACAACGTTCTGGTTTAGCACAACACCGTCGACAAGTTCTGTGTCCTCAATCGTGCCGCCAACTTTTTTCACTATGCGGATGTCTCGTAGGTCGACATTAGAAGATGTTGGGGTGACAAGGCGCGTCACTGCGTCAACTGCAATTGGTGCGAGGGTTGAAGAGTATCCCGAGACAATCTGTGATGAGCATTTAGTGCATCTGCCAGCTCGTGGGTATGATCCATGCACACGCACTTTTGAGTTAAGAGAGGTTGTTGCAGCGCGAAGGAGAGCAGACCTGTCTGACAGGTCGATCGGCATGGAAATTTCTGTGAGGTATTCTACTGCCTTCGCAGACGCCTTCAAGAACGACTCGGCAATAATCGTTGGGTGCATTCCCTTCTGCAGCATCTTCTCAGCCGCACCGAGGAAGCTTCCCGCGAGGACCACGACGGTAGTCGTGCCATCACCTGCCTCGATGTCTTGAGCTGCTGAGAGGTCGACAAGCTGCATCGAATGTGAGAATTTGCCGTTAGGGCGAGCACAGAGCTGACCATTTTTGCGGCAGGGTGCAGGGCCTGAATGCTCTTCAGAATAGTTGCGCCGTCATTCGTGATGATGAGCTCCCCCTTGGAGGTTTGGATCTGGTTTGGACGGAATGGTTGCTACGCGCACGCTCAGCGGTTTAAACGGCGTACCATCTTGTCCATACCCCGAGGGCCTAGGGATGTCCTCACGGCATCGCTGATCGCTATAAGAACGCATAAATTAGATAGATGCTTGCTTGACATTGAAGACAATGGATAAGAGAAAACACACCCTTAGCAGCGACCATATTGGACAAGCGCACTTCCATAGGCTTGCCCTTCGTAAATTGTTAGAGTTGAACAGAAGGCAGCACCGATATGCTCACCTTGTCATTGAACGCAGTGTTTGCGCCTAAGCGCGGCTGATTATGCGCTGCTGGTGTGGATGAGGCCATGTCTGGAGAGAGTGTCGCTATTGCAGAGTCGGAACGACTGGACATGAGAATACTGGGCGCTTAGCGCGATTCCATGGATCACATGACCAAGGTCTTACGTCGCTCGATTTGGGCGTCGTAAGTGCATCCCTGTGCATCCTTTGCCCTTGCCTCTCGCCTCCAACTGCTCAGTTACATCCCGTCAAGTCATGGATCTGGTGAGCTATATACGCGCAAAATTACTATCCGAAGCTTGATTGCTGAGCGGCTTGCGAATAGGATCCTTTTGGTACGGGCCCGGCTGGTCTCTTCGCCCAATTAGCACAGTACGCTACTTCGCTGATTGACCCGTGAAACACCGCAATTAACTCGTTTCTGGACACAGAGGATTTGGTGGAGGATATGGCCTTCACATTGCAAGACGACCAGCGCGTGCGTATGATGAGTATTTCAAGGCGTACAGTGTGGCGATGCTTCCAGGCAAGGCTCGAGAGAATCTAAATTACGGCGGCAAGAGTATGTGCCATCCGTTCAATCTCGTTATAAAGCATTGCTCAATTCGCAATGCACAGTTATTATGCCACAATCTGCTCTCGCAAATTTGACTGCGATGGACCTCGAATCGCCGTGGATGTTCAAACTGCGCAACCCTTCGAATCCTGCTGCGTCTACTCACGGAGGTGTTCTTGAGTTCATCGCAGAAGAGGGTTGTGTGCATTTACCTCATTGGATGATGAAGACTCTGCGACTGGAGGAAGGAGATCCAATCCGGATTACGGGCGCTGAGCTACCCAAGGGAAAGATGGTCAAGCTGCAGGCACAAAGCGTGATTTTTCTCGAGATCTCTGATCCCAAGGCAGTGTACGTGGTCTACTTTCTGATAACAAAGGCATGATTCTCATTATCTCGTGGTCCAGCTTGGAGCAGGCTCTTCGACATTTCTCATGTCTCACTCAGGGCGATATCATCGAGATTTCTTATAATTCAATAGTCTTTGCGCTTCTAGTAATGGAGACTCAACCGGGGGGAGAAGGCATCAGTGTCCTTGATACCGATCTCGAGGTCGATTTCGCAGCGCCTGTCGGTTACGTCGAGCCTGAGCGCCCGAAGCCCGCACCGCCCTCAACCATGGCTTCCAAACTCAACATTGACCTCAGTTCGCAAACGCCTGGCTCCTCTCGTCCTTCATCCTCCCTTGGCGGCACATTTGCTGGAACCAGTGCTCGTGCAACTACCGTCAGCAAGGGTGGCGACGTTTGGGAGAGCTTTAAAGGCAAGGGCGAAACACTGTCCGGTCGCAGGACAAAGGGCAAGGGCATCAGTTATCGGAAAGTGGAGGAAGCCCCGGCAGACAGCAAGATCATTCGGACTGAGTAAGTGAACATGCTAGTGGGACAGACAGCCTGACTTGAACGCATGTTCGCTCCATAGTAACCATCGTATTGTGACATCAGAGACTCTGGAGTCAGAAGTGTCTGCACCTGCTCCATTGAACTTGCCCTTTGGCAAGTTATTCTTCGGATTCAATGTCCCGCCATACACTCCACCGGAATCCAAGTCTGGAGATTCAGATCAGGTTGGATTTATTGCTCAGTTGTCACGATCTCTCTTGTTGACGTTTACAACTCGTAGCCACATGCATTTACTGGCTCAGGCAACACCCTAACCGGACGTTCACCGGGGTCGGTACAGCAGCAGTCGTCAAGTGCGAAGGGAAAAGAGAAGGAAAACACATCTTCCAGCTCGTCGTGGGGTTCTGGCGGTCACACTCTTGGTTCGCGATCATCGGCCGCTCCCCCACGGTCATCATTGTCCTCAGCCTCTCGAGCGCTGGGTGTTGGAGGTGCATCCGTACCTATTCTGCCTCAACGGAATAACTCTTCGCGGCAACGAAGTTTATCGCCTGAAGACTGGGGAGTTGATGACGAAGACGATGTCATTGAGATTGACAGTGACTAATGCATTCAGCGGACAGTGACCAACGCATTCAGTAGTATTGCGATGCGTCGATTCGTGAGCGACGGGCTGTGGGCGTGTATGTAGTTGTTGTTCGGTTTTCGACCATTGTAACACCATCACCGAGCCATACAAGGACCTTCTTGGTAGACATGTGGCATCGTATGATTCATGACGTGTGATAGATTTAAATGCGTGCAATTAAATCCTCGGGTATTCCTGACTATATCACCTTGGCGAAGGTCGTAAGCTTACAGCATGCCCACGCCGATGCCCCTTCCTGCCGGTACCCCATCTACCGGGCTGATGCCCGCCAGCGGTGAGGTCCTCCAGTTATACAGGTAGTAATTGAGCAGACCATCCCCCTTCCCGAACTACGGACATATTTTTTAAGTGCGCATGATCTGAGGATGCTGCAACCGGTCATACCTTGTGATCCTGTAGGAACATGACATTATCCATTATCGTCAAAGCATTGACGACATCGAAGTCTGCTTGACTAGCAATGATCATGCAGTCGCCGATGAGCTCTTCAAGGCGTCTCTTCAAGCGGCCGTCTTGGTCGGCGCCCTTGGAGAAAGCGACGTTCGTGCCGTAGTAGAACAGATACGCTGCCTTTAGTAGGTTGTGCTTGTCTGAATTCATGACCGTGGAGGGGAGAGAGTAGAACGAGAAATAGTCGGTGATTGTGCGTGTTTCTGGATCCTGCCGACCAAAACGTATGTCAGACACGGATGCGTAGTACTGAATAGAAAGTAATTTACCTCGACGACGTAAGCCCACACCACTTGTGCCTCCCTGGGGGCCTTCCAACTATCCGGGTGCGTCGACCCCTCGCCCCGTCCGCTCAAGAACAAGTGGCCGATCTCCTCCTCCGTCATGAGGTGCACCATGCCGAACCTGCTCATGTACTTCGCATAGAGCTCCGTGACCTGGGGGATGTCGCGCTCCTCCATCTCACGCAGCCCACTACTGAGAAGGCGAGGTGTGTCGGGCACTTTATGCAGGCGTAGCATGCGTGCGAGCGTCATCGTGGGCGGAACCGTCGTGAAGTGCACGTCCACCAGCTTCTTGACATTCAGGCAGCGATGATGATATCTGACGTGAGGATAAAATTGACTTCTTGGACCAGAGGACGTGAAGAGACATACTGGCATGTCGACACTGGCGTCGGCAGGAAAACACCACCTGTATACAAAGCCTGGAAGATGCCCTTCAGATGGCATTGTCGCGTGATCTCCTTGATCAGGACGGGAGCGAGTCGCTTCGACCGCAACTTCTTGTGTACGCAGAGGAAGTTAACCTCACTCGCTTTGAGTGTACTGAATGCGCGGTTGCCTGTGAGCTCGCAACGCACATCGTGGAGGCTCGAATGGAGGCGAACTCACTTCTCTCGGACACGCAGGCTTATGGGCACCGCAGAGATGAATGCGACTAGCTTCTTATTCGACGCGACCCGTACCCCAACGTGCCATTCCTTGTAGGAGCCCGGAGGTTTCAGCGCCCTGTCCGTAGCTCTATCGGTCTGGTACAGTCATTCATGTCGGTAAGTGAACGCACCATCTAAGGAACTCTGCAGAGTATTGAAAGCGAAATGATGCTTCATCATCCTCTACGTAGTTTGCTGACAGAAGTTCGTAGACTTCTCGTAACTAAAAACGCATAAATTTGGAGAATAAACGGCTCACAACATGATGACATACCTGTGCAAGATCATTGATATCGAGCGTCGCCCACTCGAAGTCCTTCGGCAACGGATATGGATCCTGGCGTATTTCCTCTGGTGGTTTGGATGGCTCGATGTAGCCATCACTCTCCGAGGGCACCTCGCCTTCATGTACGTATCAGCACTACTACGACGCTATATAACATGGAGAGCTCACCTAACTGAGGAACGGGTTGTGTGGCCCAGAACTGGATGCAATTATAGCTCGAGTATATCAGATCCGCCGAGGTCGTATGCGCACCTTGTGGCCACCAGTATCCTTCTTATTCTTCCCTCCAATGCCAGCCTTGCCCTGTATCATGTCCCTGATCTTCATTTGCTCTAATGCTTGCCGAATGGTGGCCACGTCCATGCTCGCCATCTCTTCGCCACCTTCTTCGTGCATCTTCTGCACCACGGCGTTCACAAGGCTATTCGGAACCTCATCCTTGTGTCCACTTCGAAGCGCATTTAGGGCCTTGATGGCCTTGGATCGCTTCTTCTTTTTCTTCTTGCTCGACGTGGACGGCATACTGGCCTCGGGAAGTGTAGAGCTTGTTGCCTCCTTCTCTTCTTCCGAGAAATCAGAGCCCGAGTCCCTGCTATCACCGTTCTCTAGGCGTTCCCCCTCAGGTTCCGCGACCTGCTTTTCCTTTGCTTTTTGCGATGGCATCAGGGGTATAGGCACGAGATGAGAGTAGTAGATAGAGTTGGTGGCGCGTCTAACTGCTCGCTCTCACCGTACGGTATGCGCGCTAAAAGTACGGATTGTTACGATTCATAAGACACGTTTCTGTTAGTTTCTATGTAATCATCAATGTATTGCGCAGACGTTTTTGCTTCCGTACTGCGATAGTAGTATATGTAAAAGGTGTATGGTTCCCAAAGAACTGTCGTATGCCAAAGCTATGCGACCACTGAAATCTCGGCAGCCTTCGTGACTGCGGCGCGTCGCCGTCTCTTCACTCTATCGGCCATGTTCAACCCGTCATTCACACTCGGCAATAGATCCAATTCCCCATCCTTGGACGATGCCTTAATGATTGCCCGTTTCCGTTTGCTCGAGGATGACTGCGGAGTAGGAGTGGCGGGAGGTGTAGCAAGGCCACTGACAATCTCGCTTCTGCATGACTTCTTCGGAGTTCGTTCTTTGACCGAGGGCGATTGGGATGGCGACGGCAAGCCGTAGGATGCGAACGCTTTGAGGTCAGAAGTGAAAAGGACCTACGGAGGGCATGAGCTCGGAAGCCTCAAGCAGACTCGAGAAAACAAACCGAGTGTGCCCATCCAGCATAGTCACCCCAAACTGCGGCGAGCTTGCTGCTCACTTCGTCGTATAATTTCGAAGTCATGTTGCCTTTTGCCTTCGACGATGAGCTTATGCCATAATGTTTGACAGCAATCTGGTGTACGTGGGTATCTACGGGAATAACTTCTTTCTAGAGGCATATAGTCATATTCATACGATCAGCCACGAAGACATATTGATTCATACCTTATCCAAGCTCATGAGCAGCACGCAATCAGCAACCTTTCTGCCCACGCCCATGAATTTGAGAAGCTCTTCGCGTGCTTCAGAGGTACTCATTTGTCTCAGGGTACAGAGCCACTTCTCCGCAGGTTCAAGTGATGCATGCCCAAGTTGCTCAGATGCATGAGCATCCACAAGCATCTTCGCAGTTTTCTGAACAAATTCCGCGCGGTACCCAAAACCGAGCGTGCGCAATGTCGCCGAGATGTCAGAAGCAGCCAGGATGGATGGTGGGGGGAATGGGTGGTAGCTCTCTACTTCCAATGAGGCATCACTTGCACTGCTGCATTCCGCATCCGTTGGCGGCGGAAGCGACAGCAGAGCAGGTGAGTAATGTTTGCAGAGGGTTTTCACCATCTTCGTGATCCGCACGATGTTATTGTTGGAAGAGCATATAAATCTGATCCGACTCACTACAGCATGAGTAATCTCGAAGTGAACACCACGTACGATATCAAGTTCTCAAATGGCTCCTGCCTCAGCATCCTGATCCCGGCGAACCGCTCCCTGCAATTGCGGAATACTGGATCTCGCTTGCCCCATTGTTCGTACAGTTCAATGAGATCCACATCGAGCTGAAAATAGTCTCGTAACCATGCTAGGGTCTCTTGCTCGCGCAGTACATCCTCTGAAGGCAGTGGCGGTGGCCCTGGAAGCACTGAGCGGTAGAATAAGATGTCTGGTGTTTGGCGCAGGCAGACCACACGGTCGCGCAAACAGAGGCGGTACTCATGCGTCGGAAAGAGGTTGTCCTGAAACGCGCCATCCGAGAAGAGCGGGAATACGTTCCAGCGGAAAGATTGACCACACTGTAGAACCGCAGCGAGAGACAACTGGGTAATAGACAATGGGAGAGCGCGGAAACCGGTCGGAATCATGCAAGCCATGTTATTGAGCAGCAGTAAAGGGGCACACGGCTTTGCGAAATTTCCGACAGCACGAATTGTAGCCTTGCTACTGGAGATGGTGGTAGAACCACGACACTGTCACCTAGTTCGGCGCCCACGTTTGTCGCCCGTGCTCGGTGCTCTCCCACAGAGCAGACAACGAGACTTTGGAAAAATCATTGCAAGCGACAGAGACATCCCAGCTACGCTATGATGTGGAAAATGCAAAACGTTTTGGACACACTGGGAATTGAACCCAGCACCCCCCGCAAACACACTAATGCTAATAATGCTAAGCGGATGTGATAACCAACTACACCATGTGCCCATGTTGAAACTTAATATTCTTGATTTTATCAGCCTTTAATATAATTGATCCCGCAAACTTTGCTAACAGTGACCAACCTGACAACGTCTACATCTCCTAAATTACGTGTCATACTCAGAAAGACCATCTGGAGCACCGGATATTCCGTCCTCAGTCTGACTCTTCATCATCCTCGTCGAGTCCCGCGACCTCTCCTCTGATACCCTCGATCCCGCCATACGGGACACGGTCTCTCATCCATCGTCCGAGGACCCAGTCGACCCGACAGAGGCCCGAGCCTGTGGACGACGCGAGATACGGTGCCGCAGCTAGCCCGTTGCCCGAGTTCCAAACCACACACTGTACGGCGGTTTCCTTCGGCCATGCGCCCGTCCCAACTGGTATCTTCTTCCCGTTTCTTGCAGCCGTCAGTCGATCAATACTTTCCTGCTTTAGTGATCAGTCGCAATATTCAAGGTAATGTCTGTGAGGCGCTCGCCTGAGGGAGAAACTTCTCCAGCATTCTCCATTCTCCGTCTTTCCGGCTGTAGTCGAGCTGATATATTTTGTGAGCTAGGAACGGCTGATCGACAGGTGAGACATAGTACGCATATCATTGAACAGATACCTACCACTGCGCCACCGCGCCGTGTGGTCCTCATGATGTTTGTCGTGATGCAACTGCCGTCCGTCACTCCAACAGCAAGTTGAGGATGATAGTCAGATGCACTGATGCACTGTTTGAGTTAACGTATCAGCCAAATACAGTACGGAAAGCACTCGACGTACCCAAGTAGGACCGTCGGGCTCTAAAAGCATATGACCTCTGCCCAGCATAAGAGGTGAAACCGAATACGATTTGATGATGTTCTCGTGATCGATCGTCACCGGGCCTCCACAGTATGGCGAGTAGCACATCGAGTTGATTACATCTACAAGTGGCCGTATTTGATGTCAGTAATTCCTCCAGAAGGAAAAGAGTGCGATATACCTCTCGTCCGGTTCATGACGTTTCCGGCAAGTTCCCTGATGTCAGTTAGACACTCCATACCATCGTAGCCACCGCTCGCAATAACGGTAGGATTGTCTGCGCTGCGTTCTCCTCTGGCAGAGACGACAGGTGCGCGAACCCAAGCAAGAGCACGTACAGCCGACTGATGCACAGTAAAATAATGTGTGGGCAACAAGTCTGCGAACGTCACGTTGCATAATTATTCAAGAACTGTAGAGCACAGACGCACTTTGCAGTGATGGCTGATCAGAGTTCAGCGCCTCGACGAGGTTATATACCGCTATATTACCTACGAAGAGTTTGCATTGGTTTGAATTGGAAAGCATTTCACTCAGAATATCGAACGAACCATTTGTACATCCCACCGCAATGACTTCACTGTTAGCCCAATCTAGGCCCCAGCACAACGTCTCTTCCAACTCGAGCCGAATCAATGGCCGTTGAAATCGGACTGTGCACGCTAAAGTGAGCAATGAGCCCATTGACTATGCACAGGGCAAACACACCGTATGCAGGGCCAGTGAGGTCGTACTTGCCACCTGAAGCAGCTTTCACACTTGCAGGATCGGGGACAACGTAAAGCGACAAGGAGCCATCCTCGAACGTCCCAGCAAGAATGCCTAGCTTTCGTGCAGAGTGCTCGCGAGCTGTCACCTCCGGACTCTATATTCGACATTTAGCACCGCAGAGCTTGCGTTCACGTACGCTAACTCACCTGGACTGGATCATTCGACGGCAGCGGACACCATTTCAGCTCAAACGCAGGCCCGCTGTCGATGCACAGCACCATCTCGCAGCGCATCTCGCCGGGGTCACCGTCGCTACTTTGTGTGTCTGTGCTGTCCACGTCCATAGCGTTCTGGGACGGCTCAAGGGACCAGATCTGTATGCAAGCGAGGCTAGGTCTTTCAGCTCGGACGCCGATTGACGGAGAATGAGCACGCGTAGGGAACGGGGCAACGGCTATGTATTGCTTGTAGGACAGAGCTGTGGGCCAAATAGCAACTCCTGTGCTTTGGATCATTTCAGCGTTACATACCTGCACGATCATCGGACTGCAACGGGCACCAGTCAAGTGCCCATACGGGTGCTCCAGCATTGAAGACATGGGCTTTGCTCTTTGGTATGAAATCCGCTAAAACATGGTCTGTTTAAAACAGGACTGGTAAACATTGGTTCCATTGTACCTATCTTGTGTGTTTCGAACATTCGCGTTGACACACGAACCTGCTTGCCATATGGTCCAAAGGAACATGGAACAGGAGGAGGTGGGTTCAACTTTGTGTCTTCAGGCTTGGGAACGTCATGTGGCAGATACGAGGACGCTTCTCTTGATTCTCGTAAAATGTCGGTAAGAGGAACCTTTGCATTCCAGTCGAGTTAACGCACTCGGAAGAGAGAACATCCCAGTCTTGCATGACGACTTTATGGTATACTCTTGGTCGGCGACATTTCTCTGCTTCACTTTCTTCTCCACCAGCTTGCAATGACTCCTTAAAGAAGCTCCTGTCTTCCATCACGTCCCACAGAGGACCTGGACCAACGTTCAATCCCCATGACTTGCCAATGCGGTCAACGGCTTGTGAACCGGTGGACCAGCTGTTCGTAGCAGCAAGAGACGGAGCTGTGAATGGCTCCGGACGCTTCAAGAGACGTTCCACCGGTGCGCTTCTATCAAATACCGGCACCGGCCTATGACGATGATGGACATTAGGCAGTGTATACGTTTGCCTGCTAGAAGAATATGCAAGTCCTGGAATCTGGGACGTAGCTGTCTTGCTCGCGTTTCCGCTGGACTTGCGCCTTTTTGCAGGTGCTGATAACACCCCGATTGAGCCCTCCAGCTCATTTTCTGACGGACGCCCCCTCTCGCTAGCCGCCTTTCCTTCGCCTTCTGAATCCGCAATCAAGTCATCGTCGTCTTTGGCGGTTTGCGCATCGGCAACCTCATCTAGGGCGAAGTCGCTACCACCGTCCACGTCTTCAAAAACGGTTGCAGGGGCATTAGAAGGCCCATTATCATTGTTTTCACTATCATCGTGTTGGAAAAGCGCTGCATAGTTTGGTCGTGATGCTCGCGATCGAAGTTGTCTGGCCATGGTGGGTTAACCGTGAGCGCGCTTGGCGCCCGCCGATGGGTCCTTGACGCGTCTGTCACGTCACGTCACATCGCAGGAGTTCAGGAACAATTGGTACTCACAAGTACTCCATGGACTCGTCATTTCGAGTCTCAGACAAGGAAGAATTTCATTTGCATCCAATTCTGCTAGCTACGATTCTGGACTGAAAGGATGATCACAGAATTCGTTTGATGGCAGTTGATCACGGGAGCATGTGGGGAAGGCACCGGTGTGAGTGGGACTTCTCTCGTGCCTTCGCTTATCTACTAGACAGTCTTATATATGCCGCCTTGAAAGTTGTTCATGCAGCTCGTACCCGAGTGTCTCTCATCCTGCAAATGACAGCTCCAGCCTCATTTCCAAAGTCCATCAAGGCTCTGATCTTGCGCCAATCTCCTCAAGATCGCAAGCCGCTCTATCATGATGTAGTGTTGGAAGAGAAGGCACTCCCGCCTTTGCAGAAAGGCTTACTGCTGGTCAAGATAGGCGCTGCAGGCTTCAATCATCGAGATGTGCGCTCTCATGATTTCGCGTTGACGCCTTCGCCAGTCCGCTAAGCCGCGATGAGAAGGTATGGATACGCAAGGGACTGTATCCAGGTATCGCCATAGGCAGCGTCATGGGAGGGGACGGCGCAGGTGTGCATCGTGAACAGCATGCGCTCTGGCAAGCAGGAGTCTGACACTAAGATCATGCAGGGACGGTGGTGGCATCGGGGGACGATAACGACCCCTTGCTAAACAAACGCGTCTTCCTTGTCCCATCGCGTGGCTGGGAGCAACATCCAGATGCACCCGAGTCTGAGTGAGTTGCTCCTAGGTTGAGAAAGGTACATGAGCTTACGCGACTCATCAACCGATGTTACGTGACTGTAGCTTCAGCATCATGGGGGGAAGCGCTAAAATACCTATTGGAGCTTTTTCACAATACGTTGCCATCGAGAGCGATCAAGTAATCCTTACCCCCAACCATCTGGATGACATACATGCAGCAGCATTGCCCATCGGCGCAGTCACCGCTTGGAGGTACGTGTGTATGCTGTGACATAGATACAATTCCATAGGCTGAATGACACGCTCCACAGAGCAACGATGGTGAACGCGCGAGTGCAGAAGGGCGATAACGTCCTCATAACTGGCATAGGCGGAGGAGTCGCCTTGATGGCAATGCAGCTGTGCATCGCCAAGGGCGCAAACGTATATGTGACGAGTTCCTCGGAAGAGAAGATTCACCGGGCCATCTCTTTGGGTGCAAAGGGAGGAGTGAACTACAAAGCCAGTACGGACCAGAGCCTGCTCCCAGACGCAGTTGTGACGCTGAAATCTTCATTCCGGTTCCAGAGGATTGGCCCGTTCAGCTGGAACGAATGCTCCAGAAGCAGAACTCTTCTAAAGTAATCGGTGGAAGCAGTACTGGATCGTTCGACGCCGTAATTGATGCTGCCGGTGGAGACATCATGCCCAAAGTAGGCAAGGTGCTGAAGCCCGGTGGAAGAGTCGTCGCCTACGGGATGTCAGTGGCACACCTTCTTATATAGACTTGAAATCTTCTGATCGTAGGAACCCCTCTGAATGTAGGCATGCTTATCCTTCTGTTACGTTTACGATGCGCGAAATACTGAAGAACCAGCAGTTCATTGGTATGTAGCATCTCCAGCCTCTTCCCATGTGCCGGAAGCTCGAAGCTGAATTCACAATGACCTAGGCTCCACCATGGGCTCGCATAAGGATCTCATTGACGCGACGAACTTCATTGCCAAACATCGTATCGTCCCAATCGTGTCTAACGTCATCGACGGACTGGAGGCAGCGGAAGATGGGTTTGAGCTGATTCGGCGGGGAGAGCAGTTCGGTAAGGTTGTGATAAATATTGGCGATGAGTCACAAGAACGCGCGAAGCTGTGAGTGTACCGATGTCTCTTCAAGTGCACATCTATTTCGGAGGTTATGTAGCGTGTTCAATAGCGGTCACAAGCAACCTACTGGCACTGCTAACAGATCAAATATTTACTGTTCAGATAAAAAGACGCTTTGCTTGCGAGTAGACGTTCCTCTCCTCGGCGAATAGGTGAAAGTAAGCCTTTGCAGAATGTGCGAGAGACCCGCGTCTGTCGCTCTAAGCATCAGTCGAGCGACTTGAGCGATATCGATCATCTATCCAACTACTTATGGGCGCTTCAATCTCCTCAAGAAACTGTCACAGGTTTGTCACATCACACAATGTCCTTCTTCGGTGCCCTACGACGTCCACCGCGGTTCGCCATCTGTGCTCCTGCCCGCAGATGCTACGCTAGCGGGGCAAACCCCTCTCAGGGAGTTCCGGCACCAGCCAAAGCGGACTCTGTAAAATCTGTAGAGATTACCGGGAAACAAAGTTCGTGAACCAATCTCTCGACCTATATTTACTTTCGTTGACCCAATACATGATGATGTCTAGTAGCATCAAAGTCGTGCTGTCCAGAAAATACCGTTCTCGATGGTCTTGCGTATCTCAAAAATCAGCCTCCGGTGCTAGCACAATCGGACGATGCGTACCCGGACTGGTTGTGGACATTACTTGACAAGAAGGAACTTCCGGACGATGGGCCCGGCGGGAAGGCGGAGAAGCACATGCTGAGGAAACAAAATAAGCAGCGGATTCGGGACCAGAACTTCATAAGAACACAGTAGTGACCGTAGCGCATGGTGCGCTTTGCGCAGGGTACCAGACTTGCAGAAGGTGAGTCCTGCATGCATGACTCTTGCGGCGCAACCTGACATGAGACTACTAGCACCCCACTGCTGCGACACCCTGTTCATATATGTCGACCCATTACATTCTGTTGGCTGACAGGTATCAGGCCGGACTGCGTCACGAACACCCCTTTGTATGACAGGGATCGTATTCAATGTCGGTTCTACAGCTACAACTCTGAGTAGCTATAATATCGCGTTTACCGAGAGGTGCACAGTGTACTGGCAGAGTATAGATGAGCGGAGCCAACCTCACAGGCAACTTCACGGAGCTCTCATGTAGGGAACGACCCCAACGTGAACAGAGTCTGCTTCTGTTTGCCCTTGCCCTTCTTACCCTTGCCTCCAGTAGGCTGTGGAGATGCAGATTCGATGCCAGCAGGACCTTCTACTGGCGCAGCCGTGCCAGAACCGCCTGCGCCTGTGCTTCCGTTCTGACCATCCGTACCCCACGCAGGTACTGCCGGAGTTGACTCGCCGAGAATTCTTTTCAAGGATTGGTTGCTGCCGATCGCTGCTCTCGGTGGTCGCTGCGTCTTAGCACCAGGAAGCTCCGGGAATGCAGATTTGGATAACACCGGGGCCGCTTTTGCCCTCACATTTGCGCCAGGACCAGGGATAGAGGTCGGGCCCCTAACAACGGGGGCAGCAGCAGCAGATGACGTCCAAGGCGTCTGACGCTGTGGTTGACGGAACGGTGTGGCAGAAGGTGCTGGCGCGGAAGGTTGCAAAGGAGGGAATGCCTGAGAAGGACGAGGCGGGTGTGCTGAGGTGGAAGGAGCCGGCGACGACGAAGACCCCGCTGCTCGAGCGACACGATCCCAGAGTTGTCGGCTTGATTGTGAGGAAGAGCGCGTTGCAGTGGAGTGCTTAACGTTCAAGACGCGTCCACTCGCCACGCCGGACCATCCAGATCCTGTGGCCGTCGGCACGAGTTCGGGGAATTGAGCGCGTTGCTGTAGTTTAAGCGATCAGTTTATGTCGGGCGAGAAGTTGTTGTTCGGTGTACCTCGATCTTGAAATTGTTCCAGGCTGTCAGCAGCTCCCGATTCTTATCTTCTTCGTCAATAAGATCGACAAGCACATTGATTATGCTCGCCGTTCCGTCAAGATCGCGATCCAAGATGTTCCATATTGTAGATATGAGGTCCCGAGCGGCGGATTCCGAGACTCGATACGAACGAACCGCCGCTTGAATGGCAGGGAGGGCAGTCACTGGGTGCAGTGCCAAGGCATTGATCCGGGAAACCAGAGCACCGCTCTTCCTGCAGGTGGTTCGTGAGCATAAGAGATCATGTACGTGGCAGAAAAATTTACTCTGGAATCCCGGATTCCCCGTCTGACGGCGACGGCGGAGAACGTGACTGGCGTCCGCTTGCTTGCAGGCTGAGGTTGGCGACAGCACCAGAGCTCCCTTCATCAGTGGTTAGATTACCGCCAAATGCCTCCCTTCTTCGACCCCCTGCTCCGTTAGGTCGTGAGGGGCCTGGAGGAGTCGGAGCAGACGGCGGTGGCTCCCGTTCGCGCTCCCGATCCCGCCTGTCTCGTCTTCCCCATCTGTTTCCCATGCCCGCTTCCTCGAACTCGAAGTCTACTTCGATGTGTCTGGCATCTTTCCTGTCCCTTGAGGACATTTGCGCTCCATGTTCCTCCACCATGTGCGCCTTGAGATCCAGCGCGGAGCCAAACACTACAAACTTCTGTGCAAGACACTGGGGATGAGTACATCGGTGATGTGCGTGTATGAAGTGCTGTTCCTGAGATTCACAATATTAGACCAAACACTTGCGGATGAATTCGGAGCACGCTCACTAATGCACCGTAGTTGCGGAAGCTATGAAAGCTTCAGCACGACTGCGAAACACAATACAGACACGATACTCACTACTGATCTCTGATTTCGTTACGCTTGCATATGAAACATTCTTCATGCCGTTCCCTCATGTGTGCGTAGAGCTCGTCGTCCCCAAAGAAGCATTCTCTGCAGAATTCACATAGAGGGTGTACGCCGCCTTCTATTTGCTGCTTGGTCCCGGAATTATGCACATGGCCCCGTTGCATAGATGGCAGATGGATCAGCAGCTCGGCAGGGGTATACAACGCATGCTCATGGGTAAATATCTTCTTGAAACGTATGCAAAGATCACTGTATATTTCATTCGAACCGACAGACGTGCAAGACATTGCATAAGCACTTACCACATGACTTTTCCATGAACGGCATGGGTATGGAGCTTCAAGTCCGACCAGCCATTGCCGACGTAGTCGCAATCAGGGTCAGGGCAGTTGAATCGAAGAAGGATAAGCGTCTCCTCCATCATCTCCTGTGTCTCAAAGAATATCGACAGCTTGGGATCCTTGTATGGGATCATGTCGGGCGTATATGATGACCATAACGCATCCGGCGATTTCGTGAAGATGACGGAGGTTTGCGGTGCCTGCGCACGCAATTGAGAACAGTACTCAGACAAGGACGCGTAATATTAATGAAAGAAATTGCTCACCTTACAGAATGTACATTCATGTTTCTGATAGAGCGCTCTGAGCCTCAATGCACAGACATGGCAGGTCCGGTGATTGCACTCAGACAGAGACCAGTACTTGACAGGCTCAGCACAAATAAAACAGATGTCGCCCTCTGCACCGGCATCATCTGTTACATTGCTGGCGACTGTTTGTACAGATTCCGATGGATTGACTCCCTCTCCCTGAGCTTGGTCGGTGGCTGCCCTCGGTGCCGCCTTCTCGCGCTGAGTGCCTCGCTGCCCTCCACGACCTTTATGGCCCTTTCTGCCGCGCGGAGCTGAAGCGTGGGTTTCAGTGGCAGTCGAGGAATGCATCCGCAAAGTGAATGGCTGAGAAAATAGTGGTAGCAGCCGAGGAGATAAAGCGAGTCGAAGTTGGTGGAGCCGCTGGAGACTTTAAGTACGTTACCAAATCTGGAAGGTCTCAGGAAGGCGTATGTACACGTCCGCGCTGGCTGAGCTCAATCGTATTCAATTGTGCAGTTCATCGTCTAGATGAATCCCGTGCGCGCACAGGCTTACTATTAAGCAGAAACATCTGCAGACTACTCTACATCAGAGTCCACGTCATCACCCTCCTCGCCGTCACTCGTAGTGGTGTCATCATCCTCAGGGTTGCTCGCCGCCAAAGGGCTGATAAACTGTGGCCTGACGGGAGAAATACTTTTCAGACCGAAGGACTGAGTGCGCGCGCCGAGACCAAGCATATAAGATGCCGGCGCCATACGAAATTGGGTGTTCATTTTTGCAGGTGTTAAGGAAGGCGACGCAGGGATGACGGGTATAGGCATCGATATGCGCAGCCCTAGGCTCGCGAAAGGATCATTATGATTTGAAACCACGGAATCGTCCGAGCGTTGTCGCGAATGTGATAATGGTAACTGATGTGGTTTCGGGGATGCCGAGATGGAGCCGAATGCAGGGCTTGCTGGACGAGAAGGAGTGAGCAAGCCGGAGGCCCAGGACGACCAAGGTTTTGCAGGAGAACGGGGCGGCGGCAAGTCTTCAGATGATGCGGATAGCTCGTGCAATGCATGCTTCACAGCCGCAATGTCGTGTTCGAGGTCATCCAATTTGTGGCTGAATTGTTGTGTAGCCTTCGAAACTTCCCTGTCTGTGCCGTCTAGGAACGCTTTGATTTCTGCTTCCAACTGCGCCTCGTCGATCTCGTCAGACATCGCGCCAGGAATGGTCAGCAGCGCTTCGTATCCAGACGTAATACGAGCCTCATCCGTGACACGGATCTCCAGCTCCACACGGGCATCCTCGTTGAAGTCGACCAGTCGCTCGACTGCTTTCTGAAGGACGAGAGCCATCTCTAAGTTCTTGGGTAGCTGCATGAGACCTTTCTTCATTTCCTTGAGTGCAAGATAACAGTCACGGAATCCATGCTGCAACGTATTGTAGCGCTGCTTCACATTGTGCAGATTAGGTAATAGCGACGGTACCTTGGCCGGAACGATAGTCGGCGCGCTTGTTGCAGTGAACAGTTGCGATGAAGAAGGAGGAATCGCGTCCGGCGCGTCGCTCTGAATGGGCATGAAAACATTCCCAACAGCTACGGGCATCTGACCGCTTGTTGTAGGCTCGTTCTCCGCCTCAGACGGCTTGACTGGCCCAACTTCAGCGATAACGAGCTCGCTCTCATCTTCGGGTATATGCGAGGGTATAGAAAGTGAAGAGTAGTCACGCGCTTGTGTATAGTTGGTGGGACTTGCTAAGGTTTGTAGTTCTGCACCAATAGGAGGTAGAATGCTATCTACTACAGCACCGTCCAAAGGTCCAGGCCGCAATGTTGCCGTAGGCGTTGATGCCAGTTCTGCAGTGTCTTCTTGAGTTACTAAGGGTGCCGAATGCGCCGATTGTGAGATGCCTGCTGAATCCATATCGATGTTGCCACCAGCCGGGGGAGTGCACGGAGGAGGGTCATCATTATCTCGAGAATGCTCTGCGACATCTTCGATCAGAGGCTTGTTGAACGGGGAGGAGACAGCAGTATCAGTAGGCTGGAAGTGAATGACGGAACTGCTTGTCCTCGTCTCTGGAATCGTCGACAGGAGATGCGACGAGCTGGCAGGGAATACGTCGTTGCCATCGGGGACGGGAGCGTCCTGTAAGTCCAATTCTATGCTCGCATTTGATGCAGACTGCATGACAGATCTCGTCACAGTAGTCGAGCCATTTTGATGCGGCTTGTCCGTCGCCGAATGAAGTAATGGAAGGTCAGACAACCGTTCCGGTAATTTTCGACTGTCGTGCTTAGTTGTCAGAGTTTCTGGAGAATGCGAGACACCGTTTACGATTGGAGTCGACACGCCATGAGCGACATAATACTGCGCCAGTCGTCGTTCCAATTCAAGACGCCGTTCCGTCTCTACGTGCAACTCGTGGGTCAGGTTGGTAACCGCATTTTGTGCAGCAATGACGCGTGCCAGAGAGCCAATGGGATCGCCGTCAGCTGACGGTGGGCCATTCAAAGATTCGAGGAGCAATTCGGCATCTCGTATGCTGCTATCAAATACGACCCGCAGATTAGATAGGGCATGCTGGCCGTCTTCTGAGGAACCGCCATGGTCGAATGACTCCCGAGAGCGCCGAATCCAACGTCTGAGACCTTCTGCAAGGCTCTCTTCGCGTCCGAGGAAAGCCAAGCGTAGCGAGATCTCCCGCCGTCGCCCATACGTTTCACGAGAGATGTCCTCCGTGAGTCCGTCCAGCGCAAGTCGCAGCCTTTCCCCCTCCCGTCGCTCACCGAGAAGCGAACGCTGCAAGTGGTCTATTTCCACGCTCAACGTCGCCGTCGTGGCTGCATGCCGAGCTCGCATTGCCTCCATTGCATGCTGAAGTGCGTCTATCGACGACTGCGAAAACTTCCTGTGGAGGTGTCAGCATATAAAATGAAGCGGAGAAGCTTATGTGCGCTGACATGTAGCGGGATACCATCTTCGCAGCAGTATTATCATCAATCTGGTACTTCTCGAGTGCGGCCTCGGCTGCAACAAGCCTTGCTCGGTCGTCAGACGCACGCTTGCACTCCGCCTCAAGCTCAGCGGACAGCAGCGCGTATTCGTCCTGCTGCCGGCTGAGTTCTGCGCCCAGCCGCTCTGTCTCGGCGTTGAACTCTTCCAACAGGCGCTGTAACCCAGACTTGCCCTCCACCAAGGTTTCTACAAGAGTCGCGCTCGAACTTGTTGCCGAGCTGGAGAATGATTGAGAAGACGGTGAGATTCGGGGCCTGCCTTCGAGCGTGCGCACGAGATCAGCATATTCATGCACGACAAGGTCGGCGAGACGCCGCTCTTCCTCGGCTGCTCGCGCTCTGCGTTCAAGCTCGCGTCCCCTAGCCTGTGCCTCTTTGAGCTCGTTTCTCGTCCGGGAGGCTAGCGCCTCAGCGCCATCCACATTATGACGAGCCTTTGCGAGATCACTCCGAGCATGTGCAAGCTCTGTTGTTCGAAAGAGAAGCGATTCTTCTGTAAGCGTGAGCTTGTCCGAAAGGCGACGGTGAGCAAGTGTGAGCTCCTGGACCTGGAAGGTAGCCGGATGCGGGGTCGTGTCCGGATGTGCTCTGAGTACAGCAAGTTCCTCCTTGAGTTGCGTGTTCTCCTTCTCCAGGATATGAGCGCGTTCAATAACGTGAGAGGTCTCAACTGAATGACGCTGCAATCTCAGTGATGTCGCATGTGCTTCGTGCTGTGCAAGGAAGCCCGCAGGTCAGTAGATGAGATCGGCAAGGTGAAGAGATATCACCACCGAGCCAGCCGAACCTGATAGCGAGAAACAGCGCTACATAGGCTCTCGAGCTCCAGCGCCAAAGGATGATCATTGTTGAGTGCGACAGCGGTCATGGCACTCTGAACATTTGAGCTCGAAGATGATTGCGGTGTGGCCGCTGCGCTTCACCATGGAACCCGCATCAGACTCTTGCCCGCTCCCCTGCGCCAAGTCACGTGATCGAACAAGGACGGTGTCTAACAAAATGTTAGCGCCTGTGCTGAGTTCATCCTCCACGCACTCTCCCGCCCATCGCACCTCAACGCTCTCCGACAGGACACTCTGCATCGTCAAGAACAGTGCCTGCGAGCTCGCTTACAAGTTCTCGTTTTGTGCTTGCCTCGACAAAGTCTACTTAGACTAGGAAGACGCCCTCTCGGGATATTCGATCTCATACCAGTGGGGCAGCACTAGCTGATGATACCATTGCGTTACCGGTTCATGCCTCCTGCAATTTTTTCCTTGGCCAATTAAAATCAGAGGCAGAAGCACGTCTCACTGTGAGTATGCCTATATAGTTGCACGGGTCGCGACTGATTACGTACTGTGCTTCTTGTCTCTCACCATCTATTTCACGACTATATAGGCAAAAATGGCAAGCCCAAACTCTCCCTATCCTATCCCGGGGCCCTCTACCTACTATCATACCCCTCCTCCGCCTCAGCACCAGTACGGTCATGCTCCGGGTCCCGCATCTCTCTATCCGTACATGCCGCCAATCAATGGGCATGTTCCATTACACCAGCCCACCTCCCCGAGGATAAGCCCCACAAGTAGAGGACGATATAATACTGGCAGGGGAGGAGGTATCCATGGCTATCAGCACTACCAGCACCTGCCACCAACGTATGGCATTCCTCCCACTAACATGCAATCGCCGCCAGTTTCGCCAGTGAGCCCATTCACGCAACCCCAGAAATATACCCCGCACGTGCCACAGATCCCGTATTCACCACCCTATGCCCATCAGACCAACGGGTCGTATCCTCCTGCATGGTCCGCACAGCCGCTGTCGCCATTGCCAAAACAATTATCGATGCTGCCACCCACGGCACCATCGCAATCCGCTCAATTTTCCCATCCCTCTCAGCCTCAGGTTCAATCTTTTCCATCTGCTTCGTTGTCCGAGACGATAGCTCAGCCATCACCGGCTCTGTCGCATCCGTCATCGCCCAAACCTGAGTGTCCCCCAGCTACAGTAGTCAATCAAGATACTGTGCCTCAGGATAACGTTTTTCATGATATAGCGTCGACACCAGATTCCCCGCTACCATCTTCTCGATCAAATAGTGGCCAATTTGTGGTATGGTCACGAAGACCTCAAGACCCTTCGCAAGCACCGGGTGTGATCATATCCTCTGAGGCCTTCCCGCCAGAAGATGTTTTGCAGCAAGCGCTCGACCTGCCGACTCCTCCAGCCTCTCCCAAACTTCAAGCAACGGAGGCGTCAACACAACCCACAGAGCCTTCGTCCGATGCTCATCATGTACCCGATGAATTCCATGATGAGTCTCCAGAGGCAGCTGATGTGACTTCTTCTGTCACGGAGACGTCCACGTCCTCAACAATGGGAGAGACGCCTATGCCGGGCTCCCCAGCATCCTCGCATACTTCTATGTCGATGCAGGCTGCATCTCCCTCTGTAGACAATGCTTCGAAGGTCTCACCTTCGTCGCAGGTTGAGACGCAGCTAATCTCAACAACGCCGTCGACTGCTGAAGGTGCCCCAACTCCTACCACGGAGTCTACAACCTCAGTCACACCCGCGGCTCCTAGCGCAGACTTGCAGCCGGCGTCTGTTTCTTCGCCTACAACGTCACAAAAGGCTCCCCTCAAGAAGTCGTGGGCCTCCCTGCTTCAATCGACCGATGCCGCAGCATCCTCGTCAAAGACTAGCCTCCCAGTCTCTTCCGTGGTAGGCATCTCCATTCCAGCATCGGCACTGTCGAGTTTGTCAGCAAGCACCACGGTTGGCGCTGTCGTTCCCGCCCAACAGCGCAGCGAACTCTTACATATATTAAATAAGGGGCCAAGCACAGCCAATGTCCCGCTGAAGATCCAGCCTCGTGGTCTAATCAATACGGGCAATACGTGCTTTGCTAACGCTGTCCTTCAAATATTGGTGTACTGCCAACCGTTCAACAAGCTCTTCACGGACTTGTCCAAGTATCTCACCGGTCCTGTTGTGGGCTCTCAAAAGGAGGGGACGAAGGCTACACCCTTGATTGATGCCATCGTCCGGTTCATGAAGGAGTTCGTTCCTGAAACTAGCTCCGATGCGAAAGCGAAGGGTAAGGAACGGGAGGATGATTTCTATGAGCCGGAGTCCTTCATTCCTTCATATGTTTATGATGCGATGAAGGAGAAGAAACGCTTCGCGAGCATGATTGTACGTGGTCTATTCATCGCTGATCGCGGTCTCGCACTGACAGTGACCCATCCAGGGTGGACACCAAGAAGACGCGGAAGAGTTCTTGGGATTCTTCCTGGACACTCTCGAGGAAGAGCTCTTGTTGCTATCCGACTCATTATCCCCAAAACGTCCCAAAACGAACGAGCCGGCCGAACAAGAACCCTCTCCAGATGAAGGCTGGTACGAAGTTGGCAAGAAGAACAGGCCGGTGATGACACGAATGGTAAGCATATCCAGAGCTTCGCGAGTTTCTCACTGATCTCACCTTACATGCTAGGTCAAGTCGACGGAGTCTCCGATAACGAGGATCTTCGGCGGTAAATTCCGGACGACACTGCGGGCCCCTCATCAGAAGGACTCTGCTACCGTCGAGGACTGGCGCTCGCTCCGTCTTGATATACAGGTGAGTTTGCTGAACTTCGCTTTGCGAGTACAATAACTCATCTCCTCTGTAGCGGGAGCAAGTACACACCATCAAGGATGCGCTGCAGCACATCTCTCATCCCCAACCTGTGCAGATCAGCCAGTCCACGCGACCTGGTGTCGTAGTCGAGGCTACGCAGCAGGCACTCGTCGAAGCCCTCCCTCCGGTGCTTGTGCTCCATTTGAAGAGGTTCTTGTATGATACCAATGTGGGTGACGTCGTCAAGATCGGGAAACAGATATCGTACGGTCCGGAGTTGGAGATCAGCCCAGGTACGTATATCGTCTACTATCAAGATATCTACCTTACGAGCCCCTTTCTTAGATCTGCTGACTCCCGCAAAACGGACGCCACATCCCGCGAAGTACCAGTTGTTCGGAGGTCAGTACAAGTTCCCAATTGCCGCTCACTCGTGTCTGATCGTCGTCTCCAGTGTTATATCATCATGGGCAATCGGCGTCCGGGGGGCATTACACCCTTGACGTTCTACATCCAAACCGGGATCTGAGCGACAGGCCGCGGCCGGCTTGGATACGGATAGACGACGAGCTTGTTTCCGATGTTCGACCTGAGGATGTATTTGGTGGAATGGAACGGGACGATCGATGTGCATATTTGTTGTTTTACCGTAGATTAGCTGGCTGGGGAGCCCGGCCGTGATTTTATCAATGCACTGTTGAGGCTGCTTTCAGTGCTCTCCATATCGTTGGTGTGCAGTGTATTGTGACGTGTCCGACACATACAGCATTGATGATTGCAGCAAGTACTATAACACATTAAAACAGCAACAAGATATCCTGACGCCCTCTTTACTCTTCGTAGATATTCCAAGTCTGCATGCGAACTGTGTCAGCGTGATTGACCACGAGGCGGAGGAAGAATCACTCACAGAACGCCATTTGAGACCCCAATGGTCATTAATAGGGCCATCGATACCGAAGGCTACTCCCTTGAACCACCAGAAGGTGGCGACGATGAGAAATACTATGACTCCAAATACTACCCACTTCGTACGCTCGGTTAGACGGCGAGAAGTGAAGATGAAATGATCGAGCACATGAGCGGCCATCAAGACTGAGAAGTACAGCGTGGGCAACTATGTACAATTAGTCAGTCGATGTATCGCAGAAGAATCCGTTGTCTACGTACATAGTGATGCACGTAGGTGACACGACCCATGATCAAGAAGGGAACTGTTGCGCGGAGGTTAGCTACATCTCCCTCATGAGACATCGGTTGACGACTCACCGAAGTGCAGCAACCAGCCGATTCCAGCAATCTTGCAGACATACAAGAAGTGATCCCAATCCCCTGCCAAGACGTCAACCAACTGGCGAACGGAGTGTCGCCACACTCACTTGTTTCCATATCCACGTATTTCCGTTGCATGCGTACGAGGTATGTCCCGAATGCGATCGCAGCAATGTGCAGACTCAATGTCCCACCCCACCAGATCACCGGTGTGCCGAGGAGATAGTATTTTGCCTGATTGGATCCCCATCCGCACATACGCAATCCTAGGCGCAACCATGGCCAGTCGAGGGGCTTGGACGCTAAGATATCCTCCTTGTCTGGGTCAGGCACGAGCGCATTGTTGGTCGTCATCATGGCCACATTGAGGTGCCAGAAGTCCCTTAAGAACGATGATTTGTAGAACTTGCTGTCGCCCGGCGGCACTATAGGCATGCGTCAGATATGAATCAAACATCCAGTGCGTATATTATACATACGTCGATCATTAATGTGCGTCTCCACGTTCCAATATGTGTAAATGTCGCTGGGGTTGTTCTCCTTGACACAGCTGACCTCAATTTGCCTGAAGCCCCACTGAGGCAATATCTCATTGCCAGCTCGAAGGTAACAGCCAGTCGCCTGATGACGGAACCTAAGACGGGTCGTGAGCGAGTGTATCTTGTCGACATGACTCTTGCTGCCGCGGCGCAGGTCGTCGACGACTTCCACGACCCAGTAATCATGCAGGTCGCCGATAACGTCGTTCCCATATCCAGAGACTTCGTTGTTCAGCTTGGACACGGGAGCCGGAATAGAGTGAGAGTGAAGGTTGCGTTTCGTCGGAACGTGGTTTAGACGAATGACATCACCGTCGCCGAGGAACTTGATCGGATCCTCTGGATTCAATAATGGCTCGTCCCAGCGTGGAAGGACTACCCAGTCGTTGTTGTCGTCCTTATAATGATAGCACGTAACCTGCTGTTGTGTGGAACCATCCGGATACGTCTGAACATGAGAATGAAGCAGACCGCCTGCCCAACCCATGTTCTTGAGAGTAATCTTCGAGCCGTACGCAACCTCTGAAAACATATTAGCGGTCGGACGTATATGTAAGTCCGACAAACTACTAACCTAACGGATTCTGGGAGAACGTGTTCCCAATGAGGTTCGCCTGGAACAAAGAGCTCATCTTCGCATCGTCAGGACCCGAATGGTTCAGAATCATGAAGTGGATTTTGAAGAAGCTCAGATACAGCAGGAAAGGAAGGACGATAAGGCATGCGACGCGTGCACCCCAATGTCTCAATTGGTCGCGCTGTTGTGAATTTGGTCATCGGATGACAATGCTATAGATGGGGAGCACTTACCGTAGACATTCGAAGGTCACCAAACTTCTCCCAGAGGTCTTCAATTGTGTACAGACCAACCAGTGTCGTCACAAAAAGGCCCACCCATTTGATACTGAGGCATGATGAACCGTCTTAACAAGAATAGGCAACGTGGGCAACGTAAAGTTACCTTGTGACACATCCTATCGATGCGCCTGTCAGCGTAAGCCATAACCACCAATCAGGCGAGAAAGACCTGAAAATGAGGTGACGAATGTGACTAGTTTGGACTGAAAACGGTGACCTACTGATATTGTTGATTGTGTAACTTCGACAGACAGAAGACCGTTGTAAATGTGAAGAACAGTAGCATAGAATCCAAGAGGATGAATCGAGAGATACACAGCCAGCCAACGTCTATTCGCGCAATGGGTGAACGAACAAATGATGTCAAGGATTCGGACATACCAAGGAGAACCATTAGAGCTACCAGGTGGCATGCCTTCCAGGTCATACCAAGCTCGACAGCCGTGTACCAGCCTAAAGGGACTAGTGCCACTCCGAAGATCGCCATCATTACACGCATAGCCACGTATGGGACGGACTCCGGGTAGGTCGCTCCACTTGCGAAGTCGAACTGCCCATCATAACCTGACAACAGGCCTGCAAGACCGACAAGCATCTTGCCCAGTGGCGGATGGACATCGAAGTAGAATTGGCGCTTCAGGTAGAAAGAGCCAAACTTCCCAAAGTGCGCCTCATCCCAGATGACGAGGTTGGAATGACCGATCTTGTGGAAGCGCGTCCAGCACGAAAGAAGCGTGTATACTATTGGGGGTATGTGTTCGAGGTTTTGCTGGATGAACTCTCCCTGGAAGACGCATCACGAAATGGAAGGGAAGAGAGGACGGATACTCACTATTGTGGTAGGAGGGGGCGGTGGTGGACGGCGCAGACGTCCACTGCCCAGAGGGCTTTTCAGATCCTTCATTTTAGAGTACACATCCTTCCCTTCGTCGTCATAAATCTCGTACTCTTTCTGGGAGTCGTATACATGTTCCTTGTACGCGCCGTTTCCGCTCAATCCCCTGGCGACCCTGCGGCGAGCGGTGTCCTCAGTCATGTAGTGCAGCGGTAGTTCCTCCTCTCGGTGAGAAGGAGCGGACCAGTTTGAACTATCCGTTGTAGGGTACTGGATTTCTTCGAAATCCGACGAGGTACGCGGAGAGCCCTCAGGTGTGCGGACGTTGATCACCACTTGCGGAGGCCTCATGCGCTGAATTCTGGGTGTGGCTGCAGTCGAGCCGATCACGGGTGGTACACGAGCAGCACAGATGGGGTCAGAACAGCAGGATTCTCGTCGTCGGCAACAGGGATTTATACGTTTTGCGTTCGGAGGACGTCCTGCTCGGAAGATGCTGCGGGTATGAGCGCGCCGTACGACTGCGCGTTGTAGCTTTCTAGCGCTCTCACATCTCACAGCAGAATCCGTCTGCAGAATTTCTCTGCGGTCACGCACTTTAAGCTCTTGCGCCATTAAGCAAAGCTGCTTGTCTCAACAACGCCTTCGTTGTCGATTTTTGAATTTCGAGCCTGATGCAAATGTGCAATAATTATTTAATCTAAGCATTTTGAGTCTTACACCAAAAATCTCCAACGAAGGCGTTGTTCTCCATTCAAAAGTATATCTATCCTACCACTTTGCGAGTGTCTACATAGCAAATTGAGTGAGAATTTCTGCAGACGGATTCGGAAACACGATTTCGAGCATTTGAGCTGCCACCTATGTATATAGGCACGGGCCGCACGGCTACCACTTTACAAACTCAGCCCCGTCGCAGGGCTTGCCCACCCCCATGAACATATAACAGTAAAAGATCGACGCTCGTTTGCGCCAATTAGTCTGTACTCTGGACGAGAGCTCCTTCTTGTGCTCACGCTCAATACAATATTACAAATGAGCACGCATGATATGCATGGCGAGAGACATTCTAGTTCCAAATGACCAATTTGGCTATTTCAGTACGCCGGTCACGTGAACACGTGACGCAGTTGTTGCAGATTACGTAACTTTTATCACATAACTCATGCAACTCGCCACCGTCGCCCTCAAAGTTCTGCCCTAGGACTTGTTCATCACCATGTTTACTTCATTTTTTGGGGTATTCACCATACTTTTCTCAGATATGATGTTCATCACTGAATGTGATTCATTGCCGTATTCATTCTGCTACAATGTGTTGTGTGTTGTTGTGTCACTGTTGTATCTCTGGCTGCTGTGGACAGGCTTGCACACCTATACGTTTGTCGGCATCGTCGATTGTGATACAGGTATGCCTTTTGTTGATACTGACCATGTACTTGTCAATCCCCTATTTGTTTTGATCCACTCTGTCACTCTGAGTGCTCTCAGTCCTTACAATGCTCTACCTATTGCCCGTCAAACACACCTCCTCACTGATTTGTCCACCACCGTTGGTCTCGATCCACTAGCTGTCCTCCCATCTTGTCAGCACCCCACTTGGACCATGTACTTTTACATGGCTTCGATCTGAAGTTCGAACAAGCCATCCGATGCACCTGGAACTCCGACGTCCCTGCTCACGCCTGTGGTTCGTACTCTAGATCCACCTTCAGCGATCCGAATTCATCATATCGCGGATGCTAATGAGACTTACCCTGCGGTAGACTGTGTGCGGCAACCGAATAGGGACCAGTTGTCTGGATGGGTTCTCGAGATGAAATGGAGAAAGCCTTCGACAGCTCAATGTAGTTGTACATCTATTGCATACTCCCCCTGAATAAACTTTGCATTGCTGTCATTTGGAACCGGCGCTTGACGCCTCTTCACCCAAGTGATGCTGCCCGTCCGCCAGAGCGCCGATTTGTCTAATCACGTGACAAAATACGGCTCGGACACCACTGACTCTCTCGACTCAACACTTGGGTGAAGAGGCGTCAAGCGCCGGTTCCAAATGACAGCAATGCAAAGTTTATTCAGGGGGAGTATGCAATAGATGTACAACTACATTGAGCTGTCGAAGGCTTTCTCCATTTCATCTCGAGAACCCATCCAGACAACTGGTCCCTATTCGGTTGCCGCACACAGTCTACCGCAGGGTAAGTCTCATTAGCATCCGCGATATGATGAATTCGGATCGCTGAAGGTGGATCTAGAGTACGAACCACAGGCGTGAGCAGGGACGTCGAAGTTCCAGGTGCATCGGATGGCTTGTTCGAACTTCAGATCGAAGCCATGTAAAAGTACATGGTCCAAGTGGGGTGCTGACAAGATGGGAGGACAGCTAGTGGATCGAGACCAACGGTGGTGGACAAATCAGTGAGGAGGTGTGTTTGACGGGCAATAGGTAGAGCATTGTAAGGACTGAGAGCACTCAGAGTGACAGAGTGGATCAAAACAAATAGGGGATTGACAAGTACATGGTCAGTATCAACAAAAGGCATACCTGTATCACAATCGACGATGCCGACAAACGTATAGGTGTGCAAGCCTGTCCACAGCAGCCAGAGATACAACAGTGACACAACAACACACAACACATTGTAGCAGAATGAATACGGCAATGAATCACATTCAGTGATGAACATCATATCTGAGAAAAGTATGGTGAATACCCCAAAAAATGAAGTAAACATGGTGATGAACAAGTCCTAGGGCAGAACTTTGAGGGCGACGGTGGCGAGTTGCATGAGTTATGTGATAAAAGTTACGTAATCTGCAACAACTGCGTCACGTGTTCACGTGACCGGCGTACTGAAATAGCCAAATTGGTCATTTGGAACTCAGGTGGCACAACCCGAGCTAGAAACACAGGGAAGAAGTATGACGGCTGCAGCTTCCTCGTACGTTCATCCTCCAATCTATTCTCACAACACTTATACCGTTCTAGAGTTGCAAGGGATGTGGAATGAGTGGGCTTCAGCTCACTGCGTGGAAATTCACGAAGAGTCCAGAGGGTGCCCGCTCGAGAGCTTTTTCACGGATCTCATCACAAGCTTCAGGTTCCCGATAGACGTTGCTGACCCTGATGTGAGCCAGGTGTCCCTTCCGACCTCTCTAGAGCCTTTGACCCCACAATGTCTTAGTTCGCGGATGGCCTCCTCCGCGACCAACTCGGCCCGGAGTGGAAGGTCAAAATCGATTTCATGGTCTATACGAATCAGTTGGGGCCTGAGAACCCGTTCTTCAAGAAGCGCGCTCGCGAGCTCATGACTAGCTACCTCACGTTCCGTAACGCGTTGATGGACCAGTCCAACGAAGCGGGATTGAGAAGGGGTGTTGATAACCTCCTCGATCTCGTATGGACATACTCTGGACTTCAGGAAACCCTCTACAAGTGAAATCTCCTCTGTTCAAATTTCTTCTTTCGTTTAATCGTCTTTCCCGCAGGGTCAAGGCAAATCTCGCGCTTCCTTGCCCCTTCCTGAACCAGGCGCCCAAGAATGCCACTGCCGACGGAATTGTCACGTATGACCTCCTTAGTGCGGAGAACATAGATTTGGGGGATCTGGGGATCTCTCGATCCTGGTGCGTCGATATCAGCTCAGAAGACAGGCCACGCTCGTATCAGCCGATCGTCATGGCCTTCGAAACAAAGGCAGATGCCAGCAATGTGAATACTCGCACTGGTCTTCACCAGCTAGTAACGGGTATGGCAGCCGCTCTCCATCATCGCATCTCATTGGTCTGGAGGGTAGTCGCGACGATCTCGTTTATGGTTTGTTGCATGTCGGTAGCAAGCTCCGTCTATACGTGGGATACACGACAGAACGGAGGGAGCCACATAAACTCGACTCTCCTCCTGACTTCATCGCGAGAGACGTGGTACGTGATTTCCTGATCTTTGCAAGTTGAGAAAGCTGATTGTGGCTGCCAGATTGTCCACCGGACGCCCTTGGAATGGTTCATCGAACGACCGGATGAGTTTATTCAAGCGTACCTTCAGCTCCTTGAGGTCGCAAGACGGTGCTGCAAAGACTTCGAGGCCCTCATCCAGCGCACCCGAGAGCGCCGTGGGAAGTTGCTTCACAAGGAGCCCTTGCACAAATGGCGGGTCGCACGCAATGATGGAAGAAAGGGAGGAAAGAAAGGACAGAATATGAATACAACTACCGAAGAAACGGGATACACCGGTGCGGCAGACAATGACGATCCTATGGTAGAACGCGAGGCCGAAAGGCTTGCATCGGACGTGATGGCAGGGAAGGTGCTTTTTGGCTTCATGTTGACACATGTCACCCTTCGAGCAAAGGCTTTGATTGAGGACAAGGACAGCACGGAGGCTGAACGACTCAAGACTCGGATCTCGACGTGGCTCGAGGCAGTGGAATGCGAAATTTGCCTTGAGCGAGACGCTGGAGCTTCCGGCATGGGTTCCGAACCCTCTGATTCAAACTTTGGTTGAAGATTCAATGGACGACTCTGCTCCCGGCAAGGTGCATGATTCCATTTGATCTGCATGATATCTGTCTATAACTGACTAGATTTCTAGTACTCGAAGCCGGAGATTGAAGGACACGCAAAGCGATTTGGCGGAGATGCCGGAGAAGTCATCCAGCAGAGATTTGCATTGATCGCATAACGGTCGTGTATACGTACGAATCAGTACGACACATGAAGGACGGCCTGTTGATAGGGAATGGCCGATTGTACAATGTGAATGGGTCTACTGATTTATAACGAGATTGAAAGTTCAAGGACTGTGTCTCTCCGAGTGCGATGTCAGTGTTGATATCGGTGGCAGCCATTCGAAGGGGATGTCTGCTGAAAATGGGTGTCCTGTCGTCTTCGGCATGCCATGGGCATTCGAACGTAAGTTTCGCCGGCGGTGACACGTTCGCTGCAGGAAACAGATCTGATCTCACTGCCACAATACTCTCACAGTAAGACACCGTCACTCGGGAGCATTGCGAGCGATTCTATAGCACAAAAAAAAACGAGAGAAAAGGCTACTTTTGACGGTAGAATACAGCAGATACAACGAGATCGTAGAAAGCGAGTGCTCCGGCAAAACCAACGATCGGCAACCAGTCCAGGAAGAAACAGGTGCCGGAACGGAACCGACTTGGATCACAAAGCTCATGCGTGTCGCTGGTAAACAGCTGTATCTTTGGTGTCAGACGTATGAACCACAGCCAAAACTATAGCACATACCAGATACCATCGCATGGTCACGTTCGTAGGGCTCGAGTGTGACCTGCTCCAAAGGCTTAAATTGACTCTCTTTCAAGGTGTTGACTTCTCGACTGAAGACAACCTCCGGGGGTGCAGTCGAGTCGATACAACTGGCCTTTATCGAAATAACGACATGACCGCCGTTCTTCAAGAAGTACTGAGCATTGAGAATCACAAGGCGAGCCTGGTCTGGCTGGGCAACATCCGCAAAGATCACATCTACGGTTGAGAGCAGCATGCGGTATTTCTGTGGTGTACGGGCGTCCTCGATGATGGCTGCGATAGGAATCAGTCAAGTGCAAGCTACTGGAATGATTGAACACTTACGGATGACATTTGTTCGCTTCTTTGCCATGTCAATCAAGTCACGGCCTGACCGCAACGAAAACTCAACAGCGTACACAACTCCTTCCTGAACCTTGTATGAGCTGCCGCTACAGTCACAATGTAGCTGGTACTCACTGGACCAACGATGTCTGCTACATGACTGACACTGGTTCCACTGGCGGCACCAAGATACAAAACCTTGCTTCCGGGATGTATATGAATGTGGTCAAGACCGTTGAGCACGCCCGCCGCCAGCTTGCTGCGAAACGGGTTCCATACTCGATACTCTGTCTTGGTGCCGTCGATACCCCCGTCGATGGATATCCGCTTCTCGCCATATACTGCCACCCCAGGGACAAGGTTCTTCGTGACCAACATGCTGTCCTTGCCTTTTGCAATGAATATGCCAGGGTGACGGTGAGGCTCAAGAATGACGTTTGAACCGCCTCTCGCGCCTCCCCTTCCACCGCGTCCACCACGACCTCCTCGTCCTCGGTCGAAACCGCGTCCTCCACCTCCTCGTCCTCGGTCACCACCGCGTTTTGCGATTCCACCCCGACCGCCACCTGAACATCCATCAAGAACTACGATGCAGAATAGGTCAATGCTTGCTCACCTCGCCCTCGTTCTGGTCCGCCCCTCCCTCCTCTAAAACCACCGCCTCGACTGCCACCGCCTCTGCCTCCAAATCCACCGCGACCTCCTGAAGCGCCTGAGGGGACGTTAGACTCACTTCCATTATATCAGAGTGACTAGAGCATACCAAACGCCATTTTTGTGGGCTGTTAGAAGAGTGGAATGTCTGGGTGGTCAGGCAGAGCGGAATTTGCTGAAATTTTGAAGCTGAGTTCACGAACGATCGAGCATTTCCAAATCCAGAAGCGATTATGTATATGAAGCAAACAAGAACAAATATCCCATCCACCAATCGCAGGCTTCCCTGCTGACCGTCTGTCTAAGAAAATGAGCATGCTATCTGTACATATGCCATTAATTATGGCTTGCGATCGTAGCCGGGTGTTTTCCCACCACAATTGATTGCAGGGCGAGCACATTCTTGAGCCGATACCGTAGTTTTGCTTGTTTATTGATTGGTTCATACTATTAGTTGCGGAACTCATGGTGTACTAACTTGAACAAGGACACTACTGGAGCGTAATTTTCTCGTAGTCAGGTATGTGTTCCCTTTGACGGCCCTGGACGAACGAGAGAGCGACTCAGCAAACGATGTTGCAAAATTAAGTGGCCGTTACACCTACGAAAGGCAATCTGGTAGAAGCCGTTGAGCAACAAGGACAAATACGCGATTTGGACGCGTACGCGTTGCAGACGCCACCTGCAAGGAATATACGCTCTCTTTGATTTTCTCCAGAATGGTTGCAACAACATCAGAACAGGTCGGTGAACGCGCTCGGAATGCATCTGTAAGATTGTGCTGAGACGTATGCCTCACAAGTTAGCGGCACTGTCCGGAACTACAGTTGGTACGTTCAGCCATCCCCGCTCCCCGCTACCGCTAGGTAACAGCTGCACCGCCAGTTGTCCACCCTCTCGTCCTCCTCTCTGTCACGGACCACCACGCCCGTTCAGTCGCCCGCAGTTCGAGCAAACGTGTGATTGGCATCCTACTAGGCCAAGACAACGGCAAGAGCATCAACGTCGCGAATTCCTTCGGCATTCCCTTCGAGGAGGACGAGAAGGACAGCAAGACATGGTTCCTCGACCATAACTATATTGAGGGCATGTGGGAGATGTTCAAGAAGGTCAACGGTCCGTAGGTCGCTGCTCGTCGCGTGCTGTCTCTTGCTGACACTCGGTACGCTCTGCAGCGCGAGAACGGATGATCGGGTGGTACCACACAGGCCCGAAGCTCCGCGCATCGGATCAGGAGATTAACGACCTTTTGAAGCGATATATTGCGCGGCCCGTCATGGTCATTGTGGACGTACGACCACAAACAGTGGGCATCCCGACAGATGCGTATTTCGCAGTGGAAGAGATCAAGGACGTGAGTTGTAAGGCTATATCTGGTTTGTTATTCATCGTGACAATTTTGCCTGAATAGGATGGCACAGAAACAAGGAAGACATTCCTCCATGTACCGTCGGCAATTGAGGCAGAAGAGGCAGAGGAGATCGGCGTCGAGCACCTTCTGCGCGACATCAAAGACTCCACAACGACGACACTCGCAACACGCGTTTCCGAGCAGCTGGCTTCGTTGCGAGGGCTCCAATCGCGTTTAACCGACATCCAAAAATACCTTTCGGATGTCGCAGCAGGCAAGATGCCAATGAACCATCAAATTGTCTACCATCTCCAAGACGCGCTCAACCTTCTCCCTAATCTCAGTGACCCAGAGCTTACACAAAGCTTTGCGACAAGTACGAACGACGAACTATTGGTCGTATACCTGAGCAGTCTTCTGCGAGCAGTCATCGCATTGCATGCTCTGGTCGACAATAAAGCCTCCATTGGGCGCGCGGAGCTGGAGGAAACCAAGGGTGTAGAGGAGAAGGACAAGAAAGAGAAGGTCGGTAAAGGAGAGGATAAGGAGGAAAAGAAGGATGAGAAGGCGGAAAAGGAGAAAGGAAAAGACTCGGGCTAGGACGGCTAGGACGGCAGGCTTTGTTGAATCTGTCGCCACGCCCGGACAGTTTGTGTCGCAAGTTTATTCTTTATGTCCGCGGATTTGCTTGTCCATCGCCCAGCCTGAAACGCCTGCATTACCGAAAGCGACGCGGCGGTCAAGTAAGACTGCCTATACCTCATTCTCCATCGCACGCGCATCATCATGACAAGACGCAGTCGAGACGGCCTGTTTGTTATGCGATTTAGCGTATGTGAACGCTTTCATTTCCATCAACACGACGCTGAGCGCATATGATGACGCAACTGGTGAAGAGCACTTGATGCTGATCTTCAAATTAGCAGCGCAGAAAAGAGAGATGCAATTAAATTGTTATGCTTTGACGAAGTGTTCGATGATGATGCACATAATCTACCGACAACAAGCGAACACCGTCCCAAGCACTGCCATCGACACAAGTTGGTTGATTGCGAGCTCCACCATCGACGACATGAAAGGGGACTGCTGTTACTTCTCCGTGACGAACCCTTTGCCAGAGTAGCCCTCCGATGCAATACCTAGCGAAACACGCGTCAACAACATGCGCATCCGGCAGGGAGGGTATAGGCACTGACCGGAGATGGGGTTCATTTTCTGTTCTAGAGCGCGTTTGTTCGAGGCCTCCTGCCATTCCTTGGTGATCGTCTTCGGCGGAGGCGCCGCTGGATAGAGCACGATTGAGACAAACAAGAATGTATACACGGAGAGAGAACAACCAACCAAGGGTTTTCAGTGAGTAGTACAGGATGACTGTCGCCCCGAGACCAGCGGCGGTACCGACGAAAACCTTCATCGTGGTGCCCGGTGGGTTGACAGGAGCTCGTGGACCATGGGGTCCGAACGCGACATAATACGCTATGCGTCCGAGAAACGACCGCATACATCGTCAGCCCCGCTGCGCGCAACCAAATCGCAGACTGATTCTGCGACGATAGCGCGATGAGCACGCACCGGCCTTCTTCTCGTCAATGGAAAGTGTCTTCCAGTCCTTCTTCTGAATTTCCTCAAGCTGCTGGTGCACTGTAAGCTGCTCGTCGGGCGAGAAGTGCTCCCATTGCGCCTCGACGTTCGAGAGCGATATCGCAGACGAGGGTGCAGACGCGGCGGGGGAAGCCGCGGTGTTAGGCGCGTTCGCCGTCGCCGCGATCGAGCGGACGAGAGGGCGAAGGGCAACTCGAGGACGCGCCAGGCGCAAGGCTTGCATGAGTAGTGACGGAAGCGGAGGGAACGGTGAGGGGATTGTGCAGGACGGTGACCCTGTGTGGAGGACGCGCGAAAAGGGAGCAGCGCTGCGACAACACCGACCGCTAAACGCCGGCGCGGAGCGCCACGGGATCATCCGTGCCAGTGATATCAGTTTCATTATCCGAATAAAACGGCCCAGAGCGAACTCGGGCTCCTCTCGTCTGTTCTGGCCGATGTCGCTCAACGCTTAGTGCGCCAGAGCATGGTCAGATGCTCCTCCCATCCGCCTACGGAGTCGAGGAGCTCATGCGAGAGGTGGTACGCTGTGTTTTGTTCTTCCAGCCACCCTCCGCCACAGCTCAGCGCACTCTGACCAATATTCAACTTCGCATTTTCCCCAGGGAGAGTGATAAGATTGCGGAGTTCGAACTGTATGATGGAATCCAGGATCCGGAACGCGATTGCGATCGAGATGTGGCCTCGGATGGCCCGCCCACTCCCGGAAAAAAGGCGGGAAGGAAGCCTCGGGTCGACTGAGGTCGTACTACGAGACACTGAGCCGTTCGCAAGAAGCAACTGTGTTATATGCACTGTAAAGGCGGTTAGGTCAAAGTTTACCACCGGGCGTCATTGCAAGTACCATTGCATATGGGATCCGACTGGTGACTACGACAACTTTATCCAGACGCTTTGTCTCAAGTGGAGATGCTAGATATAGCGAGTGCAATATGGTAAGACTACAAATGTTGCGACATTATGCATGTAACGTGGGTGTGTTCTATGCATAGCATGCGACTACCAAGCAGATGAGGGGGAGATGCGCTGTTGCTCGTAACACGTGCGATATTAGCGGAATAGGATCATATCATACTTAATGCGGGTGGCGGGCAGTCGTGTGACAGCAGGGAAAGCTTTCCAAACAAGTCAGCTAAGAATGCTACTTCAGGTTACGGACGAACCGCCGCACCAAGTCATCACCGCTGAAAACAGAGTATCCACTCTAGTAGCTGCTGCGCCTTGTGGCCGCCTCAGGACAGTCGCGCGAAATGTGCCCGATCTGTCCGCATTTATAGCACTCGACGTCCGACCTGCCTCTACCACGACTGTCACGATTGTTGCCTCCGCCCTGGTTGACGCGGCATTCGTGCGCCTAGTTATTGATGCGATCAGCGTAGGCGTAACACAAGAGGCCGATCCACTTGCCAAGTGTCCCTCCTGACCGCACCTGTAGCACGTCTTCGCCTTCGGTTCAGCAGTGCAGTCCCTCGATATATGGCCCTCCTGGCCGCAGTTGTTACACATTCTCCCCTTCGGGCAGTTCCTCGACACATGGCCCTCCTGGCCGCCTATGGCAGATGTGTGAAGAAAGAACAGAGCATAAAAAGAAGCAACCATTGCCCACAGTTATAGCTAACGAACCGCGGAAGACAATATATTCAGAGGTACTGGCAAAGAGCGGTTGGATATGACTCACCAAGTAACTTTTCTTGCCTCAGGGCAATTTGCCGCAAAGTGATCGGCTATGTACCCAGCATCAAATAAGATTAGATTCCAGCTGCAGGCTCGCAGCCAGAAGCCCAAGCAGCACACGAGTGTGTGCTGCGACGGGGAGGATCACGTACGTGAACCACAATTGAAGCAGGCGCGTTGGGATGATGATTCTCGGAATCTTCTGGGAGGTGTTAGCGGATCCGTTATGTTGAGCGCGCTCGCCGTCACCGCGATCGAGCGGACGAAGGGACGGAGAGTAACTCGGGGACACGCCAGGCGCAGTGCTTGCATGACTAGTGATGGAAGGACAAGAGGATGGTGCAGGACAAGTGACCGTACGTGGAGGACTTGCGAAAAAGGGAGCAGCACCGCGACACTTTTTTTTTCGACCGCTAGACGCCGGCACGGAGCACGGGGACCAATGATCTCGGTCTCATTATCCGATCGCGCAGAGCGAAAGTACTCCATCTCTTCGGGCCAACGTCGTTCAACACGCGCGCCAGAACATGATCTGATGAAACACCGGAAGATATGCTTATATTGCGCGAACAAACGCGCATCTCATACATGCATCGACAGACGGGATCACAAGAGTAGATAAAATGAACACGAAACAATGTCGGACATGAACATATGCTCAAGCAGCACTCTCAGCAATGGCTTCCGTGGTTCCAGGGCAGTCGCGCGAGATGTGTCTACAATGTTGTCAGTTGAGCTAGAGCAAGACGCATTTGCAAGGACGTACCCTTCGGAGCCACAGGTGTAGCACGCCTTGCGTTGCGGCTGGGGGCAATCTTTGGAAATATGTCCCTGAATCACCAATTAGAACATACTAGCGCCAGATATATGCAACCGACTTACGAATCCCGAGCAATTGTAGCACTTTGAGCCTTGCACGCAGTCACGCGATAAGTGACCGACGCCTCCGCAGGAGAAGCTGTTAAAGCAAACAAGTCGGCCTAAGCATGCTACTCTGTATATGAAACGACGCACCACGTTCGCTGGTTACCCCCGCTGAAAGCAGAGTGTCCACTCTGGTAGCCGCCGCTCGTAGCTGCCTCGGGACACGCACGCGCAATGTGTCCGATCTTTCCGCATCTATAACACTCAGTGCCCGAGCTGCCGCCGCCATAGCCGCCGCTCGTCGCGTTTGCATTCTCAGGGCACTCTCGCGACTAGTTATCGACGAGGTCAGCAATGGACGCGACACAAAAGGTCGATCCGCTTACCAAGTGACCCTCCTGGCCGCACTTGTAGCAAGTCTTCGCCTTCGCTTCGGCGGTGCAGTCCTTCGAGACGTGGCCCTCCATTCCGCCTACGGCAGAAGTGTAGGAAAAGTACAGAATATAGAAAAACGCGACTGCTTACAGTTATAACTATCGATTCAAGAAGGTTGTCAATTCTGTGGTGGTGGAAAAGAGCGGTTGGACATAACTCACCAAGTAGGTGTTCCTGCCCTGGGGCAATTTGCCGCCTGGTGACCGACTATGTTTCCAATGTCAACCAAGAACGTATTCCAATAGCAGACACGCAGCCAGCAACCCATGCAACCACACAAGTGTGCGCCGCGGCGGGGAGAAAAATCACGCACATCCACCACAGTTGAAGCAACCACGCGCGCCAGCCATTTGTTGGGCTTTTTGGGAGAAGACTAATAGATCGAGGAGAGTACGAGTGATGTACAAAGAGCAGGCTAGAAAAACGATACGCTTTTATAGACTAGAGAAGAGGGCTGAGGGGACGATGGTTGATGGGATGAGGACGAAGACGATCGAGGCGACGGCAGGAGAAAAGTCCCAAAATCATACGTAAGCGAAATCCCGGCCATTCAAACCACGTGCATTACCGCATGGCGGGCGCCTTCCTGGATGGCGCAGCTGCAACGAGGCGGCTACCCTGAGCAATGCGGCTGCCAGAAGCGTGCGCCTCTATCATATCTTAGAGGATGATGACCTTCCTCGGCCCACATAATTGAGGTCTAGGACGAAGAAGGCGATGGAGAGGTTCCCAGGGACGTGAGTGTTTGAATTCTCACATCCAGCGTGTTTGACTCATCATCGCGGCGACGGCCAGATGAGCGAGCGGAACCTGTCGACAATCTGGATACATGGGCATATATACTTTCCGTACGCGGAGTGCACGGGTCATAAGGCACGCCGCCCATGGAGGTACACAACGCTTCCTCAACTCCGACGCGAGACCAGAAGCCCGCGGCAACAATGCAACATCGGTCCCGCTATGCAGAGAAGTCCAGCAAAGTCAGCCAAGGAGCACGCGAGTCAGTCTGTGCAGCGACGACCTAGAGTATGCTCAAGAAGTCGTTACGAGAGTGCGAAGCCCTCAGTATTCGGCCGACGACATGGTATGACAAAAACGAAGAGAAGCTGATGTCGCGTACGAACACGTTCGCATTATCGATATCAGACTGCCACCTCCAACACACTGGTTTCCAGACTTCCTGAAGGGATATGCGGCCCATCATGCTGTGTTCTGCAGGTCCGACATTTGCAAGCGTACGAACGAGATTTCCTTTGAATTTGTATTGCAACCCGAGCTGCGGGCGACTACACGCGAATGTGTGAAAGACGGTGCACGCGTGCGCCCATTATACTGCGGCAGGTTTGGGCGGGCGCTGCTCCTCAGGCGGGTTCAAGAACACCTGCGGCGAATCAAGCAAAAATGTAATGAGCACGCGCGCGCAGAGGACTCGAGATCGTACGACGCACCTGCTGGCCACCGACACCATTCTGCCAGTGCTGGTACCGGAGGATCGTCAACCCCCGCTTCTCAGCGGCGACGCGCTCGTTTTCCTTCAGCGACTGGCGGAGGGCCCGCGCCGCGATCTGGGTGTACTTGTTGTACCTGTAGCGCGAGTATGTAGAGGAGACGAGAGACGATGGCCAAAGCCGCGAGACTCACGTGAATACACTGCGCCAGATAGTACCGCTCATCGTGTTGGACAGTCTGGAGAGCTTCGTGCGTGTTGTGCGCCAGATGGGATGTCCCGGCGAGCTCCGGCGAGTCACGTGTATACGCGCCACAGTGATCGGCGCCATGGCGCTGGGTGCTCGGTCGCTGAGCTTGCCCACCAAGTAACCTCAGCTTCGAGCTTCAGCCTCCGTCACGACGCTTCCTTCTACGACCCCTACGGACTCTCTTACATTATACTTTATCTGAACGAGGATTGTGAACAGAATCATAGCGGGAAAGTATGACCGGCGTAGCATGGCACTACGTCCTGAAGTTCATCATTACAGGTACGTTAGCATTAGCTCAGTAGCCTGAATGATTGTTCACAGCAGCCCTCCCCATCAGGCGATTCCTCGGTTGGCAAATCCTCCTTGCTCGTACGCCTCACGGACCAACGATTCCTCGCCAATCCTGACCCAACAGTGCGTCCCCCTGCTCTTCCCCGCTTCCTCACACCAGCTCACGTTTATCCGCCCGCCTATCCATCCGCCCCCTAGCTAGGAGCAGAGTTCGGCTCAAAGCTCATCACGATTCCCGAGGAGAACAAGGTCGTCAAGCTCCAATGTGCGTATGGTTGTTCAGTACACAGATGCGGCTACAGTAACGCTGATGGGAATAGGCAGGTTGGGACACTGCCGGCACTGAGTCGTTCAGGTCCATCACGCGCTCATACTACCGCGGCGCGGCGGGTTGTTTGCTCGTATACGACGTGACATCGCGGCAAAGTCAGTACACCCGCCGTCCTCTCCGTGTCTTCTCACGCCCATTCCGCCTCTTCCCACTCACCCACCTCTGCGCCGCTAGGCTTCGTAAACGCGCGCTCATGGCTCGCAGACGTCCGCGAGCACGCCGACCCACACCTCACCTGCATACTCGTCGGAAACAAGATTGATCTCTGTGCCGACGACACCGACGCGCCGTCCGTGCCAGCACGGCGCACGCGCGAGGTAACCACGGAGGAGGCGGAGCAATGGGCGAAGGAGGAGGATTTACTGTTCGTCGAGGCGAGCGCCAAGTCGGGGCTCAATGTTCAGGAAGCATTTGAGCAGGCGACGCGCGACATCCTGGACAAAATCCGCCGAGGAGTGTTTGACGACGACAGGGTGAGTGCATGGATGATTTTTTTGTTCGCGATGGACGTCTGGCTGATTGTTCTGTCATAACCTGTCCTTGTGCCGCTCAGTCTCTCGGTGTCAAGCATTCGAAGCCGTCTGCGACGAACGTGTCACTGGATAATGACGCACCTAGAGGACGCTGCTGCTGATATAGATACCCGTTTTAGTCGCTGTGATTGCGTTCGGTATGTATGCTCCTTATGTACCGACTTGAGTGTATAGTTAGTGTATTTGGTATCTCCATGATGTTTGTTCCGTGCGTTAGTACAAAGATTAAATAGGACCGACGTGATGGTGCGTGACGGTGTACATATCCGCGTGAAAGGTGAGCTCTATATACTAAGGATATACGATAAAGTACGATGCGTGCAGACAGTGTTTTTTGTGCGTGGTGCGATCGGTTATGACGCGCCTTAAGCGATGCGAGGAGGCAATGAGAGCTGTGTGAGGCGAGGAGGACTGCGGAGGGGCGAAAGCGATGAGGAGGCAGGGCCGGATCCTGGTAGCAGTCGTACGTGTGCGAAAGCTATTGCACGGATCCTTGTAACGAGCGGGCATATTCATTCAGCTGCATGATGAACCCGGGGTTTGGCTCCGCCTGACTGTACTTGGACAGCAAGAACTGCAATGCACGGTCTGGTGTCCAGCCGTACTCCGCGATGAGGTACGCGCACACGACGCTCGAGCTCCGGGAGACGCCCTGCACGCAGTGCACGAGCACGCGGGCGTTTGGGTCGCGCAGCGCGTTCGCGACAAACGCGGTGGACGTGGGGAGGAATTCCGCGAGTTCCGCGAACGGGCTGTCTTGGAGGGGAAGCTGGAGCTGCTTGATAGGCACGTCTGGCGGGAGGATGACGCGTCCACACATCGCGCTGAGGACGTGCGTGATGCCGTGTGCGCGAAGGCTGGCTGCGCTTTCGGCGGACGCGAGATCGGAGATGTAGAGACGCGGGACGATCTCCGTGGGCGTACATGGCTGCTGAGGGGTGGGCGAGAGGCCTGTGCGTGCGGTGTGCCAGGAGGACGAGTTTGGAGATGGAGTAACTGGGGAGAGCAGGACGCTCGGGGGCATGGACAGGGAGATCTGTGGAGTGCGTTTGCGAGACATCTTGGGGCATCAGACTCGTGCAGTGCATTAAATCAGCGTGGCAAGGACAAGACGGACCATAATATAGTATTAATTTATGAATGCGCGCTTGGACCACAATAAGGGAATGATGGCTTGGGGAGGGCCACAACCACGAGGGAAAAGATCAGTTGGGATAGGGTCTGTGTCGGTTGTTATTTAACCGGAGAGAGGAAGTGATGAGAATATGATCAAGGAGCTGCCGTTAAGGTACCGGGATGGATTCAGGCGAGGGACACTTTATAGTTGTGGAGGAGCGGTGCAGGACGCGAACGGGCAGGCCGAGGTCCAAACGCTGGTACGCGGGGTGGAGGAGGCAGTGAGGTGCATGCGACAGAACGGCCATGTCGGATCCTCCATGGGCCCCCGACCTTCCCCTGCAAGCGTCGGCCGTTTCCCACGCTCGTCGGCACAGCCTCCTTGTCCTGACCAATCACATGATGTTGGCTGGTCAGCGACTCCGGCGTGGCCTGCGCCGTCATCGCCTTCAACGTACGCATCAATCCACGTCAAACCTTCGGAGAAACAGATGCATGGATAGCCATAATCATATGAAAACACATGGCAAAAGCGTAGGCCGAGCTAATATACAGTCAAAAAAGACAACGCTTGGATTCGCTCGCAGTTCTCGTGCAAAGCCGACGGTGAAAAAAGACGTAGAATGCGACAACAACAAAGGCCAAATGGCGCGAGCGGAAAAATAGGAAAATCGTCCTGATCCTCTGATCAGATTGCGCGTCGGTTCCAGTGATGATGAGAGCGTTCGTTCGTATAATGTATGGGCAGCGTGGTGTGAAAACCGTCTAAATGAGATCGCTAAACGTGAAACAGTGAGATGCCATCCCGCCCAGACATAGCAAAGCAAGACTTACGCGACGTTAAGAGGCATTTCATCAATCTGAGTGTTGTAGAATTCTGTATGACGGTTCCGGCTCAGTCACAGGTAGCGCCCTGACAAATGGAGACTTACGTTCGATATCCCTCAGCATGCGCACGTCCTCGGTTGTGACAAAGTTGATGGCGACACCCTTCCGACCAAATCGCCCGCCACGGCCAATACGGTGAATGTAGTTCTCCCGGTTCGTCGGAAGGTCATAGTTGATGACCAACGACACCTGCTGCACATCAATGCCGCGGGCAAGCAGATCGGTCGTGATGAGAACACGCGATGAGCCCGAGCGGAATTCCTTCATCAAGACCTCACGCTGTTTCTGTTCCATGTCGCCATGCTAAAGCAACCGAACGTATCAAAATCTCAGTTCATATAACTCTGATGGACGCAACCGCTTACCATGGCTGAAACAGTGAACTCCCTCGAGTGCATCTTCTCAGTCAGCCAGTCAACTTTCCGCCTTGTGTTGCAGAAAATGACAGCCTGGGTGATGGTGACCGTCTCGTACAAGTCGCACAGCGTGTCCAGTTTCCATTCCTCCTTCTCCACCGCAATGTAGAACTGCTTGATACCCTCAAGGGTCAACTCGTCACGCTTGACGAGGATACGGACGGGATCGCGCATGAACTTCTTCGTCACCTCGAGCACATCCGCGGGCATCGTAGCCGACAGCAGCACAACTTGGGTATCCTGAGGAAGGAGCTGGAAGACTTCGTAGATCTGGTCCTTGAATCCACGCGACAACATCTCATCGGCCTCGTCGAGACAGAAAATTTTGATGGTCTCCGTCTTGAGCGCGCGGCGGGTGATCATGTCGAATACACGGCCGGGAGTACCGACGACGACTTGCGCACCCTCCTGAAGCTTGGCCATGTCCTCGCGGACGTTAGTGCCGCCAACGCAAGCATGGCACTCGATGTTCATGTAGTCGCCGAGGGCGACGACGACTTTTTGGATTTGCTGAGCAAGCTCACGCGTTGGCGCGAGGATGAGTGCCTGGGTGCCCTTGATGTTGGGATCGAGCTTTTGGAGGATGGAAATGGAGAAGGTGGCAGTCTTGCCGGTTCCGGACTGGGCCTGGGCAATAACGTCGTGTCCCTTGATGACGGGGACGATGGCGCGCTGCTGGATAGCGGAAGGGCGCTCAAAACTAACACATTATCGTCAGAAAATGTCCTATGCTCATCCTAGGCATGCAAGAAAGGCTCACCCATAGGCATAGATTCCACGGAGCAGGTCAGGCTTCAGGTCCATATTATCGAAACTGCAAATCCACACGATCAGCACCTCGCACAACCACCAGAGCACACCATAACGTACTTGTCAACAATCTCGTTCCAGTTGGACTCAATCTCCCCCTCCTGGACATCCTGAAGAGTATCTCTGTGAAGCGGAAGAAGGATCAGTAATACTGAGAGAACGCAAATCGAGCCTGCTACTCACGCCGACATGATGGATTGTGTAGTTTTTCTTCTTCGGTAGTCGACGCCTAGCCGACTAGAGACACGAGTAGTGGTAAAAGTTCGCGGAAGATCGATGCGATCTGTTGCTTGGTGGTGGTCTCGGAGGACGTTGTCGAAAGCAAATTTCTACCGTCCGTGATGATGAATGGCGATTCGGCAAATACCGCAATATTCGAGCTCCGCTGCCCCGTTTTGGCCTGTCGCCTTACCTCAGCGCATATAGGCAGCTCGACAGTCGCGTCCACTCCTCTTCGTCCAATTCACCAGCTCGAATCTTGCAGTATGGCGACACAAGTACAGACGTCCACTATCGCGAACGGTATCAAAACGAATGGCAAAATCAAGTCCAAAAATCAGCTACGCCGTCTGAAGGCGAAGCAGAAGAAGGCGGAGGAGAAGTCGGCGACTCCGGTGCGTACTATAGCGGTTTGTCCCTCCAGACGTGTTCTGATGATTATGTGTCTAGCCAAAGGAAGAGGAAAAGCCAGATATCAAGATGGACGAGGCAGAGCAGTCTATGGATGTCGAGTACGTACCTGAGCAATTGGATGTCAAAGGTCCTGCCGTCGAAGAGTTCTCCGACGTCTTTGCTCGTTTCCAGTTGCCGCCTGAATCAGCATTGGTACGTTCATTACGCTCGCTAATATGGTTTGTTCTTGTTAATATGTATCTACTTACAGCAGAATCGTGACCAGGAACATGGCAAGGGAGAGATCATCTACTCGGACGACGATATGGAATCGGAGGGCGACTCTGAAGCCGAAGAGAAGAAGCCCCTCTCGAAGAAGAAGGCTCGCAAGATGAACCGACTGACAGTCGCAGAGCTCAAGCAACTCGTAAAGAAGCCTGAAGTCGTCGAATGGACGGACGTCACAGCAGCTGATCCTCGCTTGCTTCTGCAACTCAAGAGCTACCGGAACACAGTACCTATTCCGAGCCACTGGAGTGCAAAGCGCGACTACTTGCAAGGCAAACGCGGAATTGAGAAGCCTCCTTTCCAACTACCATCATACATCGCCGACACCGGTATTGCCACAATGCGCGATGCCGTAAAGGAAAAGGAGGCAAATATGTCTCTCAAGGCCAAGACCCGCGAGAGGGTCCAGCCAAAGATGGGCAAGGTCGACATCGACTACCAGAAGCTGCACGATGCCTTCTTCAAGTTCATGACGAAGCCGAATGTCACGGGCTTTGGCGAGATGTGAGCGCTCAGGTTGGTCGTGTTCGTCACCCTTGCTGACGGAGTCTAATGCGCGTAGGTACTATGAAGGCAAGGAGTTCGAGACTCAGTTGAAGCATAAGCGTCCTGGTGATCTCTCGCCAGAGCTAGTAGAAGCTTTGTCGATACCGCCTCTTGCGCCCCCACCGTGGTTGATTAGCATGCAAAGATTCGGCCCTCCACCAAGTTATCCGACATTGCGGATACCTGGCTTGAACGCGCCTATTCCAGAAGGGTGAGTCCTATTCTGCTATCTGAACGAGTTTGTGCGCTAACAAATTTTCCAGAGCGCAATGGGGTTTCCACCCGGGTGGTTGGGGTAAGCCTCCTCTTGATGAGTACAATCGTCCATTGTACGGTGACGTCTTTGGTGTGATGCCAAAGAACACCGATGCCGATGTGAGTGCCGCACATGTGTTGGAGAGCGCGTTGACTGATGACTGCTGCGTAATCAGATGGGCGAGCCCGTTGATCGTAACCTATGGGGAGAGCTTGAGCCGGAAGAAGGTGCGTTCTTTGCATCATTCTTTTCCTATTTGGTTACTTATATCATGCTACAGAAGAGGAGGAGGAAGAAAGTGAAGAGGAGAGCGAAGAGGAAGAAGTCCAGGAACAGGCACCGCAAGAAGGCTTGCAGACTCCGTCTGGGCTTGCGACGCCATCAGGTATGGCCAGTGTTGTCTCAACAGTGGCTGGCGGGCTGGAAACACCTGATTTCCTTGAGTTGCGCAAGAATGCGGGACGGGCTCAGTCGGAAGCCGTGGAGACAGGTCCGAGATCGCTGTACCATGTCGTGCCCGAGAAGCAGACATCTGTCAGGGGTATCATGGGCAGCGAGCGTGGATACGATGTCACTGCGGTTACAGGCAGCGGTGCGATTCCGGTGCTCGGAGACGAAAGGGGCTCGAAGGTCCGTATTTCCTTACTCAGTATGTGAGAAGGTTCGCTGATTGTCGTTTCCTACAGCGGAGGACGAACGGCGTGGAAGTGTCGATAGACGCTTCGGAGCTGGAGGGTATGTCGGAAGAGGAGCTGCGCAGGAAGTACGAGCAGCACTCGCGGGGGTCTGCTGGTGTGCCTGGCGCAAACGGCAGAGAAGACTTCTCGGATATGATCGCGAAGGAGATGGCGAAGAAGAAGCACAAGGCAGACCGGGACAGGGACAGGAAGGAGAAGGAGTTCAAATTCTGAGCGGCTGCTGCTGCCTGTTTGTCGCGTTTCGGGGTGTTGTGTACGTAGTATTGTATTTAAATATATCGATTACTTGCTGTTTCTGCTGCACAGTACGATTGATATGTGTGTGCCTCCAGTTAAGCTCTTTCCTCGAGTCAATCGTGCGTATCAGTATGATTTGCTCAGTTCTGAGCGCTGTGAGCAGCTCATACGATGAGAATTATAAATCAAAGATTTGATAGTATGTGATGTGGTAGGATTGTTTAGAGTATACATTGATCCTCGTATATGCCACGTCCATGCAGCCCATCAAATTTCTGCCGCTTCTTCGCAAATCGTCATCACTCGAAGAGAGCATCAAGTCCATCGAGATAACTGTTGGCCAAAAAACAATGTAACAATCGTATGGCAGCACATGGCAGATTATCGAGCTACTTACATGTCTGGTGATGCCTGCAGCATTCTGGACCCATCGGGAAGACAGAAAACGCACTTCAAAGGAACTAAGCTTCGCATCAGCGGGTCATTCGCGTGCATCCAGCTGCACACACAGACACTCACGCGCGAGGATCCCGTCGACGTCTGAAGGGTGTTTCACCGACGTGGGAGGCTCATCGTCGCGCTGGCGATCACGACTGTGGATTTCCATTTCTCCGGCCACCTCTATTTCATCAAGCGCAAGCTCTCTGAGACCGTGCGGTGCATCAGTCTCGGACTGGCAATCGTGACGCTTGCGAATTTCGGCGCGGTCTGCATCAGCTTCGGCCTTGTCCGTTGTGTGCCGTCCACGGAAGCAGACTTGCATATTATTATATGTGTCCTGACACATCTTCTCGCACATGTAATGTGGACCGCAATAAATGACGCATGCGCTGTCTACATTGTTTCCTTCGCAGTACGATGTCTGGCATCGCGGGCAGGTTATGTCGCACTGCTTTGGGGGAGACCTTAATGGTGACAATGAATGGATAGACATGCTAGAAGGAACATGAGGGCCTTTGCAGAGGCGCAGGAGACAATACACGTACGGTACAATGCGAATGTGTCTTGTGGCAACGGGCGCTTCCCGAGCGAGTGGCATTGAGTGGCCCGAGGTGTAAATCAGTGAACAAAAGGCTCACGACGTTGTAATCGGCCACATACTCGATGGCCGGTGGGCTCGGCCCGTGACCGAGCACGGGGACATTGCGATGGCGCTGTAACGTGCCAGACAGGCAGACTGATGTGAACAATACTCACGAGAGAAAAGGTATCCTGACCATCCCGCCAGGACAACGACAGCACAGCAGCTCAAGTCGATGTGTGAAGAGCAAAACTCACCCATTCTTCATAACGTGTCGCGTGAAATCATTGCACGGAGCTGAGGCGTGCTTGCATGCAAGCTCTGCAGGTCAGACGGATGATGGTGCAAACACCGATAAATTCCACAGATATACACATTGTTCTTACTTCTGCGCGGTAATCTTCCTATGCATATAGTCCAGCGTGCTCGATGCACGCAACAGCGCCTTCAGACCAGATGCAGTGATATCCGTGTCGGTCGCGATGCCCCAGGCATTCAGGCGGATGGCGCCGCCGTCCGCCTCGTACGCGAGCTCGATATACGATGCAGCTTTCACGTCAGAGCCCTCACCGATAGAGTGCTCCGCGTACTCGCGGATCGTCGCCTTTCCGTCGATGTGCTCATTCAAGGCGGCTTGCGCTGCAGTGAGGAGACCGTTGCCCTGCCCAGATACCTGCGTGAGCTTGCCGTTGATGATGAACTCTCCTGTGAGCTCCTTGCGGCCCGTCTCTCCCAGGTTCTCCATCTTGAAGCTCTTGAGCGCGAAACGTCCCTCCCTGTCGGGTGTCTCGTAGCTGTATGTCTCGCGGAAGAGATGCACGAGCTCGGGGTACGACAGCTTCCCGTCCGTCTTGCGCGCCGCGCGCTGCACGACCTCGAAGAATGCGGCCTGTAGGCGACGCGGGAGCTCCAGATGAAGTTCGTTGAGGATGACGGAGGCGATATCCGCCTGGCTGGTTGACGCGTTGAAACCGACACTCAGCTTCAGCTCCGGCAGTTCGCGATCGCCGATGGCATTGTTCGCTGCACTGAGCACCGCGCGTAAACCGGAGCCGGCGATGTCGGCATCGACACCGACCCCCCACCACGACTCGGTCGAGTGGCGAATCTCCTTGATATCTCTGGCAGGGGGGACGAGCTCGACGTACGATGCGGCCTTAGAGTCCTGGCCTTGGCCGATGGCGTGCTCTGAATATTCACGAAGGGACAGGTTGATGTCCAGGTGCGTTCGCAGAGCATCCAACAGCGCCGATAAGGGGCCATTTCCATCTCCACGAATCACACGAAGAACACCATCAACGAAGATCGTGCCATCAAACTGACGACGTTCATCTGCCGCCTCATCCCCATTCTTCAAGTCCGGCGAAGTCTCAGCAGAGATCTTGAAGGACTTCAAGACCAGCCTTCCCTCGTATGTCGAGCCACCATAGTGGTACGTCTTGCGGAAAGCAGTTGTAACGTCCTCTATAGTCATCTCCCTCGCTTCCCGGTCCGCGATGTCCTGGACGACCTGATAGAACGAGATTTGCATCTTCCGCGGCATGTCGAGGCCCAAATGCTGCTGAACAAGATACGCGATGCCACCTTTGCCGGACTGCGCGTTGACACGAATGACTGCCTCGTAGTTGCATCCAAGGTCGGCTGGATCGATTGGGAGGTATGGCATCTCCCAATACAGAGGTTCGCCCTTTACTTTTGCTTCCTCATGTCGTTTCTTCTGCACCTCAAAGCCCTTCTTGATCGCATCCTGATGCGAGCCGGAGAATGCAGTGAACACAAGTTCTCCTGCGTACGGGTGCCGTGGGTGCACCGGCAAATCGTTGCATTGCGTAACGACGTCGATGACTGCCTGTATGTCGCTGAAATCCAGTCCTGGGTTGATACCCTGCGTGTACTGATTGAGCGCGAGGTTGATAATATCGACGTTCCCTGTCCGCTCGCCGTTCCCAAACAGGCAACCTTCAACACGGTCGGCACCTGCAAGCATGGCAAGCTCCGCTGCAGCAATACTCTGACCTGCGGCGTACTTTTAAGCGTCTAAAAGGCACGAATATAGCAGGATGGCTACCTCGATCGTTGTGGGGATGCAGACTGATGACCACCTTCTCTCGTTCCGAGATATGACGGCAGAAATACTCGACCTGCAGGACATGAGTCAACTAATTATAAGCATGGTGAATGCAAGTGTACCTGGTCAGCATAGTGATTAGGTGGGCCGATCTCCACAGTAGCAGGCAGGTTGAAGATGATGCGCTCATCGCCGAGGCCAGCTTTGCCCCATGCAGCCTTGACCGCCTCACACACTTCGAGAGCAAAGTCGGGGTCTGTTTGCGAAAACGTTTCAGGACTGTACTCGAACTTAAAGATCGTTCCATGCTTCGCCGTGCATTCCTCCGTGAGCTTCCTGATGATCTTGGTGTGCTTCACGGCGAGCGCAATAGTCTCTTCTTTTGAATGCCGAAAGACGACCGCGCGGAAGAGACACGACGTCGCATTGTACATGTGGATGATTGCTCGCTTAACGCCTGCGACCGAATCGACCGTGCGCTTGATCAGGTCTTCACGGGCAGGGGTGAGGACCTGAGCTCAACATGCTATCAACGGTTAGAACTCCTCACGCACACGCAAGCACTAACCTGGATCCATACATCGTCCGGCACCTGTCCCTGCTCAATGAGCCCTCGCACAAAGTTGAAATCCGTGTCGCTGGCAGCAGGGTATGCGACCTCGATCTCCTTGAAGCCACACTTGAGAAGAGTGTGGAAGAAGAGGGTCTTTTGAGGAATAGTCATAGGGTTTGCGAGAGCCTGATTACCATCTCGCAGGTCTGTCGACAGCCAGATTGGTGGCTTGGTTGTGACTTTTGAGGGCCATTGGCGGTTGGGGAGGTTCAGAGGAGTGTACGGCTTGTACTTTTGGGAGGGATCAGCTCTGTTGGGTGGAGTTCTGAGTGCGAGGGCATGCCTAGACGAAAGATATTCACTGACAGCATGGGCATGATGGGTCGTTAGGTGCAGAAAATAGTAGTCAAGAGTAGAGAGCCGTTACACATAAAAGCAGATGGCAAGAAACACGAGTCATGTCGAAGTCACAGTCGCAGTCGTAGGCGCCTGGCATAAGTTGACGCCGGCGAAGCAGTCCATTGAAACGCCCGCTTGCTCATGATCAACACTCCATCTGCGTTCACGCATCAATCGAATGTTGCACTCCAATCGCATTCGATGCTAGGATGCTCAGTACTGCTGAAGTGAGTTCACAATCACACTGCATCAAAATATGCTGTCAAACATCGCAGAACGCTGCTTCGTTAAGTAGGACAGACTCCAATTGTTTATCTGTGGCCACCGGAGCTGTCGTTCATTAATCATGAACATTATTATCCGCCTCCTCGCGGCTAGCATCCGCCCTACTTGGTTTCATTCGTGATCCGATACGACATCGTGCAGAGCATTCTTTACAATGCTGCGTTCTTTTCACAACTTCCTGTCTAATGTCAACTTCAAACCTCGCGGAATTCCGCTGTGGCCAGGAAGTGGAACCTCCGTTTAGTGGCCATATCGCTCCGTCTTATCCGTTAATCTGGCCCAACTTCGCGGGAAACGCGCCCGCTGAGTCCTCCTGAATCCTTGGAGACGCAGAAGGTCGGAGTCCCTGAGCATACTGGCCACACATTGGCTTGTGGCTCCCGCGGAATAAGTATGAGCTCGAAACGTGTTCCGAAATTCATCACCGCGATCATCGAACACGTGTGTGATGATGGGCTGTGGCCACCACAAAGGCGCAGTTCGCGCTTCCGACTCCCCTGTGGCAGACAGATATAAATTTCCTCCTCATGAACTGACCCACCGCCCCACTCTCCAGACCTCCTTGCACAATATGAAGAGCCTCTCCGACATTGTCTGCAAGCTCAACACTCTCGCCGTATCCGAGAGCAAGCACTGTGTACGGTGCCACAGGACATACCGCGACCACGAGAATGTGCCAGACGCATGCATCGTCTACCATCTCCCTCATTATTACCATCCTAATTGTGCCGCCATGGTCAAGGGAATCCTGGTCTGTTTCCATGGATTGCATACAACAAATACGGAAGAGGTCGAGTACAATTTCGACAGCGTCAGCCAGTGCAGCGGCAGGTGCCACTACTCAAGCTAGGTGCCGGCGGTGGCAGTACATTCTGTGAGCCGCCTTTGCACAGCTTGTATTTTGCAGCCGATTGATGGCGGGAACCCAGCAGAAGTTTCTATCGAGTGGCGGAGTCCAGAGTCTTGGACATCTATCTTGTTGTACTATTCTAATCTGAGGAACGCTGTTGTTTTGTTCTTGCACCTTTTCAATAGCGTTATATTTCATTGATGCATATCTGCAGACATTCAAATGGTTGTTACTTTCTCTTCCTACTCAATTGACAATTAGATTGCTCGTGAAGTGCTATCGTACTGGATGAATCACGTCCAAATGTCCGAAAAGTATTAATTCTTCAAATCTACAATGATAGCCTCACCGCCATACGCCAGGGCCGCATTCACACTTACTCGACTCGGCATACCCGCCTCTCCACCAGACAAAACAGCGCCATGAGATTCATGAATATGTCCGAACACGTGCAGGCGACACCGCTGGAGATCTGAGCTCTGCAGGCGCGCGGCGAGGTCCTTGCATCCGGCGATCTTGCCCTTCCTTGTCCGATCACATAAGCCAAAGGGCGGTGTATGCGTGAGGAGGATCTCGGTGCTGGGCGGGATTCGCGCATAGACTTCTGCGCCCTCCCCATACTCGTATTGGAATGCGCCCAATGCATAGCGCGGGGCGGCCTAGTTTTCGTGAACGATGCACGTAAACGGATTAGACGATCACATTGAGCACTCACCGGCGAACCATATACACTCCATGTCCTCCCATTTGGTGTCGTAACGCCGACTGATTCAAACTCTAGATAGTAGATTCCCGCTTGACGGAGCTCTTCGCTCCGAACAAGCGTCTGTGCCGCGACAGTGTCCTGATCACCGATGATCATCAAGTAGAGCGTCACAGAGTTGAGCACGCCCTGCACACCTTTATACGTATACGCTCGCCTACGGCACTAGCCAACAAACCGCCCTCTCTCCAATCATTGTCCAAGCAGAGCTGGAGTCATCAATGCACTGCACAACGACAATCCAAATGCAACACGTACATCATGATTTCCCGCGATCATTCTATGCAGATAATGCATCAATCAGATCATTGTAGTAGAAGGAATGCGCTGGTTCTGCTCACATCTTGACAGGATGAGGCAAGCTTTTAAGCCACTCGATCGTGACTCGCAGATGCCTGAACTTGCCCCGTCTACTCAGGTCTCCCGCATGCAAAAGGACATCACCAGGCGGCACCGGATAGATGTGCGAATGAGTATCAGAGACGCAGATAAAACGTGTCCAGGACGGTCCAGGACGAGGAGGAGGGTCATTGATGTCATACTCGTCGTAGACGACAGCGTCCGAGGAGGTGAGGGATGGAGTCGCCTCTGTCGTTATAGTTGAGCTCAAGGAGGTGTTACTAGCTACAGGCATCCGAGAAAGCGAGTTTCTGCACACAGACTTGATGGTGAATGGAGATGATGATGACTTGGATCAGCAAAGCATTCGAGTCGGGTTTTGTGCGCCGAGTGGAGCATCGGAGGCATAAATAAAAGCCGTTTTCTGCATTTAGGTCGACATGTGCGCAACAGCGAGCTAAAAACTTCAGCTCGGTATGTGGCAGGAAGTGCGGACAGGAAGCTATGACTTTGTGGCCAAACGCAATGTGGAAGTCGACAAGAGCAGACATTAAGTCGAATCTGACAGCTGGGTGACTGAAGGGCCCCCTGCCACTTATCAGATCCAGATCGACAATAAATCTCAGATGAAATCATGGACACTCAGACGCCCACAACCGCGTACGGGACTCTTGAGGCAAGTACATAGAAGTTGGCATTGTCACAAACAAACGCGAACATTGTGCTTCCTGCAAGCAGAGCTTTCCCCGCTTTTTATCAGTTGATTTTAATCCGTGCTCTCGCTCTTTTCAGATTGTGAGATGTACAATACATAGGCGGTAGGCCATTTTCTATAGAATAGCTGTACTATAATTCAACTCCTCATGACGAACCCAGGCATACACCACAAATGATTTGCAAGATTTTAGAGGCTGCTAGTCGCTGCACGCAAGCCCAGCAGATACCTTTCGCCCCACATGGCTCGTAAAGCTCTCAAACAATGCTCGATTATTCCCCTTCACCCAATTGAATTCAAGAAACATTCCTTCATCGCGACGTTTTTTGGATCTCGCTTCGTTCTGCTCGACACAAGTGACCCGGCAGAGCAGGGCCGCGCTCAATTCCACAGGCGCATCACTTTGCATCGCGTCTGCGTTTGGTTTCTTCCTCCTAGCTGCTCTGGACCAAGTGTCACGCACTGCCGTGACCACTACATCTGTTGCTGCGATCGAATGGTTTAGAGGGGAGAGAGATCGGACAGAGATTTCTTCGACGCTGGCTAGGGTTGTCGAGAGAGTACTGGCGAGCTGTTCGATGGTAGCGGTAGGATATGGCTGCTGCAGCGTGTTGCGCACGGGCATCAGATCCTGTATAGCAGGAGTTGGTATCCGTGCAAGGCTCTGAGGAGCATAAGAGAGAAGGATGCGTGAGATACTGCCAAGAAACATGTAACAAGATCGCCACACATACGTCGGACAGTCTTACGTCACCGAATGACCATGCGATCGCCCATCGTCGTGTCTGCCCCTGCACGAATTCGGTGCAAGCGTAATTATCAATCTAGACGTAGAGTGTGAGACTTGGCAGGTTCTGGAAAGTAGCAAATCAAGTACGTGTTGCTCGCGTAACAGAGCGATAATTTCCGTCAAGGATGACATCTTGCCCAGCATGGAGGTGAACCACCTGGTAGACCCAGAAGTCAGCAACGTCCGAGACCGTAGGTTACCGAAGGTAAGCGTACCTGCACCGCGCTCGACACCCAAGTGACTCTCTGACCATCTGGCGCACGAAGGCGCTCTCGCCACCTGAAGTAATCATTTCTACATCCGCTCCTGTGCATATCTGAAGACCATTCAGTTTATCATCCAGATTTCCTGCACATCCTTCCATCGACTTACAGCATTCGGCTGAAACTCTTTGGATGCTGCAGAGCGTACTACATCCTCTTTGCTACTGTAGAATGGCGGATTGCACATGGTGAAGTCGAATGGCTCACTATGCCACAATGTCTCGGATGAGATGTACTTTAGATATAGGTGGCAGAGGTGGATCCCAACCTGTGACTGTCACCTTCAAGGCAATGAAAAATCGGATCGCTAGGATTTGACTTCATGATCGTGATTCGTCCATCTAGGTGATTTTGTTGTACATTTATACGAGCGTATTGAAGGGACTTCTCGTCGATGTCTCAAAAAGCGGGAAGTGATTAGCACAATACAGATGCGACAAAGAGCATCACACACACCCGTCGCAACGAATTCCCAGTTTGGCACGGAACGGCATCCCAGGAGAGGATATATGACAGAAGCTCCGGTACCGCTAGCGTGAGTTTAGTCGCATTCTTATTTAAGCGGTGAGAGAACGTACATGTCCACACCTCTCACTGTTTTTACGTGGCGCTCTGGTTCTGCCAGGAACATAGCCTCGAGAACGTCGTGTAGCCATAAGATGTAGTTCAACCTGCAAAGTGTCGTTGGTATGAGCGTGTTGTTATGCCTGCAGCTGAAAGATGGGCAACCTATTTGGCACCTATAGATGTGTGGATTGGCTAATGGATTCATGTAGTCACCTCATAAACGTACCGGTGGACAGAGGCGATCGTCCGGCAATGTAAGCGAGATATTGAAATCCCGGTGGAGCAAGGCCTCCGTCAATCGCCTATCCTAATGCGAAGTCAAGTAATTTTTATGAAGTCGTTGCATAGAATAGCGAAATATGTACAAACCTTTGAGCGGCATCATTTTTGAAGTCAATCGTTACACCAGCAGCCGTCGTAATTAAACTAGGCATCCGCCTCAGTCGAGCGGGTTCCACAGCGACGCCTATAACCGTGTAGCTTACTATGGCTTCAAAGGCTCGTAACTCTCAGCCAGAGCAGTGAAATCCGGTGGTGTACGATATGGGTTTCGGGAATGCATGATGGTCAAGTCGCATGCGATTGCCACAAGTCGAGGTGCCAAGCGCTGGAAGATTGATGCGCCGCAGTGACATCAGTCTCGACAGGACCCGAGACAGTGCCTCTAACAGGATCTCAGATCGATCTCGCTCAATTTCGCTGTCGAGCTCAACGCAGCGCGAGTCACGGCAGCAGCTCTATCCTGCTTTCCAACTTCTGTCACGATGACTGGCACGCTCGTTCTCTCTGCATCGGCTTCACCTTTCCCGTACGCGGCAGCAGCTGCCGCAACATATACTGGCAAAGCAGAGCTCGCGTTCGACGAGAGCGCGTCCGGCGTCACCCTCGAGCTCGATGGCTCCAAGATCACAGCAGAGGACGAGGTTGTGCGGGCACTGGCAAAAGCGGGTGGACTGTCGGATGACAGTGAAAAGGTACGTCGACCATTCGCTTGTCCACCACCCGTGATGCCTGATCGACGAATTCACCTCTACAAATGTAGACACAAGCGTATTTCGCTCTCGCAAAGAAGAAATTGCCTACCACGACTACTTTCCCTGAGATCGTTGCTACTCTTGACTCGCTAGATGACCATCTTGCCTTCCGGACGTTCTTCGTCGGTCATGAGATCTCCGCCGCAGACTGGATTGTGTGGGGTGCTCTCAAGGGTGCGCTGCAATATGTCCTCTCACGTTCACAGACGGACGTTGAGCTCGTAACATCCAGGCAGCGTGAAAATCGTAGGACTTCTCAAGAACAACAAGCACCCCCACCTTCTGCGATGGTTCTCGCATCTCGAATCGCTCGAAACCACTCAGCTTGTTGTCTCGAGCCTTGCTGGTGAGCTAGCAACCCATGGCACATACTACCCAAGCCTCATATAATTATCTCAGATGCGAAGTCACAGAAGGCACGCTCAAACAAGACTGCCGCATCGTTCGCTCTTGGGCTGCAGGATGCGAAGATGGGCGAGGTCGTCACGCGTTTCCCGCCTGAGCCGAGTGGCTACCTTCACATCGGACATGCGAAGGCTGCGATGCTGAACCAGTACTTCGCCAAGATGTACAATGGTAAACTACTCATTCGTTTCGATGACACCAACCCCACAAAAGAGCGAGTAAGGATCCATTCAAGCATACCCGCAAACTATTGAGGCATACTCATCCGCATTGAATTAGACCGAGTTCGAAGAGACTATCCTTGAAGACTTGGCTCTGCTTGACGTCCACGGCGATGCCGTCTCACACACTTCTGATTACTTCGACGAGCTCTACGAGCTCGCCCTGCAGATGATCAAGAAGGGTAAGGCGTACGCGGATGACACCGAGCAGATGCAGATGCGCGAGGAGCGCTTCCATGGGATCGCCTCGAAGCACCGCGACGACAGCGTTGAGGACAACTTGAAGCACTTTGCTGAGATGAAGGCGGGCACTCAGGAGGGTGTCCGGTGGTGTCTCCGTGCAAAGATGAGCGTGGATAACCCGAACAAGGCCATGCGTGATCCTGTCATCTACCGCTGCAACCTCCTGCCACATCATCGTACAGGGTAAGTTGAAATCCGTCGGTGCGTCAGCATTGCGCGATGACCAGTGTTTTCTGTTCAGTGACAAGTGGAAAGTCTATCCCACGTACGACTTTGCATGTCCCATCGTCGACTCGCTGGAGGGCGTCACACACGCGTTGCGTACGAACGAATACCGCGACAGAAATCCGCAGTATCACTGGATGATCGAGGCGCTCGGTCTTCGAAAAGTACACATCTGGGATTTCAGGTAGGCATTGCAACGCATAATCGCCATGGCACCCAGTGGGCTCACGGAGCATTAGTCGTCTGAACTTCATTTACACGCTTCTGTCGAAGCGAAAGTTGCACTGGTTTGTCGATTCGGGGATTGTCCGTGGATGGGACGATCCGCGCTTCCCGACTGTTCGAGGTATGCGTATAATCAGTGTAATCTTTTGTAGTGACTGTGAACACAACTGCCAGGTATTCGCCGCAGAGGGCTCACTGTTGAGGCCCTGCGCCAGTTCATGCTCGCTCAGGGTCCGTCGCAAGCGATTGTCTCGCTTGAGTGGGACTCGCTATGGACAATGAACAAGAAGGTCATTGACCCCATTGCGCCGCGATTATGGGCGATCGAGAAGGTCGACGTGTACGTGGATGCATGGATCAGGTTTTTATTGATGGTTGACGTCTTTGTGCGTATGTACAGGGTGAAGGTGACTGTCAGAGGAGGACCGCAGGTTCCCGAAGTCAAGACTCTGCCCAAACACAAGAAGAACGCGGAAGTCGGAGAGAAGCAGACAGTGTTCTCGTCGAAGGTTTCCATCGAGCAGGAGGATGCACTCTCATTTGAGGACCAGGAGGAAGTGAGTGTGTTCGTTGCTGTACTTATCTCCTGACTGACACGCCGTAGATTACTCTCATGGACTGGGGCAATGCCATTGTCCGCTCGAAGAAGACAAACGAAGATGGCCTCATCACGGATATCGAGATGGAGCTGCACCTAGAGGGCGACTTCCGCAAGACCAAGAAGAAGATCACCTGGCTCGCCCAGCCCACGGATGCGCACCCGCTCGTCGACATCACGCTTCTCGATCATGACTATCTCATCACGAAGAAGAAACTCGAGGAGAATGACGACGTCAAGGACTTTGTCACGCCCGTGTCCGAGTTCCGCGCGGATGCCGTGTCGGACGCGAACGTGCTTGCGCTCAAGAAGGGTGACATCATCCAGTTCGAGCGCAAGGGATACTACATCTACGACGGCATCAACGAGGGCCGCCGCGAGTTCATCCATATCCCCGACGGGCGTGCGGCGAGTTTGGCGAGCAAAGCGGCGTCCGCTGCGCCGACGCCGAAGGAGAAGGCTGATGAAACGGGAGGCTCAGCCGCGGGCGAGGCGTTCGTGGCGAAGTCGCTGGACATCCCGGTGGACACGAAGATGTACAAGGTGGCGCCGATATATGAGAAGAAAGAAACGGTCCCTCTAGTTGAGACGAAGATGTATAAGGTGAAGAACGTATATGATTCATAGGAGCTGGCTACTTAGGAAAGTGATACATGTCGAGTACATCTCCGTTGTAGATCATTGCTGCTGATTATACTACCAGGAAGATCGTTCCTCGTTACTAAAGATAACCTTGCGTCATAGAGAGCGCCATCATCAGTCGTAATGACTCACCAATACATCCAAATTCAGCTGATCTGCCATGTCCATGAAGGCGTCCACGCCGTCTTTCTTCGCCTGTTCCATGATTGACGGGACAGTCCACCTTCCAACAGCGGGGGGCATCCAACCCATCAGCTCCGGCCATCGTTTGCGCATCATCGCGTCCACTGCCTCCGTGTAGGTTCTCATTGTGAATGCACCCTTTGCGTACCCAGCCGCACAAAGCGCTGCCCAAGACAAGTCCCGCATCAACTCCGTCGCTTCTGTTGCGGGATCGTTCGCCATGATCACGAAGTATTTCACGTGGAACCGATCCTTCTTCAGCCAAAAGAGCCATCCTCCATTCCTTTCGGCAGCGATCTCGGTCAGATATCCTTTGATCGACGGGAGGCTCTCCGCCGGAGCCCCAGGTACCCTGATAGGCTCACCCGTGCCGTAGAATACGTCCTTGCCTGAGCGCATAATGTTCCAGACAGTGCGCGTACGCGCTGTGGGCGTGCCTAGCGTCGAAGGCGCTTCGAAAGTGCGTGTTCTATATTGATAAAACGTCTCATCGTTGCCGCCGCCGAACTGCTCTATTTGTTGCCCCGGATCCGTCTCAGAACGGGTAATGACGACAAACTTGTCAGGGCGAGCACGTATCTCCCGGAAAAAGGCATCGGTGAGTGCATGTGGCTCGTTTCGGACCGCTCCGAACGTATACACCCTTCTGCTCACTTCGAACCATTTGATATGTCCTCTTCGTGATGCTTTGCGGTTAGTCGGCATTGGACCGATATTGCGAACTGCGCCCACGATGTCACCAAGGACAACGCCGCAGAAGCTCAGCACGAGCCTGAAGAGTTCTGCGTCGTATTCTGCGCACCATGACGGTGGCGGGACCATGCCGATTGTGCCAAACGACATAAAAGTCTCCAGGTCGTCGAAATTGTTGCACAGGTTCATGAAGCGATTCTCGACATTTGCAACAGGCTTCAAGGTGTCAAGAAGATACTGTATAAACGAGATCAATTCAACAGCGACTCGAGATGTTTTCGCTCGTTGACTTACATACCAGCCCTCTTTCGACATCGTCTTTTGGTGCCGGTCTTTGAAAACCCATCCTCCGACAATCTTGAACCGATCCTCTGGATCACAGTAAGATGCGGCGCCTGCCAGCCAACTGACACATCGACATTGACAGGACTCACCGAGACGACCAAGGTTCGCCGCTGTGCCTGCCTTGCCTGCCTTTGGCCAGATCGCAAGGGCATCGAGAACGGCATCTTTCCACCATATCATTCCTCTCCCCACTGCCTGCTGCTGCCCTCTCTCAAATTTCTCGAAGTCGTCCAGGGTGAAACTCGGGTCCAAAAACAAGTCATTGAAGGACACCTTTCCCTCTGCCTTCAACAAGAGCGCGGGATCGTGTAGAACGACGCGCCGGGCGAATTGCAAGATTGCGTCTCGCTTGATGCTCAATGCTCTCAATACGTCAGCGTTGTTGCGATCTTCTGGAGAGATGCGCTCAACCCAAGCCTCCCTGCTCTCCCGAAGGAGTCGATAGGTCCCGAGATATTCGCGTTTCTCACTGTAATGCAATTTATTTCTTCTGATACAGATAGTAGGATGAGAGATACTGACGCTCGCAAGACCAACTCGATGGGGTCGTCGTCTTCGCTTTCTTCTGCAGGAGCCTGTACTACTGGGGTTGCATTGCTATCTTCCGACAGAGTGAGGACGTCCGAGAGCGAGACCCCTTTAGATTTATCCACTTCTTCCTTATGGTTAGAAGTACGTGGTGCCTGGAACGGTTTGATCCAGTTGTATGCAGGATTTTTCGCGAATTGTAGGTCAAAGGCGCGCGTTTCGAGAGCATCCATGACATCAATACTCTTGACCATCTTCTTCTCTAGGAACTTCAGTCGAATCTTGTGGCTGTCATCCACTGCTGAGAGAGTTACTTATCCAGAAATACAACAACATTTGATCAGGGCTTGACTCGCCTTTCAGGAAGAATCGCTTATGGTGTATCTCTCGACCGGTTTTTTCTACCCGTATAGCTTCGACGTATCTCCGCATCCAGATTGCCTTGGCCTTCGCGTACTGCAGGTCGCTGTATGCAACTATCTGCTCCAGTGAGGGTACGTCAGCGGTCTCCATCTCATCAACGATTTTAGACGCGTCTTTGTAGCTCTTGGTCATCTTGCAGTACTGCCCGTGATGGAGCTTACAGCGGGTCTTTGGATGCCCGTCGGTGGGAGGCCTGGGGCACCTGGTCTTGCCATCAGCTTCGAGAGTGAGGCATGTTTTTGCAGCCTCTTTAGTGCTATGTTTTGATGCTTTCTTGACATTTCCTGTGGGCATGTTGTATGCTGGAGTGGGGGAAGAGGACGTCGAAGGTTTGCCACGGGTATATGACAGTGACTGCTACAACTATATATAGAGCTCGGCAGAGACATAGCATTGCTATGGCACCTGATCCAGCCCATTGTGTACTGAATTGCTCACCAGATAAGCCTGTCAGTGAATACAATGAAGGCGAAGTCAGTAGGTGTAGCACGTGTTCATCAGATGTCAATATCAGAAAATCTAAAATCTACTTGTGGCTCGAGAGCATCCTTTTGATTTGGTTTTGGCTTTCATAGGCCAGCCAGCACACAATAAGAAGCTCCAGGCCTGGAGAAAAATTCAAAACAAGGAGGTTTTGAGACGTTCTTGAAGTTACTGTCACTTTTTGGTGATGGCAAGCGGATAAAAGTGTCATGAGCCGGAATTGAGTTTTCCTGATTATAAAATGCAAGTCTTCCAGTAGTCACAAGGCTTCACGCGCACGTATACCACACCAATATGTCAAGAGTACTAATATCTTGCAATATTGCTGACAGATGAGAAGATGGCGTACTACTAACTGTTATCAAATAACCTCAAGGGGTTTCAGATTCATGCGAGATATCGGCACGATCTCGATCAGACGGACCGCGATAGAATAGTCGATTTCGAGTGGCAGAGAACAGGTAGGGGCACCGTGTAACGTCAGACCATGAAGTGCGAGGATTGTATAGAACCGTTTCAGCCTGAAACTTTATTACCTACACGTCTAATGCGCGCACTGCATCAGTTATCCTCGATCGATCTCGTTAGCTGCGTACTACACTGATGATTGTATATGCCATCCCTTGCCTCGAACGGCCGATACGAAAAATGGGCGAGATCGTGGCATGCTCATCCCTGAGCCGAGGATGGCGGTTTTAAGTGCGACGAGTGCGTAGTGCTGGTGATGCATCTGTTACTAGTACCTACGAGCAATTCCTTCATCCTGTCGCTGACAGTGTGGGCCCAGCTGAACTTAGGCTTTCACGCCGCCTGCTGACATGCATGACATAATTCCCGTATGAGATTGATTCATTGGTGGCGTAGTAGTAGTAGGCTCTGCAAGCAATGATCAGCACTGGCGTGGCATCTTCTGGATCAAAGAGCGCGGGCTGGCGGCCCGCTCTGCGCCATCCCGAAGGTATCGATCGATCGTTTGGCGCATACACACACATCAAGTGATCCAACTGTTCCAACTGTTCATACTCAGCGTCCCCGACGCGAGCGGCCACGGGTGCCTTAGCCAATCCCCTTTCGCACCAGCCCGCGCACACAAAGCTCTTGTCGTCACCCGATACCACCCGCTCGTGAGCCCGCACGCTACATAAGCAGCTCTCCCGCACATACGAATTATCCTCGAGGGAGAAGTATCGCGCGGACGGAGCGGGCCTGGACAGCTGCTACGTGCGTGTACGTCAGACGTGGGCGACACGCGCACGGGTCGTGTAGGGTGCGGCGGGAAGACGTTCTGCATGCAAGCGTTTGTTTGGTGCGGGTGCATCGGTGGACTCGACCGACGCGGAGGGGTGTGGGCGTCGCGCGCCGTCGGACGTGCACGATGTTGGAGGTCGCGCATGCCCGTGGGGGCGCCTCGGAGAATGATGTGGGGGCGTGTATCTTTCTATTGCTTCGACCACGTATTGACGATTTTGAACTAAATGAGTAAGGTGTAGGATGCATCGATCACGTGGAGCATCGGAAAAAGCAAAAAAAACGCATCCATCACGGTCGAGCGCGTGTTACTACTTAATTCCGAACTGTACTCGCATACAAAGGATCTGCGGATCTAGTAGGAAGTTGCTGTTGCGTTGAAACTCGGTGAAACTGCACAGAGACTCGGGGATCAAATGGAGAAGTGGCCTCGTGAGTACACTTCTCTACGGTCCGCGCCGACGACCTTGAAGAACGTTCCCATTCAAAAGACCAGATCGTTCGGGGTAGAACAGCCTAGTCCGCATAAAGCGCCTGACGCGGTAAGGTTCATTGTCCACCGCATCAATGACGATGTAACATTCTATTTCTAGGATGAAGCATTGTGGCACATTTATGCTGCTCCAACATACACCCAAGGAGGTGCCGACCGTGCTAAACAGTCATAGTATTCAGAAGCCCAAGCGACAGCGCACTCAACCGCACGCAAGGCAGCGCTTTTCCTCGTGAGATGGTTGTAGGGGCCACGCGATCTGCCAGCGTCGCCGCTGACCCGAATCTGCGCGGCGAACAAGTGATGGGAAATGGGAACACACTCGTGAGGACCCGGGAAGCCACGGAGCGTGTCATGGCTGCTATATTTGGCGACTCTCGTTCAGCGGCACGTCGGCAGGAGGAATTCGGAGATCACGTGTGGGTACCTTTTCGGGCAGAAGTGGCATGCTTGGGCGATTCGCAGTGGGGTGTATCAACGTTCCTGTTCCTCGTGAGCCCGCCGCGCCGTGATATATATTGCGCGAGACGCAGCGTAAAACTACACGTCTCTCCTACCCTCGTACCTGTCCACTTGAAAACGACCCGCTCGTCGATTAGCCATGTTCAGCCGACTTGTCTCTCGCCAGTCCGTCACCTCTCGTCCTCTTGCGCGGACACTCTCTAGCCCGAACGCGCAATGGAGCCGTGGCATGAAAGTATGGGTTCTCAAGGCCGCTGTCTACGATATGTGTTGACGCGTTTGGCACAGGTTCTCGCCATCCTCTACCGCGGTGGCGAGGCTGCAAAGCAGGAACCCCGCCTGCTCGGCACCGTCGAAAACGAGGTTCGTATGCTGTACGCTGCAGCGCGTTTTGAGCGGCCTTCTGACATTCTTGCATAGCTCGGTCTCCGCCCATGGCTCGAGTCCCAAGGCCATGAGCTCATTGTATGCGTCCCACGTTTATCCCCCCAGCTGTGCCATACTGACATTTGCTTAGGTCTCTGACAGCAAGGAGGGCCCCCACAGTGACCTTGCGAAGCACATCGTCGACGTGAGTTCTCACTGCGCTCTGTTAGATGCGGAGTACCGACGGTCTTTCAGGCAGAAGTCGTGATTACGACCCCCTTCCACCCCGGATACCTCACTCGTGACCTCATCGACAAGGCAAGTAGTTTTCCCGACGATTCACCGACACTATAATGATCCCGCCTCTTTCCCCGATCAGGCCAAGAACCTCAAGATTTGCATCACCGCGGGCGTCGGATCGGACCACGTGGATCTCAACGCGGCCGTAGAGCGAAAGATCCAGGTGATGGAGGTCACCGGCTCGAACGTCTCCTCCGTCGCGGAGCACGTCGTGATGAGCATCCTGCTCCTCGTGCGCAACTTTGTGCCTGCGCACGAGATGATCGAGCGCGGCGACTGGATGGTCTCGCAGATTGCGCGCAACGCGTTCGATCTCGAAGGCAAGGTTGTCGGTACGATCGGCGCGGGCCGCATCGGTTACCGTGTGCTGGAGCGTCTCATGCCCTTCAACACCAAGGAGCACGTCTATCACGACTACATCGCCCTTTCCAAGGGTTGGTGTGCAGTATTTATCTCAGTGTAGACGACACTGATGATGCATTGCAGATGCGGAGCAAGCGGTGCGTGCTCGCCGCGTTGAAGACGTCAAGGACTTGGTCTCGCAGTGCGATGTTGTTACCGTCAACTGCCCGCTTCACGAGGGTACTCGCAACCTCGTGAACGCTGACCTCCTCAAACACTTCAAAAAGGTATGCAGGAGTTTCAACTGCATAGGAACGAACGATCACTGACGTCACCCACTTCAGGGTGCATGGCTCGTCAACACCGCCCGTGGTGCCATCTGCGACAAAGACGCGGTCGCGGCTGCGCTCAAGAGCGGCCGCCTGTCCGGCTACGCCGGCGACGTGTGGAACGTGCAGCCCGCGCCGAAGGACCACGTCTGGCGCACGATGAAGAACCCGCTCGGCGGCGGCAACGGCATGACGCCGCACTACTCTGGCACGACGCTCGACGCGCAGGCGCGCTACGCGGCGGGAACGAGGACGATCCTGGAGAACTACCTCAACGGCAAGCCACAGGATTTGGCGAACATCATTGTTGGCATTGGCAAGTACGAGACGAAGGCGTACGGCCAGCGCTGAATGACAGTTGGCGCTTGGGGCCGATGAGGTGGCATACCATTGTAGTTTACTATTCTCGCGCGCATATACTTTTGTAGCAGTATCAATGGCAGAAGCGTTCAAAATAACACTTATATTTCAAGCCCGCCAACGTTAAACGCACCTGAGCAGCTTGCGTCGAGAGAGTGTCGGGCATATCAATATGGGGGATCTCGATCGCGATCAATTTCAATTGGCTTCAAATACCGTTGCCTGAGCCTGCAATTGCAATGTGATGCTAGGACTTCTCCACTGGTTGCTTTTGCTGAGGAAATGAGGTATTGATGACAGCGTCCATAAGATTCAGTCCTTGCTGTGTAGCTTTTCTCACACTCTATGTTCCCACTCCTCATAACGGGTTGTTACCTGAACAGTATCTCCTGTCGGACGTCCTTGATCCGCAAGCAAACATCAAAAACCGCTTCATGTGCGATCTGTGCAACAACTTCGACGACCTCGAATCGCTGATCATGAGCTGGATGCCGAGCGCGGTAGGGACCTATAAGATGGACTCGTTGGAAGAACGGACCAAGAAAGAAGGATCGAATTGGTTTGTCGAGGTGGCAGATCGCATGAGCCTGAGAATCTAACTTGTACTCTTGCCGGAATTGTTGTTCATTGGATTCAGTGATATCGAGTACTTGTCATCGACTCAGCCAGCCTCGCCTGTGGGGAGCGACACGAGTTTGCTGTTTGTAATAGTTTTCCATCCATTGTGATGCACTGCAAATTGGTATGGCTAGTAAGATACAAATAGTGGCTAATAACACATTGCAATGATTGTCACGATGCCATGGTTTGACTGTAATGTACAAAGCGAAAAAAAAACCCTCGCTCTAAAGTAGGATGGGATGCTGGAATTAGGACAGACCCGCAAGCACGCAGTCTTGAGACCATGAAACCAAGAGTCCTCGAAGCAGATGGCAGGAGATAGTCAGCAGGGAATAAGTGAAGTGATAGCGGTGTCGGCTAGCTTCGCATAAGCGTGCCAAGGTATATTTCATCGGTACTTCTGCACGAGGCGTTCCAGCTCTTCAACGACTTCGGTCATCGTAGGCCGGTCTTTGGAATCTTGCGCCCACATGCGCTCTACCAAGTCCACGATCTCAGGGCACCACTGCTTGCGCAATCCTGAAACTGATGGCCTGGAATCACCCAAATGCCCATTAGCTGGTATTCCGACGAAATTGAGTATGTATACTTACCTCTGATGCTTGTTACCCACAACATCGTAGATCGCATGCTCGTTCATGCCCTGGCATCACCACATTAGGGGACAGCTGAATTCAAAGTTTTGCGCTATCGCACCTCCCAAGGAAACGCCTTCACTGGCACATGCCATTGGAGCATCTCCCAGAACACCATCCCACAAGAGTAGACATCGACCTTGTGATTGTACTTTGGATGGGCGGTCCAGAGCTCAGGAGCCTGCCAATTCACTGTGCCGACCAAACTGCGAACCATCGAGCGCGTTGACTGCTTTACCTTCGCCAGGCCAAAGTCGGTGATCTTTGCAACCCCCTTGGATGTGATGAGGATGTTGGACGACTTGCAATCCCTGTGGATGACGGATGGTTTCCGGGTATGCAGGTACTCAAGTCCTCGGGCGATGTCGAGCATGATGCAGAGCTAGTCCGCGACCAATTTTGAATCAGGGAACACGATGTGAGTGCTGATTATATTACTCACGATTTTATGCAACGAAGGGGGGCTAACGTTACGTATGTAGTCGAATAGATCGCCATTTGAGCACAGCTCGCTGACGATCATGACTGGCGTGTCTCGAGTGTTCTCCGGTATGCTCACGCCAAGCTGATAGCAAATTCTCAGTGAATAATTCGCACTGCATGATTTTTACGCACGAATTTGACAATGTTGGGATGGTTGAAATCACCGAGGAGCTTAAGTTCCTTGATGTCCACTGGCAAGCAATCATGATCGATGTCAACGGTGAAGGAGCAAGTGACTCACTGGCACTGAGCTGGTCTCTGAACTCAGCTATCGCGACCTTACTACGTTTGTACTTTCCGATGAAGACATCTTTGAAGCCGCCGCTGCCGATCCTTTCAAGCTTTGTCAGCTTTTCCGGGGGAATCTCCCTCTCCTCCAGCCCCAAGCTCTCCAAGTCAAGTTCGAGCTCTGGCTCCGCCGCCTTCGCCCGATCTGACAACGGAGGAGTGCGAGGCTCGTCTGTGTGTACACGCTCGGGGCGCATGAGAACGGGCGGTGTTTCGCTTTGGCTCTTACTCCGTGTCTTCCGTCTGCCATGTCCGCGGTCTTTTGGAGTAGAAGGCGGACGTGCTGTACCAGTCGACGACGGTGAACTATAATGCTGGTCTCTCCACTGAAGGAGAGCCTCAGCGAGTTGCGGTTTTGTACCTGTCGTGTCGAGATCCCGTGTTTCACATAACCGTACAAGTTTTTCCCTCCGCATGCGCAATAGAGACTTTGAAGTGGCTACGGTGAGGTCCACTGTCAAGAAAAGCTCTCAGTGATTACAAGTAAAGACAAAGCAAGACACTCAACCGTTTTCATCCATCACTCCATCAACCTCATTAACCTCGTCAATTTCATCTGCTTCGCTCTCCGTATCGACATCTTCTGAAGAGGAACCTCGATAACTCTCATCGTCCTCGTCATCGTCGTCTTTTTCGCCTGTAGACTCGCCCTCGTCACCTTCTGCGAGAACCTTGCCGCTTCTCAGCCTGCGTGGCTCTAGCGTGACCTGCACAGTGTTTTCCTCCTCATCAACAGTAGTGCTGCTCCCATCATCTTCCTCATTGTCAATATCCTCCTCAGTAGCGCTCTGCTCGAGGTCCGTCTCGCCCTCATTATCACTCCGCTCATCATCTCCATCGCTGGGAGGTGTATGGGTCTGTAACGGCCGAGGCCTTAACCTCCGCTTGAGGGGAGCCCATAGGACAGGGGCCTTCGGAGTTTCAGCGGGAGAAGGTGAAAGCTGAAGTTCATCCACCTCTTCATCTTGGTCGGTCTCGCTCTCGTTGAGTTCGTCCTCTTCCTCACCTTCCGAAGGTCTTTCCACATTAGCCCTCGCCTTCCGCATGAGGGTCATGCGTCGCTGGGGCTCTCGAGCGTGGCTGTCAATGACCTCATCCTTGCTCTGCCTGCCACTGCTTTGCTTCTCGCCTTGGCTACGTAGCCGTCTCGGACTTGGCGACGTTGAATTTGGCGACATCGAAGCGAGCGGCTCCTCGACCTCGGTGAGATCGGTCAAATCACTCTCTTCGTCGATGGGTGGGGCAGGCCGTAGTCTATCACCGTTGTGGAGCCCCGCTTGCTTCGATATCCCCTTGTCTTGGCTACTTCTGGAAGATGAAGAGGCGGTAGGTGATATCTCGCTCGACAGCTGGCGCATTCGTAGGCGAGTTATAGGAGGAGACGGCAGGGAAGATGCAGCTACCGACGAGGTGGGAGATGATCTCATGGAGCTCGCATTGCTAAACCCACGCCTGCAGCATGCGCTCAATCATTTAAAGTTATAAGTACGTATTCATGTATCCTCACCTTCGTGTTGAGGGGCCTGTACGGCGCAGACTTTCAAAAGAATCCCCAGTGAACCGAGTCTTCTTCCCTGACTGGCCATCATGACCGACTGAAGAATATCTCTCCGACGCACGTGTCCGTGTAGTGTGTCCTATGTCGTGCATAGTGGCCCTCCTCCGCAGACCGTTCTTGCATTGCACGTGGAAATCGGTCTCTGCACTTCCCGCGGTGTTGCCTCCATCAGAAGAATAGTCGCTAGAACCGCTGTCGAGCGCGCCGGGCGATGACGGAGGCAAATCCGCAATGTCATCCCGCGCATCGACAATGCAATCTACAATCTCTTGTTTCGTGAGAAGCTCTGCATCCTCCGATAGACCAGCCGCCACATATAAACGAACAAGCTCATCCTTGCGCAGCCGTAACAGCTGGCGGGAAGGCGCCTCGTTTATGAGGAAGTCATCCGCTGGGAAAGTTGTTCTTAATTGATCGCTGCCGCACCGCAAACACGCCTGTACTTACATGTGTCCACAATTCCGTCGTCATCGGACCTGTCAGGACCTTCCCAATGCGCATGACCATCAACTTCCATATCGCTTATAAAATCGTCTTCACTCGAATCGTGACTGGTTTTCCTTCGCTTCACTCTCGAAGGCGCGCGTGAATTCTTTCCGGAGGCCGCGTTTTCGGTACCACTAACCATGCGTTTACGCTTGATTCCGGCACGTACACGGTAATCGCGAATATCGTCGTGTATCCCTTCCTTCGCCATATTCGACCGGGAAGGAAGACGACGGAGATTAAACTGGAGTGGGACCAAAACTGCGCGGGGTGGATCCGAGGAAGAGCTGCTAGACGCGACCGGACCGTGAGAACTGGACTCGGGCGATATGTAAGGATTGGCGAAAGCGACGACGCGTCTGCGAGAGCCAGCACCGCGTCGCGACTGGAGCTTTCGGCTAGTCAAAATGGCGGTGTCTGCGACTGATGAGACTCTAAGGTTAGAGCGCCGTTGGGCCATACCCGAATGACAGGATTAGTCTAGCAAGGGGTCGTCCAGCCAGAGCAATTCCAGCCAGGTTGCGTCAGTAAAGAGCGACGAGGAGAGCCAGGATGTCTGAATTCAGGAGCTTGAGATTGAGCAGCGCGCCGAGCTCCCCGTCGTCGCCGGTGTTGACGTTGAGACAGTTCAGAAGAACAGCGACCAAAGAGCTACAAATAAGGCGCCACCTCTCGGCGCCAGATCCTCACTAAGTACACGGTCACGTGATATTCACGTGATCGGTTCTTGCACCCCCAACCGGCGACAGCACCCCCAACCGGCGACAGCCGGGGACCCGCGTGGACGTTGAACGTTGAACATTAAACGTAATTCACAACAGTATACTCAAGAAAAGGTCTGATAGGTATGCAATGATAATACATCGTCGCTAGATATACACGACAGAGTATCCTCACCCTGTACTACACTGACGCCCTGCACCCAGCCTCATAGCTTCGCAACTATCTTGCGCAGCTCTACTTTCTGAATCTTCCCTGTCGACGTTTTCTGGTAGCAGGATATCCATGAGACCTCACACTTTCGGAGGTCAAAATGAACTTACAGGTAGCTCTTCTACTACCCGAACCCATTCTGGACATGCGAATCCAGGGAGCCGTCCACGAGCGTGTTTCTTCAGCGTGTCACCGAATTCGTCGTGCCGTCCAGTCCACTGAGGAGCGCGTTGTGGGTGCAGAATGACAAACGCCATCGGGCGCTCTCCCCATCTTGAATGCGGCCTGGCCACTACGGATACTTCGAGAACATCCGGATGACTTGCAAGCTCTGTGAATGGGATGCGGTCAGCACGTCGTGGAGAAGTTACACTTCAACCTAGATACCTTGTTCGATTGCAAGACTTGACGCATTCTGCGACAGCAGAAGAGTCAATGGCCACCGCCACATACTAAGTGACCGTCGCTCACCTCGCCACCGGAAATGATGATATCCTTACTCCTGTCCTGGATTGCAATATAGCCATCCGGGTACCAAACCGCCAGATCACCCGTGCCAAAATACCCTCCTCGGAAAGCCTTTCTTGTGGCCTCGGGATCTTTAAGGTACTGCGATCGGAAAAGATGAAATAAGTGAAGTGAGCGACAACGTCGTAAAGATTCGTTACTCACCTCCTTCATAACAATGTTCCCGCGAATCACAACCTCGCCGACAGTCTTGCCATCCTTCGGAACATCAACTAGCTCAGAGTTAATATCGATGACCTCGTCCTCCTTCGCAGGGTACACAACACGCGCTTCATCAGACGTAACGAAGGGTATTCCTTGGCGAGCCATATGCCTAGCGCGATCTTGCAGGGAAAGTGTCGCCCACGACGGTTGCTCATAACACCTAGTGAACGGTCCGTACGTCTAGCAATCCGGGTGGACCATACATATTAAGCCTAATGATCGTCAAGAAGTTCGCATCGCACTGACCTCACTGTTAAAAAAATAGCCAGAGCTCAGCGCATGAAACCTTGTTATCAAAGGACAATGCTCACGTCAAACCATACACGTGAACCGGTTTAAGATTCTTCTCTTCCATCATTTCCAGCAAGTGTGCAGTTGGCGCTGACCCAGCAGTAATAGCAACGACAGGTTTGCCTAGCCGTCTCGCCTGGGGAGCATTGACAAGACCAATCTGTAACGACAACCCATAGACGTGAACTCGATGCGCCCTCATTTAAACATTTATGCGAAAATACCTGTACAGTCGGTGCACCACAATAATGCGTGACACCGGAGTTCAAAAGATGATTCCATATATGCGGATACGAGACTGTCCGGAGTGTGATCTATCGTGATATTTTAATGTCTGCATAGGAACCAAACCCAGACAGCGTACACACCTGCAATGCGGAAGCAAACGTCGTTGCCCACGGGAATGTCCAACCAGACGCATGGAACATTGGGAGGATCCTAAGACAGTACGACAGCGTGTTGAGGAACGAGGGATCGTGAGGGTCAAAACACCTACCATAGGTAAGTAGAGTCTCGGTTCATGCTACATGGTCCAGAAGGTCATGTCGTGATCGTTAGGCGGGACGACTGGTTCTGCGCTCACCCTGTTTCATATGCGTTCGCGATAGCCGCGAGGTATGAACCTAGCGGCATGTCAATTCTTCGAATCATACGCCTGCGCTGCAGCGTAACGCTCACCTCTGAGCGTGGTAACCACTCCCTTCGGCTATATCGGCGTCAGCTTCCGGAGATGATAGATATCGACGTACTTGCTCACCCGTCCAGTTGTTCCTGATCTACAATTTTACCAAAACATTGTCGTTATTTGGCGTGCCAGGCTTTCGAGAAGACTACGCACGTGTAGCATACCGCAGCTGGTGCGTCTTCGTCCAATTCCCAAGCCAGTCCTGGCCATCCCCTCTCCGCGCTGAACCTTCTTCCGGCGCTCAAGAACTCCTCGTATGGGTCTCCTGCCCGTCCGCTGTCGTTGGAAACGATGACAGGCACCTTGGCGTCCCCCACGAGGTGTACCAGCTCGTGATCGACAAGGATGAATTTGGCCTCGCTGTGATCAAGAATGTAGGCGACCTCCGGCGGCGTGAGTCTGGTGTTGATAGGCGTTATAACAGCATGGGCGGCCATAACCCCATGATGGGCGTCTGGAAGATATGAAGAACGCTCAAGAAGCCAGGCCTTATTATTATCAATGAATGCACGGACCAGCAATCAACGGACTGCGGGGTATTGAGAACTTCGCAAATCACAGCTAGTATTTCGAGCTTACCAATTAGGAGCAATGACCGCAACACGGTCCCCTCGACGAATTCCAGCCTGAATTAGAGCATACGCCAAGTTTTGCACCCGTTGCGCCCTTCGATCAGCATGATTAATTGGGCCATATTGCTCCGGGGCTGGTAAACTCACCAGACAGAGAAAGAATAGAATACAGGGTATTTAACATCCGGATGCGCGAGCGCGAGCCTGTTAGGATAGACCTGTGCAGAGTGAAGGAGGAAGGCAAGAGGATTCTGGCCGACGTGGGCAAAAGTAATCAGACAGGCGATCTTTTGCTATATGGAGGAGGAAGCCTAGTGTGGACAGTACCAGAGCATGTTTATGGACAGGGAAAGCTGACGGGAGTCGGAGTCTATAGTTTACGGGCCCGGGAGGAGGAAGGCTCTCCGGCGTGGGCTGGAACGCTCTCATAGACTCTAGATAAGCGAAAAATGTTCAGCGGGTGGAAGGCGTTGGGTGAGAGCAATTGAGACACACCTTGCAGCGACATTTGCTCAGGAACAGCAGGACCAACAAGCACCTATCCTCGGGAGGGGTGATTTATATTTGGGGGCGGGGCCCCGCATCAACAATCTAGGAGTGCGGGGTAAACGAACCGGTTCGGTTTCGCGCTTTAACCGGTTAGCCGTCTTGGCGCCCGGCTTTTCCGCTTGAGGTCGACGAAGCAGACGACGGACGCTGCTCGCGCGTGATTGCTAATTCCAAAATGCCGCAGTTTGATGAGAGATACAGGGCAGCAGCCAATCAGGTAGGCATCCAACATACCCGGACTACTCAGGTGCACTCGCAGCGATACAAAATCGTCGGAGGATAGCTGAGCGGTGTGCCGAACCAGGTCCACGCTGACGCGGCCCGGGCTTGACGTGATACGTTGAAGGGGCCGTACAATCTCCTTTTGCAAGACATCGACGTTCATTTCGCGGTACTCGCGTACTTCAGACGACGCAACAAGTAGAGGGCGGACATTGGCTTAGCTGGAGGTCACGGGTATGGCGCGTGCAGGAAATACAAAGTATCTTCCCAGAATGGCATGCCCAAAGGGTAACGCGGCGCCTCTCCTGTCTTTCCTAGGCACCTACTCCTCGGTTCTTCTCCGAGACCGACCTTTCTCGTTGTCAACTCTCGATAGTATACAGTTGCGATGGCCATATTCTCGACGCTCGCTGCTGTGCAAGCGCGGCGCAGACATTTCCATGGCATTACCCAGCGCCGTGTCGTTCAGCGCTGAGTGGCGTTTTCCAGACCGGGAGAATCTCGCACGCTATAGGGCGCATGTACCTCTCGCTTATCCCGCCTATCCAAGGTGAGAATGATCTTTATGGATTAAAAGGGAAAGTTCTTTGTACGGTCTGCTAATCATAGAGTTCGTTGAATTGCCAGCTCATCAGTCGCATGGACACGCGCTGTAGTCTATATAATGTCAGACATTGAAACTCGAGACTTGCCATCATCCTCGCAACCATCCCGCCTCCATCATCCTGCCTCTATCAGCCATATCTCGACATGCTGCTAAAATTCATGTCCACGGACGTCTTCCAGTCCGCGATTCTTGACGACACGACCGGCGATCTCGCATTCCGTACTAAAACACATCGGCCACGGCGCACCCGCTCCGGATCGCAAGCAAGCAATAGCAGCTTCGCCTCAATCCGGTCCTTGGAGAAATGTCCAATGGCCTCAGGCTCGTCTGAGCCTCATATAACATTAGTGGAGGATGCCGAGGGAAACATCGTCGCAGACGTCACCTGGGAAGGGGACAATGCCGTTCTCATCCGGATAGGCGATGAGTGCATCAAGGGTACTGCTGAATTATTTGACGCGGCATTTATGAGGATATTGTACGTTCACTGGATTTTGAAGGTTCTTGCAGATGGCTGACGTAGTATTGCGTGATAGACCGGATGGAGTTTTGATGCCAACTAGGATGGAATATACGTGGAGGTTGGCATCAGATTGTCTCACGGTTCGCATAGCGAAGCTGCTATCAGCAAGTCCGTGTCCTGACTGTAATCTAGCTTTTGGATGACGACGGCGATGTCGTTGGGACACAGCTGCAAAATCACATCCGCTCTGGAGCAGGATCTTCGTTAATCCCAGCCTCCGCGCCTCGCGCAGGACATGACTATGTTGACTTGAGAGCGTTACCGGAAGATGAGATCTTGGAGATGCTGGGTATGTTGTTGTCCTTTATGCCTGCTTCCACGGCCCTGAACGATGCATCCGAACAAGTTTGTTATCTGCTGCTTAGCAGTTTGCGGGAACGGATGTACTCCATAAAGCCTCAAGCATACAGTCACACTCGAAACCAGAGGACAACACAGCGACAGCCACTGTCGCTGTCAACGCTTAGACGACATGCTACACGTAGCGTGGCATGTCTACGAAATACGTTTCGTCGAACGGTCACATGAAATACACTTTTGACGTCGGACCTGTTCAGTATCCTCTACTCTGCCGTTATACCCTTCAGACATACCGCGGCTCCTGGGTTTCAACTGCTTTCTCATCCCTTGCTCTGGTCTCTGCACTACCGATATATCCTTATCTCTGTCTGTGTTTTCCGTGGCGGCCCGATCTCGCTCAACGCTGCTACCGCATCCTCGTCTCACACACCTTCTGCCGGTTTCCACTGTTGCATCGTAGCTAGACTTGCATATGTGTACATGCTCACAACGTGGCCTGTAGATTGGATTGCACTCACTGAATGACTCGTTACAAGATTTTTTGGTCTCGCGCGCCCTAAACTAACAGTCGGTTGTCTTTTTTGCACGGCTTTCGGCCAGTGACGTCGTGCACACCATGTAAGTCCGGATCACTGGCTCTTCGAAGGACTTCAAGAAATGGAAAAGGACTTTCTGTAGGATTCTGCAAACTTTATATGCAGCGGAGCACAGACTCAGTCTCGAGAGACGAGGCCCTCTATTTTTTTTTGAGTTGAGAGTCCAAGTGGCCCCGCACGTGACCGCGACGAGGCCACAACGCGCGGTGGCTGTGGGCGCTCGATTCAAGTGGCCTAAGACCCTGCATACGACGGTACATGGCGCTAGCTACATGGATCTTCGCTCCCCTCTCGAGATGCATGCCGCACTGTCAGAAGAGTCAGATGAATACGGTCGATTCACCACCCTCGTCTCGCCCGGGAGGGTGGGATAGGTTGGCTGACAGGTCAGCCTCTGTCAGCCTCCCGTCGGCCACAATACTTATACCTCGCAGAACCGGCTCTTTCTCTCCAGTACTCAGTCTTTAGTCCATCGACCACACATCACTGATTACTCAACACATCGAATCATCATGCATCCCAACACCGCTCTCAAGATTGTCATCCGTCACGGGTGGTCTCGTCTCATCGACACGGGCCAGGAGTGGACTCAACGGGGCATCTGTCCGGCCTCTGTGCTTATGCCCTTCATTCCTCCTATGCTGGTCGCTCGGTGGGGAGTTCATCGTACCATCGTCAAGACGTGGAACCCTCGGTCTCTCGGAGTGTCCTCGTCCGTTGCGCTCAATCTCGACCTCCTCGCTTCATGTATAGTTCTCGAGCTCTTCCTCGGTGGATTACATCCCATTTACGCCAGAAGTACCGATATGGCGTCGATGTGGCGGACCGCGAACGAGTCGGCCTATCTCAACATTCTCTTGGTTGTTGCATTTGTTTTCTTTATCTGGCGATGCATCTACGGCTGCGTTGCTCAATCACGGGCGTTAACCAAGATGGAGAAGCCGAGAACGTTTGGAAACTTACTCATCTACCGACCGTGGGTCGTCGTCTTCCTGGTGCGTACACCATATCGCTAGTCGGAAGCCACATAATTTGACGTATTTGCTCATTGTGAATGCGTAGTTTCAAGGATGGAAGCCGCGCGGTACAGTCTCGGACGACCTCGTCCACGTGCCGTTGCACTCTGTTGGCGAGATGCTCAAGGACAAGCCACGAAGAAGGTCACGCAATAGGGTATGCAAAGTCTGCACTTTGTTACTGCCTCATTGATCATTCTGACTTCTCTGTCCGCATACAGTACGGCAACGGAACCTCAAGCACTCTCGCTCCAGTGGTCGACCAACGGGTCACGCCTCGAACTCAGGAAGAACAGCCCCTAGAAAAGCTCTTAGCATTGGTAACAACGGTCGTCGGCGCCGCCCAGGAGTTTAGGGATGTCGTTCAGGAACAGTCAAGAACGATCGGCGTCTTGCAAGCAGATTTCCGGGAAGTCAGGGTCAGAGAAGAGGAAGTGTTGCGCACCCTATTGGAAATGAAGGCCGAATCTGTACGCAGCTTCCATTAATGTTATATGTTTCGATGGCTGAAATGTAACATATAGCTCGAACTGCGGGCCGAACTGGGAGCCAAGGCTGCTGCTGTAACAAGCGACATTGACGATGTTCGCGAGCAGCCATCGGTATCCACGCTCAACCCCACGATCCAAGAGCTTCAAGACACCGTCCAGGAACAGCCAAGGATGAACGGTACCTTCCAAGCCACGGACAAGGAGATATTGCGCATCGCGTCGGAAAGCAAGAATTCTGACATCGTATGTGGAGTCCAATTGCTGTCTTGCGTCCGTCTAACTCAGCTTTGCCATGTAGCTCGAAGCACGAACCCAATTGGACGCCGAAGTTGCTGTTACTGCAAGCGATAATGACCATTCACGCGCGGAGCCATCGGAACCAAGGCAGGACGAAGCCGCTCCGATAGACCCAGAAAAGGAGGTCCTGGCTGTAAGTTCTTATGCTCGTAGCCGTTACTTGTGCTCACGAATTACGTGTCCAGCAACGCGTTGCGGAGTTATTAAAGCAGCTTCAAGAATCCAATCAAGAGCAACTCAACATGGAGGTGAGTGTCTTCTTGTCCATTATGAAAGCGAGGCGCCGCTCATCATCAACTACGTACGATGCAGGAGAAATTCCGCAAAGCTGTCCTTGCACATGAGGCGCTTAAGGCAAGTTGCAATGCGTTTTGTTCGCATGAAGTCCAACGCAATAATCTTTGCCCTTGCAGACGAACTACGATAACGAGATCATGGAGAAGGAAGCATTGAAGGTAAGTCTTGTTTCCCTGTGTTTCCAGTCTTCAATGTGTATACATCGCCGTTTTCTACGTAGGAGCAATTCCGATTGGAGAAGGAAGTGTCGGAGGCGAGTCGCATCGTGCTGTTTTTCAAAAAATTTATGTGCTGTGTCTAATCAGCAATCTGTCTGCAGAAACAACACCGCGAAGCTATACTGGAGAAGGAAGCTAATGAGGCGAGTAGTTTGTCCTCCAGAGTTGCTTGCTTGATTAATAACACATCACCACACTTATTAGGCGAAACTGAAGAAGAGGATCTGCAAACTCGATCGAAAGAATGCCATCCTGGAGGAACATCACAGCGAACTCTTCGAAAAGAACATCGTAGATGTAAGTCAAGCAGAGGAGGACGCAGCAGCCGCCAGAAGCGAGCGTGATGATCTGCGCGCTCAGCTCGTGAAGCGGGATCGTTCTGCTGTCAAAGACCAGGCACGTATCGAGGACTTGACAGAGCAAGTTCATGAGGCCAAATTAGCGGAGCTCAAGATGAGAGTGAGTGACCTTAGCTGCAGTCCAGGATATGCATTTCAATGTCGAATGTTAACACAGGCAGCACGGGAGGCGGACCAAGATGTAGCTCGGCAGAATGCTTCATTACAGGTCAGTTCAATCATTACGTTCAAGCGCACAATGGTCCCAATAACATTTACACCAGTGGCAATTGGGAGAAAAGGATCGCACTCTCCAAAAGGCCGAACAGAGCATCTCCGCGCTGAAAGAACAAGTTGGCCGCTTAGAGAGCGACAAGGTTGCCGCGGAAAAGTCGCGCGACGCTGCACAGCGGTCACTCGAGGCGCGACGTGCGGAGTTAGACAGAAGGCAACGGACTTATCTCCTACTCGAGCGCTCTCTCAAGTTGCGGATCGATTGCTACAAGAAGGAGAACGAGCGGCTTTTAAGAAGGCTCGAGCGTCAGAAGAACGCTGCAACCGGTCGTTCCACGTCTCATTCACTGCCTCCGTCGACGGGGCGGGATAGTTGTGACCGCAAGGGCAAGACAAAGGAATCCGTCCAACGCGAGTCGCATCCGCCAGCTGTCGGCACAATCAGCCACCTGTCCATTCACCCCCCAGATCATCCAGACAGCCTCGCTACTCACCTCCCGCCCCTTCCATCTCTGGAAATTTTGCAAGCAGAACCGAACAATTCGAACGAGTCCATGCCATTGCAGTCGAATGCAGTTGTCAGCAAAACCGGTTACCTGCATCCCGAGGCGAAGATTCGTCCCGACGGACCCGAGCATCACCTCCCGTCCATAGTGATCTCGAACGTTGACGGCAATGACAAGATGATCGTCAACAAGTCCTCGCACAGCGATTCAGAGGAGTCGGTCTTCAGCGTGAATCGACCTCTTCGTCCGCTCGGAGCCTCGCACAGCGTTGGCAGTCAATTGGGCGAAACTCGGCAATCTACCTTGAGCCCGTCGGTTAGCCTTCCCGAATGGCAGAGTCAACTGGTGCGGCCTCTTTCTATTCCGGAAGACGACTTTTCGCTCTCTGCGGCGGTGTCATTTGAAGGAGTAATGGCAAGCTCTCCCTGCCGCCCGTCTCTGTCGACCGACAACAAGGAACCGGTCAAGTCTCCGGCAGTCTCTGAGGAAGAACTGACCAGCTCTCCCTGCCGCCCACGTCTGTTCACGAAGACCGAGGAAGCAGTGGATCTTATGGCCATCTCGTTCGAGGGAGTTGAGGCTAACTCTCCTTGCCGTCCACGTCTGTCCGTGGAGACCAAGGAACCAGTGGGTCTTCTGGCAGTCTCGTTTGAAGGAACAGTGGTTAGCTCTCTCCGTCCCTCGCGTCAGCCTTTGAAGGCCGAGGAATCAATTGACCTTCTGGCAATCTCGTTCGAGGGTATATCCACCAGTTCTCCCTGCCGCCCGCGCACGGTCATGACAGCCACGGAACCATCTCTGCATGCAATCGCGGAAGGGAGAATGGAGGAAGAAGCTCAAGCACTTGTTTTCGAGAAGGCCCGGGAGAAAGGAAAAGGAAAAGGAAAGGAGTGCAAAGATGACGAGAAATCGGCGTTTATTCTTGGGGGCCCCTCTGTGCACGTCACGGCTCATTTCAGCGGACGGCAGGAAGATCAACGTGTGCTGTCATCACCTGAGACCAAAGGAGTCCACGTTCAGGACCACCTTCTTAAGAAGCTTGGGAAGAGCACTGAACCTGTCGCCGCAACCGAAGACGTCGCAACCAAGGAGGAGCACGACCTGCAACGGCCTTCAGGAGAATGTAATGTCTTTGATGAGGATGACGAGAATAGTTCGCCCCAGGCAGACGAGAACGATGCCGGTGAGTGAACACTTATTTCATACTTATCGTCTTCTCTCAATCTGGGGGGATGCAGGTGATGTCTTGTCAATCTTGACGAAAGCGAATGTTCCGATCATTCTCTCCGGACGCTTTCCAACTGACACGAAGTTGGGGCTTGCATCTGCCCCTCTTGACGCCTCACCATCGTTGGAACTCAATGCTGCGGATATTCCCCCACAATTCAAGGAGCGCGTGGCAGACTGGTCTTTTGCAGGGCTTTCCAATGTATCCTCGACATGGAGCATGCCTGCGAGTGGCTCGGCGAAACTCGACTGGCCGCCACCTGTAGGTACCTCAAATGTGCCAGCACTTCGGAGCGGGCGCACCTCATTCGACGTACCAGCCGTGAAGGTCAGCGAAAGAGAAGATATACAACCGCAAGCAAACGAGGAGTCCTCAGTCGAGGAAGGGATCACACTTCCGTCGTCACCTCCTACTTTCAGCGATCTCCCCGCCTTCTTTGACGAACTCGATCGATTCAAGCGCGATCCGGGCATCGATTTCCCCACGGTGGACGAGGATAGCAAGCAGGAATCGGAGGAATCTGGAACTCGCTTTGTTCACCCAGGCCCAATAGAGATCACCAAGACGCTGGTCAGCACAATGTTCAGCGATCGGGTACGCGACCGATCTCGATGGGGATCGATCTTTTCGTCCACTCGGACCATGAATAGGCAAACAATTGAAGGAATACTCAAGCAGGACAAAGTACAACAGCAAGTAGAGGATGTATCATCTGTGAAGCTCGACTGGCCGCCGACTGTAGGTACCTCAAACACGCCAGCAGTTCAGAACGGGCGCACCTCAGTCGACGTACCAGCCGTGAAGATCAGTGGAGGAGAAGAGATACAATTGAAAGCAAACGAGGAGTCCTCAATCGAGGAAGGGATCACACTTCCGTCGTCACCTCCTAGTTTCAGCGATCTCTCCGCCTTTTTTGATGAACTTGATCGATTCAAGCGCGATCCGGGCGTCATATATCCCACGGCAGTCGAGGATTACGAGCACGAATTGGACAAATCTGGGACACTCTTTTTCCGCCCAATAGAGATAACCAGGGCGGTGGTCGCCGCAATGTTCAGTGATCGGGTCCGAGGGGGATGGGCGTCGAATTTTTCGTCGATTCGGACCACGAATAGGCAAGCAACTGAAGGAATACTCAAGCGCTGGAAGGACAAAATACAACAGCAAGTAGAGGATGAATCATTTGTCGAAGACGACTCGCCCGAATCATATTCCCTCCGGAGCAGTCAATCCCAGCTGGAGGAACGACTCGGCGAACTGGACTTTAGTTTCGACCCAGCGGAGACGAGTCTCTCATTTCAAGTGAGAATGGGGTACACCAAGCTATGAAGACAAGGTGATGATATTATGGCCGCCTGCGCAGCAATCGGACGCGGTTATTCGCTTGAAGCGGCTCGGCTTGGGGAATTTCGAACACACTCGGACATTATGTGACCTAACTGGAACTTTGGGAGCGATTGCTATGGCCTGAACCGGATACTCCGCGAATTCGTGTCGCTGGCTGATGCTGGCTGAACGACGACTACCACGGAAGATGGTAGGGCGACGCATCGGTGCGGCATCCTTCAGGTGAGTTTTGCTTGATGTTCCCTAAATGGACGTGAGATCGAACGCTCACACACCTATTGTGAAGGATTTGGCTCACAATCACTTTTCGGCTTCGCTCCCAACTGATCTGAACCGGATATTCCGCCAATTCGTGTCGCCAGATAGTCTGGCTGCGCGACGACTACCACGAAAGATGGTAGGGCGAAGCAGGGGCGCGGCATCCTTCAGGTAAGGCTAATTCTTTTGGTCGGTCTGAGAAACAGAATGCTGACAATCATGCCATGCAGAACTCAGCTCGTCATCGATGACTATCGAACACCAATCGGACGTTCCTAAATGGAACTTTGGGAGCGATTGCTATGGCCTGAACCGGATACTCCGCGAATTCGTGTCGCTGGCTGATGCTGGCTGCACGACGACTACCACAGAAGATGGTAGGGCGACGCATCGGTGCGGCATCCTTCAGGTGAGTTTTGCTTGATGTTCTTCTAAATGGACATGAGACCGAGCACTGACACATCTATTGTGAAGGATTTGGCTCATAATCACTTTACGGCTTCGCTCCCAACTGATCTGAACCGGATATTCCGCCAATTCGTGTCGCCAGATAGTCTGGCTGCGCGACGACTACCACTAAAGATGGTAGGGCGAAGCAGGGGCGCGGCATCCTTCAGGTAAGGCTGATTCTTTCGGTCGGTCTGAGAAACTGAGTGCTGACAATCATACCATGCAGAACTCAGCTCGTCATCCATTCCAGGTTGTTCGTCATCTGTCGTCACATTCGTCTCCGTCCAAAGTCCATGGCTCCTAGTGGACTCCCCCAAGCGACTACCCGTCCTTGACTGGCCATGATTAGGATCTACCGTCAAATCTTGTCTCGGATTAATTAATTCCGGTGGCATGACGACTACCCGATGGGGTAGGGCGTCGCCTTGGAGCGGTATCCATTGGGTAGGTCTTGCTTGGGATTGATACCGACTTGTTTAGAGGATGCTGACTCCCTCACGGCGAACAGTCCACTCATCGTCCCATAATGTCTTCAAAAATCCCACTTTCGTCCGCGGCTCTCCCCTATCCTCCTAGCGACCTCTTTGCTCCTCAAGCTCGTCCGTTCCTGACACCTTCTTGCTTCAAGCTCGTCTATTCCTGGTATCCCCTTGTCCTCAAATTTCCTCATTCCTGGTACTTTCTTGCTTCAAGCTCGTCCATTCCTCTGGTATCTCCTTGCGCTCAAGTTTGCCCATTCCTCCGCCCTTCATGGTCCTTCGCTCAATCTTCCGTCCTGCAATGCGCTCGCGTCCTTCGCGCTCCTGCTCCCATATCACCGCCGCCTCTCCCTTCGTCCTTCATCGCACGGCTTCCTCGATTCAAACATAGTCTCTCCTTGCAAATATTCCCTCGCTCCTACGTCTCCTCTCACGGCCTCGTCTCGCCTGCGGACGTGATGGTACAGAATACAGATCCGTCGCGCTTCGTTAGGCCTGGCTTCTTTTCTTTTTTCCTATAGTTTATTTTGGTCTCGGTCTCGTCTGCCGTGCATACACGGCCGCCTTCGGACGTGATGGTACAGAATACAGATCCATCATGCTTCGATAGGCCCAGTCTCGGTCTCTATTTCTTTTAGTCTTAGTCTCGATGTCCTCTCAGTCTCAGTCTCGTCTGCCGTGCATACACGGCCGCCTTCGGACGTGGTGGTACAGAATACAGATCCATCCACTCTTCGACAGGCCTGTTTTGGTTTCTCTCTTTACGCTTGCATAGGATACGGACAGGTACAGAAAATTGCGACGGGCCAGTAGTACAGAATACAGATCTCCCATGCCCCTAGCACCAAAATTCTGGCCAATGTAGTAGTACAGAATACAGATCTGCTATATACCAGGACTCACAAAAATTGTCTTGTTGATGAAGGAGAGCATGGAAAATTGAAGGTACCAACCGGCTAGAAAGAAAGCTGACGTGAATGCATGAGGAATTGCGTGAAAACGAGGTGCTTTGCTGAGCAAGGAACTTGTCTGCACCGCAAAATATATTGTGCCGAGCGTTAGCGGTGCACATGTGCACCGAGCGCCCTGCAAAAAAAACTATTTTCAGCGTTCTGTTAGTAACGTAATTAGTAATTACACAGAGATGGCTGTCCTCAAAGGCGCGGATTGCGGTTCAACGAAACCACAACCATGGCCGCAGAGGGGAACGCCAGAGCATGAAACATGTGGCTTCACATTCCCAAGGACGCTCTAGACTACAACAAAGTCATCTGGCGGAGGTCCAGAATGCATATGAAGAAGCACTCTACGGACTCACAAGATCCGGCCGTTGTTGACCAATTTCGCTTTGAACATTCTTGGTGGCTCTGCCGTTGCATTGGACAGGGGGCCTCCGTACATACTCCGTAGTGCGGCGGTTGAAGAAAAAAACCGTTTTCCGATGACTAACCGGGGGCTACAAGTGCAGAAACTAATAGCAGTTTGAGGCGTAGGGCTCGCTGTTCACCGACGTTGCTGTTCACCGACGTTGTGCTGTGCAATGACTGTTGTAAAATGCCGATCCGATTCACGGGCGGTTCGATCGCGATTGCAGTGCAATAGATCTAGAAGTTCGGAAGATCACCTAGAAAGGGCAAGTTCGCGAAGCATAGCGCATGGGCTAGGAACCATTAGGAAGCGAAGCGCTACCCGTCGACGCACGGACCACCGTCTTTCTTGTCCTCCGTCTTCGTCGGCTCGTTGACGCTTGGCTCGACCCGCTCGCATATCTATCGCCTCCTCAACGTTTACCATCAAGCTTAACCATACCGTCGGCGCGTCAACCTGGATGACTCAGCAAATGTCAGCGCCATCAATGCGTCTGACGATGTGTGTGCCATACCTGTGCCTTGAATGCAGTGCTTTCAACCCGGCGCCGCCGGGCGTCCGACAACATGTCTCGATGTAACGCTGACGCCCCCGAGCTCATCATTCTCAAACAGTTTGGAGAGACTTTCGACGTGGCCGCCGTCAAATGCGCTCACTACACGTCAAGGGCCTTCGGCCACCTTCGATATCTTCACTTCACATCGGCTCTGCGTTTGCAGAGGTCCAGAACGGTTAACCGCTCAGCAAAGACTCATCTCCAAGAGCATCACGCCGGGTTTTCAGCGCGGTGCACGCACAGCACTCACTGAAACCATGATGCGACACTACGCGACATTTTCGTCTCCATGCTCGTCGCGGGCGGATCATGGCATTCGAGTCAACCTGTATCATGGCTCCCCTTCAGGCTCTTTTATACACCCGCGCGATGGTCCGGTATCCAGCTATAAAGACGATCGACGGCTTGTCCAGTTTTTTTTCAACTCGTCATAGATAGACTTTGAGTCATCCTATCTTTCGGTCACTGTCTCCGCCAGCACCATAGAGGGCACATCTACCATTCTTGTTCTCTCCCGTGCAGATCACAGCCATGTCGTGCAGCGCAGAGGTCGACTTGTCCCATCATCTATCTGCAGAGGCCCGTGCCCGCAAGCCAAATCCCATGAAGGAGATCTGGAAGCTCACGAAGCGGAGAGAAAACATGATATCCTTAGCAAACGGTGCGCATATATCGACCTCATTGAGTTCACTGGATCCTGACTAGCTGCCCGGACTATTTTAGGTGACCCACACTCCTCGCTGTATCCCATCTCACAGATTCAGTTCGAGGTCGCCTCTGTCGACCCAGACTGTGATCCCGTCTCGACTTGGCGCACTGCCGGTCCCTCTGCGCCCTCGCAAGTCCTCACTTCCACCCGCGAGCCCTCGTCGTCATGCACGCTCCCCGTCCGCACCGCCCTGCAATATACCACCGGCGCCGGCCTGCCTGATGCACAGGCCGCAGTCACCGCGCTCACACGCATGTACCACCAGCCTCCCACGCACCCCGACACCGGCAACGAAGTTGAGCGGGTCGCGACACTCACGCTTGGAAACGGAGATGCAGTGACGAAGCTCTTCCGCGTGTTGGGCGAGCCAGGGGACCATTTCCTCGCGGATGAGTTCACCTTCAGTTCGTTGGCGGGCGCATGTGTTCCTCAGGGCGTTCGTTGGGTACCGCTGAGGATTGATGACGGCGGATTAATTCCAGAAGATCTGGACAGGACTATGAGTGAGTGGGATGAGAGGAGGGGAAGGAAGCCGCACGTGCTGTACATCGTGCCCTGCGGTCAAAACCCCACCGGCTCGACGCTCACAGTGGAGAGGCGGAAGAGGATTTACAAGCTCGCCCAGAAGCACGACCTTATTATTGTTGAGGATGGTATGTCGCGATAACATCCATCGTGCTACCCAACCTAACGTCACCCAGACCCTTACTACTTCCTGCAATACAGCACCTCAGATTCCTCCGAGCCTACTCTCGTGCCTTCCTTCCTCTCTTTCGACGTCGACGGGCGCGTGATGCGCGTCGATTCCTTCTCCAAGATCCTCGCGCCGGGCATGCGCCTTGGATGGATCACGTCCTCGCCCTTCTTCCACCGACACCTGGTCATCCTCACCGACTCGAGCACACAGCACCCGCACGCGTTCGGCCAGATGTTCATTACGGAGCTGCTCGGCCCGCACGGGTGGACACTCGACGGGTTCGGGCGCTGGCTGAGCTCGCTCCGCGCGGAGTATCAGCGCCGGCGCGATTTCTTCCTAGAGCTATTCGAGCGGGAGGTCGTGCGCGTTGCACCGGGGCTCGCGACGCCCGGGCGGCCGCAAGCGGGCATGTTCGTCTGGACGCGCATCAATCTCGAGCGTCATCCGCGCTATCGAGTATCGGGGACGAGCAAGCGCGGCGTGCCGAGGACGAACTGCAAAGAGCTGATGGAGGAGCTGTTCGAGCGCTGTCTTGATGGCGGGCTCGTGGTCATGCCCGCGTCGGTGTTCGCGCTGCCCTGCGACCCGCAGGTGAACCACCTCGAGGACCCGATCGAGGACCGCATGAACTACTTCCGGCTGACGTTTGCGGGAACCGAGGAGGCGATGCAGCAGGGATTGGAGATTTTGGGGCGGACGCTGAAGGAGTTTTTCGCGGACGAGCCTGCTAAGGCTTAGAAAATTGGAGCGAGGACTGGACGTGGTACATGAATGGCTGGACACCCCGCAAAACATTTAGAGCGCACATCTACTTATTATTGCATACTCATTTATTTTGCTAGTGTCGTTCCGTAAACCCATAGAGGAAGGTCCGCATACTAGAATACAGTAGCGAAGTAGTATATAAAGAAGCATCCGATGCGTTGAATTCAAGCGAGAGAGACGGCAATGCCAAGCAAAGATCTTCACGAGTGCAGATACGCATATATACCGTCCACATGAGTCATGGAGTCGGAAGAAGCTACGAATGGAATGCCTGGTCCAGCTCGCGGAGCTCCTCCTCAAGCGCATTGAGCTTCCCAAGAGATACCGCTTCCTGTATGAGTAACCGCAATCTGTGCAGGTCTTTGGTATGTTGTGAGCAGGCGGCATCGTCTTCTTTCAAGGCGTTGATACGCTGCTCTCGAAGGGCGTCAGCCCGTGTGACTTTGTCGAACATGTATACCATCTTGAGTTTCTGAGCCTATAAACATATGGATGAGTATGCGATAAGATGGTGGGAATAGAGTTGCATGCCTTGCACGCACGCAGCAAGGGAACACGTTTGCGATGCTGCGCCTGCCCATGACCACCACTCATCAGAAATTAGAGTCGCTTATCAGCATTGGTACCCACGGGCGTCTCTTGTACTCTCTTCAGCAACTCATCAGACTGATTGTTGAGCTTCTGCGGGTTTTCGTGCGTAAATGAGCGTAGAGATGGGACTCTTCAGAGAACCTACAGCCAGGATGGCAGTGTCATGCTGACGTGCAGCGACGGACTCTCCCATCAGTGCATTCAGCGAGACCAGGATTTTGCTGATGTCCTGTTTGGCCTCGAGTTCCATCTTGGAAGAAAGGCTATGGTGAGACCGAGGAGCGTGAATTAATGCTGGCAAGCACGTACTGTCATCGCATCGACCACCAGCTGATATCTCCGCAGCTTAAATTGGTTCTCGAGTACGGTGGTGTAAAGCTGAACTAGACTTGGAGAGGCGGTTGCTGGCTCGCTGCGGTCCTTTTGCGGCTGGCCTTCTTGCGCGAGTGTCTCGAGCTCGGTTCCCAGAGGCGGCGATGGACTGTTCTGCGTTATGTTGCGGTGTTGAGACTTTCGAGCGTATATATCATGAGCATGTTGACTAAAGCCTCAAGCTTCAAGACTCAAGATATGCGGACTACTAACCATGTTTCCTTCGTGACGTGATTTATCCAGGATATGATATGAGCGAGTGGTTCAAGAGAGCTCTTGCATCTTCTCAGGATGTTCCCTCGCCTACGGGAGGCTGACCAATGCAGGCGTGTCAACCATTGTCGGTTCCGTTTCCAAGTCGCCTGAAAGCCGAATCCTGGTGGTTCCGAGGACTCCGAGACGTGCGACGCGTCCCATCAATATTCAATACATCGCCACAAGGCGAATTTTGTTGCAGATGTGGTGGACGATGTTAAGCGGGGTTGCGGCCTCGTCATTGAAGGCTGTCGAGACTCGACTCTCGAGCACACTGACCCGGATGGCGTACGCGTCGCGTCGCGATCACGTGTGTATCCAATCAGCGCTTGTCGCGTTCGCGCCTCCCGTCGTAGTCATCCAACTTCGCACTACGTTCGACTCTCCTCTCTGACAGCACCCTATCTTTCACAAGAACATCAAGTCCTTGGGTCTCTGTATTCTATTGACTTTTACTGTAATCATACAATGAGAATCTTCACGAGGCTCTTCGCTACCCTTTGACGATACACGCGCATCGTTTGAGCTCATGGAACAAACACAGCATGATACAGCTCACTGAATTTGGTAGTAGAACCGGGACATTCCGCCTCTTTCGTGTCCAAAAAACGCTGAATTCGAAACTCTGACTCGACTGAAAGGATATCTTTCTCAGGTATTAAGCAAAATATACGTCAAGCGTATCCGTAACGTACAGTCTATCTCCACGTAATCATATATAGCATAAATGACGTGTCGTGATAATAATCTCATCCATCCAAGCCCGACTACAACGGATACCTGAAGTCCTTGTTTTGCATGTCCGTAAGATCCAAGAACGCCTGCGCAAAAGGTACGAATCATGAGTACCCGTATGCGATGACAGCCGAAGAATCTGACGCGAACTAACCTTGTCGACTTTGACCTCTTTGCCCGTCTTCTCATCCGTGATGTACACCTCGTCGTACGCCGGGTCATGTCCCTCCCTCTCCCGCCGTGCATTCTCGCGCGCGAGGACCCACCGAATGGTGAGAAGCAAAAGCATCGAGACGAACCAGCATGCAGATAGGATCGACCATGGCACGCGATAGCTGCAGATCGAACATGACATTAGGTTCTGAGCTCTGATTACTGTAGCATGCGCAAGTGACGCACCGAGGTTTGTACTTATCTTGCCAATACAGCGGCCCGACGGCATTTCCAACGCCATATCCGACCATGACGATAGCGTTCATCGTGACACCTAAAGATCTCATGAACGAAATGCCAGCTCGCACAACACACATGTACGCACGCTTGGTATGCCCTGCGGTCGTCGAGCCTACCCATGCAAGCATGATAACGAATGGGGCGATCTCGTTAACTAACAGCCCCCCATGTCAGACGAATACATCCCGAACATGGTCAGGGAGAGAACGCACTGGATATCCAGTAGGAGAATAGCAGGCCGACTTTGTCGCTCCATGGTAAGGTGTTGACGAGGATCGAACCGAGAATCGCGACGCAGTATTGCAGCGCCCCGGTATACGCACGGCCGTTCTTCCAGTACGTCGCAGACATGACTCCGCAAAAGATCACGATCACTGGAAGTAAGCGAGCACGCGACTGTCATGAGCGCCATCAACACGCAGAATGTCAATCTTTGATACGAACTTTCCACCACACCATCCACGCAGCCGAGCAGAGTGGTGTCGATGTCCGAGAAGCCAAATTCGGCGACGATAATTTGTCGTTGGTTGCTCAGCTGTCAAATAAATTTCCTAAGAAGGCGTTCTCGAGCGCTTCCGTCAGCAAACTGCACGCACCGAATTCGTGACATTCCTGTGTCACCACAGTCAGCGTCGCTTTCCAGCTTCCGAAAAACCCGGAAGAACGTACGAGATGGCTGCGAAGAAGAAGAATAGGTATGCCTTTGGATCTCTGAAGCATTCCATCATCCTGCGCGCAAAACCACGTTTAGTACGCGAATCGACGTTGGTGTGGACTTCACTCACTGCTCCTTCTTAAAATGCTTGTTCTCGACACCGGCCTGGTTCACTTTGAGCCGCTCGACAGCGATGACCTTCTCCTCCGGTGTCAGAAAATACGCGGAGGTCGGCGAGTCCGGGAAGAAGAACCTGCCGCACCCGCATAAGGCTATTAGTCCTACAAAGGCGTCGACAAGCCCAGAAGGAGAAGATCACACACCAGAACAGAATGGACACTACAAACGTGATAGCGCCCATAATGATCACAAGCCTAAATATGATAAGCACTGTCAGCGTTGACAAAGAAGAGACGTAAGTGAAAGGCCAAACCATTGCCATGGCGCCACTTTACTCGATTTGATGTGCAATGTCCCGTATGCGACAAGGCCGAGCATGATAATTGCGGTTCCGTTCATCAAGACTGCGTTGCGAGCCCGTCAACGCTCTCTCGCGAGGAGAAACGACGAAAGGTACCCACACCAGTAGCCCACCCGCTTCGTCTGCTCCTGGCGTGTGTAGAACATCGCCGTGACGATCATGAACCCAGGAGTGATCGCGCCCTCGCAAATGCCGAGGAACAGGCGGCACACGACGAGCTGCGCGAAGTTCTTCGCCGCGGCATGGCAGAACAGGGCGACAGACCAGACGAATATGTTGATACTGCGAAGACGGGCACGATGTAAGGAGATGTCGTAGAAGGAAGGAGAGCGTGCTGACCTGACCCATTTGCCGACCGGAAAGCGCTGCAGCGCGTAGTTTTGCGGGAATTCGAAGCCGAGGTAGAAGAGATAGAATACTGTGCTGAGCCAGTCGAACTGGTTTTGGTTCAGGTGTGCATCAGTCCTTCGATACGCATCATTAGTGTCAGGAAAGCGGTTCTTGTAGAAACTGCCTCACAATATGCCCAAAACAGCGGATTGTCCGAGTGTGGTTTTGTCAGCGAACTGCATTCTAGTGGCGCCGTTTCAGCCGTAGCGAGCGTGAGATGAATAACACATTGGCGTACAGATACATTACTGAAACACGCAATGCAAAATCAGTCAAATTGCCGTAATGAAGAGATCCCTCGGGACTCACTGCACATCAAAGGGAGGAGGTGGAGATCAATCTTGCGCCTGGGTCGCTCTATCAGCTACGACAAGGACACGCTGGCCCACTGCACACACCTGATCCTTGCCTCCTCCGCAGGATCAATCACAATGTCCTTTCCCGCAGTAAGTTGAGCGGCGACATCGACATCGTACGCCGCGACGAGGTCATGCTCGACACCGCGCTTCTCGATGGAGGAATCGGAGCTGCTCAGACCAGACTCCGCAACATGTACGGCCGGGCGCTTCTCGTCGCTCATGAAGGGTGCTGAGGCGGGTGCTCACAAGAAAGGGTGGGAGCTGAGCGCTGCATGACAACACCGCCCGGCGCATGCAGTTATAGAGTCCCATGAATGCATGTGGTTGTCTCCGAGCGCCCGGGTGAAGATTGTTTTTGGTAGGAATTGATGATGATCAGACGGGGACGCCGTCTTGGCCGTGAGTTCCCCGCAGCCGAACAAGGGCATTTTTGCACGCCACCTTCTACCCAGGACGCCTTACCCAAGCCTCCGAGCCTCCCGGAGGAAGGCGTTTCGTGCAGATCTCGAAGTTCGAGGCACACTCTCGTGCGTCGTTCCTCGCGGTCGATGTTAACCATCAGAATGGCATGGTGATGGGAGAGGAAGGACCTGCGCGCAGGAGAGTCGTCTGTGCATGATGTGGCGAACGGAGATGAGGATGGTTTACCGCCGTAAGGTGATGGTCTCCAGCCGCGGAAGTATTCCGAGCCCGGGACGCCCGCGGCTATCTTGGATTCTCTTTGCGCTGACACTCGATTTCTCGGTTTGCGTCCTCACCGGGGCCTCACCGGCACCGATCACCTTTGTGGCATTCCCTCTTCAATACTTCAGCGATCATCGAGGGCAGTGCAGCACAGCAAATGGAACATTGATCGGCTCAACATGGAAAACAAGGAACTGGAACGATTTGATTGCACGCGCCCGATCGGAATTGTAACGTCGCCACAGTTCAACATGTGTAAGATCCGGCAGCACTTTGCGCGTCTTGGTTTCACGGCAACTTATTTCGATACATCCAGGTACTGCTTACTACCTCAGGTTGAATGCTGCCCCTGCGATGCCGACTGTGTCACTTGTCTAGAGTGATCGAGTTTACTCGAGTATCAGAGACAGGCACCATCTAGTCCTAGTCTGTGGAGCTCGTGCATCATGTTTCAGGTATTCATTGGTGTCGGGATGCCAGTAATACGGAGAACATGGATGGCGCTCTTAGCACTCGCCATGAAACTTCAAGAACTCCACCGTCGAACTGTAGTTAATCCCATTGACTCCTGCTACGGACGCCGACGCTCGGCTACTTGTCTGTGGCGGCTAAGATCAACATTGCAAGTACGCATTGTGTAGACTGCAGATGGCCCTCAAACACGCACGATCCTTCAAACGATACTTCTCGTTGATCGCGGTCCGAGGAGTACCAAAAGCAACAATTTAGAAAATACGGACGGCGTTTCGTGATCCTCCATCAAACGGTCTTCACAGGTCGTCATCATGGCAACGGCACATTCAGGAACGATCTCAGAATTCTTACTGCCAGACCGAGTCAGCACTTGCGTTCACGTGTACGTACCGGCTACGTACGCAATATAATTCGATAGTCCACGATTCCGTGCTGAGTGTCCATCAGTTCTTATTTTAGGCCGTCAAGTACGGATCGGATGCCCAACGTCACGGTAGACTGCTCTAAAAATGTCTTCGACACATGCACATATGTCCGCTCATTCGGTAATTACCTGTAGGCAGGTCAGCTGTATCGCATCCATCTCGATCGCTGCACCAAGTCCGACCGCTCGATCACCGTCACTGAGTCCTTCTTGTACCTGAGCACATTCCTTGCCTGGTCAATAACAGGCTCAGGCTCGAATGCGCGGTCGAACGTGCGAACATTTGCCAGAATTACAGGTTCAGCATGAGCAACGATTCTCAAAAGCTCAGAAATTGACTCATCGTCGAAGAATCTTGTTTAAAAATGTGTTGACCAAGTGCGTGAACTCCTTGTTCATGTGTGACTTCTTCTTGCGCTTAATCCATTTCCGGCATCCGTTCATTAGTGACGAAAGGTACCTCCGTGCATCCAAAACTGTTGTGCAGGAGCGATCTCGGACGTATTCGTCCTCTGTGGACACGTTGTATCATAGCGCTGAGATGGTGGATGGGGAAAGATGTGGGATTGGACATTCTCGGCTATTGTGCTGATACGTCCTTCCCGTGGGGCACTTTGAATACCACGAGGCCGTCAAACCAGCAGCAGCCTTGTTGCGCTGCTTTCGCGGGGATCAATGCATGTGGTATTGTACTCCGAGTCGTTCGCATTGTCGGCGCGCATCAAGGTTTGTGCTCCAACGATAGATATATTGTCATAGTACAGGTGTGGCATTCCTGATAGCACCGATGAACTCGTTGAACATCGAATAAAATTCCGATTGAGACGATTACAATGAACGAAGCATTCTCCAGCCCACGCGTTATGAGTTTGCTACAGAGTGGCATTGAAATGCACCGCAAAGGTCGATGTGTCGCAATGCAGTCTGCCACCAATCCATCTCAGAATGAACCCACTCCACATTCTGGGAAGAGACGCTGCCTGCAGCGGCAAATACCACCGGCTGTCAGCTAGGCGGATGAACTAGTTTCCCGGCACACATGAAGCCAGACCAGCGGTTCGTTCATACTTCATAGCGATTAGATTCAGGGGCCAGATGAACGGGCCCCACGTTCATTCCGGCCAGAGCTTCGGGCGCAGTAGGATGCCGAATTGAATTCGTACCCTTATCCTCTCGCAAACTCTCATCCGAGGCGTCGTTGCATGATCCTTAGCTTGTGAGCCTGCGGTCCCGGTCCTCGCGCTATTTATAATGCTACACGAGGTCGGGCTTCTGCCCGCTGACTCACTGAGAACCTTCAAGTTGTACTTACATAGGCCCGATATGCTGAACCCAAGTACCTGAGAAGTAAAAAGCTACGATCAGTCCACCGCCTGATTGGATACTCCGGTGCACACCTTCTGTTCAGTCGTGGGCGTTTGCTGCGATGCACTGGCAGAGCAGCTTCTTGTAGAGTTCCTCAGCGCTTCGCAGAGATTGGGAAGAAGAAGCAGGGCTCTTGGGCGTTCAAACGTTTACCTTCCAGTCGCATCTCCGACAAGCTCGATGGATAGGTCATCGCCATATCTTCCGATTGGTGCATCACAGCTACATAGCTATGTCTGCACGAGGCTATCAGAGACCTTGTGGTGTATGTGGACTCCACTTCGCGAGCCGGCTTCGTGAAATCTTTCACGAAGCAACGAAGCGGTGGGCGACAGCGTCTTAAGATGGCACGAGATGGTCGGAACAACGCCACAATGGTCCACTGGCCACGACGTGGAGATGATGCATAGCCTTGGCGGCAAGTGAATGTATTGAGGTGCTCAGAAGCACCGATGGACGCTGAGGCAAGGATTCTAAACGCGATGGAAGACGTTGTAATTGCATGTTCTTAATAACCGGGCGCCGCCCACCTCAAATGGGCGCGCTCATCGTTCATGATGTCCACACATGCAGCTGCATGCTCTGGGAAACCTGTTTGCGCCTGTCACACGGGACATTATAAGTTGTAATAAATGATGGCTGCTCATCGTTCAGTGGACTTTTGTGATCCAGTTCTCCGGTCCTTTGTAACAAGGGCTACGTCAGATCACACATGCAATTGCTACGACCGTAATGGGCGTGAGGCCAGGTCCCGACGTGGAAGAACGAACCAGGGTGGACGATGTGCGAGCGAGCAAACCCATATGCAAACAATTCGAGGTATGACTGGTGGGAAGCGCTTTCAGTGGATCAATACATGGATTTGGAAGGCTGTAACAGCGATTACAGACGCATACATACCCCAATTCCCTTCCACATTCGAATGTATCGGATACAGAGACTGCAGCTATACCGAAGTGGTATTAAAAACTTATATTCTTCGACGTACCGCTTCTCAATGACTTTGCATTCCATATAGAAAGCGTGCAAAGGGACTCTGGAGTCCGCGCCTCTTCGTAGTTCCAAGTAAGAGTTTGTGTAACCGTCCGGTCTGAGGCAAAATACGATTGTACAGCAGTTGGATATCATGCAAGCAGAGCCGACAAGTGGCCAACAGGTCTCTGAGACTTGAAGCTCGCTGCATATGCATTCGCCACCGATGAGAATTAATGATCATGTTAGCGTTCCGTAGTAAGCGCCCAACCCCGCGCGTCTTGCTCTCTCACGAGGACCGTGGCCTCCAAAGGCTATCTCAGCATCATTTTACCCTTTTGCTATGGACGCTATCCGAGTTGCGAGGGTATGTGGACTGATCTTGGTTATCAATTGGAGCTCCTAAATTGACGACGATGCGTCTCAAGGTGGAGGACGTTCTGTGCTGTAAGGCGGGCACCACCGCCCTAGGGACGGTACACCTCACTGCGCATCATCTCATATTCCACTACGATGATCCCACACGGGAGGAGATGTGGGTTAGTCGCCGTCTGATTTCAGGTGGCCCTTCGAGCTGACTGGATCTGCAGATCCCGTACCCTCTGATCTCGCTGGTGACACGGCTGCCACTAACTCTTCAAGGCCTATGTCCCCTCACGATTCGCACAAGAACATTTGAATCGATAATAGTGCTGTTTTCGACGGAGAAGGAAGCGATTGATGTCTTCGAGAGCGTGAAAGAGCTCACCGTCACGGGTACGCACTGCGCGCAGCTCTCATTAACCGCCCACTTATCTGCCATCTGTAGCTTCCGTAACTCAACTCTATGCCTTTTACTTCGTGCCCAATCCTCCGTATCAGGCGCAGAATGGGTGGTCCCTCTATTCGCCAAGAGAAGAGTTCGGAAGAATGGGCATAGGTTCCCGAACGAAGGCCTGGAGATTCACCGATATCAACAAGGACTATTCTGTGCGTCTTCTGACCAGCAAGCGCCCCACGTAGTCATTCATAACCTCCAGTTAACATAGTTCTCCCCGACGTACCCTTCACGTGTGGTTGTACCAACCCGTATAAGCGACACGACGCTGCAGTACGCAGCGAGATACCGAAGCAAATGTCGTATCCCAGTATTGACATATTTGCATTGGGCAAATTATGTCAGTGCTTTCACGTAGTTTTCTCGGTTATCTCCTGATCGCTCTCCTCTTTGCACAGGGCAGTATCACTCGATCGAGCCAACCCATGGTCGGCTTATCGCAAAGTCGTTCGATCCAGGATGAGAAGCTCATCGAGGCCATCTTCCAATCGCATTGGTCACCGGAATCGCGTGCAATCAGCGGTCCTGTATATGGCGCTACGACTACGAACTTGATCATTGATGCACGGCCCACCACTAATGCGATGGCCAATACTGCGAAGGGTGCTGGCTCGGAGAATATGGACCATGATAAGGATGCGAAGAAGGTCTATCTTGGGATCGACCATATCCATGTTATGCGTGAATCCCTTGCGAAGGTCGTGGAGGCATTGCGAGACACAGAAGCCATTCCAAACGTTAGCTGCGGCGGCGTGGAAATGGGCAGCATGCCTGCACCTGTCCTTGACAGACATGCACTACGGCGATCTGGCTGGCTCAAACATATCTCTGCGATTATTGAAGGGACCCTGCTCATCGTGCGGAATGTGCATGTCAACTCTTCCCATGTCCTCATTCATTGCCCTGATGGCTGGGACAGAACCGCTCAGCTATCTTCGTTGTCTCAGTTGTGCTTAGATCCTTTCTACCGGACAACCCGTGGATTTCAAATCATGGTGGAGAAAGATTGGATCTCCTTCGGACACAGGTTTTTGGGCCGATGCGGGCACCTCTCTTCAGACAAATTTTTCATTGCTCCAGTCGAAAACACCGGAACAGGGGGCGGGGCCGAGGCAGCGCAAGCATTCCTAGCTTCTGTGCAGAACAGATTCGCCTCGCAGAGCCATTCGGAGGAGACCAGTCCGATCTTCCATCAATGGCTTGAATGCGTGCGGCAGATACAACGTCAGTTCCCGGAGCGATTCGAGTTCAACGAGCAATTCCTTCGGCAATTACACTACCATCTCTACTCTTGCCAGTTTGGTACATTCCTTTTCAATACTGAACGTGAGCGGCGAGTTGGCGAAGATGGCCCGCCCGCGTGCGAAAGTACGGTCAGCGTTTGGGATTTTTTCAACTCGCCGCCGGAAGCGGCCTTGAATGTCAATCCGGACTACGACCCGTCGCTCGATGACCCAGCAAACCGATCGTCGAAAGCTGACATGGGCGTACTCATGCCCAATCCGAAAGATGTGCATTTCTGGCACGAGCTTTACGGCAGAACAGACGAGGAGATGAATGGCAAGTTTGTCATCCGCCAGTTCGCGCAGGAGCCAGAGTTCGCAGGGCCGATGGAAGGTGCTTTGGATGACATTGTTACAGCCAATGGTCCGGTACCGTCTTCTGTTCCCCTCCCTCCATCTCCTGCTATATCTCCATCCCCTAGCCTACCGGCGTCGCAGCCACTCCCTCGGAAGACTCTTGAAGGCGGCCATTCCCCGTCGCCTCAAACGACCCCGCTCGGTGGAACGTTTTTGACGCCACATAGTCCGAGATCGAGACACGAGAGCATACGCGGATTGGATACGGTTCCTCGCAGAACTCAAAGTCCCATCATCCCCCCACGTATACCATCTCCTGCAGTACGTTCGGTATCATTGTCTGCCGGAACTCAAGTAGCAGACCTCTTCTCGAGCACTGCGGTTCGTTCCATGTGGGGTCGCTTCTCCTCGAACGCATCCGCTGCAATTTCGGTTGTACAGGAAGCCTATGGAGGTATGGCGAAGGACTTTAGCGATATGTCGCTTGGTGGCGATGAAGCGGGACAAGCACAAGGAGGAGAGTTAAAGACGCGTGATGAGATTGGAGTGTGGGGCGAAGACGGTCATGAGCAGAACAGGAGACCACCGTCACCGCGCGGTTCGGGAATGGCACAAACGATAGGCTCGAGCTCGATCAATCCATGGTCGGCGCGTTCCAACGTGCCCTCATTGTTATTCGAGAATCCGTGGAGCTCGGTGCGCTCGCCATCCTCCGAACCCGCACGGCTGCCGGAGTCTCCTCACCTGCAGTCCTTCCCGCCACAGCTGGCGGACAGCCTTCCTCTTGACCCGACTGTAGCACTTCCCAAACCTCCAATGTCTGTGACTGGAGCACGGGCAGCTTCGACGATACCAGATGAGAAATTATCATCGACCTCTATACCATCCTCACCGCTCTTGCCCATGGACACGTCTACTGAGACGCCTCACGCAACCCCGGCCCCATCCACCTCAGACCCTCTCGGCGTAGGACTATTGTAGCTTGTTGGTTCTCCATTTGTGCTGTATCATATCATATGACATTAGACACTCGCGCGATGTGCTCATGTATATTTCAGCGCATGTGAACATGAAATCTGGTGTGCTATCTTCCCGTCCACGACATTCCGCAAAGTCGTCTGGGAACGCCCGCAGATATATGATAACCCGGGCTCCTCAGCGGAGGAGTTCTTTGCACACTGGCCAGTGAAAAACGGAAGGTCGAACGATGATGAATAGACCCGGCGAGAAATGGCGTGCTACTGCGGTGATTGGGGTCCGTGGTACGCACTCTTATAATCAAACCTCTCAGCCTTCGCGTTGCTCGGTCCCCATCTCCCACCTTTCCCTTCTCCTTCTCCTCCGTCGTCGCCTCCACCATGCCCGCCAACGGAACTGCACGGGTGTCTGCGCTCCCTCTGGGTCATTTCCTCTTCACGTCCGAGTCCGTCGGCGAGGGCCACCCGGACAAGATCTGCGACCAGGTCTCCGATGCTATTGTGAGTTTCACGCGCTGTATCGCGCTGGGAACGACGCAGCTGAAGGGACGGACGCGCGTAGCTCGATGCCTGTCTTGCGCAGGACCCCTTCTCCAAGGTTGCTTGCGAGACTGCCGCGAAGACGGGCATGATCATGGTCTTTGGAGAGATCACCACCCAAGCGCAGATCGAGTACCAAAAAGTTATACGTGACACCATCAAGGAGATTGGCTATGACGACTCCTCAAAAGGGTTTGACTACAAGACCTGCAACATTCTTGTCGCGATTGAGCAGCAGTCGCCTGATATCGCGCAGGGTCTTGACCATGGCGACCTCGAGAACATCGGTGCTGGCGACCAGGGTATCATGTTCGGCTACGCGACTGACGAGACGCCCGAGTACATGCCCCTCACGCTCGTTCTTGCACACCGTTTGAACGCGGCGATGGCTGCCGCTCGTCGTTCGGGTGCCCTTCCGTGGCTCCGTCCCGACTCGAAGACCCAAGTCACGATCGAGTACAAGAAAGAGGGTGGTGCGACGGTCCCGCTTCGCGTTGATACTATTGTTGTGTCCACGCAGCACGCGGAGGAGATTACCACTGAGGAGCTGCGGAAGGAGATCCGGGAGAAGATCATCAAGCAGGTCATCCCTGCTGAGCTTCTTGATGAGTGCACCGTTTACCACGTACGTCGAGCCTCAGGCCATCAATTGCCTTTCAATGCTGATTTGCATCCTTTTTAGATCCAACCCTCTGGTCGCTTCGTCATTGGTGGACCTCAAGGTGATGCCGGCCTGACTGGTCGTAAGATCATCGTCGACACGTATGGTGGCTGGGGTGCCCACGGAGGAGGAGCCTTCTCTGGAAAGGACTGGTCCAAGGTCGACCGTTCTGCTGCCTACACTGCTCGTTGGATCGGTTGGTAGTGCATTCTATGGAGTTGAAATTTCCGCTGACAAGCCTTCCTAACAGCCAAGTCGCTCGTCGCGGCCGGCCTCGCTCGCCGTGCACTCGTCCAGCTCTCGTACGCTATCGGTGTTGCAGAGCCGCTGTCGATCCACGTGGATACGTATGGCACTGGCAAGGTACCGGATGAGGAGCTCGTGGACGTCATCCGCAACAACTTCGACCTCCGGCCCGGTATCATTGGTTTGTAGCTCTTCGCATTAGTCTGTCCTTGCTCTGACTTGGGGCTATTCAGTGCAACAGCTCGGCCTCCAAAAGCCCCAGTACCGTAAGACCGCATCCTACGGCCACTTTGGTATGTCGCTGTCCTCTTGAAAAATACGAGCACGTCATTGATGGAAGCTTAGGCAATTCGGAGTACTCTTGGGAGCAGCCCAAGAAGCTCAAGCTGTAAGCTGAGCGTCGTGTTGTTCGTCGCGTCTTCTCGCCCGTCCATGCTTTCTATCACCGCATCTGAAGCTCATCCTTCACCGCACCGGAAGTTCATCCTTCCGCCTATTTATTACCACATTGCATCTTGTTTGTTAGATTATACCTGCCCCCCCCCCCCCCCCCCCCCCCCCCCCCCCCCCCCCTCCACCGTTGACCGCTTCTCGTTTGCACCTTAGTTGGTCTGGTTGCGTCGCCGTATGCCCTTCACGCACCCCATGACGTCCATGCCACGGCGCGTTTGTTAGATTGATGCCAGCAGATCGCCGGTGGCGCGCGCTTTCTTACAGTACATGCTGGATTTTACAGGTGGTCGATAATGCTGTATGTAATACTCGAAGCAGAATACAAACGCGTTCAACCGCGAGACGAATTGTTCGGTGTGTGGCAGGAATGAATGCACGAGTGCATCGTTACTCGAGAAGTGCCACCCTTGGCCGGCAGATCCCTTGCTCGCCTTAGATGCCGTGTAACAAGTGCATAAGGCGTAGTAAATGTTAACCGGTGTCTTACCTTTGGAAAAAATTGCCTCCATTGCATTTGCTATCAGTGTTGCATGTCCTAAATTTCAAACTTGGGTAGCCACTACGAAAAACTATATATATCAATCATTTAACCTATATATCATGCAGGAATTGTACAAGCCACACACAGAACATGGCACTGCCATAAACATGCTTGTGATTTCAGGAGCAGAAGGGTATATGAAAGAATTTGATATACTGCCATAGCATCTGGATAGCAACAATGAAGGAATGAAATTTCAGAGACTGAGGTTGAATTGAGATGAATTGAGA